CCGGAACCGGGCTTGAACCGTTGTAGCACTGTGAATAATAAGTGACGTAGCCAGAATTTGTCAGTGTTCGGGGGGCGGGGGCGGGGACAGGGGGCAACAGCATTTTATGAGGGGGCACCAAGAGCGGACCCAACAATATTTTCCCCAAAATTTCCAGGCCACCGCAAGTGCTGCGAATTCGAAAAGCGCGCGGGGAGGGGGTGGGGGCCCACGTCAGTCTTTTGACGCTTTGACGTCTTTGACATCTGCTGAAAATGAACATATTCAAAGAGGGGAGAATATTATGAAATCGAACGATTTTTAAGTATGCGGTGCTTACAACAGATTTTTATTAACGACTCACGTATGCTGTTATGCTCATGACGCTTTGGGTGCTGGAGCGCAAGTGACGAATTCGGGATCATTGAATCTATACCAAAAAGCCGTCGCGTACAGCTATAAAATAATTTCAGAACTTTTCAATGAATTTTTCAAGGTCCCCAACAATTAGCATCCGTTGTCGGCCCGGGTGTGCTAGACACGTTGTGCATTATTGTACCTCGCGTGATCCCGACCTTGAACTGTTGACGCCAAAGATGTTCAATATTGTTAAGGGTAAAGGGTCTTGATTGATGGTCGTATAAAAAGAGTTCACAGTTTAATCTCTGCACGGTGTTACAGAGGATATAACTCTGTCGGCCTGAAAAGCTCTTAAAAATCCAGCTCATACGTTTCCTTTCAATAGTGATTGATATGATATTCAAAGTGGCGCGGGGAAATCCAGACATTTATTTGCACATTGATGTTTACTTTGCAAGGTTGGTGTCGTGACAACTTGGGCTGGCTGAAAGGAAATGCAGTTGTTTGCAAGAACATGCACCCAAACAATCGCGTGTTGAGACCTTTGTTTAAATACATTAATTTTGTAGCATTGTCGGAGAGGGCGATTGATAATTTATACTTAGCATGTTTGATAGGGAAAATGGCAGGCGTGTAAAACCAAGAATTTACTTTCACTGGAGTACATAGGGGGATTTAGCGTGCATTAGGGTGGGGCTTCCCAACCGCCTCCTTAGCGCCTAACGACCACGCCCCTTTCTAAGGTTGGACAATGCACACAATTACAACCATAGGCCTAGTTATACAGTGTGGTGCCAAAAGAAGGAAACCCACTTTTGACAGCAATTTTCCCCTACTTGTTGAGCATATTTCAAAACTTCAATTTAATGGTATTAAAATATTGATCTTTAAACATAAGTGGCGAAAAAGTTATTGCAACTGCATATTTTGTCTCTGAAATATGGCACTGTAGTCTAAATATTTTATGTGCCAAACCTGTTTGTCCACGGACGGCTTTATTCCATCTGCTTGACTGAGCTCCGGAGCTTGATTTTGAAGAAGAAAAAACACTACACTATAGACTTACATGTGGACAACAGTGATTTTGGTGACCTGTTTTCAAATTAGCATAATAACACTATTTTTTCGATTTTTTAAAAGATTTTTTCACCATGTATGGTCGAAGAGCTATGCTTCACTACCTTATAATAATTTAAAAAAAACAGTTCAAATAAGTTAAGTATAAGTAGGTTAGAATTCCTGTCAATAGTGGGTTTCCTTTTTTGCACCATCCTGTATAGCCGAAAGTTCTGTACCAGACCAAATTTTATGAGGAGTATGATCTATGCGCTTTTGGCAATCATTCTATAAAGCTTATCACGTTGGATAAATAGTCTGTGCTTATCCTGTAAGCATAGAACCACAGGATGTATGCATAGGCCTACATGCATGCATATGCGCACGGGCCACATTTCCTTGCTTACCCATGAAATATGCTTACCAGTATACCGTTAGCGCATTTTTCTGTTCAAGACGACTTTCCGCTTACAGGAAGTAAAGCCGTGAAATTCGGCACTGGTAAGTGCATTAACTCTTTATTTGTCAGCCTTTCTAAACAAGGAAGTATGTTACTTTTCCTGACACCTTGACTGTTTGGCTGCCACTAGACCTTCAATAATTCCTTCCAATTGTTCCCCTCAAGACAATAAAAAAAGAAGAAGTATGTTTAGTCTTTGTCTGGTTCCTTGTCAGTATTTAGGTCAGAGTGCTTGGCTTGAAGGTCACTTCGCCATTTGAATGTCTGAAGAAACATTTACTTATGGGCGTTTGATTGCTCTATAAATTTGCTTTTCTGTACCCAGTAGCGGATATGGGAGCCGCAACCCCCCCCCCCCCCCCCAGCCGTTGAATTAGTAATGTTATGAAACCAGTAAAACTGGGCCAAAAATAACAAATTGAGTGCTACATTTCCCACATTTATTCTCAAATTGCCTTAGAATGTAGAAGAAAACATCGTAGATTTCAAAATTCTCCAGGGCGCAAGCCCCGCCCCTAGCAAGACGAGCATTAGGCACACCTTCACTCACCGGTCTCAGCCCCCCCCCCCCTCCATTCCAGGCTGAAAGCTGGATCCGCCCTGGTAGCCCTTATGTCTGAGAAGTTGGAACGATGGGATAACGATAAACCCGATGACCTGAGTTCAAGTCCTCGGAAAGTTTTTGTGTACAAACCTTCTGGGACATAGCAAGAAAACTTTGTCCATTGCTACATTGGAACAAAAGAAAGGAAACAATATTTAAAGAGTCCTCAGTAGTATACATGTAGTAAAATTGGTACATGTGGTCCAGTGTGATATACTCAAGTATCTATCGCAACGAAATAATTATCATATCACGCAAAGCTGTCGGTGTACATATTAATAAATACCTCCCCCCCCCACCCGCTTAATCACAATGAACCATCCCACTCTTTCGCCCAAATTCGTTCATCATTGTCAAGCTTGAGGAGCAAGTACCCATTTTACGTATGGAGCGTTCGCATGCAGTAAATCCTTCGCCTAAAAGTGCAGCTGAGTACAGCTTTAAACGAAATCAATCCTTGAAGTTCTCAATCTATGCACATACAACATTTCTTCGGAGTGGAGATTTAGATCTCTAACACAGAAGAGGTAAGAGGTGGGGCCATGCAATGTTTTTCGGGGGGAAGGCGTCTCTCAAAGTTACAAACGATCTTTTGTTTTAGTAATAACTTATTTTTGGAGGGAGGGGGCGGGGGAGGGATAACATCAAGTTGTTTTTTTTATTGCGAAGCTCTATCGGTAAAACAAAATGAAACGACAATCGCAGATGCAGCGAAGAGGGAAGTCAGTGATAGGGAAACAAAGAACAGTTAAATGCCTGTGGCCTTGTCCGGTCGTATAAAGAGTCATAAAATTTTACCACTGGAAGACGAACCATTGACCTTCATGGTCTGCTCGCGCCGGGCAAGCTAGGCCTGCCTACTGGCAGTGGCACGATCATCGGAAGACGAGCTTTCCGGGAAGAAACAAGAGTTCAAATTTGATGCCTCTTGAAAATGGGAAAAGTTAGAGGTAGGCCTAATGTGGAGGTTAGGAAGAGGAAATAATTTCTTTTTTTTCTATCTCAGATTGGCACTTCGAAGGAAACTGGCGCCAGTTTGGGTTTTGGCCAAGTGGGTATATATAGAGCATGGTTATCATAGTCAGACCCCGAGATGAGCCACGTTCGATTTTTTTTTGCTACGGCTTGCAATAATACACATGCACCAATGGAAGCCGCTTAAGCCAAGGTTTTTTTCATACACGTGTACTATGCCGGTACTGCCGGCCTTTGGATGCGACCTAACACCACCTTGCAGGCTATGGGTCCGGTGGGGCAGATAATATAAACGTGACTGTAAGATTTAGGGGTCCCTATGCCTCAATTACAACAAAAATTACCTTCTCCGAATGCAACCTTGACGGTTAATTTTGTAATGTAAATTCCATCCATGCACTGACTAAGGACCTTCAATCGCCTGCCTAAAGAGAGATTACACCTCTTTTACGTCTTGAAAAGGTTGATTGCGAAATTAGACTCGACGCCTTGAGAGCATTCCCCAGGGAACTTTTTGAACCTTAACCTTTGACCTGAGGTGACTGGCCTGATAACCGTGAACCTATCACCGCTGAGTGTGCATTTTAGTGTTCGGTCCACCGTCCGGCTCCCGCCTTTTTTCTCTCTTCATCATGTCTGCTATAGCTCGCTCTGGTTATTTCAAACCACCCCCGTAAATCTTTTCGCCACTCCCCCCTTCTACCTTTATCACTTCTTGCGAACCCTGGCTGCCCTCTTTCTAATTAATCCTGATTTATTTGCAGTAGATCAAACGGGGTGTAAATAAATGAGCATTTCACTCAGCGAAGCTTTTGAGGCTTTTAGTCGGCGAGCCAGGGTATTTGGGGGTTAAGGATCGAGGAAGAATTTCACCCGTCGAACTTTCACATCCCTCAACAATTGAATTGTCTCGAAACCGAACCAGAAATCAGCAGCCACGACTTCCTAGGTCTGCACTAAAAAAACAAAATTTAATATACATGGCATGAACAGATGCTACCAAGTCAGCCACAACCTTCAAGACACGAATTGGTTGAGAAAAAAAATCAAGACAACAAAAAACCCTGATTGTACTTTTTTGAAGACCAAACTCCATAATTTAAACAAACGCCACATAAAAAAAACAGTTAACAACATAACAATAAATCACCAATAGTATAGGACAAGAAATTGGGCCAAAGATGCGAAACGGTATAGGTACCAAAATTGAATTTCATTTGAAAAAAAATTATATGAACATTTTTTTGTTTCATAAAGTGTTACATCAGTATGTTTCGTAAAGTTGTTATATCATTTGTTTCATAAAATTGTTATATCATTAGGTTTTACATAACTGGTATCGATTACTTGTACCCGGTTTTACCCATACCTCTCTTTTGTTCGTGGACGTGTACCATACACGTCCGCCAAAAAAACTTCTGAAATCACTAGCACCCAAGAAAGGTCGTCTGCTGCTAACTTCGTCCAATCAGAGACGCCGGACGAAACAACGCCCCTGACACGCGCGACTCTAATTGGTCCAAAAGTATCAGGCGGTCGAGACTTAACGACCGTTTAAAAAGGAGGGCCCAAGTGGCATCCAGGCACCCTAAGCGTGGCTAGCCTTAGCAGACGCTTCGGGTGAATTTGCTTTCAGGTTTTCCCTCCACTTTTTATGGGGGACTTCATTTTACCTCAGTTTCTCAGGGATTTCAACGTTGTTTCAAAAGGGGCTAAACGCAGCCCGCAACAAAAGAGCGCATCCATCATGACGTCGCTCGTTATTGCAACACTTTTGTGCCTCGTAGCCCTTGCGAGCGGCCAATTACAAGGTAAGCTCTCAACTTTTTTTTAGAAGTTTAGAATACTTTCCCAGTGAATAGATAAAAGGTGTCAAGGCAAAGCTAATGTTGGGATAATCGACTAAGTTAGTATACCCAAGCTAACAATTTCACGTTGGACAGAAATTCCTTCATCTTCCAAAAGTGCTTGAGTTTATGTAATGGTTTAATGGTTGTTTCTGTTCTGTCTCTTAGTCGTGGTATGTAATTCGGTATTTAGAATAAAATAAAACCGGAATTTTAATTAAAAATCGGCGGGGTCGCCCTTGACATCGACAGTGTATTATCCACAAAAGCTTATGAGCAAGGAGTATATGCCAAAGTATGTTTTCAATCTACCAACAAAATGATAGAAGTACTTGTAGACTCGGAGAGATATTCCTTCAATACGAAAGCAAACTGGCATCAGTAATGACAGAGACTTTTGAAATTGGACGCGTTGTAACCCTGGATGATTAGAGGTGTGTGGAGTGCCGCGTCTAAATCATCCGGTTCGCTTAACTTTAAGGACACTCGTCTAATACATTGAGACCTACAAAATATGATTCCGATCTGTGCGCGTCAGTAATTGGAGGAAGAGTGGGGTTGAGGAGGCGGAGACGATAATGATTTGTGAGTCTGGTGTCCGCGCTTGGCATTGTGCAAAGTATCAAGATTTCAGAAAGCATCTAAAGGAATGAACCATCTGTACAACATGGCTTAGTGATTTACTGCGCTTCGCACGTGATGCCATGAATGTTTCTGGCTGTAAAAATAGTCAGCCTATATTTCATTTCCTTTTTTTTCAAGGGGGAGAAAAACTGTCAAGTTATACCGGACTCGAAGTAAAACTACCAGACTATAAATCATATAACTGATATACGAAAAATTGTCTGACTCTTTGTATGATTTTTTGTCAAGACCGTCACAAAAACAAGACAAGCAAGCTTAATACCAGCGTGCACAAATTCTATTCAATTGATTAAAGGGCCATGTAGTAATGTATTTTTAATGCAATCCTTGAAAGTGCACCTTTGTGTCTCATTTAGCCCTACTTTCAATTTTCGTTTGCCATTTTCAAGGGTATTTTGGTGACTTTTTGGTTTTTATGCTAACGCAAATTTCCATATTCATGAGCAAAAGTGTATTATCATTTCAGGCAGAAATGTATGTTAACGGTTATTTCTGCACCAAAAGTTGCCAGAATTTTTTGCCCTTTTTTGGATTGTTGTAGATTCGTTGTTTGGCCTACATGGGAGTAACCCGGAGTAAGCCGTTGAGCAAACATTTCTCACAAATATTTTCAATGAGCAAATTTTTGTATTCACAATTCAGAAAACACATAAACTGAAGAGTGTCTTCCTAAAATGACATCACAGCAACAGCGCCCTTAGTTGTCCGGAAAAGCATGGACAATTTTGCATATGTCTAAAGAAGTGACCTTTGGTTTAATAAAACTTTTCACTTTTCAATAAAAATTAACCAAAAAGGGATGATATCAAAAAGTTTTCACACATTTAAGAGGAATAGAAACTTTCACAAAATTCTTTGCCTGGACCCTTTAAAACATGCATCCGGTCTATACAGTGGACCGGATTTACCCGGTTCGTGGGCGTGCGGGGTAATCATATACGATAGCACTGCCCGGTTCCCACACGTGACAGTCACTCTGAGTCAGTCAGCGGTATGTACAAAGAAAAGAGGCTGGTTCTCTGTAATCAGCACAAAAAAATGCAAGAAGGCATCATTCCTAAGATGATATAGCTGGGACTTTTTTCTCCTCATCAGAATGCACAGACAACCCTTGCGGTGAACACAGCACGGCTTGCTACCTGAAGCCTGACGGGGTCACCCCGTACTGCTATTGCACGCCGAACTACGAGGGAGACACCTGTGCCAAATTTAACCGTAAGTAACTCCATCCATCCACATGCCAGAAAAATATGGAACTTGCAAAAAAAGTCAATGTGTTGAATTGAACATAAATAGTTCCTGTTAGGCCAAAAAAAATTAATAAGTCGGTCTCTGGTCAGCGCGCGCGTCGATTTTAATCATGCGCGTCAATTTTTTTTTCCAAAATGTTCCGGGGTAGCTCCAACAGCGCCCTCTATTGCCGCACCTCTTGAAGAAAAAAAAAAAGCCGCGTCGCCGCGTCAATTCCGGAACTTTGGTTTGACCAGAGACCGAATTTTTTTTTGGGGGGGGGGCCTTAGTGTTAGTGTTTTGCCTATTCTTTTCGAATGGTTGAAGTAATTCTGACATTCCCAAGTACGGGTCCCGGAAACAGTTGTGCATTTTGAAAACGCAGTTTCCCCCATCATTTTCAACGCTTGACAGAAACTTCCAAATTTCACGGAATCGGCATTTATAATGAAATGGAAACTTACTTTGCTATGGCGGCATAAAATTGCATCCATTATTTCGAAGTTGTCTCGTTGCTTGAAGATGACAACGAAAAACAATTTACAACACAAATGAACCAAATGTTGAGCTTGTCGACGTTTACTACACTTGCCGCCGCTATGGCGTTCTGGATGTACTTGTTTGACGGGTTGGTATATATTCCAAGTTAACGGGACCAATTTCGCACATCATCTTGCTCATCACAGGCGACGAAGAAATCAAATTTGTAAAGCTGAAGCACCGCACCAAAATTTGAAACTTGCAGAATGTCTGCCAGAATGTCGCAGGTTGGTTCCGTGATAAGTGTGCATTAACAATTATTCTTGCTTAAGTTAGCATTTTTAGCTGGCTGTTAAGGTGCCGGCCTTTGGCCGTTTGCGTGATTAAGTTCAGAGGGAGGCTAGACTGTGCTAAACATCGGCCACCGTTCTGAAGAAGAAAAAACTATCATGTACTAGTAACGACATGAAAGAGTTTGTTTAGCAAGGCCAGCCTCGTTCCTGATCCAGTAAGGGAACTCCCGTGCAGGAAGTTATTTAAAACTAGCTCCTTTCAATGTTTCAGGGCAACGGTACTCATGCAGCTCCCCCGCCGAGCGCAACTTCTACGGCCAGAAGTCGGGATCTCTGACCTCGCCCAACTACCCGGCCAACTACCCGATCTCCCAGGCTTGCCCGTACTTCATCGGCAGCCCCGACGCCAAGAAGTTCGAGCTGACCGTCCACGACCTGTCGTTCGAGAAGGGCAAAGACGAGCTGACGATCGGCACGGGATCGCTGTATGATGCTAACGGCTACGAGTACCTGTTCGATCAGGAGAAGTACGATACAATGCCCGGCCCATTGACGCTAGAGGGCGACAGAACCTGGTTCAACTTCTACTCGGATTTCAACAATCCGTTCAAAGGCTTTAATATCAGCTATAGAGTTGGTAGGTTGAATGGTTTATAAGTTAATTGGTCGTGTGGGATCGATTAGAATCGAATCGAATCGAATTGAACAAAATCGATATCGAATGAAATTGATTCGAATTGAATGATCGAATAGCAGTCATTGAGTGAGCCGATCTGCCGAATTCAGACAAGAATTATATATAGTGAAGAGAATTTAATAATTATATTTTTAAAAATCACAAAAGGCCAAATTGATTTAGAATTATTGTTAAAAGTTACAAGAAGATGACGTAAAGAAGATAATGGAAAGGGGGAGGGGACAGTAGAACGCCGAAATAATCTACCGGGCTTGTATTTTTTTTTTATTATTATAAGAAAATCCCCTTGTTGGCGCCTACAACCTCCTAAAAAAAAGCTTGTACTCTCGATTGCTTTTGCACCTCTAATGCACAAATTGATTCAATGGGACGGATTTCTTCGTTTAATGTCTTTTTAAAAACTTTTGAGTAGCGTTTTGAATTGCTAGAAGATTTTGTTTCGACTCTAGTAAAGCAATGGAAAGTACTTTGAAAATCTTACCAGCTGAGCAAAATACATGCAATTGAAATGCTAAGACTAAGGGTGGTGGCGTTCATAGACACATGAGCCACCTCCCATGCATGAACAGACTCAGACCTTGATGATAAACATCAGTTTGTGCAATTGTTACTTAATTTTACGCAGATGGCGATGAATGCCTCAGCAACCCATGCGGAATGGGCCAGACGTGTGTGGACGGCGAATACACCTACACCTGTGAAGGTCAGGGTAAGTGGTGACGATAATATTAATAGTAGGTTTCGAATGGCGCTATTTTAGAGGGGATTGATCAAGAGTTGGTTTCAGGAGCCTTTCTTAGATCGATTGCGCCATGTTTGCGGTACATGCATTCGTTCAACAGGGACACGCATGTATGTAGACATCTTGGTTGTCAATGGAATCAGTCTATTTGGATACACTTACACTTACGCTTAAAATTTGATGGGATTAATATTTATGGGCTCGGAGCCTTTGAAGGTCCCCATTATCCATTCATTCAATCTGTCAAAGGCATTCTTGAATCGATTGACATTCATGGCCTTCTCGACGTAGGCTGGCAAGTCGTTCCAGTTGTCAATCGCCCGTTGTGAGAAGAAGAGCTTTCTAAACTGCAGACCTTTCTGCATTCTTTTCTGAAACAGCTTTGAACTGAGGCCTCCTGTGGTTGGTTTGACATGGCGAAGTCCATGTCCCCATTTAGGATCTTGAATATTTCAATAAGATATCCCAATGGATGGGTCAAGTGGGCTATGGGAAAAGCATTCTCTGAGTTTTTACTTGTTATTGTTTTAAACAGAGACCACTGATAACGGAAATGGTGCTTCGCCGCCGGAGATCGTGTCCACTGGAGGTGGGGAGACAACAGAGGGCGGGCCAAAGGAAACCACGATAGGTGGGCATCATTTATGAGATTAATAAAATACATACACCCTTCATGGAGAATTTAACTTTGCATTTCTTTTTTATTATCATTGCTTTTTTTTTTTTTTAATAAATTACTTTTTTTGACCGAGTACTACCTTAGCGAAATGACACTTATTTAGGGGCGGAGCCGAATTCAAGCTTGCGGCGCTTAAACTATGGAGGGCGCTATTCAAAACGTTTGGCTGGAAATTCAAGGGACTTTACTGCAACGACTTGTGGAATGCTTCCAGGAAAAACCTGAGTTTTTTCGATTTTGCTGGGTCGCTTAAGCTTCAGGGTGGCTTTGAATGTGGTCAGTGTTTATTTGATATTTGTTGAAAGAAAATAACCAGGAAAAAGGTTTTCTGTTGATGTTTAGTTGACCTGTTTGCAGGCAAAATTTGCAGTAAGTTTGTCCAAAAAAGATTGCAGTCATTTTAGGGCGATTCTCAATGCAGTGCGCCACCAAGAGTTTGCCACGGAGAGTCCATTTTTCAAGTTTACAGTCGACAAAATACGGCCCATTTGAATGAGTGTAATATTATTAGTAGACAACGTGAGCTAATATGTTATTGTTATAGTTTCGGGCATAGCGTTCTGCCGCCTAACAAAAAACACCATATTGACAAAAAAAAAAAGAAAAAGGACAAACAGATCCTCGAACCATAATTAGTACGCTTACGAAACTACTGACCGGAAAAACTAACAATTTCAAATGTCCCGCACTGTGAATTTGTCCACTATTTCCCACAATGCACTGCGAAAAATGAACTCTCTGTGACTTGTCTTGGTAGCTCATTGCATTGTGAATTGCCCGAATTCTCTGGCCAGGTCGCGAATTTTCTTTTCCTAAACGTTTGATCCACATGGGTGTGTACATGGTTGTTTAGCGCCCTCTATGATACTTTTAGATAGTGGATATTTTGCCAGAGGTAATGACGGCAAACTAACGTTTACTAAAGGTTTGCCGGCGGCAATCCATATCAACAGAGGGCGCTGTACTCTTTAAGATAGGGCTGAATTATAAGATGTATTAAATTCCCACCAAAAGTTGTGTAGCACGTTTGGTGTAGTGGTTAAGCAAAGGCTCTAGTAGTAAGCGGGATGACTCGGGTTCGATTCCGACCGCGGCACATTTTTAAGTTTTTTTTTCTCATCCCCAAATAAATAAGAATATTCTTCTTTTATTATTTTAACATGTCTCAAACATTTTTTTGCAGAGTATTACATTTTCTTTTTCAGATTTGTGGCTCTGGAGGATTTTTTTTAAAAGGGAAATAAAGTCCGAAATTATAAAATGATCTGAATCCCATCTTGTGAATACGAGGTTACAACGATAATTTTGGCATGGAGCCAGACTAAAATTTGTCACCGGAAAATGTTTAAGTACAAAAAAACAGTAACTGCGCATGTTCAGTGCATATCTGGCAAACTAACGTTTACTAAAGGTTTGTCGTCTCCGGCAAAATATACACTGCCATACTTTTATGATACGTATGCAAGTCTATAATTATTTTTCCCACGTACGTTTTGGCGATCAGTGCGATAGCTCAGTCGATAGGGTCGTGATTTTGCCCAGCGAGGTTTTGGGTTCGAGTTAGTCCGAGCATAACTTGGACCCAACTTATCGCCTTTTTAACATTCAGACATCGGCTGGCGATCTGGTAGTAGGGTCCAAGCTTAACCGCTGCTATCGCTCGACACAATTCTGTTCTCGAACCAAAAACCCAACATTGCCGAACAAAAACTTCAAATTTTACCCTCAAAACGGCCTCCAAATAACTAGATACACCACTTGAGGTACAAGTTCTTTTTATGTTTTCACTAATTTCAGAAAAGTAAAGTCCAAAACGCCATAGCGTACACCCATATGCAGATGTCGCAAATTTTCTTTTCCCAAACTACGTTCATTTGCATACACAGTTGTTTAGCGCCCTCTACGATACTTTATGACACGTACACAGGTATTTGGTGAGCTGTGCGATAGCTCAGTCGATACAGGGTTGTGAATTTGCACCGCGAGGGTGCGGGTTCGTTTCACCATTTTGTTCCCGAGTTTTTTGTCTTTTCCAACCTGAGGCTTCGGAGGATTTTTTTTTAAAGGGAAATAAAGTCCAAATTTCATTACGTTCGAATTCATTTTATTTCTAATTTTTAAAAATTTTCTTCTCATGTTTTTACAAAAGTAAAGTCCAAAAATGCCATAGCGTACACCCATATGCCGATGTCGTTGGGGAGAAAAAAAATCACGGCAGGGTCACACTTTAGCTTTTCTTTTTTCCTAACTCGGAGCCTTCTAATTCTAGAAGTAGGTAGTAGCCTACCCGATTATTCGATATTATTTTGATAGCAACATCGCCGATAGCAATTTTCGAATCACATCAAAATATTCAAATTTTCAATACTGATTTAGGAATCAGAAAGAATTTTGTAACCTGACGCTGCTTTTTTTTCATATATCATCTCAATGAATGTCAGTCTTTGCAAAAATGACGATAAGACATGAATCTGTGACTGAGTGGAACGGAGGGTACCGTAGTCCCAGTGCTCCACTAAGTAGAGCTTCTAGTAGTTTATTGTTTGCTTTATAATGATATTCCGCCTTCAATCGCGAAGTTTAATTAGCACCTGTGGGTTCAGTTCTTACATATAAGGTTATCCAAGATAAGAACTTCCATTAGCACAGGATCTGTCAATCATTCCCAAGAAACTTGGGGAGAAATGGTTTTCAATGTGGAATTTTCCGAAAAGTCACGCAAGGTACACTGAATCCTTTATGTGCAAAATGTTAATGTTTCGACAGGTAGACGGCTGTTTCATGTGACAACAGACTTCTGTATGGTGTAGATGCAAATAATGTGCTTTTCAAGTTTTACCACATCCCGTGTGGGTAGGACAGCAAACACATTTTTCAGGCGTGCAACTTTTCCTCTTATCCGTTGATTCCCTCGTTTTTTACTTCTCACAAATTCCATTGCAAATTGAAAAATGGTAGCGCCACTACCGCAACTCAAGTGCATTTGATAGGCACATTATCTCAACGAATAAACTCGGAGAAGAAAATTACCCGATGAAAATGACTTAGTGAGCAGCGACGACGTGGATTCGAAACAGGGATCTTTATCTCATCTCGCTATCCACTAGACAACTGTGTGGTCGCTCGACGACGTCAACAACCATTCTTAAAAATGCTTTTTGTAACGGGTTGACTTTTAACAGCAATGCTCTTGATATCATTGTTCTATTCTCATGAATAAACATACTGGTCCATTGATATGTACAAATAAAAGATCGTATTAAAAGTGAAACCATTGTAGACGTGATACTGGCCCACTGTTGGAAAACACTGTACAAAGTCAAGTTGTGTGCTTTGAGATTTCCTCGATTTTTCTAAGTTCCCAGCTCCATTTTTTTGTGCCCATTAGCAGACCGATGGCGGCCAGCTATTATAGCGGTGGACTTCATCAACCAGCTCAGCAACAAGACCAGTAAGATTGAGAATAGCGTCCGTGTTTTGTTTGTACTGTTGTTCTTGTTATTCAGTGAGTGCGAGCAAGAAACTGTTGAAGCAGTAAAACTCGAGAGGTCAAGTCTGATGAAAGCAGTTGTGAAAATTTTACCAAAATTGGGATTTGAAAATGTAGAAGGGGCACGGGCACCTTGGAGGGCTCCTACTGTTTTGCACGTAAAGGATTCAAGGTACCGTGCGTGACCTTTCAGAAATTCTGATAAACCAACACAATTTTACCTTCTCACTTGATCAAATTTTAAGGCAATTTAGTTTCAGAGTGTTTGAGTTTTAATCCTTCAGTTGTTTTTTTGTACAGGTATTTTGTGTTTGTTTCTGGAGATCTGTTACTTCTTGTTTGATCCCCGTGTTACTTCTGATGATTGTGTCTACGGGCCCTCCCTTGTCAATGTTTGTTTTCTTCTTGCTGCAGTCTTCCTAATTTTTTTGGTTATTTTGAACAGTATGGTTTGGCAACAAATGCAATTTCCTTACAAATTTTTCAGTTGATGCTGCAACTCAATGTGGTTTATGCCGTCACGGTGCATTGCAATGACGGCCATCTTTATTTTTGTATTGTATTAAAATAAATCGCTGTCTTCATCGTCCCTTTACCCAGAGACGTTCTTATTAAAAATTAAAACTCTTCCTTTATACATGACATTCTTGTTGTTTTCAAACATTCCGAGCTACTTGGGTGAGTGCAATATAGTGACGTAACAGTGGATTATCTCTCTCATAGGACGCCATCTTTGTAGGAAAATTACATGCTCTCACAGTGTTCTAAGCATGCGCACCTGTTGCTCAAAGTTTCTGTGCGCGTCACGAAAATTTGATGCCTAAAATGCCGATGCACGTGGCAATCTGAAGGAAGCGACGTCATGTGAGAGAGACCTATAGAAATGGGGCCTGCAATTAACCAATCGCCTAACATGTTCAGAACTTCAATGTCAACGTGCGATTCAGTTTCTATTAAGAATTAAACTGTAGACACCCTCCGGTTCCCATTAATTAATTGATTGGCACCTGTTGTTCATTGTCCACCTGTCAGATGGTGGTGGTGGTGGTAGAGAGTGCACCATTGAGGGCCAGACCTACGCTGATGGGTTCGAATGGGACATGACGCCCTGCTCCTTCTGCAACTGCAAGGATGGAACGGGTAGCTGTGAGTTCAAGCAATGCCCATACGTCAGGTGCAAGATCCCAGCTATCAGGGATAACAACGAGTGCTGCCACACGTGCCCACGTGAGTGTAAACACGGTTTTGTTTTATACCTTTGTTGAAGAAAATAAGTTCAGAAATTTCAGCAACAAAATGAAGCCAAGTGAATGAATGTGGGACACACAGCACGCTACACCCAGTTGTGTTCACACCATCGATCGTGGACGTCCTATTGTCCCTCTTTTGTTTATACTCTAACTTTTTAGGAAGACTCCCTTAGGTTTTGTACACGATCCCAATTGCGGACGTATGCTGGGAATCGTTGACGATATTGTTCTCTTTCCTTCTATAATCTGTTACAGCTCTGGTTTGCGTGAATGGGTTTCCATGATATTTTCACTGATTATTCACGAGAGTATAATAAATGCTGCCATCAAAATGAAATACTCATGTTAGGTACTTTTTGAGAAATTGAATGATATCTGCTTGCACAACTGTTTTGGGGGTCACCCTGTATAGAGCATAATATGCATCAGTGATCTTCGAGCACAGCTAAGTGAAATGCTTTTGTCTATAATTCTGAACTAGTAGTTTCAAAACACTTCAGATAATGGAATTTTTATGCCCCGCGGCGAAGCCGAAGGGGCATACTGTTTCCGCCTTGTCCTTCCGTGGGTGGGTGGGTGGGTGGATGGGTGGGTGTGGGTGTGTGTGGGTGGGTGTGTGTGTCCGGACAAATCTTGTCAGCACGATAACTTGAGAAATACTTAACATATGAACTTCAAATTTGGTCTGTGTATTGTTCTTGGTAATCCTAAGAGGCCTATTGCATTTGGGGCCGAAAGGTCAAGGGTCAAGGTCACAGTGGCTGAAACAATAGAAATTTTGTCAGCGCGATAACTTGAGAAATACTTTACATATGAACTTCAAATTTGGTTTGTGGATTGTCCTTGGCAATCCTGAGAAACCTTTTGCATTTGGGGCCGAAAGGTCAAGGGTCAAGGTCACAGTGGCTAAAACAAAAGAAATTTTGTCAGCGTGATAACTTGAGATATACTTTACATATGAACTTCAAATTTGGTTTGTGGATTGTCCTTGGCAATCCTAAGAAGCCTATTGCATTTGGGGCCGAAAGGTCAAGGGTCAAGGTCACAGTGGCTAAAACAAAAGAAATTTTGTCAGCGCGATAACTTGAGAAATACTTTACATATGAACTTCAAATTTGGTTTGTGGATTGTCCTTGGTAATCCTAAGAAGCCTTTTGCATTTGGGGCCAAAAGGTCAAGGGTCAAGGTCACAGTGGCTAAAACAATCGAAATCTTGTATTTATTCTGAGATCATAGGGATTAGGGATTAATTCATATAAAACCTACAGAAGACACTAATGCTGTCAATGAACATTCCATGTGACCAAGGTACATGTAAGTTGATGTTAAAAGAGTGGTGTTATGTCATGGGAACAGTCACGGTTGCGGGGCATTTGTGTTTGTAAACACACCTGACTTGTTATTTATTTTTTTGGTGTCCCACAGCCAAGCGACTCTTTGTCAACCAGGTCTCGTTTAGCTTCGGTGGAAGCAGTGGCTCTATCATCAGCCACAAGAGCAACGCGATGGTCATCAACGTGGACGTGGGCCGCGACATGGAGCGCAGCAGCGCAGAGTTTAGCGGCAGTAACCTCTGGAAGGTGGGCATGTACACCAAGATGAAGGCAGAGGCCGGCGGAGGGCAAATCTCCGCCAACGAGCAGATCTTGGACAAGAGAAAGGCCAACAAGAAACTCCTGTAAGTACTTCCACTTTTTCATCGTGGGCTGATTAAGTTGTGGCACGTGCTGGCCAAACAGTGCGCTTCCCTGTGGACTGTTACGACATTCCCTTTCTACTTACACAGTCTTCAGTGACGGTGCCTTGGTTAGATAAACACCGCTTAAAAATAAAAGGGTCATAATTTTGAATTTGATCGTCTTATGAAGACGTCATGTATATAGACCTTTGGGGAAGTTTGTTTAGTCAAAATTAGTCTGCTAGGCAACAATGCCATAACTGGTTTTAACCCCAATAGCCTTCTTGAGTTAAAAGTAAATGGAACTTTGAGGCCAATTAAATTGTAAACACCACAAAAGAGGAAGTTCACACTCATTGGAGGGGTCATAATTTTGAATCTGATCGTCTTATGACGACATGTGTGTAGACCTTTGAGGAATGTTATTAGCTACATTTTGATACCCCGTTTGCGACCAAAGACTGTAAATTGTCCAAGATTGACAACGGTTTATGAAAAATGATGCAGTTTGGAAAATTGCAAATTTAAAGATTTCGCGAGGAGTAATTGCTAAGCGTAAACACACATGCCTGTAATTGGCCTCTATCGACTGCACAGTGCCCGAACAAAGCGCGGGTAATTCAATTTCGTGTGCTCCCATGCTCCCATGCCTACCGGCACTTTGCGATCCATTCTCCATGCCATTCGTTTCAGGCAGTGAAACACACGCGTACACAATTTCAATTTGCACCATTTTCAAACTGCAAACCAATTTACAGTCATTGGTAGAAAATGGTATAAAAATGTAGCTAACAACATAATAATAATAATAATAACACCATCTCTTATTTAACGCACGTATCTACCAACAATTTGGTACTCAAGGCGCTAATAATTGTGTCTATTTTTTAAAGACAGGTAAATGAAGTATATGAAAATATGAGACTCATTATGTAGCACCAAAGGTCTATGACGTTATCATAAGACGATCAATTTCAAAATTATGACCCCTCCAATTAGTGTGGACTTTTTTCTTTCTTTTTTGGCGGGGTCTAGTTCATCTCACTGCTCCGAATCAGCCCAATTAAGCAACAGGTGGTATTGACCTTATGTTTTGACCTCAACGGTGTTCAGTCATCCATAACTGAAGGGCTGCATCCTTTCAGATGTAACAAAATAAATTTCATAATTTGAACTTATTTCTTTCATTTTTTGCCAAAAAAGAAGAAAAACACTTTGTACAAAGCAAAAGTACTTGAATCCGTGAAATTCGCTGTAAGCATGGAACTTTCTGCTCTTGTAAGCAGAGATACGTCTCTTAGTGTAAAGCAGAATCATGAAATTGTGTCCAAGAGACAACTTTTTCGTCTTCCATTTTTTGTTGCAGACAAGGTGACAAACTCAAGTTCCACAAGCTGAAGTACAACTTGGACCTGACAGATCGACGGTGCGAAGATATCGAGGAAGTGTGCGCCACATTCGACAAAGGCGACAAGGCTAATCCTGACTACACACTGGTCCCCGAGCCCAACCCAGAAGTACTCATCTCCTGCCAAGCTGTTGAGTGTAAGTATTCATTCATTGCTTGTATTTAAAGCTACAGTCCATCATTTGCAGCTATCCAAAAAGTAACTGACGTAATTATTGTTGAACAACATACTTGGTTGAAAGATAGTAAGGGGACTAAACTCACTGTGAATTTATTCTTTCTGGGAAGGTGTCATTTTAAAGAAATCAACGAAAGAGGGCCTTTCCAACGGTGCGTCTTCGTCTTAAGACGCACTGTTGAAAATTTCCGTTAGTAGTTCGTTTTTTTATTCGGCGTAGCGCGCGCAAGCTTTGGCACGATGCACACGCGCGCGCAGTTGCTATAATTCATCGGATCGGTGCGCAACATCACGTAGCTGCAATCGTCTCAGTGAGAACATGTCTCCAACGCTGAATTCAGGCCCAATTCAAAACATGATTCAGCAACTTTTGATCTGAAATCGAGATCCTAGAATGCCGTTTTTCTCGGAATATACAGCTGAAGCTGAGCTGGTTAGTTGTTCAGCCCCCTTCTTTAGATTTTGAGCAGTTTTGTTGCTTCAAACGAACAGAATGCAGAAATTACAAATTACCTTTAAAGAACTAAGGACAGATCCAATGTGGATTGCTTGAAATGCTCAGTCCCTGATCACTGTTATGTACATGGAATTCATTTCTCTGTAATTTTTGTACAACCTAGAGTTGATTTCACGACTTAAGTTCAAGCAGAGTTCTGATTATGGTAAAGTACACACCAGCCCGCTTGTTTCTGATTGGTGCTTTTGTGGGTCATGTGATTCCCCAGGCCCGGCCCCACCTATGAGCGTGACCTGCACTGACGATGTCAGCATGGCGGAGTACCAGGACGGACAGCAGTGGAATAAGGATCCCTGCACCAGCTGCACGTGCCACTCGGGTCATACAGACTGCATTACTCTGGAGTGTCCGCTGCTAGACTGCACCGAGACCAGACCGGTGGAAGGCGAGTGCTGCCCACAATGCTTGGGTGAGTACTGAAGAGAGTAAACCATGTTAAAGTTGGTGCCATCACTGGTCCATAACAGGTCCATCACAAGCCAGCACAAGCCATCACAAATCCATCACAATTAATCCATCACAAGTCAATCACAAGCCAAAATCCATCACAAGTACATCACAAGTCATCACAAACCATCACAAGACCATCACAAGCCATCACAAGTCCATCACAAGTCCATCACAAGCGATCACAAACCATCACAAGCCATCACAAGTTCATCACAAGCTATCACAAACTATCACAAACCATCACATGTTCATCACAAGTTCATCACAAGCCGTCACAAGTCCATCACTGGCTATCACAAGTCCATCACAAACCATCACAAGTCCAACACAAGTCCATCACAAACCATCACAATTCCAGCACAAGTCCAATCACAAGTCCAAGTCAATTCCTAAGCTGTTCAAGTGAGCTGTGATAAGCGCGTTTCTTTGTCATTGTTCGTATCCTGCAACCCAACTTATTGATTTGACTTGTGCGTAATACTTGTGATTTTAATTGCAATTTCAATCATAATTTATTGCAGTTTGACTCGTGATTTGATTTACGATTAACTTGGGACTGATGTTGTGATTGGACTCGAGGATTATCTCTGTAGCATATGTGATATTTTTATCATCTCTTTTGAAATTTTTGTTGGTAATACATTTCATTCAATAGTTGAGGAGCTGGGCAAGTGTGTGTATGAGGGAGTGACCAGAGACACTGGTTCCTCCTGGTCCATCAGCGACTGCGTCGACTGCCACTGTGAGGACGGAAGTATTTCTTGTGAGTTCTTTGGATGCCAGTGCCCAGGTGAGTCACTCTTGTCAAAAATCCCTCCAAAAAATAAAAACTGTGGAAAGTGTAGTTGGTATCACCCCGAATAAGCCATTTGCGAGTAACCTATACCCTTTGGGATTTACATTTCAATAACATCTGGTACACTGACTTGCTCAGAATGCTTGGCACATTTTAACTTTGAATTCTCCCAGACCAAAGACACTGTTGCTAATCACATGATTCGGGGCAAGCTCTTGCATAGTTACGTAAGAGACGCTCAGCATCAATACATCGCTCACAATGGGTGAGAATGGCACAATGACACCAGACCATGCCAGAGCTGGGTGTTGCTAGCATAAGGCTTGCCCCGAATCACGTGATGTAGTAACAGTCTCTTTGGTCGGGAGAATGCAAAGTTAAAATGTGCAAAGCATTGGATTAAGTCAGTGTTCCAGATTTTATTCAAATTTAACTCGCAAATGGCTTATTAAGCTTAGCACCGTTGATATATTGATATTACTCGATTATTTGATATTATTTTGATATCGATATTGCCGATAGTAATTTTGTAATCATATTGAAATATCAAAAATTTTGGGCAGATATATATCTCTCATTTGTGCTTAATACTTGTTGTACAATGATATAAAATTCGGCGTCAACTTGTGCTTGTGACTGAAAATAAAAACATCGCAAAAGCCAAGCGGAAACGCTTTGTGCTATGCGTTCGCTGAAATTCGCAGTCTCCGGAATATAAAACCTCAAAAGAAACCCCTTGTTCTTGACAAACTGTCAGTGCAGAGATTTGTTTTAAAAATGTTTCAGCAACATGCTCGAGAAAACCTTGAAAAATTGGGATTTTAGATTTTTTTGTTATCGAGTGTCATCTTTATGGTCTTTTACTTTCTTGATGGGATAATCAATATATCAAATATTCTCGATATTGGATTTCTGATATATCGATTATATAAAATTCTGATATCGGCGATGCTTACCCCAAGTGAAAATGTTCTGGAAGTAAGCAGGCAAATACAAATGTTAGCGGTTTTAAAACTAAGAGTTTGTTTTATTTGGCTAAACGCAAATATGAACAAATATCTGCTCTGGTGAGTTTTGTTTGGGATGTTTCATTGTGTCAAATTTACTTCGTGTTCCCATTCACTTGAAATATGAATGGGCCGTGACCTCAGGTTGTCTTTCGAAGAAGCGTTCGGTTGGAAATGACTTTCTGAATACAGCCAGAGCATGCTGATCAAATCATTGAGCAATTTTACTCAAAACTTCCTTTCGAAGTCATTTTTTTTTCATCGCAGAAGAAAGCCGTCTGTCTATGATGTATTTAAACTGCCAGCAGTCCGTAGTTTTTTGTTTTTTTGACCAGGCAAAGCTTCCAAACTTTAAAATGAAATAAATGCATCATTTCTCTCTACTTTTTACTGTTACTGCCCCTAGAATTGTTTTACTGTATTCCCTTGAAAATTCTGCCGCACTGACAGTTCCGATGGACCTTTGTGGTTCTCATGCCCATAAAACATAGAAGTCCAGAGGGGTTATGTAATGTTCTTTCAAAATGAGAACAGAACAAATGTGAGCAATGGATGCTTGCCTGTTTTCATGAAAGGCTATATTTTGTAATGATTTAAAGACGAACTAATAACTAACAACAAAGTACTTGGAGGGTGGTTGACAAATAAGAATTGCCAAAAAAGAAAATTCTTAGTCGGTTTGTTTAGATGTTGTCAGATTTTTAATTCAAAGCTTGAGCTAAATGCAGAAATCTTCATGCGATATATTTTTTGTGGTTAACCAGTACCACCGGAAGAACAGAAGAACTGTGGTGGCTACAAGAACGGCGAGACGTGGTTTGAGAACAACTGTCTCAGGTGCACGTGCACCGAGGGAGAGGTATCCTGCGAAGCGATTCCTTGCAGCCCGCTGGAGTGCGCCGAAACCGTGCAAGGAGAGACCGACTGTTGCCCAAGATGTAAAGGTGAGAATGAAGAGCCCAGAAAAATGAAGTTGCAAAAGCTCTAATAACACTGGAATCTCGTTAGGCTTTATCGGGCTCCGCCGTGGGAACTAGTTTGTCAACTTCTAGTACCTCGGGGAGCTAATAATATGCAAATGTAGCATAGTTTGAGGGTGGAGAGTCGATATAAGCTCCCCTAGTTGCCTAGGCGAAGCCGAGGGAACTAGTTTGTCAACTTCCAATACCGCAATAAACCACGTTATATTTGTTTTACTATACCTCATTCATGTTCAGTGGCCCAATTTTCCCATTGCAGTATGCACCTCTGCATACAATTTTCGGAGAAACTTGTCCAGCTCACCAGAAGAATATCGTTCAACCTCAGAAAAGTTCCAGTGGTTTTTTTTGCAAAACAGTTGCTCTTAAAGATTTTCTACCGCATTGTGGGCAACCGTTTTAGCAGAGGCGGCATCTTCATTGTCCACAATGTTCTCCAGTCAGTATCATTGAGCTCGGGATAATGCTGATTAACATTTACATGTGCCGCTATCTTTTCATGTGTAGCTAGGGCGATGTTCGCAGGTGCGTAATACACCCGCGTGATAATTCCACCATTGCTTGATAAAGCGCATGCGTAGTGGACTATCGCATGGGTTACATCTATCGCACGGGTAAGACAAGTCTACTACACATGCGTCTTTACCCTGTGCATGAATACTCACGTGCGTGCTTGGTAAACAGCAAATATAGCGGCTGGCACGTGATGGCGAATGGACCAGTGATAATTTGGCTCTCGATCATGAATATGTATGAGGTATAGTAATATTGACTATGCACCCTCAAATCATGGTATATTTGTATATTAGGCCCAAAAAAAATAGTATTCGGTCTCTGGTCAGACCAAAGTTCCGGAATTTACGCGGCCACGCAGCTATTTTTTTTTTTTTTTTTTTTTATTTTCTTCAAGCTTGGATTGTACAGAAAAGGTGGGTACTATTTTGCTTTTTTGGTGTCCTCATGTACATTGGTGTCCTCCATAATTTGCCTTGGTGCTTTCGATCATTTGCCTTGGTGCAATTTCCCATTCCTTGGTGCTCTTTGGTTAAAAAAAATTGAGGAGGTGCTGAAATAGAGGGCGCTGTTGGAGCTACCGCGGAACATTTTGGAGAAAAAAAAGATCGACGCACATGATTAAAATCGACGCCGCCGCTGACCAGAGACCGACTTATTTTTTTTTTTGGCCTTAGACCAAGGGGCCAATTTTATGGAGCTGCGAAGCAGAAAATACTGCTTAGCAAGTTTTTGTGTTGAGCAGAAATTGGCAAAGTAAAAAGACTAAATTCAGTTCCTCGTTTTAAAGATTTGTTTCTGATGAATTTGGACATAACATTGATGAAATAATTGTTCAAGGGGCTTACAACTCAAAGGTAGCTCCAGCAACTTCAGGCTCGTTTTGTACAGTGCAGCCACAAAGTGGTACATCCTGAGCTTGCATTCATATCTGATTTGATATTTTCATTTAGTTAATCCCTACATCAGAGGTCATAAGGTCAACAGCATAGTGGCCTGTCTCAGACTCTGTGAGTGAGAGATGTGAAGGCTGCGTTCAAATTAACTGGTTACGGCTAGGTGCTTCCACTAACGCACAGGTAAATAGAAGCCATAGCCAAGCAATTTGGATGCGGCCATTGCCATTTGGATACAGGCAATGTTCAGACTACGTGTAGTATCCAACCGTTGTACTGTATTGTTTCTCACAGACGATCCACCCACGGAGCCCCTACCCTGCCAACAAGGCGACAAGACCTACTACCACGGCCAAGAATGGAAACTCAACGACTGCATCACCTGCGCCTGCAGCAACGGCTACAGCAGCTGTGCCGAGACCGAATGCCTGCCGCTGGACTGCGCCGAGGAGCCCATTCTGGTGGAGGGCGAGTGCTGCATGATCTGCCAAGGTTAGACAATAAATCCGTCACGCCTGTAGTCTCGGATAGAGACTGGACTTGAATTTTACATTGTGCTTCTGTGAATATTTGGCCCTTTTTCAAAGGTGGCTGGCAGAGGTAAACAAATGTATTGAGGCCAATGGTCTCAAGCAAACAAATTGGAATTTGCAATACTGTATGCCATTTTTTCATGATTTTTTTTTCTCAGAAAACTGTAAGACGTCAATTCGCTCTTTTCACACTTCCGCCATGGGCATGCACAGCCTCGATCTGGCAACTTAACACAATAAATATAGCCGGTTCAGTGATTCCCGTGTCGGGGTTCAGACCACTGAACCGGCTATTTTTATTGTATAAATTTGCCAGATAGAGGCTGTGCATGCCCAATGGCGGAGCGTGAAAAGAGCGAATTCATAGACTTCCCTGTATCTCATCAACATGTTTTTATAAACTTCTGTTTTAAATTTAGTTGTAATTAACCCAAAAAACCCAAAATGCATCAACCCTTCCTTCTACCCCTTCTTGATCCTTTCCCACCACACTCCTTTGTTCCCTTATCCCCTTTGATCTTTGCCCACGCTGATCTGCCCCCCTCCCCCAATCCCTCCTTTATGTTTCTCCTTCCAACCCTGCTGCTTGCGTGTCCCCTACATGTTTGTGTCTTGTTCCTCTGTCATTCGCCTGTGGAGAAGGCTTGCTAAGGATGAAATATCGGGCCATTTTAAGTTTTGAGTTGTAATTTTAGTTTATCTTTATCCTAATATATTTTTTTATATTGATACTTTAATTGTACATGAAAAATTGGCCTTTTAGCCATGAGATGCATGAAAATAAAATTGATCAATCAATTGAACACGCTTCTGTTAATAATAATGATGTCGGGTTCTTATATAGCGCTTTTAACTAGGATCGGAGTGCTTTAGATCATTATTACCCCTGTTCATTGGGCCAGTTAAACATACCAAATACCATCTCAGCTCCCTGGGGAGTATACAGCTCGATGCTGCCATTTCGGCGCAAGGCAGCTAAAATCAATCACAATAACCATCTCTGCCCTCACAGGTACACATTTACTCCTGGGTGGAGAGAAGCTATGAGTGACAAAATGCCTTGCCCAAGGGCACATGCACCATGACCCCAGGCTGGACTCGAACCCACAACCTGCAGAATTACCCGCAGACCACAAATTCAGTGCCCCAGACCGTGAGGCCGCGGCACTCCACAAAAGATCAATTGTTGTACTTTCATCGATGCACTTTCTTCCACCTTTGATTCCAACAGATCAGAGGGAAAAAATACCCGGCAAACCCTGCTCTCAAAACAACCGACTCTACAAGCACGGCTCGCGATGGGAGGTGGACAAATGCACCGAATGTGAATGCCACAACAGCGAAGTCATCTGTGCTGTCATGGACTGCAGCATTCCCAACTGCCCAGGAAGAGTTATCTACGACGACCCGACCGTATGTTGTCCGTATTGTAACGGTAACTACACAATCATTTTTTTTTTGCCTTTAAATTTAAGTTTAGGCCACATCTGAACTCTTGTCTAGCAGCTGTTGTCTAGGTTTTTGCCCATTCCAACTGGGTCTCTCGATAAATTTAGGATCCAAATTTGTTATTAACCCTGTACATGTTACCTTGGTACTTTGTAATTAACCGTAACCCTCCCCATTCCTCCAAAATCCTCTTTGCAAAATGGAGGATTTTGCAGGATTGAGGCTGTATGGCAAACTTGTGCGGCTAATGTTTGAGGATGCACTGTTTCAACGTCTTGAAACAGGACTAAAAGGTGACCCAATTTTATGGAATGACCCAAATATTGGTACAAGCTAACTTTAGCTGTACAGGGCGAGTAAAAAAACAACCCAAAACCCAAATATTGGGACCATTGTTTTAGGGAAGTTCTGCATGTAGCATTTTCAAAATCTTGGATATGAAAGCCCAATTCATAAGCTTTCTTTTAGTTCAAGAATCATTCAAATCACTCATGTACTTTTCAAGTTACGGAATTTTAAACACAACCACCGTTTTAAGGTTCTGTCCATGGATCGCAAAAAAGTTCAGTGTTTTTTCAGCAAAACTAAAACAATTCACACACATCCCTATGTGATTTTTTATGTTTGGCTGAAAGAACACTGAACTTTTTTGCGATTCGTGGACAGAATTTTAAAACGGTGGTTGTGTTTAAAATTCCGTAACTTGAAAAGTACATGAGTGATTTGAATGATTCTTGTACTTAAAGAAAGCTTATGAATTGGGCTTTCATATCCTAGATTTTGAAAATGCTACATGCAGAACTTCCCTAAAACAATGGTCCCAACATGTGGGTTTTGTTTTGTTTTTTACTCACTCTGTATTTTTTTGAAAATATCGGAGGAGAAAACAAGTTTTCCATTTGGCCTTGTAATAATTAAATCTCCTTTTTGATCTTCGTTTTCTGTGCAGAGACAGGACTTGTTGAGGGATTCTGCGACCACCGTGGGGTGGAGTATCTGGAAGGCCAAGTGTGGAACCCAGAACCCTGCCTGTCATGTAACTGCACCGGTGGCTCAGTGGACTGCACCCCCATTGTCTGTGGCATCTTTTGCACGGAGTATGTGCAGGTCCCTGGGGAGTGCTGCCCAGTTTGCGGTATGAAATCTAGAGTACTGTCTTTGTTTTATGTGGATGATCACCCCCGCCTCGATCCTGACTCCTCTCCAAGATTTCATTGCTGGCATAAAGTAGTTGTTAACCCCTTAAAGCCAGAGTCCATCATTTGCAGCTATCCAAAAAAGTAACGGGCATAATTATTGTTAAAAAACATACTTGGTTGAAAGATAGTAAGGGGACTAAACTCCCTGTGAAATTATCCTTTCTGGCAAGCTGTCATTTTGAAGAAATCAACGAAAGAAGGCATTTCCAACGGTGCTTCTTAAGAAGCACCGTAGGAAAATTTAAATTAGTTGTTCGTTTTGTTATTCGGCGCAGCGCGCACAAGCATTGGAACGACGCACAGGCGCGCGCGGTTGCTATAATTCATCGGATCAGTGGGCGACATCGCGTAAAGCTGCAATTCAAAACAATTCGAAACATGATTTAGCAACTTTTGATTTGAAATTGAGATTCTAGTATGCTGTTTTTCTCGGAATATGAAGCTGAAGCTGAGCTGAAACTTCATCAAGTAATAAGTATCCTTCATTAGATTTTAAACACTTTTTGTTGCTTCAAACGAACAAAATGCACTAATTACAAATGATGGACTATAGCTTTAAGGACGGGGTGTAATGGGGACATTCCTCCACACATAGAGCAAGTGGCCCGCATGACTGCACAGCCTTTGTGTGGTAGCGGGACTGCACAAAAGCAGCAGCTGTGGAACTACCCACTAGCCGTGTGCCACGGCATACCACAGCTGGCAACTGCAATCCAATGAGGATTAGCGGCCGCGGCCATGACTGCTTCCCGCACACATGGGGTTATGAATTTATAGTCGAAATAAGTCTGCTAGGCAACAATGTCATAAAAGGGCGAGTCAAAAAATGCTGAACCCAAATGGTGATATTCTTTGAACGGATAGAGCAATTTCAGTAATTTTTTTCATCCAAAAGTAGCTTATGAAATTTGCTTTCCAGTCATTATTATGTGTGGTGCTACATATTTTGTTAAATATGAAATGTATTTCTTGGGGTTAGGGTTCTGCTTTTTTTTTGACTCGCCCTGTAACTGGTTTTAACCCCGATAGCCTTCGTGAGTTAAAAATATATTGAACTTTGTGGCCAATTACATTGTAAACACCGCAAAAAAGGAAGTTCACACTCATTGGAGGGGTCATAATTTTTAATCTGATCGTCTTATGATAACATCATTTATATAGACATTTTATATAGACATTTTAGCGACATTTTGATACCCCGTTTGCTACCAAAGACTGTAAATCGTCCAAGATAGACAACGGTTTATAAAAATGGATGCAGCTAAAAATATGCAATGTTTATAGATTATGCGAGGAGAAAATGCTAAGCGTAACCACACATGCCCGTAGTTGGGCCCTAGCGACTGCACAGTGCCCAAACAAAGCGTGGGTCATTCAATTTTCGTGCTCCCATGCATGCAACCACTGTGCGATTGGTATCCCTGACATCTAAAGTTTCGGGGTTCATTCACAGAAATGTTGATTTCGATGAATAAAGTGAGGGGAAAACCCACAATTTTGAGTGCGTTGTGTCCAAATCTACAACAGCCAGGTATTTCAAGGCCTGCTTTCTCAGTTGTATAATTCCAACTCCAAGGAAGTAATTAATATGCAAATATGTCATATCTCCAGAACAGGAGGCGCAATGGAGCTCTATTATAATTATACCAAATGAAAGCATATGCTGTGGGCTTTCCAACCATAACTCAACTTTTTTTGCTACACAATACCTGTTTTTGTGGAGCGGGTCACATATATCCATGCTGAGAACATGAGTTAAGCCCGGTTCATACTCGGCGCGAAAGCGAAAGCGAAAGCGAACGTGAATTTGTGACGTCGTGTCAAGTATTGGCGCTGCGAATTCGTATAAGTTGAGCACATTTCAACTCGGCGAATTTCGCAGCAAACGTTTCATGACGTCAAATTTGCTTCGCATTTGCACTCCCGTTGAGTATGAACCGGGCTTATGGCTACATCTCAAGTCCACACAGACTATGTCCTATCCAATGCGCGTCTCATTGCAAAACCTCTCTGTGACAATATCTCTCTGATAATGGAAACACTCGTCTTCATATTTATCGTGGGTTTATTGCAGCTGAGGGACCTGATGTTGTACCCAAGACCTGCACCCAGGATGGCACCGTCTACACCGAGGGAGAGACCTTCAAGCCCGATCCCTGCACTTCCTGTAGCTGTCAGAATGAGTTGGTTCAGTGCAAGGACGTCCTGTGTGTTCAGGTCAACTGCTCGGTGCCTCTCGTCTCTGTGCCCGAGGAATGCTGTAGTATATGCCCAGGTAAAAAAAACCCAAAAAATGTGGCCCAACTGTGTTAGAAATTTTGGTACATAGCGAAAATCTGCTGGGAACAGGCATGAGATTTTTTTCAGACTTTTGTCTGAAGTCAGGCTTTTTGAATATGAGAGAAAGACATACCAATTTAGAAAGAAATGCATCTTTCAGACCTTTCATCCAATGTTCAGACTTTTTTTTAAATTAAATTGACAGTCTCATCCCTGTGGGAACCAGTCACAAGTAGTGTATATATTGCTTTACACTTTTCCCTGGTGACCGGTTTCTGCTAAGCGATTTGTTTTTGTGCTTAACAAATGTCTGTGCTTATTATGTATAGGGTCAATTCCACGATAAGTTTTTTTACATTTTAATCAGTATCCCACTCATGCGCATGCTGCTTGCATTCTTAAAGACGAGGCACACGTGCCTTTTGGGATTCCTATTGGTCAAGGAGCCCTGATTGCGTGCGTACTACCTGAGCGTGACTCGCGCGGGGCAGAAACTGGCTGCCACCATATTTGTCTCGGTCCGTTTCACGGTGCAGGTGCAGAGCTGATGTAGATGGCCATTTTCTAAATCCTGGCTTTGTCCCAGGTATGGCTTTGTCTTGGCTTCATATAGAATCACATCAAAAGTTCTACACTTGGAACTATTCTTGAGAAGGAATTTGCGTCAGGGGTGATGCGTTTCGAACAAAATGAAACAAATCAAATATTTTGAGGCACGTTACTTGAGCTGATGTTTCTGTTGCAAAAAAGAACCACTAAAACTACATCTCCGTGGAACCAGAGGGTTTCTTGACGACCTGAAATCAAGAAGCTTGAGCCAGAAAGTCAGAACCGGAGAAGGAGCAAAGGTTTTTGAAAAAAATCAGAGTCTGTGAAGAGATTAGACATAAGCTTTGTTTTGACTACAAAAATGTGTTTGTCTTTCTTTCTCTCCTGCCAGAGCTATTCTGTACCGACCAAGCCACGGGCCAAAGGATCGAGAATCGGCAGTCCTTCAAACCAGACGTATGTAGCGAGTGCCACTGTGCGGACGGCATCCTGCTATGTGCGGCTGATCGATGTGCAGTGATAGCAGACTGTCCGAGTACCTACATACCTGAAGGCGAATGCTGCGAAGTGTGCGCTGATGGTACGGTTTACGTAGCTTATAGTTTGCCTAGTTCAACTATGATAGAGGCAGAGGGAGACTTCAAAACAATCTAGGATAGTTCAACCTGTTCTGTACCTAATCAAACCCAACCCAACCCACCTCAAACCAACTCATCCCAACCCAACCCAACCCAAACCAACTAAACGCAACCCATCCCAAACCAACCCAAGCCAACCCAAGCCAACCCACCTCAACTTAACCCACCTCAACCCAGCCCAACCCAACCCAACCCAACCCATCTCAACCCAACCCAATGCACCTCAACCCAACCCAACCCAACCCAACCCAACTCACTTCAACCCAACCCAAACCAACCCAACCCATCTCAACCCTACCCAACCCATCTCAACCCAACCCAATGCACCTCAACCCAACCCAACCCAACCCAACCCAACTCACTTCAACCCAACCCAAACCAACCCAACCCATCTCAACCCTACCCAACCCATCTCAACCCAACCCAATGCACCTCAACCCAACCCAACCCAACCCAACCCAACTCACTTCAACCCAACCCAAACCAACCCAACCCATCTCAACCCTACCCAACCCATCTCAACTCAACCCAATGCACCTCAACCCAACCCAACCCAACCCAACCCAACTCACTTCAACCCAACCCAAACCAACCCAACCCATCTCAACCCTACCCAACCCATCTCAACCCAACCCAATGCACCTCAACCCAACCCAACCCAACCCAACCCAACTCACTTCAACCCAACCCAAACCAACCCATCCCAACCCTACCCATCGCACCTCAACCCAACCCACCTCAACCTGATTCTAACTCAACCCAACTCAACCCAACCCACCTCAACCAGCCCAACCCAACCCTACTACCTCATCAACCCAATCCATCTCAACCCAGCTGAACCCAACCCAATCCAACCAACCTCAACCCGACCCAACCAAATCCAAATTTCAGTTTTTGAAAAGAGTGCATCATTCATGCAAAGAGTGTTATAATTGTTTGGGGGTATTAACTTGGAAATCCATACACACAGGCTTTGAATTTGACCTACTAAAATTCACTATTTTTTTGATTTGTCAATCTTTCCATATTCTCTAAAAAAAAAACAACGAACTGATATTTTTGTTTAGCTTATCATAATGTACTGCAAAAGCAACGTGTGCAACTACAACCTATTTGTGGCTTGTTTACTACAATCTGCATTTGTATGGTTTGTTCAGTTTTGCCCCCTTTTTGTCGGTCTTTCTGTAGGCCCAGACAAGGCGAAATTACTCCCCTGTGTGGACGGAGCTACGACCCGACAGAGCGGGGAGCAGTGGCGGCCAGACGCCTGCCAGACATGCAACTGTGTCAATGGCAGCATCATCTGTCTTTCTCGTGACTGTGCCCTCCCGTGCGCCAATCCGATCCCTCCTTCCGCTGGCCAATGCTGCGGCTCCTGTCCTGGTGAGTCTTAATCTACACTGGGCAGTCCAACTTATAGCCTGACTGCCTCTGGCCGTGCACCATCACAAGCTCTTGTAGTGCGGCTGGAGTGGCGTCACTCCCCTACACACTAAAAAGTGATGTAGCGATTTTGCTACCGATTTTGATGGAGATTATCTTCTCATCCAGGACAGACATTTCTTAAGTTAGGGTACCTAGTCGTAGAGGAACTCATACCTGTTAGAAAACACGTTACTTTATCTAGAAATCTTCATCCATCTGGCCAAAAAAAACGACGATCAGTCTTCAGCTCCCACGAAAATCATCCCGAAAATGTGTTTCAGGTGGTGTTTAATTTACTGTTCTGATATGATTTTTATTTTTGGAAACAGAGGACCCGTCTTGTATTGTGGACGGAACCGAGTACCAACACGGTGAGACTTGGACCGAGGAACCCTGTCAGGTCTGTGAGTGCGTCCGAGGCGTTAAGGCTTGCTCACGCAAGCAGTGCACCTTGCCGCAGTGCGACAATCCCATCGTCAAACCCGGGGAGTGTTGTCTGTCTTGCCCTGAGGCACCAGAAGGTGAGCGTTAATGTGAAAAAAAACTAGTATAGTGTACAAGTATTGAGTGGCTCTGAGTGGAATGGGAGGAATATTATCGCAAGGTAAAATCTGGACTTTTCACGAAGCGAAGCCGAGTGAACTGGAAAAGTCCAGATTTTACCGAGCGATAATATTCACTCCATTTCACAATTTAAAGTCACTCAATATTTGTTTTATATAACTGACATATAGATCCTTGGCAATTGATATATTTGAAATTTTACTTGGAAAATGCATTTCTCTCTTCCAAACCTCCTCGTCACGAAAATGCTCGAACCCACGTTTGTAGCGCTGGCTCTTTTGAACAAAATGCACTACGTGCAACGCTGAACGCGCACACCAGCATGCATTTGCACACAAATACAGCGTCATGGAACAAGTGTGATCCTAACTGTTGAATAGTATTTCCCATTCCCTATGGGCGATTGTGACTTTTTGAGCACTGGCGCGTGAATGGGAGCAATAACGAATGTAATGATAATAATAATAATTCACGTTCATAAATACCTAAGACAGTTGACCCATTCCTATTGGTTAAGAGCCCGTCACGTGGCCGATCTTAAACAGTTGATGAAACACCGGCTGGATGGTTTTAAGCACTTTTCATGTGTCGCATGAAACTTAGACTCCTATGAAATCCGGTCCCTTTTACCCTTTTTTTCGGTTGAACGTTCACAATCCACACTTAGGCATGCACAATACTAACGGTAAGTCCATATAGCCCTAAATTCACAATGCACTGGCACTGCTGCATTCTGCGCCACATTGCACAGTACACGCCACACTCGCACCAATTATAAGGAGTTGTTAACAACTACTCCCTAGAGGCAAGAACCATAACGTAGCTAGAGGGGTGTTTAAAAAAAACATTAAGTAAATTTGTTGAACATCATCGTTTGAAATATATAATTTTTTTTTTACTTGTTTGACTTTTTGACCGAAAAGCTATCTATGAATGGGAATAAACATGTGCTTGGTTGGTATTAAACAAGTCCGTTTAAGACCGGCTTGGGGCCTGGTCTTAAACAGACTTGTTTAAAACCAACCAAGCACATATATTAATTCCCTTATTTATGGCCCTTTTTTGTCAGTTATCGTTGGGCAACAATGCATGCACAAGGGCAACACGTACAACAGTGGCGAGCAGTTTCAGAACGACGCCTGCACAACGTGCCACTGCAACGAGGGTACCGTCCAGTGTTCGCAGGTTTCCTGTGCGATTGTCACATGCCCCGATGCCATTCTGAGGGAGGACAAATGCTGCTTGGAATGTCCAGGTAAACAAATTTTCTTAGTGAGTAATTATTATCGGGGAACCAGTCACAGGTGATGCATTCTGTGTTATTAAACGCCTGTTATTGACAACTTTGTTTTTGCAGATTCTAAAGAAACATAAATGAATGAATTTTTGAATGAATTTTTAAGGTTTCTTTTTTGTTCAGAGAGTAGCGAGTATCAGTGTCGTAAAAACTCTGGTAATCAGCCCCCAGTTTTCTTGTCCTTCTTCCAGAGGCACCGTGTATCACCAAGTCTGGTATCCGGCCCCATGGCAGCCAATGGGAAGCGGATACGTGCACTACTTGCCAGTGTGTACAGGGAGTCACCACCTGTGAACCCCAGGTCTGCCCTGAGCTGACGTGCACACCTGAAGATGTGCCTGGTGCTTGCTGCGACCAGTGCCCAGGTATGATGTACCTGATTTTCGTTTTCTCCATTGTTGGTTTTTCAGTTAAAATGTGACCTGTTTTGTCAAAATCAGACTTTTCTGGGCATAAGGTCGAAAATGATATTTTTACATATTGTTAACATATGTTCGTTTTCCTTTTAATAGGTGGTTTAATTTTTGAAACCGGTCATTCCTGGGCAGAGTTATGCTATTTTGAAGTTCATTGTGTTGAAAAGTAGAAAACGGAGAAAATGGCCACGAACGTCACAAAACAGTTATTTCTTTAACTGATATACCTTATCAAAATCATCAAAAATAGTATATGTAGAGTTCAAATTAGGGTTTCAAACTTTTATAATATATTTTAGACATGTTCAGGATTACAAATATGCAGACATTTGAAAATCGATAAAAATCACCCCCACAGCGTTTTTTGGCCATATCTCAATTTCAATCTCTGCCCAGAAGCGTCTGCTTTTGACAGAACAGGTCACAAATGAAGAGAAAAAGTTGCTACAGCATTGGAGAATAGTCTAAACTTTTTATAACTGGGATTTTGGTATTGTTTTAAAGCTCTGGCTGGAGTTCTACATGCCACTTGGTGGTCGGTCGGTCGGTCTGTCCGTCTGTCTGTCTGTCCCCGAAAATTGACAAAGAATATTTGACCAAAAATTTAGCAAATGCCATGCCATCGCAGGGGTGGATCCAGGAATTTTCGCGGGGGGGGGGGGGGGGGGGTGTTTTCATCAGCCATAAGATCTGAAAATGTACACACTTTTTTTTTCTCCGGACACTTGGCCTCCGTAAAATCAAAAACTGGGAGGGGAGGGGGGGTGCTGGTACCAACTTCAATAGGGGGCACTGTTCAAATTCGATGTTTATTGACACTCATTACAGAATGGTGTACCGTATTTTGAACAGGCGGACATTAGACCAGTATATTTTTGGGGGGAGGGGGGGTGTCCCAGCAGGGGGGAAAGGGGGTTTCGACTTATTTTTGGGGGGAATTTCTATGAGAATGTTTTTTGACAGAGCTGGGGGGGGGGGGTAGACCCCCAAAACCCCCCTCTGGATCAGCGCTTGCATCGTCAGTAGATGCACTCTTAAAAGTTATCAGGAAAACGCGCTATGTCTCGATCAATGTGCATGCCCGTCCATTTTGCGTATGTCTGTCCCCAGAAATTTACCAAAAATTGACCAAAAATTGATCAAATGCCATGGCATTGTCAGTAAATGCACTCTACAAAATGGATGTAACAATTCTTAAAGTTGTTTAATGAAAATTGTGTAAAACGGAGGCAAGATATGTGCAGTAATGTTATAGTCATGTGGTATTTTGTGCAGTAGTTGGACGGTATCCAGAAGGAGGAAATGAAAATTGACCAAAAGTATGGTGTTCAATATGTGCCATCGGCGTTGCATTTTTCGCCAGAGCTTATTATGCACTGGCATTTGTTTCTGAATACTGTCCAACTTTCTAATGCTCAGTGATATACTTTATTGTAAGAGCTCAAAATAGTTAAAGAGATTTTGAATTATAGATATAGAGAAGGATTTTGCCTTGGTGTTTCTGGCAGTGGCTGCAATATGCGCCGCAGCACCTTGTAAACCCTTATAAGGTCATTAATGGGTCTCATATTTCTCATAAACTTTATTGACCTTTCTGTAATAATAGACATATCTCCAGCGCCTTGAGTACCTAATTGTTGGTAGATACGTGCGCTATATAAGACTCCGATATTATTATTATTATTATTATTATTCATTTGATTGATTTGAATCAATCGATTTGGCTCACCTGCTCAGGTGACACCCCCTGCATATACAAGGGCAAGACCTACGTCAAGGACCAGAGGTTCAAATCAGGTCCCTGTGAGTTCTGCTCCTGTCAGGAAGGGGGCAGCATCTTCTGCGTACCAGCCTCCTGCCCACTGCTGACCTGTGCCGACCCTGTCAGGCGCGAGGGTGACTGTTGTGCCGTCTGCGAAGGTAATTCTATCCGTTAAGCTTTTCCCCCATTACTGTCTACATTCAAACAGGTGCCAATTTCAGTGAATACTGCTGAATAGTTGCTTACCAGTGAATACTGCTGAGTCAATTAGTGAACATTAGATGGGAACCAGTCACTAGTTAACAACTGTTGACTGCTGTGATGTGGGACGTGACCTTTTGAACACCCGAGGGACGCAAGGCACCAAAGGCAAATTTTATACCTCTGTCTCGGATTCTTTGGATTTTGATGTAAAAATCATGACAACAAACATCATGACAATCGAACGTCAACTCACATGCATGTCGCGTGCTCGAAACAGCTGATCGTCTGCTAGTTCGCTGCCCCCACTCCTGTGTGAAAACATGGTGAAAATAGCGTGGGTACCAACGATACAGGCGTTTCACACCGTACGGTACCGTACATAACAAGTCATAGCACACTCCCTGTGGGATATCACGTACGTGATATCCCACAGGGAGTGTGCCATGACTATTTATAAACTTTTAAAATGTAATCGTTCTAGGCCAATGAAAATACAGTATTCCAGACAGAGGTATAATAATGATAATATATCACATGACCTTTTGGCTGGTAGCTTTTTTCCGCTAAGCATTGGTGGATATTTTCTCAGTTGTCTGCTGAACTACTCTCAATTTTTTATTTTTCTTTATATACTTTGCCTTGCTGAAGTCCATCCTCCTTAAAATATGAAATTTAACATTCAAGAAAGAGACCTGATTTATTCCTCAGAATAAAGACTTTGAACCCTTGCCCCTGCTTCCAAGAAATCTGTATTGATTGTAAGTTTGGATTCGAATATAGGACATGTATAGATTCAGGCTTTGATGTATCGATTCAGATCACTGATTGTGGCTTTTTTTTCCCAACCAATTTTTTTGTTCGAACAGAGGAGGGATTCTGTGAGTATTTAGACCAGCAGTACCCTGCCGGGAAGTCCTTCCAACCTTCAGCTTGCATCAATTGCGATTGCTCCACCGAGCTGACCGTCACCTGTGCAGTGGTCAGCTGTGACATTCCAAGCTGTCCAGACCCTATCTTGCTGGAGGGAGCCTGTTGCCCAACTTGTCAAGGTGAGAACGATGTGTCATGATGAAACCCTACCAGTGACCAGTGAAGGATTTACCTGGACCAATTGCTAATCACCGCCCAATTACCAACCAGTGTTGTAGTACTCGTACTCGGTACTCTTTTATTGGAGTACTCATACTCGTACTCGTATTTGAGTGTCAGAGTGCTCGTACTCGAAATGACGGTACTCGTACTCGGGCAGCAAAGTACTCGTACTCGACATGTCAAAATTGTACTCGATCATCAAAGTACTCGTACTTAAATAGCAGTACTCGGGGAAAAAATGGTATACAGCTTTACTTACCATGGCCTTATTTTATCAATACTTTCAGTTTGAAATGGTTGATTGGCTTGTGGAGAAATCAATTTTTTGATTTTCCTCTGTGCACGTCCGGACAAACACATTGAACAGCTAGCCGTGAGTGGGTCTGTATATCGGTCTGACTGGGCCTGGGCCAATTACACACAATGGACCATTTGCCGTATGGCCATATTCGGAAATACAAGTACTTGTACTCGGAAGTACAATTACTCATACTCCTACATGGAAGTACAAGTACTCATACTCGGAGACCTGTTCTCGTACTCTGAGGTACAAGTACTCGTACTCATACTCGGCAACCTAAGTACTCGGCGGTACTCGGGAAAAAAGTACTCGACTACAACACTGTTATCAACTAAAGCTCAAGTGCCAATTGGGCCATATTTCGCTGCTGGCTTAGTGCGTTTTTCATGCTCAGCAGAAATCAGCAGGGAACCAGTTAGGCAATGAACATCAGGTGGCATTTTCCGCTGGTAGCCTATTTAGGCTGAGCAAAACTTTGTTTTGGGAAGCCTCTGTGCTTAGCTGCTCTGAGAAATTGTCCCATTGAAGACCAATATTTAGTTAACACACTCATCCGAATTAGCCAGAAAGAAATAACATACCCATAGTGGCCTCAGACATTCAGCCTTTTTCAAGCTACTGTTGATACAGTAGCATATGTAGAACGTTGGAGGCATTGAATATTAACGAGAATTAATCTTTGCCTATTAGTGATTGATTACCTCAGATTATTTCGATACACGAGTAAAATCTGTCTTAACCCTAACCCCCTAGGACCTCTGGCTAGGATGCAACCTCGATCCTGCAAAATCCTCCAATTGCCACCAAGACAAAAATGGATTTGGCCTCAATCCTCCAAAATCAGCCGTTATTTCTTGAATTTAGTCTGTGGAGGGTGACCACTGCCTCAATCCTCCAAAATCCTCTGCCAATTACTGCTATGGTTTGAGGCAGTGTGAATGGCGCGTACAAGCAGTGTGGATGAAATACGAGAAAAACACAGGGCTGATCTATGCATGGCTGAACATAACCAATGCAGGATATGGCCTACTGGATTGATGTCATGCATCCTCCACAAAAAAGCGATACATCTTTGCCATTCATCCTCAATCCTCTAAAATCATCCAAAACTGGCAGGAGGATTTTGGAGGATTGAGGAGGTTTACGGATAACCCTAACCCACCACTTCCCAACATGGCCCAAACCTTTTGAATGTTTTTTTTTCTCCCTTTTTTTTATAGACTTATTCTGCACTTTCAATGGCAAGGTGTACCCTGAAGGCTCCACTTTCAAGACAGATCCTTGCAGCAACTGCATCTGTGAAGACGGGGCCACCTCCTGTGTCGGCGTCCCCTGTCCATTGCTGAGCTGCCCCCATGAATCCTTGGTCCTGAAACCGGGCGAGTGCTGTATAACTTGTGCAGGTTTGTCTGACCAAAGAAACATTGAATTTTGTTATATTTTAGAAACCTTATTCGCATTGCACACCAGTTGCAGTGGTTCTTGGTTCCCCAGTACTACTTTCTCTGTGAGCCGAGAACTGCAACAAGATATTTTTGCTGACGGTGAAAAATATTTTGTGAATTAGCAAGGAGGAATTTAAGAGTAGGTTTGTGGTGTAAAATCGAGGATACACACATGCAACATCATCAATGAATTGAGGACAGGAACCAAATCGAGGACGACCTTGATTAGAAAACGTATACAAAACCACCCACGTTTGCTTATGGTGTAAATCAAGGATTCTCTTTTGCTCCTCTTCCCTTTTCCTTTGTTTGTACTCAGACTTTTTCGCAACAGCTCTCATTGGTTTTGTACACGTTTTCTAATCGAGGTCGTCCTCGATTTGGTTCCTGTTCTCAATTCACCGATGATGCTGCACCTGTGTGTCCTCGATTTACATTATAAACAAACGCAATACGAGAGCTGTTGTAAAAAAGTTATTGTATAAACAAAGGAAAAGGGAAGAGGAACAATAGAAAATCTTTGATTTACACCAAAAACAAACCTGTACACATATATACTGTGCATGTGTGCATCCCGTAACTGAGGATTTGTGCTTACAGGGTTTGTATACAATTTCTTTGCTAGTGCTATAAGCACAGGAAATAGGGAACGTAAGCAAATAATGTTGTGGTTAGCAGAGAAGTGGAAATTGTCTGGCTTTGGAGCAGGCACTGCTACTAGTCCTTAGGTCCAGTAATTTTAAACTACCTCCTCTCCAGAGCGAGAACTTGATCTTAAAAATATCGAAAGAGTTTTGCAAGATGGAATTACTGCTGATGAACCCGAGTAGAATCGACCAGCAGCTTATTGGTGGAGTGATAAGACGTCTGCACTTGTAAGCAGCAGGTCGTGGGTTCGATTCCCACCCGAGTAAGCTTGTGAATTTTGCTTGCAGGCCCGAGTATAAACTGAATACGAAATTACATTGAAAAAGTGCAAAACTCAATAGTTTATCAAAACTTTGCTTCGATAGATTTGGTCAAATCTTTGTTTGGCAACAAATGTAGCAAAGCGAAAGTCGGTTTGTTTTTCATCTTTGGAAATGTTCCCCTGTCTTCAGAGCCGCAGCCCAGCTGCACCTTCCTGGACCAGACCTACGCGGAGGGAGCCCGTTGGCGAGTCAACGACTGCCTGGAGTGCTGGTGTCAGGATACTAAGATCTGGTGCGCTAGGATCGCCTGCATGCCCGTCAGGGACTGCAGCGCTGTGACCAAGGAAGCAGACCAGTGCTGTCCGGTCTGCGCGGGTAAGAAGCACAAGTACTTCAGTCATCAGAAATTGTTTTTTTATGACAGGGATTGTGGTTTTATTGTTGTTTATCTACTTTTTTTTAATGGAAGATGCCAATTTCCACATGTTCCGAGGTTGAAAGCCACTTAAGGTATAGAGCTGCTATGAGAAATATTGGCACATGGGTCGCTTAGACCCCCCAAAAAAGGCTCCGGTTTCTGGTATGGAGCTTGCCCCAAAGTGGTGCGGCGACGCGGCTTTTTTTTTTTACTTTTTTTTAAACTTTTTTCCCTTCAAATGTCGGCTGATGACTGCAAATGGTGCCCGACTAAATTTAGTGCAAAATGTATTGGAGCCCAGAGAGGCCACATAAAGCTAATACTCAATCTAACCCCATCTAAAAACACGTTAAAATTGTGCAGCAGCAGGATTCCAGTAAAACCAGTGAGTTTGGTGGTTTTGAAACATCATCATACATTGAAAAATTTTTTTTTTTAAGTTTGCCGACGCGCATGGCTACGGCGACGCGCGCACATACCAGAAACGGGAGATTTTTGGGGGGGGGGGGCCTTACCTATCATCATCATCATTCTCGTAATCCATCATGGGGGACATTGAGCCGCCCAAACCAAGCGATTGTATACAGACTACCACAGCTGTTTTTGTTTGGTTATTTGTTTGTTTCAATTTCCTGTCATGCAAAAAGTTGTCACGCAAAATGATAGAATAAACGAAATAGGTTAAACAAATGTTGTGCTAAGAGTAGGATAATGATATGAATCGGGGTGACTTCCGAGAGGACAAAGCTTTGTGTAGAGCAGCACCCAAGAACGCTGTCAAATTACAGAAAAGTAAATAATAGCAACGTTTATGTTTTGGACCACGAGCAATCGCTCTAGCCTATTTGTGACAGTAAAATTTTGCCTCGATCTAAATAAAAGCTGTGAAATTTGGGAGACATTGAAATGTCTCCCTAATGTCCGGTGTCTCCCTAAGTATGATAAATGATGAAAAATGTCTCCCAAAGGTACCATTAACAGGTATATCTCGCAATTTTTATTTATCCTGACAGTGCCTCCCCCACCCCCAAACTGCCCCACGGACACCGGTCTGACCTACCAGCACCGATCCCGATGGTACAGCAACTGCGGCTACTGCACGTGCCTGAATGGCGCCGTGTCCTGCGTGGAGGAATTCTGCCAGCCGCTGCAATGCGAGAACCAAGTCAAGCCTGCTGGAGCCTGTTGCCCTGTCTGTGTCGGTAGGTCTTCATTAAAGCAACCATGCAGGAACGATGCATACAAGATCTTAATGCTTGTTTTCGTTGGAAGTGATGAGAAAGTGGTAGTTTTTCAATTATTAGCAAATCCTTTCATCAATACATGTAAGAGGGCGCTATTTTGCTTTTGTCACACAAGGAACTTCTTGTCAAAAGTGCATATGAACAGTACAAAAATTAGTCCTTCAAAATTACCCACAACAAAAGTCTTGAAGAAATAATGGCCCCTACTATTGTCCAAACAAGCTGTTTTAACATGATAAACAAATAAAAAGTGGCACCTACTGCAAGAAAATGAAGAAAAGTTTGATATATATTTGTTCACAAAGCTATGGAGACACTACTGTTCTGCCTTGAATGACATCACGCTTTGGCTCATGAATATGAAAATTTTCATTAGCATACAAAATTAAACGTTGAAATTTCTCCCTTTTACTGCTACAAAAGAGGTGGAAAGTCATAGTTACGTTGCGAGAAAGCTGTTTTAAATGTATTTAAGTCGTAAAAATCCTATTACATGTACATGTTCCCCTTTTGTCATTATTTATCATTTTTGATGATTCAGGGTAAACTCAGGCAATTTGACAGTGACCCAGAACCTTAAGTCTTCACCACTTTGGTGTATGTGCGTCTTGTGCCATGTATCCACGTTGTGTCCATTGACTGACTGGCTATGGTGGCTTTTCACTGTTTATGCAGTGTGAATATTACACAATACAAAAACACTTTTTGTACATACTACACTTTGTTTACGCACTGCATAAACACTTCTTTTCTCCTTGTTGTCTTTCACAGAGGATACCAAGGCCTGTACCCTAGCCGGAACCACCTATGAACACCGAGCCGTCTTCCGTATCAACGAATGCTACGATTGCATGTGCTACGAGAGTGCCTTCTACTGCTGGGGCAGCGTGTGCCGCAAGCCGGCCTGTGAGAATCCCGTCAAGACTCCAGGCAAATGTTGTCTGGAGTGCCCAGGTAAATCATAACATGTTCTCTGCTGTTAAGATCTTTCACAGGCTTTGACTTTTAGTCCGACTTGCGATGGAATCAATTGTGAGTCACTCATAAGTCAAAAAACATATCAGTCACAAGGTAGTTACAAGCCAGTTACAACTCGATCACGAGTCACTCATAAGCACTCGTAAGTCAATCTGAAACTAATCGCAAGTTAGTCACAAGTCAATCCCAAGTCAGGCTCAAGTCAGTCTCAAGTCAATTACAAGTCAATCCCAAGTCAATCCCAAGTCAATCACAATTCAATCACAAATCAATCACAAGTCAATCACAAGTCAATCACGAGTCAATCATGAGTCAATCACAAGTCAATCACAAGTCACTCATAAGTCAGTCACTTCTCAGTCACAAGTAACTCGCAAACACTCACAAGTCAAACCTTAGTCAATCACAATGTCAAGTTGAAGTCTGCAACTGGGTTTGTTTTGCCTCCTGAAAAAAATGTTATCAATTAAAAAAGGAAGAAAATAAAGACTTAATCAAAATTTTGGCTCTCACATAAAAAGTCTCTAATTTCTTTACATATTTTTTCTTTTTGAAAGCATCATACCTGTAGAAGACAATGGCAAACTTGCTTGTGTGGTGCGGTCACGAAAGCCTATGTACACTGCGTCTCTGTTAGATGGACCTAACAGCATACATGAGAAGGACAGCCAAAAAATAATTGATTGTTTTGTTTCCCCTGCAGAAGACCCAGCAGTTGGCCCCAAAGCTGCAGACTGCATGATACCAGAGGACCGCGTCTACGCCCACGGCACCTTCTTCAAGACCGACCCGTGCCTGTTCTGCTCCTGCAACAACGGCACTGTCATCTGCAACCGGGAGCCCTGCGAGGCCAAGGCCTGCGACGCGGAGGGAGAGGTCACGTTGGAGGGAGAGTGCTGCAGCCGATGCAGATGTAAGGGGTGAAAGGTTAAGAGGTCGCCATTGAGAGGTCAACAGTTCAACTCGGAATTTACAGATCCAGTGAAATACCATTCCAGAGTTACTCCTATCTCAATAACTGAACTCTGTAAAATGTGTTTAGTCTTCCGAGATTCAAGCATCAAGATAGGCTTACACCAACATGAATTTATGGGTGCCAAACTGGGCACAGGCCTTAGTGGAGAAAATGCAAATAACTGAATGGGGTGATTTTTGTTTTCGATTTTCAGATTTATTGATATTTATAACCTTTGATATGTCTACCACACATATTTCAGAGAAATGGTAGAAAAGTCGTAGAATAAAAGCGTTTTTAAAGAAAACCAATTGGTATCTTTCATTTGCATGACTACAAAACTCGAGGGCCGTTTTATCAGTATTTTACTTTTTGACGTGTCGATAGGTGCAAACTTTAAACAGCCATAACTTGTCAACTGAATGTCCGATTGAAGTGAAACAAACAATATTGAAATGAGAATGTTATTCTCTTTCCTAATACCCGCAAACCCTCATTTTGACCTCTGTGCATTTTGCCAGAGCGACTCACAACTATTCTTTGGAGCTTTTAGATTAAAATAAATTTGGTGCACTTCATTTGGGGAAGACAGGACGGGGAAATTTGTAGTCGATTCTGGACAGGATCGTGACTCCTGGCCTGCCTCAGAATCGATTCCCAAAAAATATTGGAGTTTCTCGTGCCTTGTGTGGGGTGGCGTGGACATTGTGCTTTCAAGAAGAGTCGGGCTTACCTCGTCCCTTTTTGTTTGTTGTTTCGTTTTGGTCAACCCTCTTCTCAGCTGATATCAAGAAGTGTGTGGTCAAGGGAGAGACGTACTCGCACGACGACAGATGGCGTGTCGGCGATTGCAAGGAGTGCTACTGCGACAACGGCGTGGTCAAGTGCACGGACCTGACATGTCCAGAACTGACCTGTGAGGATGCAACCCAAAGCGAAGGCGAATGTTGCCCGACATGTCCAGGTATGCTAGATCAACCAATTGGACTGATTCGAACATTTATTGCACTGCTAAGGGTTTGCCATCAACGAGGCAACTTGCTGCATAGACTGTCCTGCATTTAATAACCACTTGTGACTTAAACTAAAACATGAAATGAACGCACCGCCACAGCTGCATTCTGCGCAACATCGCGCAGTACACGCACCGCCATAAAAGGAGTTGTTTACGACTTACTTGTGAGCTAGACACTCCATTTTATAAGCTAGAGGGTTGTTTTGAAAAACATGAAGTGAAATCGTTGCACAAAATCGTTATTGTTTTGTATTTTTGAATTGATTTTTTTTTACCGAAAAGGTATTTATGAATAAAAATAAACTTGTGCTTGGTTGGTATTAAATACTGTTTAAGACCAGCTGGAGTCTGGATGCTCGGGTAATTAGCATCCAGACTCCAACCTGGTCTTAAACAGAGTGTTCAAAACCTCCCAAGCACACATTTATTCCCTTATTTAAGCCCGACTATTTCTCAATCCACTCCTTTTTATCCCATTCAGTTTGGGTCCTTAAAATAAATCCAGAAATACAATCAGTTAAGTCTGACCTGGACATGCTGAATCTAGGTTAAGCATTGAAGTTGGTGACATCACAGGTTAGAGAGGCCCAAGCAATACACCCTTTCGCTTAATCGATTAATCGATTGTGTGGATTGAGAAATAGTCAGGCTTTATTGTTATACTTAATGATGAAGAAAAACAAACATTAAACAGTTTTAATTATTTGTTTTCTGAATGCTAATTTTTTTTGGCACACTCTGTACATGTATATCTCATGATTAGATCAGCTTGTAGCCTGATTTCCTTTAAAAAAAAAATCTGTACTCCGCAGGCTTTTCTTTTGTTTTAATGCTATCATTGCGTCTGCTTTTTAGCTGCACCGACAGCCGGCCCCCCGTGCACATTCGACGGCATGGAGTACACGGAAGGACAGCAGTGGCGCAAGGACAAATGCACCCTGTGTGAGTGCACGGCCGGCACGGTCAAGTGCACGGCTGACCAATGCCCGCCGCTGGACTGCGATAACCCAGTGACTGTCAAGGGTGAATGCTGCCGCGCCTGCCCAGGTAAGTGTACCTAGCCCCCTCCCCCAACTCTCATTCCGTCTCTTGATTGGCCAAGATCACATTACATGATATTCAGTAATTTTACTAAATTACCGTACCAGTCAAAAAAGACTATACCACAGCTGCCTCGCAATGAAAAGCAATATACACATAACACCAATGTAGCAACCACAGGTCTGCACATATGCATATTATTGTTCTCATGCTTCAGAGAGTATTGTGCAAGCATTTTGTGAAGCAGTCATTTGGAAAAGTGCAAGTAAATTTCAGAGGAAGAAGTACCTTTAAACTGGATTTTGATTTCATTAATTACATTTTGTCCAAAAACAAAATGAGCAGATTCTTGGTTTGAGGCCTTGTAAAATGCAACTTTTCCTCGGATCAGCTGATTTCCTCTTTTTTCATTTCCCATGTGTGCCATTGAAAATAGAAAAACACTGTACAAAGTCTTGGAAAGATTAGAATTTCCTCTTTTTTTGTGACTTCCCAGTTGCATGCCGATTAAATAGTATACACATATAGACTGACAATGAGGTCACTAGTGCACAGTTTATGTGCCCCGAGGGACTGTGAGTGACCAGAAGAGGGTCCTATTTCCTGGGGCTGAAGGCCGAGGGAAATAGGACCCTCTTCTGGTCACTCACAGGCCCGAAGGGGGTTCTTGACGTGCACTGGGGACCGAATTATGCCAGTCCATATGTGTTTTATAACTCGCCTCTTTCCAAAATATAAAATAAGAAAAGAAAACTCTGGGTTTTTATCATTGAACTGTTTTGATTCTATAAGCAATTCAACAATTAAAGGAACACTTTTAGTTGCCCTGGATTACATTTTTGAGTTTGAGTTTTGTCAGAGGTGCAAGAGGTGCGTTATAAACTGCTTTAACTTATGGGGCAGTAAAACTAGCCTCCCTGATCCGTGGAGCACTCTATTCTTCCTTGGCTTCAATTTGGGAGAAAAAAAACAGAATGCACCATAGAACATATGGGGGAATAGTTTTACCACATCACTTGAGGCAGTTAGTATTTGTGTAAGATTCAATGGGTCTGCAGAAAAAAAACAACTACACAAAGAAATAACCCGCTTCAAATATTTGAGGCAGACAAATCTACAGGTATGTGCAATGTACTAATTTTATTATTTTTAGATTCTCAACCAACCTGTATGGGTTTTTCTTAATTTGTTTAATTCATGTTTACTGTGATTTTGATGTTTTTAATATTGTAAATTATCATGCAAGTTGACCTTCGGGTTACAATGTGATAATGTGAATAAAATATACCATACCATATATGTACATCAGATTCGAACCAGCCAACCGATCCCGTTAGCTTGGTGATCGAGTGGTAAGACGTCTGCACTAGAAAGCAGGAGGTCGTGGGTTGAGTCCCACCTGAGTAATTTTTTCCAACTTTCACTCGGCAGGTAACATACCGAGTATACAGTATTTATACATCAGTGAAGGGCAAAACCTAATTTGAATTAAAATCAAGTTTATTCACTCTTAATTGGAGTTTCAAACATCAAACTTTTCATGTACTTTAATAATTCCAATCTTTGGAACGATGTTCCTCGGCAAGACTCTTGAACCACTCTCTAAAATGGATGTTACTTCCTCTTTTTTTTTTTTCCTCAGAGGTTGCCAAATCCTGTGAGATTGACGGCAAGATCTTCAAGCACGGCGAGGTGTTCCGTGACGAGAGTTGCCGGGATTGCCTGTGCTACAACGGCGCCAAGACATGCACCCTGAATAACTGCCCCGCCCTCAGCTGCAGCCGAGCCAATTCCTTCCTGGTCACGGGCGAATGCTGCCCTCAATGTCAGGGTAAGGGACAGTCCGAACTTGTGTGCAGCCATTCGCTTAATATGCACCGCCCCATCCAAGATTTTGACAAGGAGCACAAAATTCATTGAGCGTTGTCGGAAGCATGTGTTGCGTGTGCACGTGTTGCGTGTGCACGTGTTGCGTGCGCACGTGTTGCGTAGACGTGGAAATATTGACTCAAGGTCACTGGTAATCAACATTGATCCATTGAGAAATCAAAGAAGTCACTGGCGCCCTTGGCAAGCAGGAGGGGGAGGTGGTAAAAACAAAGTACAACAACTGAACAAAAGTTTCTAATTTATTTCAATGAAGTGCATTTTTCTGTAGTGGAGTTACTAGCAATAGGCTGGGCAGTTTAGGACGGTAAAGTGACTTAACAGTTAACTGTTCTCCAAATAAGGGGGACGAACCTGTGTTCACAGGAACGGAGCGCCCATCTCTCTTTCGTTAGCGATTGGGCCAGACTCATTATGCTGCTGTGGGGGGATTGCAACACCTCCTTCACAGCGAGTCTGTTACCTTCCCAGCATTGAATAATGGCGGTACCCATTTAACACCTGGGTTGAGAGGAGTAATTGAGGTAAAGCGCCTTACTCAAGGGCACAACACGCATGTCCACGATGGGGCTCGAACCAACAACCTCACGATCATGAATCCTGTGCTCCACCGCTAGACAACACGTGCCCAAATAAGCAAATATAAAAACAAGTTTCTGAAACATTTTGTCTTCCAGGTGATTCTAAGAGAGCCTGCGAGGTCAACGGCCTGAAGTACTCTGACGGCCAGCAATGGCGCCGCGGTAACTGTGAAAGCTGCCGATGTGAGCAAGGTCAAGTCTCATGCACAGTGAAGGAATGTCCCATCGCCACCTGTGAGAATCCTGTGCTACCCGAGGGTGAATGCTGCCCAAAATGTCCAGGTATATGGGAGCCCTCTTTTGAGTAATGAATCTTATGACAAAGTAGACAACTGGGGTTTTTTTTGTGAGTCGAGGTCCATGACTTTCATTTTGAACCCCTTCCGTAATTGAAATTCTGAGCTCCAATGCTTTTGGTCATTGATAGGCGCGTCTTCGGTGTTTACGCTGGTCAGCGTTTACAGACGTACATCCCAGGGTACATTGCGCACCCTGTGGCCAGTGTAGCTACACAAGGCAGAAAGGATGAAAATATTCAGAAATCTATGAGAACAATCAAAGTGATGTAATTGGGAGGAGATGTACTCGCGTATCCGTTAGGTCATCGTGCATAAACTTCTGAAATACATCACGTGATTAGCCCTGAACCAATAGAATTTCACAATCTTAAACCATGTTTTTTTTAAGTAAGATTTCAGGCTTTGCATGGTGGAGATAATAAATAATGAAAGGTTTGCGGAAACACCATGTGCTAATAATTTCTCAACAAAGAGAATGGTTCTGAAAAAAACCAGCGGTATAAACTCAACGTTCCGGTCAGTAAGCTCTGACCGTCTTCAGGAGACTTCATGTTTTTTTGTTTTAATTTGTGATGGTTGTTTTTTATGTGTTGAAAGACAAAAATCGATTGTAAAATTTTACACCTCCATGGTGCAGAAATTCCATCGCAGATCGTCGACTCTTTTACCTGTTGTTGAATCAAATTTCAATTGGCCAGCCTACCTGACTTTTTTCGTTGGTTTACTGCAACCTCAGACGATCTGAAGTCCTGTTCAGTGGAAGGCGAAGACAAGCCCCACGGCTTCTGGGGAGTTGTGCGCACCGGCGACAAGTGCCAACAGTGCGAGTGTACCAACGGTGAACTCGAATGCGTGACGGACTTCTGCCCGCCACCAGACTGTGAGAATCCGGTTTCGCATGAAGATTCCTGCTGCCAGTCTTGTCCTGGTGAGTAACGAGTTTACTTCATTTTCATTCATATCAAGAGGTGGTGCCTTTTTTTTTTTTCAGTAGCAACCCCTCCCCCAACACTAACACAGTGCGTTCTGTACATAGTAATGGACATCAGACAAGCTTTGCGTTTTGGGTCCTTTTTTTTTTTTTTTTTTTTAATATTTAGATTACGGCTATTTTGGATCCCCAGGTCGGGCAGCGAGCGGGAATTTAAAAAAAGAAAATCCACACGTGTAGGAGCGCCCGTTACAGCGCTCCTATAATGGTGTGCCCAGTATTCGGACACGGTAATTCAGATACGAAAGTGCTCAAACGAAATGTCGTCATTCAGTTTTACTGTGTAAAACTTATCACAAGTTGCCTGGGTAAAGTTATTAAACTTTAAAAATAAAAAGTAATTAACTTAAAAAAATAAAAAGTAACAATTATATCGAGCTGGAAAAAAGAGGAAAATTTTGCCCGAACAACTCACCTGTACGGAGCGCGCCGCGGCAGAATCAGCCTAGCAGTGCAGCATGCACAGCATGAAATGCCATATGTTGACGTGCATGACAGAACTATAAAAAGGAACTTAAAGTGATTTCGTGGGTTAAAACCCACGAAATCACTTAAAAATTACAAACATCAACAAGGAGAAATCAACTCTGCAGACTTTCATTTCTTATCTTGTTCCGAATGATGTTTGCTTTTTGTTTAGTTTTCGTCACTAAATATCGAAAAAGCACGTGTACATTGATCAGGCGATGCATGGTCGCATGGCCCACTAGTGCTAGTGCAGCTTGTTTCTATCCAGGTCGTTCTTCCTATATTTTTGGTAACGGGAACCGGGGCTGAAATGTAAAACACGCCTTTCTCTATTTTTGGGCTAGACGCTGGAATTCAAATTTAAAAGTGAATCAAAAGCTTGTGGTTACTACTTAGAAGGAAAAAATATTTTTTTTTTTTTTAATTCAAAAGTAGATTTTTTGGGTGGCAATTTTTAGGTTTTTTTTTTGTTTCAGATTTTTTTCGGCGGCAATTCCATAATCCAAAAGTAATAAAATAGACCTTATTGGGAATAACGACACATAAAGGAGGGGGGGGGGGTGTGGGGCGTGGCTCAAGGAAAGATTTTTCCGTCTCGTTTCAGTATATAATCCCATTCTTACGAAACCATTTGTAGATTTTGTTTCTCTGGACCTTAAAATGCTGGATCTTTCGATGAGCTATTTTGGTCAACGATGGTCTGATTCCAAATACTGTCGTTTTCCCTCAGATGATAATACCTGTGTGTACAAGAACTATCGCTACGTCCATGGGGAGTTTGGGCACAAGGATGAGTGTACGACGTGCCAGTGCTATAACGGCACCATTGTGTGTGACCCGGAGGCCTGCCCTGTGCTGACCTGCACCGAGGTGGTCAAGGTGGATGGCGAATGCTGCCCTCGCTGCAACGGTAAGTGCCAGGTCTTATATTTCGCTCGCACCCCCCGCCCTGCAAACAGGGCTGGGATACGCTGATGAGCTTCACAGAATCTTGTGAAGGAAGTGGGGATGGCATTCTGGGTAACTTATTATGACCTTATGTATAAAGCATCTGGCTGCCGCTGTTTAAGACCGCAGTTAGCCAATGCGCGCAAACGCTGTCTGGAACCTTTTCCATAGAAATGCACACATTCTATACCGGATGTGATTTCTTTTTCATTGCGGACTATGTGGACAACTTTTGAGTGTCACATAATACGCAATTTGACCCATCGTGAATTTGAAACGGAGCCTGAGCAAGTGACAAGAATTGAAAATTTACAAAACAGATACATTTTACAGATTTTCCCACATTTTTATGCTTTTCAACCAAAAAAAAAAGCCTTTATGAGTGGGAATAAAGCAGTGATGACTCAGTCTGAAACGGCCGTTTAAAACCTTGCAGGGTCATGGCCATGATGACAGGTCACAGGTCACGCAAAATCTACCCATTCAGAGTGTAAATTCATCAGCGTCCTGTTTGCAGGGCAGGGCATATGAGCGAAGGTTTTATATAATTTGCTAGGTAGACTGGAGGTGACAAATTCAACATCATCTGACACTCACATGTCATAATCTTGTTCAGTTTACCAGAGAAACATAAAAGGTACTTTAAAATCAAATGGATTTTCATTTTTGTCTTTAGTAGCTCAGAAACTTTTGCAGTACAGTCTTGCAAGAATAACTGGCAGTTTGCAAACCAACAGTTTCAAACAACATGCTATGTTTCTCGTCAGGTAACAAACAGTGCATAGATTTAGAGCGTAAGGTTGAAACTATTTGCAACCGGGGAACATGGTGCTTGTGTTCTTGGGCAAGACTCTTCTCACACAAGTATAAATGGGTGCCTGCGCAAGTAGAGACCAAATTGCGCTGATCTCGAGCTGCTGCAGAAAAATGGTCTCATTCCTGATGAACAGGGGCAATAATTGTAAAGCGCTTTGAAACCTTAGGTTTAAATCGTTATATAAGCACCACATCGTCGTTATACTATAAGGAAGAAAACATGTGTGTGTGTGAGTATGTGTGTTCACAAGTTCCTCAGCTGCGAAGCAGGTGATAACTGTGCAGTGGACGACTGGTGGCGAAGCCTTGCTTCCCCCGTGTAGCGGGTGAGGCAAAGCCTCGTTATGATTATAATTATTAGGATTATAATAATAACAATTACCCTGGATTGGACATTTGGGAGACATCCCCATAGACTTGTGCACAAAATTTTTCAAACTTAAATGTGCCCTAACCCAATACATATTTCCTTATCCTTTTTCTACGAATTTCGGTATGTTTACTAATTAGACCACGAGCAACAAATATAATCTAATTGCAACAATAGAATTGGGCCTCTAAAGGGGGGCTGTGACATTAGGGAGACATCAAAATGTCTCCCTAATGACCGATGTCTCCCATCGTGGGAAGAAATTATGATAACGTGTCTCCTTAGTGGTACCTTTCCACCTATAATTATAGTAATTTCATTATTATGATTATAATAACACGTAACTCTCAAAATGATATGTATTGTCACTTTGTGTCACTGCAAACTTGCAATTATTGCAAACCTCGGTCTTGTTGGATTGTGATTTTGAACCATTTAATCCCCACCAACAGACGAAACCAAAGTCTGTAACTACGGCGGCGTGGACTACAATAACGGCGAGTCCTGGCAGGCTGACCCCTGCTCTCGCTGCCAGTGCAACGACGGTTCAGTCAGCTGCGATTACCAGAACTGTCCGGGTACCACCTGCGACAGCCCGACCAAAGCGGCAGGAGAGTGCTGCAGACGTTGCCCCGGTAAACACAATAGAACCCCCCAAAAATGAACTGGATTCGAACCAGTCACCTCTGGATTACAATACCACTGCACATACCAACATGTGGTACAATATCTTGGCTCTGCTAAACCACAGCATTCTCGGCTTACAATCGCCATTTGGTGTTAACCACGCTAGCAGACAACATTTGTGCTAACACTGTAAGCACAGAATCCTTAGTAATGGGAAGTACGCTGCGCACAAGCCAACATTCCTCTCTAATCCATGAAATACGCTTACCGTAAGCACAGAATTTTCTGCTACAGTAAGCGGGGATTTTTTTTAAATAGTAAGCAGATCCAAGAAATTGGGCAGTGATGTGGCAATCAAGGGATTACTGGTTAAATCCGGTTCAAGATTTAATTTTCTGGTTTTTGTTTTCTCTATTTGTTTTCTGATAGAGTTGCTACTCATCGCTTCGGTGAAAATTGTTTATATGAATAAAAAAAAATTATTTAAATCTCATAAATGTTTTTTTTTGTCATCATTCAAATGCCATCTTAAGACTCATCTTTTCAATCTTTCATTTGAACCACAGTGATTTACTAGTGACCGGCGCCTTTTTGAACGGTCCTCCAGATACTGTGCGCCTTATAAATTCTCAGTTATTATTAGTATTATTAAATTTGCTGGCCTTTTCACAGGGGACCCACCACCATGCGACACCGAGCGCGGCATGTACAGCCAGGGGGAGACGTGGCGTCAACTCAGATGCGTCACATGTACGTGCCTGGACGGGGAGGAGGATTGCCGCAACGAAATGTGCCCCCTGCTGACCTGCGCCGACCCACAGAGTGTCGTCGGAGAATGCTGCAGGAAATGCCCATGTAAGTTTCTTCCTTTGCAAGTTTTAAAGACCGGTTTGCTCTTCGTGCCACACTTGAACACGAAGCAAATTTGACAACACTAAACATTTGGTGTTGAGGTTTGAACAAAAGAAATTGACTGGAGCAGGGTTTGAACCAGCGACCTCCAGATTGCCATACCGGCAATCCACCAACTGAGCTATCCAACCCTAAGTTGGTGGTTCCCCATTTTGTCAGTGTCTTTGTTCAAGGGGTGCTAGTCAGAAGCCATAAACCCGTATGCATGTAGCGAGGGATCACGCCCGATGTCATGATGCTGGCAATATTAGCAATGCCGCAAACCTGGGAATTGATGAAGTTTCAGTTTGCAAACAGAGGAAATATTGTTTTTGTCCAGTAAAGCACACAAAAAAATACATGGAACTTAAGTTTGAATTGTGCAATTCCAGTATAGACACGCATGTACTTTTCCTATACCTGCCAGATCTTCCTTTTTTTTCCAGACTTCTTTAGAAAACTAGTATAATAATCGAGTTCATCGCAAATCCATCGCAAATTTAGTCTCAAAATCACAAGTCCATTCATGTAACAAAGGAATGCTGCTGTCATGGTTCTTTTGAAATGCTAATGACTTGAATTGGGACTGGAGGACTTGTGATGGACTTGTGATGGACTTGTGACGCCATTTGTAAGGACTTGTGAAGGCTTGTGACAGACTCCACAATTACATTGTTGAAAACTTACCCCTCTATACAGACTGTAGCTCAAAACACCTTGGTACGTGAAACTGTAATACCTATGATCTGTCCTGTTTCAAGAGGAATGTTAATTCTAATACCTTCAGTTTTCCTGAGTACCTACTCTTCTTTTGATTTCTCTTGCGGCCCTGTACCTTGAGTGGCTTGAAACCTTGTTCAGGGCAAATATGCATAAAACTCCTTACAAACACTTACAAACTCTTACAAGTGTGTATTTGCCTGCAATCGAGGACCCCCTATTGTCCCTCTTTTGTTTGTACTTCAACTTTTTAGGAAGACCTCCTATATGTTTTGTACACATCGCCAAATTGGGGACCTTCAGGAATTGGGGACCCTATTGTCCTCTATTGTTCAACGTCCCATATTGAATGCAGAAACAAACTCACTGACAGAGCCTGCTCGAGTTGCCAGTTCAAAGCCAGCGTCAGTACTAAAGAAAACACTCTTTTCTGTTTGTTTGTTTTTTCCCAGCGGAGACTCGATCATGCGTAGTGGGAGGCGTCACCTACGCCCACAAGGAGATGTGGCAACCCTCCCCCTGCCGCAACTGCCAATGCAACGACGGCACCGTGGTCTGCACGGATCAGACCTGCCCAGAGCTAACCTGCCCGGAACCTATTCAGCTGGACGACATCTGCTGCCCTAGATGCCCAGGTAAAGCATGCTCATTTCTGTTTCTCTTAAAAGTAGCCTGACAGTTACTTGCAAGTGACCATATTTCTAAGGGTTGCTCAGGTTTGTGAATTGATAGCTTCTTTACCTTCAACCTGTGGACCATAGTTCAGATCCCACCATCTTTTTAATTTTAGTACGTATCCACTCCGAGCGTGATATTCATGCCCCATGTTAGTTATTTTTGAAGGAAGAGTACAGGGCCGAATTTCATAAGGGTCATTCTACAAATTTCGGGTGCAAAGTGTGACACTTTTCCTGTGTTCCTGTCCCTCTTACCATGGTACTTTGTAAATTATGATTCAAGTATCATTAAAAAAAAAATGACTTAGTACTTTGCTATTCATTATCATTCTTGGAGGATAACTGCATTAAGGAGTGCATCAGAATTGTAAAATTATAGATGTCAGATGTAACATAAACAGGAAAAAAAGTGGACCCCAAATGTATAGAATGACCGGTGAGGTTGTTTAGCACAGAATATTGCTATGCAAGAATCAACTAAAAAGAAGTCACAAGTAAAATACATTGCATGGCTGTAAACTATTGTCTCTGGAGCTATATTTTTTAAGTGTTAAGCAGCTTTACGTGCTTAGCAGGTCCGTGAAATTGGCGCCAAGTCTGAACTATTTTGTGAAGAAAAAGTTCACGTCCATTTTAGATTAGAGAGCAGTTTCTCAAATAATTATGATTATATTTATTTATTCACTCCCACCCAGCACAAAACCAACCATCTTATTTTTTTTTAACTTTGCCATGGTGCAGGTGAGCTGGTCTACAAAACTTGCATGGACATGGACCAGACGTACTCACACCAGCAGGAATGGCGTCGGGATGCCTGCACCACCTGCAGCTGCAACGACGGCATCGTGACCTGCAACACCGAGAACTGCCCCGTGCTGCAGTGCGAGGGAGGTGAACCCGTCGCGCAGGAGGGACAGTGCTGCAAGGTCTGCCCAGGTTAGTAGTTTACCATCATAAGTACATCACAAGTTCATCACAAGCATATCACAAGTACACCATAAGTCCAGTCACAAGTACACCGCACGTCCAGTCACAAGTACATCACATGTCCAGTCACAAGTACATCACAAGTTTATCACAGGTTCATCACAAGTGCATTTCATTCCTTTGATAAGAACATCACAAGTCCAGTAATAAGCACATCACAAGTCCATCATAAGTCCATCACAAGAATATCACAAGTACATCACAAGTCCATCATAAGTTCATCACAAGCATCACAAGTCCATCATAATTTCATCACAAGCATCACAATTCCAGTCATAAGCACATCACAAGGTCCATCATAAGTCAATTAAAATTCCAGCCACAAGCAGGTCACAGTCCATTCATAAGCAAATCACAAAAGCATCACTGGCCTGGTACAAAGTAATAAATGTGAAACTGCATAATACAGCTCAATGTTTGTCACGTCGCTTTGATGTTACCTATTCTCAAGATTGTGCTACTTCTGATACTCATTTTGATGACACGACAAATCATTTTGCCAACAAAAATGGCAAAGGAGGGAGGGCTGGTCAACCACCTCTCTCACAAGTCAAGTCACGAGACATCCAGTCCTAAGTCAACGCCCAAGCTATTCAAATGAACCGTGACAAAGGTAGTCCTTTGTTATTGTTCATCCGTGTTAATAATAATCGGCATTTAAGAACGCTCTTTTTAGTACACTAAATCACAGCGCTTACAGTATTATTATTATCCCTGATCATTGGGCCAATTTAACATTCCAAATACCATCTCAGCTCCCTGGGGAGTATACAGCTTGATGCTGCCTGTTAGGCGCAAGCAAGCTAAATCAATCACATAACCATCTCTGCCCTCACAGGTACCCATTTACCCCTGGGTGGAGAGAAGCAATGAGTGACAAAGTGCCTTGCTCAAGGGCACACGCACCATGACCCCGCCAGGACTCGAACCCACAACCTGCAGCTTTACCCACAGACCATGAATCAGTGCCCTTAACCACGAGGCCACAGCACTCCACTCATGAAATGGACTTACTCATGAAATGGACTTGTGATTTACTTGGTACCAGCTAGCGCTGCTTAACAGTGAGCAGAACAGTCATGCTTACTATAGAAGAAAATCTTGCTGAGCTTAAGCACGATTTCATGACATGGATGTGCTAATGGTTGCGCACATGTATTGGGATTTCTATTGTTACGTCACTGATTTAAGCAACTTTTCCTCTGGGGTTAAGCGTGTTTACTGCGCTTACTGCTTACAGTCGCCATGAAATCCCTAGGCTCTGTTAGCACCAATCAGCTATTAAGCAGCACTATGAAATGGGACCCAGACTTTTGATGTGCTCGTAATCTACCATAAGTGCTGCAACTTTGAAATTGTCCACTACATCGCAGTCTGTGAACATTAAAGTTAAGTTTCCAGCCTTGCTGTTGTTGTTTTTTTCACAGAGGAAGCCCAGCAATGTGAGGTCGACGGCGAAACTTACGAGCACGGCAGGACATGGCGGGACGGCGACTGCCGCGTCTGCAGCTGCAAGAACGCCCAGGTCAGCTGCGACACGGAGGGCTGCACAGCGCCAGACTGCGACAACCCCATCACGGTGGAAGGCAAATGCTGCCTGCAGTGCCCGGGTAAGTAACAAGTCATTTTGGGCCTTAAAGGGAATATACATCATTTGCTTTTGCTGTAATTTTCAGAAATGGATGGAATAGGGGGGTTGGAAATATATAGCAAATATAGTTACACTGACCTTTTTGAGGTTTTGGGTTCAAAAATGCTATAAAAAAACAAGAAAAACAATCATTTTCCTGTAGTCTGATTCCCTGACTCCATTTAAGAAGAAACAGAGCAGTTTACATATATTGGGGAATTGTAAGGTCAGGGAACCAGTCTAGCTGGCTTGTACCCGTTCATAGGTGCGTAATCGATTGCAAACAAGTGCGATGGTCAACTGGGGCCAGTATTTGAAAAAAAGCCAGTTTTTTCCAACGCTGATCGGCCGATCAGCGTTGGAAATTGATACAAAAATACCACTTTTCTTGAGAATGACAGTATACCAGGTGCCATGATTTTACAGGATGCTTAACACTGTCATTCACTAACAGTCCAGCAAGGTATTTCAAGATGATTTGGTAGTTTTATTTTTTGATGTTTGCAAATGTTGTATTTTCCCTTTAATGCCCCTTGAATGCATATTACCTAATTCTACCTATATTTATATTTTACAAAAAATACTATGTTTTAAAATCGGTTGTCTGATTGTTCCCAACCCAGAGGTTGCACCAGCCCGTGACTGTGAATACAAGAACAACTTCTACCCTCACAGCTACCGCTGGAACCCCGACGTCTGCACGCAGTGTAACTGCAACGACGGCACGGTCAGCTGTAAGGACATCCAGTGCCCGGAGATCTTGTGCCCCAGCCAGGAACAGACCATACTGGAAGGAGAATGCTGCCCTGTCTGCCCAGGTAAGAATCAGGGCCCAATTGCAGAGCGGAAAAAAGTGCTTAGCGAACCTCATGCACTGGTTATATGTTTATTGTTATTAAGCAAAGGCTGCATCCGAGTTTCTTGTCTAGAGCTATTGTCTAGGTCTTGGCCCTTAACAACTGCGTGGGAACGAGCTGACAATACACGTAGCCGTAGCTCTGGAAGCCCGTTTCGGACAAGGCCAATCATACTGGGAGAGAGTAATGCCCTCTCTTCCCAGTTTAGAATCAGGGCCCATTTCACGAAACTGCCTAACAAGTTTCTTGGACTGGTAATGTGGTTTTTGCTAAAGTAAACATTATCTGCACTTAGAAAATTTAAACCTTTTTAACAAGGGGCACATATTTTTGAACCCATCGTGAGCCCCACAAATTTGGTTGCTGTATCACAAGCTCAGAACTAGCGGACGATTAGCAAGCAGGAGGTCATGGGTTCGAGTCCCACCTGGGAAAGCTTGTGAACTTTTTTCTCGTGATCTCATTGAAGGGCAAAACCAGTATTGGCTTAATGTATTTACATGTCCCTTATGCACATCATTCCATCGTTTTGTCAATTTGTTAACTTCAACTTCAGATCAGAGCAAGCCGTGTACTGACGGCGTTAATGACTACAATCACGGTGACCGCTGGTCGGTCGACGACTGTACCCGCTGTACCTGCCTCAACAGTGACGTCTCGTGCAACACACGTCTCTGCCCAACCCCGGAGTGCGACAACGTCATACCTGTGGAAGGCCAGTGCTGCGACAGTTGTGCAGGTAGGATAACAGCTGGTTTGAAAAAGGTTTTGTCAGGAAAAGCATGGACAATTTTTAAATGTTTAAAGAAGTGCACTTTTCAATAAGATTAACCAAAAAGGGATGTCAAATAGTTTCATACATTTAAGAAGAGTGGAAAGTTGCACACAATGTGATTCAAGTAATATTCATGTCATAGGCCCTTTAAACTTTTATTACTGACACTTGTTGTCTGTCCATGATCTCTCCCATGCAAACTGACGTGGTGACATCCATGATTTTGAGAAGTAGAACGTACTGTAACGCAAGCCTCTTTTTGTTGTCATTCCTGCAGGTGAGCCAGCCGTAGTCCGCGCGCCTTGCACCTTCAAGGGCCAGGAATACGCAGACGGGGAGTGGTGGGAGGTTGACGAATGCAAGACCTGTACTTGCATCGACGGCGACCTGGCCTGCAACTTTGTGTCCTGCCCTCGCCTGACCTGCGAAGGCACGCCCATCCAGGAAGAGGGCAAGTGCTGCAAGACATGCCCTGGTAAGAATTCATTTATCTTCATAAAAGTAAGTTTGATTCTTATTTTTTTTTAATGACAACGCCTTTAATAATCTTTTTCCTCTTTCAAACTTTAGAATTTTTGCCAAGCTCTCCAGATAACATCTTGCAGCACTTATAATTGACTTGAGATTTTCCAATCCCCAATTGGAGATAAGACTCTGTTGGTTGGCTTTGTTGGGCTATCCCAGACTAAATCAATAGTTCTTTGTTTGCTTGTCTCTGTATTGTTATATGCAGTATATATTGTTGTTGATTTTATCTGAATCCAATTGAATTGTTTGAAAATTTGAACCAAAAAATTGACTGGAGCGGGGTTTGAACCTGCGACCTCCGGATTGCCGTTCCGGTGCTCTACCAACTGAGCTATCCAGCCCTATATTGGCAGTTCCCCAATTTGTCAATATCTTTCTTCAAGGGGCGCTAGTCAGAAGCCATAAACCCGTATATGCCATACAGCCAGGGATCACACCCAAAGTCACGATATAGACCTGGGAAATAGCAAACGGGGATCACTCAGAGAGGATACGGCTTTTTAAAATTGAATTGAATTGAAATTGTTCTTGTGTTTGCTGTTGCACAGCTGACGCCGAGCCCTGCATGGACGGTGAGACCCCCTACGAGCACGGCACCACCTGGGCCAAGTCTGTCTGCACTGACTGCACCTGTAATGACCAGAGCGTGACATGTGAGCAAGAAGTCTGCCCTGCGCTGGCATGCGAGGAGACTGAAGATGTGGGACAGTGCTGCAAACAATGCAAAGGTAGATTTCACTTCCTTCCTCCCTACCAGAGTCGAGTCCATCACAAGTCCTCCAGTCCCAATTCAAATCACAAGCTACTCCAATGAGCTTTGACAAAGACATTCCTTTGTTATTGTTAACCCACTGTTTCTTGTGACTGGACTCATGAATTACTTGTGACTGGACTTGTGATGGACTTGTGATGGACTCGACTACATCCTAGCTCCCTAGTGCTATCTGTTTTCAATTTTCTGTACTGCGTAAAGTTTGATGCTAAGCAGTTTTCAGGTAGACTTGTATTTGAGTAACCAAACATCCGTGTCCGAGTCACCTCTCCTGAGTCGTGAGTCATACAACCATGCTATCAGGTATCTCTGATATGCCACGGTCAATTGTTATGAAATTTTAGTTTGCTAGAAGAAACAGTCATGCTTAGGCCATGTGCAAGGTTTTAGCTCAATCGGACGAAGCATATCGTAAGTATGATCTTTAATCTCTCACAATTCTGACCATGAATGAGTGCAAACAAGTAAATGAGTACAATCAAAGTTTGACATTTTGTGTAAGCACTACCTCCCATTCTTTTAAAAGTGGTATCAATTTGATTAATCTCCTCAAGATATCAGTCTAGTATCTCATAAAGACTCCATGCTAAACAAATTGTGCAGCAGTGAAATCAGAAAAAATGTGAAAGCCTGCCCCCCCCCCCCACCCACCCTTGTAGGGTTGAACATCGTAGCCATGACCTTAGCTTATTTGTCCGACATCTACCTTTCCTTCAGGTGACCCCGCATTCAAGAAATGCACCTACAAGGATAAGGAGTACAAGCATGGTTACATCCTGCGCGGGAATAACTGCAAGCAATGCACCTGTGAGGATGGAGAATGGGCCTGCGAGACGGAACTCTGCCCTGCGCTGAGCTGTAGTGACCCGGTCAGCATCGAGGGTGAATGCTGCAAGAAGTGCCCAGGTAATGACCGTTCCGATCGGACCCTCTACTTAAAGCGAAAAAAGAAAAATTCCTTGACTTTTTGTTATTTGTGGTGCCATGGCTTGTGCTGTTGTAGTTTTCAGTGTGGAGTTTCGAAGTAATCAATTTGCTAACCAAGTCATGAGTCTCTTGATGGAGGCTTTAGTCCTAGGCACAGACTTTGAATTGGTTTTAGGAGTTCCTCAGGTAATGAACAACGTGGGGTGCTGTGGTCCAATGGTTACGGTGTTCGACTCGTGTGCCGTGGTACATGGGTACGAATCCTGACGGGAAACATGGTGCTTGTGCGCTTGGGCAAGGCACTTTACTACGATTGCCTCTCTCCACCCAGGTGTAGTAAGTGGGTACCTGGTAGGAAGAAATTCCTTCAATGCTTGAGCGCCGTACTGGCAGCCGTGCTAAAGCCAGGGTAATTAATAGAGCACCAGGAGCGTCACTTCGTGACGGACATGAGTGCTATACAAGAAGCCATTATTATTATTATTACAATGTAAAACAGTGTAGTACTGGTGCTAACAGATCAATGGTTGCAGCTTAAAGTATTAAACAAGCGCCGAAAAAAGACTTTAAGGTTCAAGATTTTATAAGAGGGCCTTTTTTTCCTTGTTTTTTCTTTCTTCTCAACAGAGGATGTCAAATCCTGTGATGTTGGCTTTATGTACGACCAAGTGACATACAAACACGGCGAAAAGTGGAGCGAGAGTGCCTGCGTGGAATGCCAGTGCGACAACGGCGCGGTGGTCTGCGATCACCAGAGCTGCCCGGTGCCCGATTGCAGCGACGCGGCCGTGTTGGAAGGAGAATGCTGCCCAACGTGCCCCGGTTAGTCCTGCAAAACTTTTCTCCCCAAAAAATAACTACAGCAATTGACATTGGCAACTGTAATGTTGGACATGGTGTTTTTATAAATCTTGAAGATATCAATCTTCGCATTGACCACACTTTATTTGTTCCATTGTCTGACACTAAAGGCATAGCCCCACTGAAATCCTGCCGAGCTGGCAATCAGAAGTACAAAAACGGCGACGTCTGGAACCCCACGGACTGCAGCCAGTGTACCTGCTCAGACGGCGACATCTTCTGCTCCAAGGACACCTGCCCTCGTGTGACCTGCGACAACCCAGTCAAGGTCAAGGGTGAATGCTGCAAGAAGTGCCCAGGTGAGTCAGTCGGCCGTGAGCCATTAAAGAGTTATTTGGCTACGGCTTGCAATCACACATACACCTATGGGAGCGGCTGAAGCCACTTCTGATGGACACATGTATTAGAGCTGACCATAGCCAGTAAGGCTGCGGCTGAATTACTTGGCTACGGCTTGCAATCACACATACACCTATGGGAGTGGCTGAAGCCACTTCTGATAGACACGCGTGTTAGAACTGGCCATAGCCATTAAGGCTGTGTGTGAATTACTTGGCTATGGCTCGCAATCACACATACACCTATGAGAGCTGCTGAAGCCACTTCTGATAGACACATGTGTTAGAGCTGGCCATAGCCAGTAAGGCTGCGGCTGAATTACTTGGCTACGGCTTGCAATCACACACACACCTATGGGAGCGGCTGAAGCCACTTCTGATAGACACATGTGTTAGAGCTGGCCATAGCCAGTAAGGCTGCGGCTGAATTACTTGGCTACGGCTTGCAATCACACATACACCTATGGGAGTGGCTGAAGCCACTTCTGATAGACACGCGTGTTAGAGCTGGCCATAGCCATTAAGGCTGTGTGTGAATTACTTGGCTATGGCTCGCAATAACACATACACCTATGAGAGCTGCTGAAGCCACGTCTGATAGACACGTGTGTTAGAACTGGCCATAGCCAGTAAGGCTTAGTCTGAATTACTTGGCTACGGCTTGCAATCATACATACACCTATGGGAGCGGCTGAAGCCACTTCTGATAGACACGTGTGTTAGAGCTGGCCATAGCCATTAAGGCTGTGTGTGAATTACTTGGCTACGGCTAGCAATCACACATACACATATGGGAGCGGCTGAAGCCACTTCTGATAGACACGTGTGTTAGAGCTGGCCATAGCCATTAAGGCTGTGTGTGAATTACTTGGCTACGGCTAGCAATCACACATACACCTATGAGAGCTGCTGAAGCCACTTCTGATAGACACATGTGTTAGAGCTGGCCATAGCCAGTAAGGCTGTGTGTGAATTACTTGGCTACGGCTTGCAATCACACATACACCTATGGGAGCGGCTGAAGCCACTTCTGATAGACACATGTGTTAGAGCTGGCCATAGCCAGAAAGGCTGTGTGTGAATTACTTGGCTATGGCTTGCAATCACACATGCACCTATGGGAGCGGCTGAAGCCACTTCTGATAGACACATGTGTTAGAGCTGGCCATAGCCAGTAAGGCTGTGTGTGAATTACTTGGCTATGGCTTGCAATCACACATGCACCTATGGGAGCGGCTGAAGCCACTTCTGATAGACACATGTGTTAGAGCTGGTCATAGCCAGTAAGGCTGTCTGAATTACTTGGCTACGGCTTGCAATCACACATACACCTATGGGAGCAGCTGAAGCCACTTCTGATAGACACGTGTGTTAGAGCTGGCCATAGCCAGTAAGGCTGTCTGAATTACTTGGCTACGGCTTGCAATCACACATACACCTATGGGAGCAGCTGAAGCCACTTCTGATAGACACGTGTGTTAGAGCTGGCCATAGCCAGTAAGGCTGTGTCTGACTTACTTGGCTACGGCTTGCAATCACACATACATCTATGGGAGCGGCTGAAGCCACTTCTGATTGACACGTGTGTTAGAGCTGGCCATAGCCAGTAAGGCTGTCTGAATTACTTGGCTACGGCTAGCAATCACACATACACCTATGGGAGCGGCTGAAGCCACTTCTGATAGACACATGTGTTAGAGCTGGTCATAGCCAGTAAGGCTGTCTGAATTACTTGGCTACGGCTTGCAATCACACATACACCTATGGGAGGGGATGAATTCACTTCTGATAGACACGTGTGTTAGAGCTGGCCATAGCCATTAAGGCTGTGTGTGAATTACTTGGCTACGGCTAGCAATCACACATACATCTATGGGAGCGGCTGAAGCCACTTCTGATTGACGCGTATGTTATACCTCATCTTTATGTCCGAGGTTCGATTCCTGCCTAGATGCGAATTTGTTTTTCAGTGCCTACTGGGTTTTCTCTGAACATTCCAATTATTCCAGTATTCTTCCCCCCCCCCCCCCCCCCTCTAAATCTGGAATTTCTTCACAATCTGATCTCTAAAGATTTTTTCAGGCTTGTGCGCCACAGTACTACGAGCACCTTATAGTAATCCTTAGGTTCATTATCAGAATTGTAAAAAATGTCAATAGCCTATATATCATTAAGATTAAGTTTAAGACTGATTTATTCAGCCAATGATTAAAAAACAATCACATGAATTTGTAATGTTGGACTCTCAGAAAAGTAAAATTGACTCAATTTAAAATACCATACAATGAAAACAATTCATCATTCTCTTATCATAAATTGTCATCATGTCATCCAACTTAACTTGAATTATGTACCACGCGTTTTTAGCCACCCGATTCAGTCTACCAATTTCACACTTAGGAGTGACATTGAATCAAACAATAATAGAGCTGGTCTAGCTAGATTCAATTACACATCTATAGAAATTAATCAAAATATGCCTGCCCACACCAAAGGATTTCAGTCTACGTAAAAAAAAACAGATGTTGTTGGCCCTTTTTAAAATTTTCAGATACTTGAGTTGACCAAGACGTGTATTTTTTTATATTTTTTTTTTGCTTCAGATGAGTTGAAGCAGTGCCAGTTGGATGGTAATGGAGACGTCAAGGACCATCTTGAGACATGGCGGGTCAACAACTGCAAGAAGTGCCAGTGTAACGACGGCAAGGTGTCCTGCGACACCCAGACGTGCCCGGAGGTGGACTGCGCAGACGCCGTTGTGCCAGATAACCAGTGCTGCCCTGTCTGTCCCAGTAAGCCGTGATATGTGGTTCATAAGATGGGATTTTTGCGTCAGGTTGATGTGAATCACATTAGGTTTTGCCCTTCACCGTATAAACACTGCATATACTCAGTGTGTTACCTCCCGAGTGAAATTTGGAAAAAAATCACTCGGGTGGGACTCGAACCCACGACCTCCTGCTTTCTAGTACAGCTGTCTTACCACTCGACCACTGGGTTAATGGGATCAGGTAGCTGGTTCGAATCCCACCCGAGTGATTTTTTTCCAACTTTCACTCGGGAGGTAACACATTGAGTATGCAGTATTTATACGTCGGTGAAGGGCAAAACTAATTTGATGATATGTGATGTTAAAACTAGCATGCATCTGGTCAACTGAAAACTTTCCCACAAGCTTGAACACTATTCAGGGTTGTTTTTCTGCAACCAACGATAGTCATTGACTATAGACCTTTATCATGCTGCCACCATTTCAGTCATGTTCCCTGTATCCAATAGCAGTACTGAATGCTAATGGGTTTTTTTGTGAAAAAAAGGAACCAGACTAAGTTTCCTTTCTGCCTTGCTTTGGTTACACTGATTTGAATGGGAAAAAATCAAACGGCTGCAACGTGATAATAGTCTATAGCGGGAGTTTTCAACATCACTTTTCTCAGACATTGTCGTTTAAAAAAAAAAACCTTCAGAGCTATGAGTCAGAAGAGTCATGCCCTATCCTAGGTTATTTCAGTTCTATGCCTTGTGAATATCTAACCATTGTGTAGCATTGAATGTCCATAACACGTAGCTGGTGTGCATATCTGCTTTAAGAAAATCAAGAAGACTGAAAAAGATAACATTTGAAGGTTTGCTTGGTGAAGTCAGCAACAAATGTAAATTTGCAATGACACCGTGTGAATGTAAATCTCTTTTGTGAGTTTGGCATTTTCCAAGAGAAAAACCAGAGGAAATTCAACATTTCAACAGAAAATAAAAAGTTTTCCTATTATCTACTGACGTGGATACCCCAACTTCACACTCATCCAAAATGAAAACCTAGGCCACTCACGAACCCATCGTATGTTTTCAGCCATGCCACTGACATAATTCTGTGCACTCTTACTTGGATGTTCTGCAGAGGTAGCACCGCCGGCGCTCACAGCGAAGTCCTGCGAGGTCGGAGGTCAGACCTACCAGCACGGTGAACGCTGGGACAAGAACGCCTGCAAGTCGTGCGTCTGTGACAACGGCAAAGTCAACTGTGACTCCCCGGCGTGTGGTGCCCTGACTTGCACCGACCCCATCAAGGTGCCCGGCGAATGCTGCATGAGATGCCCAGGTGGGTAGACTGGTTTCGCTTTCCTGGGCCCAATTTCATGGCAACGCTAACCACAGAATTCTGTGCTTACGCTCACCATTTTGTGCTTACCCCGCTAAAATTCTGTGCTAACACTGTAAGCACAGAATCCTTAGTTACCGGATGTACGCATGCACAGAAGCCAGCATTTCCTGCTAACCCGTGAAATACGCTTACCGTAAGCACACAATTTTCTGCTGCATTAAGCAGGGATTTTTAGCTAACAGTAAGCAGAGCCAAGAATTTGGGCCCTGATCTATACAATGCCTATAAAAGGGATATGTTGATTTCAAACACAATATTGAAGCAATTTGTAAATGACGTCTTCTTTTTTTTTTTTTACCTCAGAGGATGCCCAAGTCTGCATCACCGCCGACAGTGTAGAGTACCAACACGGCGAGACATGGCGTGACGGAGACTGCAAGAGATGTAAGTGCAACAACGGCGGTATCGATTGCGACGAGACAACGTGCCCAAGCCTGACCTGCAGTAACCCTATCACCGTTCCAGGCCAGTGCTGCAAGCAGTGTGAAGGTATCAAAGTCAAAATGTCAAATTTTGCAGATTTCAGGAGGGTTCCTTTCAAAACTTCTATGAGAGATGGGGTTACGTGTTGAGTTTCAGATTTTAAGGAGTAAACTGAAAGAGATTTTAAGTGTTCGTTTTTTTCACTCAATCCTTACACCATGAATCTTTTAAAAGCCCATAGCTTTTGAACACTATCAAGGGGGTTAGGTTAAATGCCTAAGAAAAACTCGGATAAAACAATCCCACTCAAAATCGGGCCAGGAAGTTTTATGCTCTGTCAGAATTTTTTCGCTCTGTTGAATGTGTAGCCTTGAGGCTACTACAACTGGAATTTTGTTATCAGGAAACAAAAGTTTAAGAAACTCCCAAACTTTTCTTGGGCAAACAAAATCCAAACTGGTCATCAGTACCCAAATTGGAACAGAATCTCCTTTTGCTTGTAGTAACAGTTCTGTGTGAGTAAAAAGGTGCTGTACAAAGCTTTTGAGTTGCTTAATACTGAAATGTCTGTGTCAATGAAGATCTTCGCTTTGATTTTGTGGTTGAACTGTTCAACAACCTTTCCTCCTTGTTTTTTTTGAAGGACGACCATTTGAGACCTGTACCTACAATGGCGAGGAGTACCAGCATGGCGAGAGATGGGACGGCAAGAGTCACTGCACTTCATGCTCGTGCACCGACGGCGCAGTGGATTGCGAGACGCCGACCTGCCCGGCACTGACCTGCTCCAACCCAGTCAAGGTCAAAGGTCAATGCTGCAGGGTCTGCGTCGGTAAGTGATGTCTACTACTGCTATGTGCAGCAAACTAGTTTGGTTATGAATATAGGGTTACCGGCCAACATGCCATGTGATATTTATTGTATGTTGGCTGGTTCTCCGCCTTTGTTTAGCTTGCCGTGCACAGTGCTAAGCAATTTGCTTGCCTAGCTGCTCCATGGAATTTGCCGCTGGTCATATATAATCACCACAAAACATTATCCTACTGTAATTATGGAGATTTTACATTTCATTTGGGATATTGGGAGGGTCTGAATTGAACCAAGCTTTTGGGCCCAATTTCATCGGGCTGCCAAGCACACAATTTTCTGCTAACAGAACCTCAATCTATTTCATGAAAACTGTAAGCAGTAAGCGCATGCAGCAACCGCTTACCTCGGAGGAAAAGGTTGCTTAACTTAATAGTGACGTAACAATAGAAATCTCCATTTGCGCACTGCTGTAAGCACATCCAGGCCGTGAAATAGTGCTTAAAGTTGGCACAACGTTTCCGTTAACTGTTAAGCAGCACCAAGACATTTGGGCCCTTGAGTATTACGGTGCAACCCATTGCATGGTCGCAGGCCCAGCAGGTGTGAATTTAAGTTCTAATTAATTTTGTTTTTCAAAATAATACCTTGATCTTGCCGCACATGGATGTTTAACGCTGACAAACCGCTAATTTTGAATGTTCCCTATTCCAGAGGACTTTGGCACGTGCGTGGCGGCAGACGGCACCCGATACAATCACGGCGATGAATGGAAGGCAAGCGACTGCGTGACGTGTACCTGCGACGATGGCACCACCTCCTGCAACACCCTCAAGTGCCCCGCCCTCGGCTGCAAGCCGACGATCCGCGACGAGGGGCAGTGCTGCCCTCGCTGCCCAGGTAAGAACAATCGCGGGTCATAAGTTGGGTCCATGTTGAAGTTGGGATTTGAAGGTTCGATCAGGACACTGAAATTTGGAAAAATCTTGGCCTTGTTGTCTTCTTGGAAAAAAAACATTGTTAAAACTTTAAAAGTCCAAAAGATCACTAGATTGACACGGAATGAAACTTTTTTGTTGTCGAGAAAGGGACGTCAGAAACTGAGTCATACCAAACATAATAATTTAGGATAAATATCAAGTCTTGATTAATATCAAGTTATAACAAGACACAAGAAAAACAGAAAACTGGCCTACAGTAGCTCAGTAGTATAGGGATTGGGATTCTCATTGCAGTGAGTATTGGTTCTTCACAACCAAAAGGATGACAAATTTATACAAAATTTCAATTACGTTTGAATCCCAGCTGATCCAGCCCCGAAGACCTGTCGTCTCAAGAGCGGCGTGGAGTACATCTCAGGCCAGTCCTGGCGTAAGGGACCCTGCCGGACTTGCAGCTGCGACAACGGCAACAAGAACTGTCAGACGGAGAGCTGCCCGCTGCTGAGCTGCAGCGACCCGGAGGAGGTGGTCGGCGAGTGCTGCAAGAGGTGCCCCGGTATGCAACAAGCTGTCTGTTGTATTGGGAGGTTCACAATTTGAAGTGAATTTTGGGTTGTCACATGGAAAATCAAACGGGAGTGTTGCTTAGTGGTTGGGGCTTGTGATTCACGATCGGAGGGTCAGGAGTTCGAATCCAGCTGCTGGCCATATGTTGTGTCCTTGGGCAAGCCACTTCACCCCCACTTGCCTCTCTCCACCCAGGAGTAGAAATGGGTACCGGCTTTAGCTGGGGAGTAACCTGCGATGGACTGGCATCCCATCCAGGGGGAATAGAAATATCCTCTGTCGTTTCATGCTACTGAAACCGGAGATAACAGGTATCAGAGGGTCAGGGGTTTGAGTCCTGCTGTCGGTCATATGTTGTGTCCTTGGGCAAGCCACTTCACCCCCACTTGCCTCTCTCCACCCAGGAGTATAAATGGGTACCGAGATAAGCTTGGAAGTAACCTGCGATGGAATATCATCCCATCCAGGGGGAACAGAAATGCTCTCAGTTTTGTGTCAAAAAAATGGAAATAAACACCGGTCTGATGGGCCATATGTGATACGATCAAGCTAAATGAGTCATCTGTCGACCCTGGTCAATATGATTCGAAAAAAGCAGAATCTCAGCATTACTGCTATGAAAACCGCATGCTGGTACCACCTTAAGTTCAAAAATTATGGAAGTCGGAACATTAAGAAATGTGATGAAGTGGTCGTATTTTGGCCTGAATCTCCAAATGAAAATTCCCGACAAACGACTCATTTAGCCTGATCGCATCACACATTGGCTCGTTACAAATTTGACTACAATTGTAAAATATGAAGAGAAAAAATTCTACCTTAGTAATAATTATGTCTTTTCAGAGGATATTCCAACCTGCCTTGCGACCGGGGGAGTCACATACAAGCACGGTGAGACCTGGCAGCCCGATGCATGCAAGACCTGCGAGTGCAAAGAGGGAACCATCGTCTGCACGGACAAACTGTGTCCCAAGCCGACCTGCGATAATCCGGCGGCTGTAGAGGGCGAATGCTGCCCTCAGTGTCCAGGTAAGCTTACTTTCTGGATTAAGCTAGTAGTCTCTGTACCGCCCCAAAGTGCCCTGCCAGTTATTCCGTGTATCGCCCCAAACCAACCGAGAATTTGTTATGGAAAATCACCCCAAACCAACCAAGAAGTCATCGTGGAATAAATCCAATGTCCAACGTAGTACATGTGCTAATTGGTGATATAAACAGTATTGAAAAATACCAAAACATAGAATTCATTAACTCATATCAGATGTATCGCCTTGGAGGATAGCTTTGCAACACCGCTTTTCCCTTACACACTTACAAAAAATATTGAGTCACTTTTAAGTAAAAATTGTGTCACTTTGCCCCCTCCCCAACTGAACCTGAAATCTGGATGCACAACTGAGCCATGGATAAATGTTGGCGATCTACGGATGAATCTGTACCTTTTAAGCAACTGTTTTTGCGTTTGTGTTCTTGCGATCAGGCGTCCCGAGCCCCAAGTCCTGCAAGCGAGGTGACGAGGTCGTACCCCATGGCGATACCTGGCAGTCAGGTCCCTGCAAGTCCTGCAGCTGCTCCAACGGACGCATCGACTGCGAGTCCAACGTCTGCCCGACGCTGACCTGTAGCGAGACGGTCAAGGTCAAAGGGGAATGCTGCCAACGGTGTCAAGGTCAGTTTGGTAATCTGTGTCGAGTTCTGCGTTCTTGCAGGAAGTTTCTTTCGATGTGAACCAGAAATGTTTGAAAAATCTCGGTCCGGACGAAATTCTGAAAAGTGAAGAATGGCGATTATGTTTCCGACATTTAGTCACCGTTTCAGCCATTGGAGGTCTGAAACATACACCTGTTAAAACCACTTATGTTTTAGACTCTCTATTAACCTCAAGATATCTCAAACATAAGCTTATCAAGAAACTGGCAATGTTAGTGTCAAACATTTTCAGGTGACTGACAGGCCAGTTTCTTGTTTATCTTACTTTTCAGATACTGTGAGGTTAACAGAATGTCTGAAGCAAAATCTGATTGGTTACTTTGCACCTTGATCATGCCTCCCCTACTTATAGAGTGACTGGCCTACTCCAACTTGCTCATACAGAATGCAGTGCCCTAAGGTTAACTCAAATTAATGACCCTTAGGTCACAGGTCAAGCACTGAGTTCAGAGGTCAATATATCCATTTGTTTTACAGAGGATGCCAAGGATTGCCTGAGCGATATCAGCACCCCCTACAAACACGGCGAGAAATTCTCCACCGACCCATGCAACTCGTGTGAGTGCTACAACGGGGAGACGTACTGCACCTCCAAGGACTGCAACCCGACCGACTGCGAGAACCCCATCACTCGCAGCGACGAGTGCTGCGCACGATGCCCCGGTTAGTATGGCGAAACTGGTGTCCATAGGCAAGCCGTTTTACAACAATAGAAGGGAGTAACAGTCTGGTTTGTGTCAAAATGGCTACATGTATGAATGTGAGTACCGTCACTTACATTACTATGAGGCTACTTTGACCTCTCACTGCTTCAAAAGTATTTGATCAAGCTGAATCAAACCAGCCGTACAATAACCTTGGGGTAAGGGGTACTCAAACATGGAAAGAAAAATTCAACCTATTACTTCACTTTGTTAAAACACAGGTGTTTTTTTGGTTGTCACTCATATTCCAAAAAAAGGGACATGGAAAATGTTCCTGCAGTTTTGTTGTTAAAATCTCCTCGAACTGTAGTCGCCAACACAGAAGTAACATTGTTTTACCTTTCATTCAAACTATAGCTAGATATAAAAACCCATTTTCAATCAAATAAGTGTGTATTTTAGATGCCAGGGACATTAGATTACAGGGAGGTACCGTCACTCACGTTACGTCACTCACGTTACTTCCTCTTCATGGTTTCTAACACGGCTTAAAATCTAATTTGATGAACTGCAACATAATGAAACTGTTTTCTTATAATGTATGAACCTTTCTCTCTGCCTTAAACACAAAAACCTCCCAAAAATACTCACGGCATTTTGCATGTTAAAACAAGGTGCCAAAACGACTACCAAAAATCCATGATTTTATTTAAAAAGCAAGTTTTTGGACCCAAAATCCCTTTTAACTACATTCCATCTCATTGGCATACCAGTAAAATGAAAGCTCTTGTTGTCCCCTTTAATTTGACACCACATTTGTTGTGATGCTTGTAGTTTGGAAGATTTCATACAGTTTCACTTTCCAGCCTTGTTCACTTTTGCTTGGAATTGCTCTAATGAGCAATATTACTTCCACCATAAAAACAGGATTCACTGTCCACATTGTGTTAGTAAGGCCAAACTTATGTCCATGAGCAATGCATTTTACCGCAACACATATTACCGCGTTGTTTGGTCTTACACTGCTGTTTATTCCTCCTGATTTTGCAGGTGAGCCAATCCCTGCTCCCTGCATGTACGAGGGCAATGAGGTCCCCAGCGGCGAATGGTGGCGTATCAACCCGTGCAAGACCTGTCAATGCAACAACGGCATCGTGGGCTGCTCCACCGAGACCTGCCCGCTACTCACTTGCCCCAACTCTGTCAAGGTGGCCGGAGAGTGCTGCCGAATCTGCATTGGTAAGACTATACTTTCCTTGCAATAGATAGAATCCCCAAATGTAAGGGTGTCAATAGGATGAATTTCTTGCAGCGGTAACCCAAAACTTAGAAATTGTTTTGCTCAGCAAAAGCACGATACCAGAAGAAAATTCGGAAAAAATATTGTAACCTGCGCCACTTCAGCGGTTGTGTACAAAGTCTATGGAGAGTCAAGAACATTTTGTAAGTATTTCCTAACAAAATTGGAAATGTTTCTCAGTCCCAGATTCATGTCTTGTCATCATTTTTGCAATGACTGACCTTTATTGAGATGATATATGAAGAAAAAAAGTGGCGTCAGGTTGCAACATTTTTTTCGAAAATTTCAGTCAAGTTTATATTGCTTGTGGGTAGTTTTCAGCTGGTTTCATACATGATATTTTCTGCTTAGCGGAATACATGCTAAGCAGCTAAGCTAAGGGGAATAATCAGCCTGTTTGTTCAGCAAAACATATGACTTACAATCGTTAAAAAAATTTCATTTTTAAATTTCCATCCTAATAGTTCTGATTCTGAGAACAATTTTCAAAACTAAAAAAAAATGTTGATGAGGAAGCTGTTTGCAAGTTTTACTGTAAGAACATGAACACACCCATTTTGGAAAAGGAGGATATTTTTACCCGATCCCTCCCTGCCTATGTTAGTCTCTAACTCGAGTAGCTTCTAGCTTTAAGGTCAAACCCTAAAACATACGATGATTTTTATTCCATGGTTGACCCTAGATGAGCCGGACATGGGCTGCACGGTGGACGGTCGGCGCCTGCAGACCGGCGAGACATTCCGCCAATCCCCTTGCTCTACCTGCACCTGCTTCTTCGGCTCGCTGGAGTGCGACATGACGGTCTGCCCAGAGACCCTGTGCGACAATGCGGTCAAGGCACGCGACGAATGCTGCCCTCGCTGCCCAGGTGAGGAATGCTTCTCAGTCAATATCGGGGATACAAGTTACTGACAGGATTGTCCGCAATGACCATGTTGTATTGGGTCATTTTTGTCGCAGAATTCTGAACAACTTCCCTGAAATTGTCCTGCAGTTCGTAAAAAATCCTGACGGGTATCAGGCTCCATAATTTCTTATTCGGTAATCATCGGGCGATATGCACCCCTGTGTTAGATTCGCACAGTGAGAATCATCTTTCTTCCTGGTTGATGTTTTTAATATTAATTCAGCTGCCGCTTTCCCTTTTACCTGTCAATGCCAATGTTAAATTCCTCAGCTTCGCTCGTCTTTTCCTATAACTTTTTTTTTCATGGTATGTCAAAATCAGGCACTTTTAGGCAAGAAGTCAATTTTCAGTTATTGCAATATAAGTAAATATATAGACCTTGCTCTTTCAAACGCCGCTTTGCTTTTTGAAATTGGATCTTCCAAAGGGAAGTTATTGAATTTTGAAATCAGACTGTTTGAAATGTCAAAATTGAGAAATAGGCCTTTCAAGTTTGAGTTTAGCAAAAAAGTTATTTAGAAAAGGTGTCATTATAAAACACCAATATTACCTTAGCAATAGGCATACAGAAGCAAATAACCTTGCCTATTATGGGTTTGCCAGAAAAACAATTCTCAAAATCACTGAAAAATCACCCCATGTCATTTTGCAACTTTATTTATAGCTCTGGCCAATTCTGCCTGATTTTGTCATACCACCTCGCTTTTATTTACTTATTTATTTATGTTCTTTCTTTCTTAGATGAGCCAGCGCCAGCCCCATGCACCTTCAAGGACAAGAGCTACGTGAGCGGCGAGTCCTGGACTAAAGGCCCCTGCAAGACCTGCAGCTGTGAGAACAGCAAAGTCAGCTGTGAGAACACACAGTGCCCTGCGCTGGACTGCGCCGACCCTGTGAGGGTCAAGGGCGAGTGCTGCCTGAAATGCCCAGGTAGGAAACGGTGGGGGGGGGGGGGGGGGGGAGGCCATTTCATGAAGCACTACAGTCCATCGTAAAGAGGTTGTTGATTGCTTTCGGAAATTTTAAACAATGTTTTAAATGTAGAGTAAGTCAATTCACAAGACTTTTCTTTGTAAATATAAATTTTAAATTTCCTTGTAAATTTTTTTGTTCAGAACCTGCTAAAATGAAACCAATTACCATCAGTCTTACTTAGGCATGAAATTTTTCCTCAAATCCGCTGATTTCCTCATTTTTGTACCTCTCATTAATGCCATTATAAATTGAAAAATACTGTACAAAGTCTTGTATGGTTTGGAGTTTTCTCGGTTTTTTTTCTAAATTTCCAGTTGCGCGCCTGCTTACTTCGAAAAGGGTCATTCTAAACATTTGGGGTCCACCACACTCTCAAATTTGTATCCTTGTGGAGACATTTCTTTGTTCTCTTGTAGTAAAGTTTTCAATTTTGAAAGTGAAGTTTCAAAATGCTCTTATTTTAACCAGAATTAATTTCCTTGGCTGAAATTCGGACTTAATATCCCTTTACTAAAACTCTTCCATTTGCGAAAGATCAACCCACCTTGGAAATTCCTTGTTTTTGAGTAAAATCCATATATCTATTTCGTGAAAACCTTGTGGAGACCTATTCATCTATAGAAATTGCCTTGTGGAGACCTTTACAATGTTTTGTTCCCTATTGTGTGCGTGTCTCCACAAGGATACAAATTTGAGCACAAAAGTGTGACATTTTGATGTCCGTGTCACACCTGACCTGTGTGTAATTTGACATGCAAATATAATTGAAATTGACTTCAAACTATTGTTTATTTGTTTAGCAGGTAATTCGCATTACATAATCACTCTTGGAGGTAGAAGGCATTAAAGAATGTGTTCTGAAATTACAAAATCTCATGTCAGATGTAACCAGGACACCAAAAACTATTGGACCCCAAATTTATAGAATGACCAAAAATTAAAAGGTTTTGGACATTGTAAGTAATACTTGGGTGTCCAACTATCTCTTGCTGTTATGACATTCAAAAGTCAAATCCAGTGTTTGATTTCTTTGCTGCGCCAACGACAAATGGACAAATGGAATACAAGCATGTCAAGTGTAATCTAAACAAGTAGTCACAAAAATGCTGTCTACTGTTCGTGTGCAGAGTCCATAACTTTGAAAAACCAACGTTGAAAATGTTCCGGTATCGTGGTTGTAATCCCTGGTTTTCGACCTTGCTTCTCACAGACCAACTGAAATCGTGCACATTTGACGACGGCAGGGAGTTCGACCACGGCACTAGCCTCAAATACAGCAACTGCACCACGTGCTACTGCGACAATAGTGTCATTACGTGCGACACTGAGCTGTGCAAGGCGCTGGACTGCGCCGAGCCTCTCAGCCAGGAGGGCAAGTGCTGCGACACCTGCCCTGGTAAGTGGGGTCCGTCCTTGTGCCCTTGAGCAAGATATTTTACTACAATATAAGGGATTCACTGTTCAGTGCACAACCAATTTTTTTTTTCTCAAAAATATCTACCGAGAGTAAAATTCAACAGGTTTAGTTTTTTTTATACCCTGCTTCATATATATTGTATTGTTGTTCCTTAAATCGTGAAAAACACATTTTGCGAAAGGTGTCCGTTAACTTTAAGAGGCTCTTTAATTATACTTAAGACTGAGATGAAACCACAGCTGTAAACATAGCCCAAGTTTTGAAATCCCCTGACATTGTTATCCCAAAGAGGGCTCACTTCATATTGACAAGTTTTTTCCCTTATGTCTCGTCTGTCCAGGGGATCGCGTGTCCAAGGGCTGCACCACGAAGTCCGGCCGCAAGATGCGCCACGGCGAGATATGGCAGCGGAACCCGTGCAAGGTCTGCACGTGCGACAACGGCAACCTACGCTGCGACAAGGAGACCTGTCCCGCCCTGCCCTGCGACCAGCCGCTCAAACGCGTGCCTGAAGAATGCTGCCGCAAATGCCCACCAGGTCAGTGATAATTGCAAAGGTCATACGGGGTCACTCCCAGGTCATTCATTAGGTCATGCAGTAGGGATGGAATGAAACTGAGGGGGTTTTCGAAACCTTTGCTTCGGCTTCAGCTTCGGCTTTGTCTACTTCTTCTAAATCACTGAGAGGCAAACTGAACAAAAATATTCCAACTTTTTCCTTCATATCAACCGATTGAATGTTCATAAAGCATACAGGCATCAAAATGTAGCTTAATTCTCCGAAGTCGGGGGCCTAAAATGTCATTAAACCGAAGACGAAGCCGAAGCTAGTCGTTTTGAAAATCACTTGGCTTCAGCCGGCAGTTACAAACATAGACCTATAGGAAGCATCTGAATCTACCTCCCGTAGGTTTTCCGAGTTGTATGTCAGTTTAGTTGGACGCAGCCTGATTTTCCAAAATGCATGTTATAATAGTTATATGATGATGCAACACGAATCACAGTTTGTCATGCATACACTGTTTTGTAATTCACTACCTTATGGAGACGTGTGTACAATAGGGAACAAAAGATTGTAAAGGTCTCCACAGGGCAATTTCTATAGGTGAATATGTCTTCACAAAGTTATCATGAAATAGATATATGGATTTTACTCAAAAACTAGGAATTTCCAAGGTGTATTTATCCGTCGCAAATTGAAGTATTTTATGTAAGGGATATTTGGTCTGAATTTCAGCCCAGGAAATTAATTCTGGTTAAAAGAGGAGCATTTTAAAACAAGCTTTTCACACTCTAAAATTTTAGTACACGAGAACAAAGAGATGTCTCCACAAAGATACAAATTCCAGTATGGGTGTAAATAAGTTGCTTACCAAAAATGGATTACCAACCAAAAAAGTCATGGAGTGTTTACTGTCTGACTGGTTCTCGGCAATCTTTTCTAAGCGCAAATGTGTGCTTAGCAATTTCATTGTGCCTTATAGCTCTATTAAATTGGGCCTTGTCTTCATTTTTTTACTATTTGTATAGCTCAGGTTATTTCAGCCAGTTAGCAGTTTGCAGCAGCATTTTATTCATTTAAATGTCTTACATAAGTGTGGTGTGATTGTTATGTTTTTTATGTTTAGAGGACCTCTGATTTTAATTCCTCTGCTTATAAGATATCTCTTTTCTGCTTACTAGATATCTCTTCTCTGCTTACTAGATATCTCTGCTCTGCTTACTAGATATCTCTTCTCTGCCACTAGATATCTCTTCTCTGCTTACTAGATATCTCGTCTCTGCTTACTAGATATCTCCTCTCTGCTTACTAGGTATCTCTTGTCTGCTTACCAGATATCTCTTCTCTGCTTACTAGATATCTCTTCTCTGCCTACTAGATATCTCTTCTCTGCTTACTAGATATCTCTTGTCTGCTTACTAGGTATCTCTTGTCTGCTTACCAGATATCTTTTCTCTGCTTACTAGATATCTCTTCTCTGCCTACTAGATATCTCTTCTCTGCTTACTAGATATCTCTTCTCTGCTTACTAGGTATCTCTTGTCTGCTTACCAGATATCTCTTCTCTGCTAACTAGATATCTCTTCTCTGCCTACTAGATATCTCTTCTCTGCTTACTAGATATCTCTTGTCTGCTTACTAGGTATCTCTTGTCTGCTTACCAGATATCTTTTCTCTGCTTACTAGATATCTCTTCTCTGCCTACTAGATATCTCTTCGCTGCTTACTAGATATCTCTTCTCTGCTTACTAGGTATCTCTTGTCTGTTTACCAGATATCTCTTCTCTGCTTACTAGATATCTCTTCTCTGCCTACTAGATATCTCTTCTCTACTTACCAGATATCTCTTCTCTGCCTACCAGATATCTCTTCTCTGCTTACCAGATATATCTTCTCTGCTTACCAGATATCTCTTCTCTGCTTACCAGATATCTCTTCTCTGCTTACCAGATATCTTTTCTCTGCTTACTCCCTTGCAGATCCAGACAATGCCTGCTCAGACGCAGAAGGCAACACCTACATGCCTAGAGAGAAGTGGAATCCAGATCCGTGCACGGAGTGTGAATGCACCGAGCTGGGTGGTGTCAGATGTACATCCAAGGACTGTCCTGCACTGGACTGTGACAATCCAGCACCAGTGGAAGGACAGTGCTGCATGACGTGCGATCCAACTGCCAGTAAGAATATGACATTTTTAAAAATTTTGTTCGCAGACTTGTCGCGAAGTGTGCTTCCCAATCTGTCGTTCCCTTGATTTTCCTAAACCAGATTTTATGAAGCTGCCAATAAAAAAAATAAAAGAGAGCAAATTTTAACTTACAATTTTAGTCACTGTAGTGCCCGAAACCGCCCTGCCTTTCATTGATTCTTCAGTGACTAAATAAACACCGCAAAAAAAGAAAGTCCACACTCATTGGAGGGGTCATTATTTTGAATCTGATCGTCTTATGATGACGTCATCTATATAGACCTTTAGGAAATGTTGTTAGCTACATTTTGATACCAAAGACTGTAAATCGTCCGACATTGACAAAGGTTTATGAAAAATGATGCAGTTTGAAAAGTTGCAGATTTAGTGGAAGTGGAAATGGCTGCGTGACAATGTTACATTCCTTGAAACAAACAGCAGGATATATCGATTGCACAGTGCTTGTGCGCATGGGAGCAGGCGAAATTGAATTACCTGCACTGTGCTGTCGATGGGAGCCAATTACATGTGTGTGTGTTTAGGCTTAGCAATTTCTCCTCGCTTAATCTATAAATTTGCAACTTTTCAACCTGCATCCTTTTTCATAAACCGTTGTCAGTCTTGGACAATTTACAGTCTTTGGTAGCAAACAAGGTATCACCATGTAGCTAAATAAATGACGTCATCATAAGACGACAAGATTCAAAATGATGACCCCTCCAAGGAGTAAGGACTTTCTTTGTTTTCGTTGTTTGCAATGCAATGATGTACATGTGCGAATGGGTTAAGCTTGGTAGTCAGGTGGGTAAGATGTCGGCACCAGTAAGCAAGAGGTCCTGGGTTCAGTTCCTAAGCAAATTTGTGAAATTTTCCTCAGACGTCACTGGGTGTGCATTGCTCGTAACAAACGTCTTTGGTGGGAGTAGAACGCAGAAGTTTAAATCAAAATTGAAAATCAAACTGTTGTGATGAACTTCTGAGTAAATGATTTTTTTTTTTTTTTAATGTCACTTTTGTTTTCAGTCATTAAGCCCCTCCAGTACTGCACCTCCACACGCAAAGAGGGTGACACCTGGCAGCCAACGCCGTGCTCCACATGTACCTGCAGAAGCGGCCTGATTCAGTGCCAGATAGAGACCTGCGATACGCTGGATTGCACCACCTACAAACCGGCTGGCGAATGCTGCCCGAGATGTACAAGTAAGATCATCTCCTTAAAATTACAGAAATGATCGTTGAAACATAATGTGTGATGCGATCAGGCTTAATAAGTCATTTGTTGGAAATGTTCATTTGACGATTCAGGCCAGAATATGGCCACCTCATCACATCACTTCATCACATCTCTTGGTGTTCCGACTTCCATAATTTTTTAACTGAAGATGGTGCCAGCATGCGGTTTTCACAGCAGTAATGCTGAGATTGTGCCCTTTTCAAATCTGTAAAAACAACAAAAATTGACCAGGGGTCGACAAACGACTCATTTAGCGTGATCGCATCACATATTTTGTTTACATGTCTATTTATTAATTTCCATACAATTGATTCTTTTTCCAAAAAATAAATGACTATTTGATGTGATTTTCTAAAGAAAAAATACCGAATTATCACGTTGATGATGTACAACACTTTAGAATTCCCATTTTTCACTGGAAAAACAACATTTTGTTTGACCAATCAGTGTCCAGAATGTTTTGTTTGTTTCACCTAACCAATCAACACTCGGCATTGAAATCATTGTGGGTATCATGTTTTGTGTTCCCAGCTGACTATAAGAAGTGCAAAGAAGGCGACGGCACGACGCGCAACCCGGGAGAATTCTGGCGCCCGACTAACTGCGAGGAATGCACATGTGACGCGGGCATGACACAGTGCCGTCCAATCACGTGCGACACTGAGCCGACATGTAACGACCCGCAGTCAGTTTCCGGCATCTGCTGCCCAGTATGTCCTAGTAAGTGTCAGGAATTTTCAGACTCGGGAAATTTCATTTCAGTTTCAGTTTCATCAAAATTTGTTTCCCATTCCAACAATCGATGGGAATATATAAATAAATATAAGAAGAATCTGAATTGGAGGCACAACCAGAGAAGCACAGCTTGTATTAGGAAGTGCCCGTACGATTACAAACGCTACAATAAAGACTAAGTTGACAAAGCACAAACGGTACATATTAAAGAAACAAAATAAGTACAAACACAATTGCAGTGGTTGGTCCAACTGCCAAAAATAACAGAAGTATTAAAGGATGGATTTAAAAGTAAAGAATAAATATAAAATCACTTTTGAAGAAGGTAAGACTTAAGATTACGTTAAAAACTGAATAGGCTCTGGCTGTTCCGTTACTTAAAGGGAATCCATTCCAGTAAAGTGGCCCCGAGTGGCTAATGCTGTGTTTGAAGACAGATGTCCTGAACTTGGAAATAGGCACATTATAGCTATAGCTGTGTTCATTATAATTTGGTTGAACCATATTAACAGTGTTGGGGAAGTTGATTAAAGGAATGTACATAAATAAATACCAGTTGCTGAAAAAAGTTGACTTAATTGATAGGAAGGAGATTGTAATTTTTGAATAAAGGGTTGGTGCTTGCTCTAAAATGACTATTGGAAATTACACGGATAGCCTTCTTTTGTAAATGAACCATATTACTTGAAATTACTTGAAAATCCATTAGCCCATAAAATATTACAATGAGAAACAATGAGAAATATAAGGTAAAATTAAGGAACAATATAATAAAGGGTGCATAATTTTGTCACAGGTAACCTGCAGCCTTCTTTTTTCTTTAGTAAACCATATTAAGCTGATTTCATGGCTAAGCACACAAAAAAATCTTAGCACCACAAAAATTTGCTTAGCTTACAAGTTGTTTGAATATTTGTTTTTATTAGTGGTCATTGTTTTGGTTTAATTTAAATTATTTTGGCTTCAAGCTATTAGAGCCACTTTGTAAATTAAGGCTGCTTTCCAAGACTCTGAAGTTGGTCCAAACGTCTGAACATTTGATTTTGGACTCATAAAACATCTAATTTGACTCGAATCATGGAATAAGTTTGTTGGGCACAACACTGGAACTGCAATCTGAATCAGGCATTAGGTTAAAAAAAAACCCTCCCCCCAAAAAATCAACTAGCCGTCTAAACTGTAACCAAAAAGGCAATGATAAAATATTCAAAGAAATTGGAACCCCGTGGGCCTTTGAAATTAACGGATAGATCACAGGGCCTTTGAAATTAACAGATCGATCAGACGGCCCTGAAGCTCAAATGCTAACATTTTCCCTCTTTCCCACCGGCACGCAGCTGACAACTTTGACGGCTGCGACATCAGCCGCAACCGCCGCATCAACCACGGCGAGACATTGAAGCTGGACAACTGCAACACCTGCACGTGCAGCGACGGCCTCTTGGAATGCAACGAGGAGGTCTGCCCGGCTCTGGACTGCGTCAAGAGCGTCAAGCGAGAGGGAGAGTGCTGCGCCGAGTGCCCAAGTAAGTCCTGTGTGCTTGAAAATCAGCAAGATTGAACCAGAATACACGACTTCCCAGCAATTCGTATCGGGATATTATTCCCAGCACTTGTAATATTTGCTATTCACCAACACATCTCTATGACATTTGAAGGTTTGCATAGTGAAGGTATACAATAAGACAAAGATTTACGCTAGCACCATGTGACAAATATTCTTTTGTGAGTTTGTGAGGTTCAGAAAAGAAGTGGGGGAAACTCAACGTTTTGGACAGAAAAGGGTGAGTAAAAAAAAGAAATGAAACGCAAATGTTGTGACCATTGTTTTAGTGAAGTTCTGCATGTAGCACCTTCAAAATCTAGGATAAGAAAGCTTGATTCATAAGCTTTCTTTTAGTACAAGAATCATTCAAATCACTTATGCACTTTAAGTTACAAAATTTTAAACACAAAATTTAAAAGTTCTGTCCTCGGATCACAAGAAGGTAAGTGTTCTTTCAGCAAAACGTAAACAAATCACATAGGGATATGTATGAATTGTTTTCGTTTCGCTGAAAGAACGCACACCTTTTTTTTGTGATCCGTGGACAGAACTTTTAAACGGTGGTTGTGTTTAAAATGCCGTAACTTGAAAAGTTTATGAGTGATTTGAATAAATCTTACACTCAAAGAAAGCTTATGAAGTGGGCTTTCATATCCTAAATTCTGAAAGCGCTACATGCAGAACTTCACTAAAACAATGGACCCGACATTTAGGTTTCGTTTTTTTTTTTTACTCACCCTGTATTACAATTTACATCTTGACGGTTAACTTGAATCGATATTTGTTTTCTTTTTTTAACTTTTAACAGTCCCAGTAGGCGAGGGTGACTGCACATTGGACGGTGTGGTCTACCGCAACACTGAGACCTTCGAGGATCCCGCCGACAATTGTCTGAAGTGTGTTTGCAACACGGGTGAAGTCACCTGCGGACAGCCAGGAGAACCCTGCCCACCGGTGGAGTGCGCTGCCCCTATCATAGTGGATGGAGAATGCTGCCCGTCCTGTATAGGTATGGTAACTGGCTCCCCGTCATGGGGGGTTGTCATTCAAAGATTAGTTACCGGGAAGCAGCTATATAGGTATAACTGGTACCCTGATATGAGGATTTTCAGTTGTGATATGTATCAAGGCAACCAGGTAGAATGACTGGTACCCTGTCCTGGGGAGATTTCATTCATGATGCATCGGTGTGTTGGGAACCAGTTATCGGTTAAGTAACTGGTACCCCTTTCGTGAGGGTTTTCATTCAAAATGCATTAGTGTGTATCAGGAACCAGCATTCACTGGTAACCTGCATTTGGGATTTCATTTGCAGTTTATCAGAGTGTGTTGGGAACCAGCTTGTACTTAAAGGTGTTTCCGCCTCTGAAAAAAAAAGTGTCCACGGGTCATCTTCAGCGGCTAGGTCTGTATCTGTATGTTATAGTCGGTAAAGCATCCCAGGGGAAACATCACACCAACTTAGAAAGAAGACATTGAGAAGCAATTACAGTTTTAGAGGTGGGAGGAAAAGCCCAGAAGATATTCTGGGGAAAACCCACAGGATCAGGTACCGGCAGGGACTGAAAACCCAATCCACATATTGGCCCGGGCGGGATTCGAACCCGGGTCACAGCGGTGGAAGGCGAGGAAAGTACCGCTACACCAACCTGACTCCCCATAGTTTTAGTTTTAACTCCCCATAGTATAGTTTGACCATACCACAGCGATTATTTGTGTAATTTGTTTTTTGCTCTGTTTGATCCTACAGAGGGAGTTTGCGAGTACCAGAATAAGCTGTATCAGAGCGGCGATACATGGGACGCGTCGGACTGCGAGCACTGCGAGTGCAGCGACGGCATGGTGGTCTGTGCCATTGAGGATTGCGCTGCCGGCCCATGCTCCACTGACCATATCACGGTCCCCGGACGCTGCTGTCCAGAATGTCCAGGTACAGAATTAGTCAGTTGGTCTTAAGTCTGGCACCCAGACTAGATTGGGATGTTGATCCCTTAAAGGGGCACTAGATCCTGAAATCCCCGAAAATTTCATGGTTTGGATTGTTTACTTATCCTATTTGAAACATCTGGTTGAAAGGAAACCAACCTAATGTCTTACCGTTCCCGAGAAAGGGAAAAAAAAACCTGTTTGTTTACATCGGACACGACGGAGCGCGAATACGTTTTTCCCGTCGTTCCCTGTTTGTACAATGATATGCATGTTTGTCTCGGGAACAGCGGTGACCAATCCCCAATGCACAAAATATATTTTCTGCGACGTCCGCAAAAGGCGAACACTTTACGAATGAAATCACACCTAGCACCCAAACAGCTCGACTTTTTTGGGTTGCCAAAGTGGACCCCGAAATTCGTTCTCGCACGTATAATACAGGAATAACACAAAAAAAGCCCAATTGTTAAAGGATAGTTGTGTGGATGTTTATATCCTACTTTTAAATGTTCTTTCCGATAAACATCATTTCGTTCAAAGCGCGTTTTGTAGCCCAATTGGGCTGTTCCAGGACCCAGTGTCCCTTTGATACGGTCAGTCCTAATCCCTGCAGGGATGTAGTCCAGTCCATCACAAGTCCCTGCAATTCCATCACAAATCCTCCAGTTCCATCTCAACTCACAGGCTATTCAGATGAGCTTGGACTTTGACAAAGGCATTCCTTTGTTATTGTTGGTCCATTCCTCCTTGTGACTGGACTTGTGATGGACTTGTGATTGACTCAACTACGTCCCTGGATCCCTGGCAAGTGCAGTCACGCCGCTGCGACAGTCAAAGGCGCTGTTAACAAGATGAAACAAATCCAGACGTGCTCGAACATAAAAAAAGGGCGCTTTTTTTTCACCACTTTCAAAAGCCCAGTGAACATGACACACCGCATTTGCGTAGATGTGCGTATATAATCCTGTGCAAAAAAAAACACATAGCATCTTCACGTGGGTGTCAGGCGTCGTCAGCAATGCATTCAAATATCTCTTCCAGTGGTCTCCCCCAACTCTCCCTTTCTTACGATTGAGGGGGTACTAATAAGCACTCTTCAAGCATGTGTGCCTGAGTTATGCTTAGAAGCATGAGTTATGCTTAGAATCTCTCCGGTCTGCTGTATTTTTCAAAAATCTAATCATCAAATTTTGATATTTGATTGCATATCAAATATCAAAATTTGATGATTAGATTTTTGAAAAATACAGCAGACCTGAGAGATTCTAAGCATAACTCATAGACTCCACCGTGAAAAGTTACTTATCCCCAGCCACTTTTTTGACAATCTTTTCAGATGATTTCCGTGCGTGCATGGACAAGGCCGGCATGTACAGCCATGGCGACAGGTGGATCAAGGCAGACGACATCTGCGTGGACTGCTTCTGTGACGATTCAGCCATCTGCTGCGAGCACATCAGGTGCCCAGAACCAGAGTGCCAGAACCCCACCGTTATACCGGGACAGTGCTGCCCGACATGTGATGATGGTGAGTACAAGTCAACCTCTCGCCAAAAAGTAACTTAAAGAAAATAAATGAAGTGTCCTCTTCTCTATTACTCATTTCCTTCGTCTTTGCCCAAGATTGAATTTAGATAGTTTTTCAGTTTGCAGCAATGGTGGTGTCCCTGTGAGCCTAGGTACATACTTTTATTTCTTCGCATTTGGTCCCAAAAGCCTGTGAAATCCACAGCAAATGTTTTTAAGGTAGATCGTTCGTCATTGGTGCACTGTTTTGCCAAAAGAAGTAACAAAAGTGCTCCAAATCTAAAGATGGGTGCTTGATTTCAATTCAAAAGTAGTTAAGTCACGTTTTAAATTTGGCCGGAAATCAGCATCCGGGACGCGTTCTCATTCAGCCGGTTGCAGCTACGCGATGTTGCTCACCGAACCGACAAATAATAGCAACCGCGCGTTGCATTGTGTCAAGGCTTGTGCGCAACCGTTCACAGATTCACTGAATTACAAACCAAGTTTTTACAGAAATTTCAAAAAACTGCATCACTTGACGCGCATCTTTGGAAATGACCTTCTTTTATTGTTTTCTTCAAAATGACAGCATGCCAGAAAGGATAATTTCACAGGGAGTTTACTGTCATTAAACCAATTAGGCTATTCAACGATAATTTTGTCAGTTACTTTTTGGATAGCTGCAAAATAATCTAGTTTACCTTTAAATCTCCCCTATGTAAGAAAAGGCAAAAACAAAGAAAAACTAAACAAAAGAAATAATCATTACGAATCACTTGATATACTCTCCCATAACAGTCCCAGTACCCACAACCTGCACCTACAAAGGCAGTACTTACCAGAACGGCGAGCGAATTGATGAGCAGTGCTCTTCGTGCGAGTGTTCCAACGGTGCAATGACGTGTACCCCAACGGTCGCATGCCCAGCTGTGTTCTGTCCCAACCCCATACAGACTCAAGGGGAATGCTGTCCAAGATGTGGAGGTAAATATACTTCAGCTAAAATCTTTGTTCAGTGGAGTGAATCTTAACTGTAAACAAACAAAAAAAGTAGGATTTGGAAACTGTTGGAAAAACTGCCGTAAGGCTGGTTCATCCTCAAAAGCAAATTTACAACATTTAGGTAATTATTTGAGCTACAAATTTTTGATAATTGGAACCATTTCTACTCGGTTAAATATATCTGTGAATATGTTGTGACATCAAATTTGTAGTATTTGTCTGTTGTGGTTGAAATAAAGGATCATTCAAGTCACAAATGTCTGTAAGGGCCCGTGACCATTCAGCCCCGGTATGAAAAGGGCCCCCCGGTTAGCTCATCCCTTCCCAAGAAGTCCTCTCGTACCGTCCCAGCTACCGGCCCAGGAGCTGGTCCTGTTGCTAATCAGGAACTCCTCTATCCTGGGGTCTATTGTTTGCAAGTATTGACACACGTAATATATCCCAGAAGAAACCCGCTTGTGGTTTTCATCTCTCAGCGCGAAACAATAGAACACTTTCGTCAGCACAGATCAAAACCCCTGCCATGGGGTTTCGCGCACAATGGGACCGTAAATTACCAAGGCATTATGGAAGGATTTTATCTTTAATCCGGTAAGTCTGCTATTGTTCTGCTCTGGACGTTCGCTGAAGGGCAATAAATTGATGCGCCTGACTGACTTCAAAACTTCTGGTCAGACAGGACCATGTACCGGACGAGACTTGGCTGAAGATCGGACTGGCTTTGGACCGAACGGGGTACCGGGGGGCCCTTTTCATACCAGGGCTGAATGGTCACGGTTCCTAAGACACAAGTTTGGCGACTTGACACCATTTATTTCAACTTCCTACCATGTTTTTTTAACCTGTTTCCTCCAATTGACAATTCCCAGAAGGTACATCAATCTTATGAGTTTTGAGATCCTTAACTACACTGGGCCAATTATTTGCATATTCGTCATCTGCATGTTCTTGATTTGCATATTCATGCTACCTCATCTAGGCCTGGCCAGGTATTTAAACAATTTCCCCACTGATTTCCGTGAAACAGCTCAGTGCTTCCACTCTAACCAAGAGTTCCAGGACGGCGAGACGTGGCAGGACCCTTTACAGACGTGCTTCACGTGTACCTGCCTGAACGGCCTGGTCAGGTGTGGTCTGGAGTGCCCGGCCCTTCGGTGTCTGGACAGTAGCCTCAAGGACGGCGAATGCTGTCCGACGTGTCCAGGTAAGTCCTAGTCTTTCCTCACATCAAATGACGTGGCTATTTCTATGGGAAACGCACGTCTATGGGAATTGGTCTCAGCCGCTGCCCATAGATGCATGTGTAGCCATAAGCCGCAGCCAAGTAATTTGGATAAGGCCCCCCCCCCCAAAAAGTCTCCTGTTTCTGGTATGCGCGCGCGTCGCCGTAGCCATGCGCGCGTCGGCAAAATGAAAAAGTTTTTTTGTCAATGAAAGATGATGCCTCAAAACCGCCAAACTCACTGGTTTGACTGGAATTCTGCTGCTGCACAATTTTAACGTGTTTTTAGATGGGTTTATGATCGAGAATAAGCTTTATGTGGCCTCTCTGGACTCCCATAATATTTGCACTAAGTTTAGTTGGGCACCATTTGCAGTCATCAGCCGACATTTGAGGCAAAACAAATCAGGTAAAAAAAAAAATGCCGCGTCGCCGCACCACTTTTTGGCCAGCTCCATACCAGAAACCGGAGACTTTTTTTTTTTGGCCTAATGTCTGTTTTTTTTTTTTCTTCATCATTTCAACTACAATTACAGCATCTTTAGTGTACATTTAAGTTATAATTCGCTTTTGTTCAAGACATTTTTATATTTTCTTTGGTCCACTCACCTATTTAAAGGAGCCATGCGGTGAATTTTTCTCAGGAACACATTTTGTGCAACTTTCTCTTGAATATATGAAAACTAATTGACATCCTTTTTTGGGGGTTTAATTTGATTGAAAAGTGCATTTAAAATGTTCCATTCTTTTTCGTATAAGTTCCAGAGGGCACTACTACTGTGATGTCATTTCAGGAAGACACTGTTCAGTAAAGGGGTTTTCTGTTTAACTCTATCAGTGCCCGCGAAATTTGAAAAGTTTAACCCTATTAAAAGTGCCCAACTTCGAGCGTTTTTGTTAATTGTTTAAATTTCTGTAGAAAAAAAAGGAAATAAGTTTTACTCACTAAATTTGTTGTTGTTGCTCTCTGGTATGTCCTTGGTATATTGGAAAGTCAATAGTAGTCACAAGCGTAGTGATACACCCTGAAACACTGGCCTGAACACAGGGGAATTCCGCACTTTTTGCAGAAAATACGAGTGTCAGTGCTGCGGCCTCTCGCAAGAACTCGAATGAAACAAATAAATGCAGGTCGTAACTGAATGAAAATGATATTATAAGAAAGAGCGAGAACGCCCCCTTGTGATAACATACTTACTCTACCTCGTACATGTACAAGGTTTGGCGATTTCGAACTAACAAATATACCTCGTACATGTACGACTTTGGCACTGAAAGAGTTAAATTGTGAACCCAAAATGTGCTTATTGAAAACATTTTTGATCAAAGGTTGCTCGTTGGCTGGCTTACTGCCATGTACCGACACAACAACGAATCACCAACAATTTACGACAGCAAGATATCCAAAATTGTAGCAAATTTTTCTCCTGAACTAGCTGTATAATTGAGGTTTCTGCTGGAATGACATCACAGTTTTGCTAATGAATAAGAACATTTGCATTAACTTCAAAAACAAAAGGGCCAAAAATACCCTTGAAAATGGCAGGACGAAAATTGAAAACAAGGTTAAATGTGTCACAAAGGTGCATTTTCAAGGATTGCAGTAAGAAAAATTACATTGCATGGGCCCTTTAACGTTTTCAAATCTTCCCCATTGTTTGCCATACTGTCAGCTTTTTTAGATTAGTTAAGCATGCATGAGACATTAGTTATTATACAACACCTGAATAAATCCCCGTCATCTGATTGGTGGATCGTTGATCACATGTCATTGAATTATTCGTCCCAACGCGCGCGGCGCGGCGCACAGTGCAATGGAAGTTCCATTGCACACTGAATAGAACTTCCATTGCACTGTGTCACTGCTGCCGGTGGTGTCACTGTTTTAAATCAAGCTATATTGACTATGATAGTTCTCAAAACCTGTTGAACAGTTTCCATAAATTAAATATGATAACCTTGTCAAACTTTTAAACAGTTTTTAGCCTGATTAATTGGCTATTAAAATTCAACCAATCAGATGACAAGGATTTATTCAGGCGTTATATAAAACAAATAATGAATGTTTCACGTTCGTGCAATGGTAAGAATAATTTCATGTTCCATTCCACGAGGCGAAGCCGAGTGGAATGGAACATTTCATCTGTCACCGAATCTGTCACAAACATTCAGTATTTGTATACCATTGGGCTTATTTTGTTGATTTCTGGAAGCTACTTGAGCACATCCGCTGCCTGGAGGAGCCAAATCAGTTTTTATTTGTTTGTTTGCTTGTTTGTTTTTGTTATGTTTTGTTTCCTTTTATTTTTATTTTTTTTATGCATGGGAAATCTTTTTCTTTGTGGTGGAGGGAGTATTTCAGAAACTTGACTATTTAAAAGTGTCTTAGGTTGTTTTCACTTTTTTTTTAAAAAGTTGTTTATGCGGGGAGGGGGGTTTGGTGGTTGGGATATACCATTTCAGCCCAGTGTGGACAATTTTTAGAACTAGATATGCTGATATTTGAACGAATAATTCCCAAAAAAAGCCACTAATTGGGCGATTCTGCAGTTGTCACACTCAAATCAATAGGGATTGCATGAAAGTGTAAGTGCGGTTTTTTTCTTTTCTTGTCTTAAACATGCTACCATTGGCTGCAATACTACGAGTGAACCAATAACGTTGGAGAATCTATGGCCTCATTGACAATGACCAATATGACCAATAAGACCCTAATGCTGATTGGCCAACATTAAGAGTGATGTAAAAGCGTTGTGGTTAAGAATTTCATTTTGAGCTCATATTAAAAAACATCAAAAACAAGCCCCCCAAAAATAAATATCTTTTTTTTTTTAATCTAATCGAAGATCCTTCATTATTTATCCCTTTTCGTGAACTTCAGGTCCTTAAAACTGAGGCTCAGAGGTCAAGGGGCAGCGGGTCAGGTCATGAGGTCATAGGTTACCCAAGGTCGCTGGCTTGCAAGCTTCAAACCTCCATGCTTCGCTTTCAATTAAAAGCAGACTTTATTAACAAAGCTTATAGTTAGATAATCACTTCATATTAATGCTTAAACTGTATTTGAAATTTATGAACCTTGAAAAAATTTACATGAATGTAGTGTATGTTAAAAAAATGTACATGAGTGTAGTTATAGTGTATGTTAAAGAAATTTGGCACTTTAGATACATGGCGAATAGCTGAAATTGTTTTTGTTTTTTTTAATTATGCTTTTTTCAAAATGAAGTTAACATAATGAGCAAAGTTTAAATGCTTAGAACATTCTAGTACATTCTAGAGTTGGTAATTAATCAAGTTCTGACGAGACGCAAGTCAATCACAAGTCAAGTCACAAACAATTTACCTGAATTGTAAGAAAGCCACTCCTTTGTCAGTGACCATGATGACTGGACTTGCGACTGGACTTGTAAATTGATTTTGATTAAATTCTACTTTACAGTGTAAGAAATGCTGCTTATTATGTGCCAAGCAATATGCTAGAGGGTTGTGTATATTACTGCATAATTAATACAGTGGAACGCGGCTATAAGGAACCTTGCAGGATCCACAGATATTGTTCGTAATAGCGATCATTCGCTATAGCGATTTTTAGCTGCTGGTGCTGCGGTACTCGCTTTTCAATAAATAGCCCCCTTCATAACTTCACCCTGCACGCCCTGGTAGTTACCGAAAGACAACTTTGAACACGTGCCGACTATTGACAAATGTAGTTACACAGTTTTTTGGTTTACTACCTTCATCAATGGGTGGCTTTCCCCTTCTATTCCTTGGGGAGATAATAGCCACTTGTCGCTCATCTGTTGACATTTTTCAACAACAATGTTCGGTACGTTTTGTACACAAAAATCGGGAGCCATCAGGATGATGTTCGGTACAGCCGAATGTTCGGTATAGCGGTGTTCGGTATAGCGACGTTCCACTGTACTATAAACAACAATCAAGTATTCACCATACCTACTTCAAGGGCTTAAGTTGTTCACCCCTTTCACACTGGCGTTCTAGATTCACACCAATATACATGCATATATACAATGTGAGTAAAAAATTTTTAAAAAAGTCAATTTTCTCAGAAATGGATGTAGGTCGGCCAACATTTTTTTTACAAGAATTATGTCACAGCTAATGAAATTTGAACGATTTTTTTTCTTCAGATTAGCCGTGACATAATTCTGGTAAAATAATTTGGCCACCCATATTCTATTTGTGAGAAAATTGACTTTGAATCTTTGATCAAAATATGCGTTGTTTTTTTACTCACCCTGTAGTATAAGGAGCGTTGACTCGGTCAACCAAAACAGATTTGCTTTCAGACAGGCCAAGAACTGCATCTGGAAAGAATGCTCCCAGATGACACTTCTTTGGTTGTGTACAAATTCTACCGAGAGTCAAGAGCATTTAAAGTATTTTCTGACAAAATTGGAAATGTTTCTCAGTTCCAGATTCATGTCGCTTCAACATGTTTGGAATGACTGTCCTTCTTTGAGATAATATATGATGTAAAACGTGGCACCGCGATGCAGCATTCTTTCCCTGCGTCTTTCGGCACAGTCACTCCAAAGTATTCAAAATGTCAAACTTCATTCAAATCTTGGGAATGATTTGGTTGGGCCGCTTTGGGCGCACGAATTTGGCATGCCATTCTGAAGCAAGTGTGTAATCATTGGGGACTCAAACAGGGAAATCCTGCCTCCAAGCCCTGCCAATGTACTCGTATTCGCAAGTGCTTTCAGCAATTACCAGGAGTGTTAGTTGTGTTTTTTTTTATTGACTTTAACTATTCATTCCCCTATAGTTTTGAGTCTCTATACTCAGGCTCGCTCTTACAGTATTTCATTACAAATTCTTTTGTACAGTGGTAAAGATTATGTGTTGCATTTGGAGAGTGTTGATGAAGACTTGTTTACTTTTGTCTGGATGTAATCATTAAATGTAATCAATTTGAACACTGAAATAGTATGTCATTCCTCAGTTAATGTTCCATGTTTATTTTACTATTTTGTATTAAAAACAAAAACAAAATACATCAAAATGGCATTTTATGGTAACAGATGTTGGGTCAATAAGCCATTTGCGAGTGACCTATTCCCTTTGGGATTTAAATTTGAAAAACATCTGGTACACTGACTTGCTCAGAATGCTTGGAACATTTTAGCTTTGAATTCTCCAGACCAAAGACACTGTTGCTAATCACATGATTCGGGGCAAGCTCTTGCATAGTTACGTAAGAGACGCTCAGCATCAATACATTGTTCACAATGGGTGAGAATGGCACAAAGACACCAGACCATGCCGGAGCTGGGGGTCGCTAGCATAGGGCTTGCCCCGAATCACGTGATACAGTAACAGTCTTTTTGGTCGGGAGAATGCAAAGTTAAAACGTGCAAAGCATTGGAGTAAGTCAGCGTTCCAGATTTTATTCAAATTTAACCTGCAAATGGCTTAATTATTTTAGTGGGCAATTTTTTGGGGTAAATTTCTCAGCGTGTCCGTTTCGCTAAGCAAAATTGTGTCCCCGGCTGAGGCTAAGCAATACTTTCTGCTTAGACGCTCTGTGTAATTGGGCTGAAGAAAGTAAGGATAAGGTATACTTGGCAATCTTGGGTCAAGCTGTACCGTACAAATACCAAGTGAAAAGTTTCTACGTATTTTATTACAAAATTAATAATGTTTCTTGGTTTCTAACACTTTTGTAGCCATTCAGGTTATTTCCTTAATTAAAAAAAATGGCACAGGATACTACTTAATATATCAAGGAGTTAGCATAAAGATCTAGTATTTGTCATTTATGTGATGTGAATCTCTTCTTTTTGTTCAAGATATTTCCTTCGGCGGCGCTCAAGCACAGTTGTACGGCACCGTCGACAACTACTTCCTAGACTATACCATCGGCATTATTAACGCTGAGCGTCCCATCCAAGGTCGCCAACTCTGGCGGGTCCGCATGTGGAGCGCCACCCGTGATGATGGCACCGGACGCAAGATGGCCTTCCTCAAGCAGGCCCTGAACAAGGAGCAATATAGCCAGACCATCAGCACCACAGACACCCAGCTCCACTTCCAACGCTTGGAGTACCAGCGGGACTTGGGTAACCTGCCCTGCTCGGCCTTCCCGTACGTCTGCGCCGAGTTCTTAATGACTCGTGACGGCTTCGACGAATACACCACCTCCACCACGTTCGGCGAGCCGATCAGTACAGCTTGCCTTCCAGCATGTGGATAAATTGAACACAACTCCAAACCTCGAAACTTTTTAACGATCAGGCATGAACTTTTCCAAAAACCACCTGATATCCTCATTCTTTAAAAACTTACCGTGTATGTCGGTGAAAATTTAAAAGACTGTAGACTGTCTTGTAAAGCTTGGAAATTGCTCAATTTGTTGCAACTTCTAAGTTGCATGCCCGAGTGCTATACTATCGTTAAGACACAGTTTAGTTTGTTTCAGGTAAAATAATGATAGAATTAATTAAAGAGTTTTGTTCTTTCATATGTCTTCAGCTGCCGTACACCACTGTTTGGGCCGTTCGAAATTGTTAACACTCTTCTGGCGTGTCAAGTCTAACAAAACATTAACGAGAAAACTTTGACTTTAAAAGTTAACAAATGAAGCCGCTACACACTGGTCAGATACACAGAGACAGTTTACAAAATGAAGAACCAGTTTTTTATTAAGTTTGCTGATCCACCTTGGATAATATCTTCAATGTATTTGGTTTTATTTTAGGTACTTAAATAATCTGTTCAGACCAAGTTTTGTAATTTGAAAATCCGCAAGAAACCATGCTTCCAGTTTTTCTTAAACAGCATATAGTGCGACAGTGTCAGTTGAGTTTTAACCGTAGATGTGTAGATCAGTTCTTGTCGGTGTTCTTATTTGTTACTTTTAATTTGATCCACTTTGCTCCCAATTAGTTTCTTAATCTTTGTAATGACACAAAAATAGCCTATCTGATTCATTTTATGCCAATATTTCTAGATACCTTAGGTGTCATCACTTGAAACAACGCAATTCCTTTTGCAAAGCGTTCAAGACAAAACTTTTATGTCTAAAGCTTGCCGTGGTTTGTTCTAGAACCAAAGTTGTAAAGAACGTACGTTGAAACGAGGAAAGCTTTAGGGAGGAAGAAGAATCGTAATTCTCGGGCAAGGAAAAGACTAGAGTCTTGAACCTTCCAAAACGAGAGAACTTTTGGAGAGTTTCTATACATTTCAAAACAGGAAAATCTTTTTCTATCTTTTTCTTAGAAGCAGAAAGTTGGATGAATAATCTCATGTTGATTAACTTGACGTTATGTGATCAAACTTCAGAAACTGCACTAAAGAAGTGAACAGTACAAAAAAAGGCAACAATGTTACATTTTCATATTCATTTTATTAAAAAACAACATCTGTTCCTTGCACCCCAGTTTCAAAAATTCGCCCACTTATGTGTACATGGTCTTGCTACACGGTATGCTGAATAGATATCAGTACAGGAGAATAAGTTCCAGTACGTATTTTAATGTCATTTTTAATTATAAAACTGTACTCAGTTTTTTTTGTATGAATGTAATAGTTGTGTTTGTTAATGAAATAAATAATAGATTTTGAAGAGAGAAAAATGTTGTACTTGCAATTGGATGCTCCAGAGTTCACAGCAGTCCAGGACAAATTAGAAATTAATTTAAAGCTAATTTTTCTTCTTCAAAACAAAAACCACCAACTGCCTTTTTCCCAAGCTTGCTCGTCAAACTCCAATTCCTTGAAAACATATTTGCATGATCTTGTTTTTTTAGCTTACACATGTAGATCACATGTTCAGAGGTGGGGTAGATCATTTACGATTTTCTTTTATTTGAAGCAACAAAGGTGCTCAACAATTTACCTGATGAAGCTTCAGCTCTGTGAATGCTTTATATTCCGAGAAAACAATTTTCAAGGATCTTGGTGTCAATTCAAAAGTTGTCGAGTCATGTTTTGAATTGCACCCAAAATCAGCATCCAGGACACATTCTTATTCAGCTGATTGCAGCTACGCGATGTCACGCTCTGAACTGAATTATCGCAACTGTGTGTGCGTTGTGTCAATGCTTTAGCACACCCATTCACGAATTCGCCGAATTACAAACCAACTACTGACAGAATTTTCCAAAACTTTTGTTTTCTTCAAAATGAGAGCATGCCAGAAAGATTTCACAGGGAGTTTCGTGCCATTACCATCTTTAAACCAAGTAAGCTTTTCTTCATCTACTTTTTGAATAGCTGCAAATGATCTACTCTACCCTTAATTTGATTATACTCAAAAGTTTGAAGATAATCAAACATACACATACAAAACAGGCCGTCTGAAAAGTACCATGACAACGCCTCCCCCCCCCCCCCCCCCGAAAAAAAACCCTATGGCCAAACTTTGTAGTACATCATGCCAGATGTACACAACGCAAACTATGCCAAGCCTACTCTGAAATGAAAAAAACAGTTGGGCATTCTCTCCATGTCATAAGTAGAATAGTGCATGACCACAATGCGACATTTCCTACATAGATTCTCCCTCGAATGGGCCACACAACTGTCAACTCTATACAAGTAGTTGCACTGTTTCCGTCTCGTTTGACCAATGATCAGGCTTGAGCAATGTGGATTGTTGATTGCCATAGCACACTAGACATGTACATGTTATGTGGCGATGAATGTTTCACTTGTCCAGCAAACTATGAGACGTCACAATTGCTCCACGAGGCCCATTCTTCGTCTGCGCTCATTTGTCTTCATCTTGTTAGCTTCCAGCCGCTGGTGGTACTGGAATGAAGAAAATAACAAAAGCAAGGAGCAATTTCAGTCGGGTTACAGCTTGTCTTGCCTCTGTCACACATCACATATAAATTGAATAATCTGTTGCTCTTGAGCTTAAACTGGATGACTTATGAGGGACTTGTGATGACTTACAACAGATGACTTGTGATGATGAAAGGACTTGCGACTGACAAGTGAGGATAAGTGAGGGCTTGTGACATGAGTGGGGACTTGTGCAGATTTTTTAGGACTTGTGATGACAAGTGAGGACTTTTGATGACAAGCGAGGACTTATATATAACTTGACCACTCAACCAACCGGTTCTTTTCAGAACCACACTTCTTCCAAAAAGAGATTTCTTTCCACATGGTGTTACCCTCAAACTTCATAATTTATAAATTATTTAAGTGAGGACTTGTGACTAGCAAGTGGAGATCTGTAATGACAAGGAATGACTTGTGAAGACTTGTGAGGATCAACTACAAGTTTGCCTACCTCTCTGTTTAAACAGCTTCGTAGATCTGTGTCCTCTTGATTGCACACACCCGTGAACTTCTTGAATGGATTCTAGAAAGTGTAACATCAAAGAAAGTACACTATATTGAAAACTTTATATTTTGGGTATACAGTGAAATCTCGATAAGTCAAACTCTGATAACTCCAAACAACTGATTTAATAGTCAAACAAAGAATCAATTCCCTTCAGTAGTATAACAATATACAACCCTGATTAACTCAAAACTCTGCTTAAGTCGCATTTCAACCCTGTTCCCTTGAGGTTTGACTTACCTAGATTTCACTGTATCTTTTTTGGAAATTTGGTCACATTCAATAAAACATAGGTAAATGTCATGTCATTGGATAAGACGATGGGGGGGGGGGGGGGATAAAGGGAGGTTGAAGACTGTCTTGAAAAGGGGACTGGGTAGGATGGGAAGAAAGTCGAGATATAATTAAGTAGGGATGGGGAGAAAACATCTTAAAGAAAAGGCAAATTAGAACATTGAGAGTGACAATCTTTTTGAGAAGGAAAATGTAGACCTGTTTGACAAGGGGCACTTAAGAGATGTTGGTGATTCTAAGGAAAGTGCTAGGTTCGGAGAAAGAAAAATCTTTTTCCTCACATCTTTGTGGCACTGCAGCAGTTTTCTGATGAGGATGTTGCACTCCTCTGTGTGGAGATGAGAGGATAGATCAGGATGCATCTTGAAGGTTTGTACTACAGCAAGAATTACGTCAATGGCGTCAACACATCGGGCAATGCTCGGGATTCCCCCTATTCTAAACAAACACCAAATCTGTATCAGCAAGGTATGCTGTACTGCTTGCAGGAGACGAGGAGTTCTAGCTGGTCCCTACATAATAAAAAAGAAAAGAAAAGATGTCATTAACGAAAGCACCAAAAATGAAATGTATCACAATTTTTTGGTTGTTGGGGTTGTGAAGTTCATTCTTTTGTCGGGTTACGTTTGTTTCTTTGTTTTTCAGGTGTTTCATTCTATGGAGAAAACTTAAATGCCCTAGCTATTTTTACAGCAGCTGTAATGCAATTTTCAACTGCTATCTGGTTCCCTGACCTGACAATATATTCAACGTCAGGAATCAGGATCCTTGGCACTTAGAACCAGACTATCAACCAAATGGTTCTTGGACTTTATTTTCCTTTTTTTAAATCCTCCACAGCCATGGATTATAAAGCAGAAAATGAAATCTACTTAAAAAAAATAATAAAGTAGGATTTGATTAAAAACATAAAAGTAAATGAAACTAGGCCGTTAAATGCAATGATAGCAGTTGAAATTGTGTTAATACATTACCATGATTACTAGCAAAATTTTAAACATTTCATTTAGGCAAACACAGAAAATTAGCATGCTATAGGCTAATTGCCATTGGAGAAACACATATCTCTGACACTAGTTGGGACTGCCTCAATTCTAATTGGTACTACATGTACAGCAACTAAACATGTAGCCTACTTGGTTGGTGCAGTTTCAAGTGTTGCCGACACAATGAAATTGCCGGTACCAACTGCGCACACCAACAAACCAACACCAACCCACTAGCCCTGGTGGACTAGTCGTATTGCAATGAAGACTTATTCCTCCATGGGCTAACCAACCCACCAACTTTGTCAAGCCAAAATCTGTATCCCAAGTCAACTAAAATTTCGTAACTCTACTAGTACTACTATAGGATTTATAGTCATGACAGTTACAAATTGCTCTGAATAAAAAAAGAGAAGAAATCTAACGAACTTACAGAAAATACATGCAACAAATCTCACATTCACAAACCTCGACTGAATTACTGGGAAATAACATTTACGTAATAGCCTGAAAGAGGGCGCTGTTCTTCAAGATGGCGTTCCTCAGCGAGGTTTCTCTGCAAAAGGAACGGTGAGATTTATTCCTTTTATTATCTTCAAACCGTTTAGAAAAAAAATCAGGGAGGGCCAAACAGGTCTCCTTTTCATTCTTAATCATGTTAATGTAGTATTGGGAACAGTGCTGATGATTAAATTACAATAAATGGCCCACTTCCTTTATCATGTTTATATCGTTTCCCACTGGGTATGCCCTCTGACCACTGCATCATTTTCGGGAAAAAAAACATTTCGATATTCGCAATGCATATTGGGATTGGATGACAAATAAACCAGGCAATATGTGCACAAACTGATGGCGCAGATTATCAGTTTTAACTTTCATTTGATTCCTCCACATTTTATATCAAGAATTTAGTGATTATTTTGTTCACACAATGTTGCAATTTGAAACATTAATTAGGGCCTACAAATCATTTGAAAATCAATTTTTAAAGCCTACATGTATCTAGTACTAGTAGAATGATGGGCGATCGTATACGGTGTAGTGTAGGGCCCCTGTTTAGTTTTGATCAAATTAGAGTTAAGAGTGTTTTTTTATTACCCAAAAGTGATCTTTTCTTTTCAATTTCAACCTAACAATAACATGCCCAAAGCAAACTTCTCTCAATTAATTATAATGACACCTTTTTGTAATTTTCAACAGTTTCTTGGGGTAAAAATTACGATTTTCCTATGCGATTTACGGTTGTTGCTGTTCGAGTCAGCCCGCGGTGCATGTTTACGGTACATCGCCATCTTTATTTTCGTGTTGCGTTTTGTCGTTGTCATTGTGATTTTACCCCCAAATTTCCCTTAAAATTTCAAAACCCTGCCCTCTATCTATGACATACATCAGATTCGAACCGGCCAACCGATCCCGTTATCTCGGTGGTCGAGTGTTAGGACATGTGCACTAGAAAGTAGGAGGTCGTGGATTCGAGTCCCACCCGAGTGATTTTTTCCAACTTTCACTCGGGAGGTAACACACTGAGTATACAGTGTTTAAACGTTGGTGAAGGGCAAAACCTAATTTGATTTCTAAAGTTAAAAACTTAATTTTATTTACAAATTATATTTCTTAAGTTCTGAGTCAAAAGTTCAAGGGGCACTCAAAATGCTTTTTAGCTACATTAGGGAACTGCTGGAGTATGAAAATGTTTAACGGAAAAATGACGGATTAATTACAAATTATTCAAACCTGTTGCATACAACAGAGTTAAAGCTTGACTGGTTCCTGTACCTCATAGGTTTGTGCAAAAACTGCATCAATTGCTTTGTCGGGTGCACCACGAAGTGACGTATCGTCTATGGACTTTCTGCACACTATTCGTTACTTCGTGGTGCGACCGAGGGCTTGTTTGTCATCCATGCCTATGATGCAATGGGAATGTCAAATAAGTTTGGTATAAACTTTAACCCCACAGATTCTCCCTCTTACTACTGGAACCTGGAGAAATTTACTTTGAGGATTTCAGCGTCTTCTTCTATCCATCTGATCTTCCAGAGGAAGAGGCTATCAGGAGGTAAAGAGTAGATAGAAAATATCTAAATGTTAAATAAATAAACAGAGCAATATGTCAAATACACAGTGTAAAATTAATGCTAATTAATCATTAGTATGGTAAATAGTGAATAAGCGAATGCAATTTAGACAGTTAAACAAATAAACAAAGGCAATAAATTAAACAATGCAGAATCAGTATTTGTTAGTAATTAGTATATCAGTGGACAGTAAAACATGCAGTATAGACAGTAAACAAATTAACAGTAAGCAAAAATAAAACAATTTGAATTTGAAATTTACCAGTATTCACCATTAGTTGGTGGAGCTATTATTGGATTACTTGTACAAACATGGTGTTAACCACTTTCCACATTATTATAATCATAATTGAATTATCATCCTTATGTGGCAATATGTTTTTATATTTTATAGTTGAAGAAAATATTTCATTAACATTGGACAGTGACATTTTAATATATTATGTTTGTGTATGATTGGTTTATTTTCCCAAGTGTCATTTTGTTGACAGAAGAACACGAGGACGGTTGAAGGTTTGCTCCAAATCCATTGTGTTTGATCCTCAAGACGTCTCGCAACCTGTCGTCAAGGTAGGACATCTTGCATCTTCCATTAGAACATTTTACCATTTACTCAAAAAAAAGTAAAATATATTCCTGCAACTAACAACATGCCCAATCAATAACCACTGGACAACATTTTGTTTGTTGATTCAATCACGAGACCATCCCAAATCCGGTCACAAGTCTAGTAGCAAGTATGAAGTAATAAGGGATGAACACAAAGGAATGCTTTTCTCACAGTTCATTTGAATAGCTTGTGACTTGACTTGTGCCTGGATGACTAGTGACGGACTTGTGATGGACTTGGGAGGGACTTGTGATGGACTTGTGATGGACTTGTGATGGACTTGTGATGGACTAGTGATGGACTTGTGATGGACTTGTGATGGACTTGTGATGGACTAGTGACGGACTTGTGATGGACTTGTGATGGACTTGTGATGGACTAGTGACGGACTTGTGATGGACTTGTGATGGGCTTGTGATGGACTTGTGATGGACTTGTGATGCACTTGTGATGCACTTGTGATGCACTTGTGATGCACTTGTGATGCACTTGTGATGCACTTGTGACAAACTCAACTGCATTACTCCAACACTTTTAGGACAAGGGTTCCTTAAAGAGAATATACATCATTTGCTTTTGCTGTAATTTTCAGAAATGGATGGAATTGGGGGTTGGAAATATAAAGCAAATATAGTTACACTGACTTTTTGGAGGTTTTGGGTTCGAAAAATGCTATAAAAACCTAGAAAAACGATCATTTTCCTGTAGTCTGGTTCCCTGACTCCATATAAGAAGAAACAGAGCAGTTTACATACATTGGGGAATTGTAAGGTCAGGGAACCAGTCTAGCTGGCTCGTACCCGTTCATAGGTTTGTAATCGATTGCAAACAAGTGCAATGGTCAATTGGGGCCAGTATTTGAAAAAAAAGCCAGTTGTTTCCAACGCTGATCGGCCGATCAGCGTTGGAAATTGATACAAAAATACCACTTTTCTTGAAATAACAGTATACCAGGTGCCATAATTTTACAGGATGCTTTAGACTGTCATTTACCAACATCCTATTAAGGTATTTCGCAAAAACTTTGTAGTTTTATTTTTCGATGTTTGCAAATGTTGTATATTCCCCTTAAAATTGTACATTTCACATTAACAATCCACTGAACTAGTCACCCTGGTGCTGAATCCAAGCATCCACTTCATAAACAACTGCCAAATTCTTGTTGAAAACATTGAGTTAAAACAACTGGTTCTTTTTCTTTTCAGAACCGCAGAACTCAAAACAGATATTATTCACATGGTTAAGATTTGTAACTTTGCATGGTGGTAGTGTTAACTAGTGAGGGTTTGCGGTAAAACCATGTGGAGGAAGAATCTCTTTGGAGAAGACGTGTGGTTCTGAAACATCGAGTTTTACAACCAACCGGTTCTTTTCAGAACCACACATCCTCTCAAAAGAGATTCTTCCACATGGTGTTACCGCAAACCCCCACTAGTATTCACATGTGTTACCGCAAACCTTCCATTCTTTGCTCATGTCCACCTTGAAAACCTACGAGTCTAATGAACAGAGATGAAACTTTTCCGATTTTAATCGGAAAACCGACTTTTTGAATTTTCCAACGAAATTTCCGATTTTTTTACAGTGTGTCCCACAAAATTTGATTTTGTAAGGATTTTTCTCACAAAATGTCATTTTATTTCAATCATAATTTCGAAAAAAAGTTGATGAAAAGTCGATGGAAATGGCACGTTAAAATCATCGCGAACGTAGTTGTAATCTCTTTCACCAGTCGTTATTGGAGTGTTTCAACGGTAGAAACACGGGGCATAACACTGATCGGACCTTCTCCGGCTGGACAAAAGGTTAAAACATTGACAGGCGACATGGAAAAATCACTGTGTCGCACGTGCGTGCGAATATGCAATGGTACCAGCGTAGCGTACCGTACCACTGCACCGTACACCGCGCCGTCCGCTAGCACATGGCCGGTCGGAACGGGTAGCCTTGTGAACGATCTAGTGGATAAAATCATTATGTTGTGCGATTTTCGGAGGTTTCAAATTTAGTTATACTAAATGCAATGCTTTAGAAATCGTGATGATTATCTCGAGGATAGCGAAGAAAGCATTAGCGAAACATTTCACTGGCATTTGTTAGAAGAGAAAGACGATAATACCTGATTTTCCCCACGTATGAATGCAAGTGGAGTAGTGGAGTTGTATGGTTGAATGGACATGATCAGATGATTGAAGCACCATGAACGGTGCCCTTGTCTTTCGGACTTTTCCCTAGACTTTCTCAAGTAAGAAGTGAACTTCTTTATTGATGACTCCATTACTCTAACAGTAATTCGGGCATTTTATGCAATGAAAACACTGACCATTGTTTTCATCGTAAAATTTTGTTTGAATCAAAAATAAAGCAGGAGTAGTTGTCCGGAAATTGGGCATGAAGTGTATTGTACATGCATGTACATGTACATGTGTGTGATGCAGCGCGGCCCAGATTTCGGACACGTATTTTTCTATGGCATATTTTCCGATTTTTTGGCCATATGCCAGTTTCATCTCTGAATGAAGGAGTGGTATTATTTCTAAACTGTTATTGCAAGAACAGTGCCTTTTTCATCTTCCCCTTACATATCTCATTTTTTTCTTGTCTTCAGTTTCCATTACGAGAGTGCATCCAGATAGACAAATGGACAGGCCCACTTCTATCCAGGTTTGTGTATAATGTGATATAATCAAATAAAGAGCATTTAAACTTCGGTTGATAGAAAGTATTCTTTGTACTTTTTTTTTTCAATTCAATGAAAATTTCAAACCAGAAAGGAGAGAACAATTGATGTGCAGGAAATGCATATATACTTTGTAAAAGTTACTTCTGTGTTTATAATATATAATTTTGTGTGTAACATTCTGATATGCGTCATTCTATAAATTTGGGGTCCACTTTTTTCCTGTCCCTGTTACATCTGACATCTATGAGTTTATAATTCTGATGCTTTTCTTAATGCAGCCGCCCTCCATGAGTGATTATGAATAGTGAACTACCCACTCCACAAATAAAAAAAAAATTTGAAGTCCTTCTGAATGGTACTTGAATGGAAAATATAAATGACAAGGTAACGAGGTCAGGAAAAAGTGTCACACTTTGGACCTTAAATTTATAGAATGACCCAAATCAAAAGAATCTTTGCAATTTTTTTTTCAGACTTGGCAACCGTGGGGACGTCATTGTCATCCAATGTAAGCAGAAGATTGAAATGAAGGCGAACAACATCATCGGTTCTTATGAATTTAAAAAGGTATAATTATGATCTTTTTACATTGAATTTCTCACAACTTTTAACCTTTGGACCTTTGACTTAAATTTGTGACCTCAGTCTGCCAAAGTGTGAGCATTTTTTGACAAGTCAAAGAAAACTCGCTAAATGAACCAAAAGTCAATAGAAAGGACAAACAGTAAACTGTTTATAGAATTTCCGAAAATTCTGAAACAATTTTTGGGGAAACTGTCTTGGACAACAAATAGTGAAAGAATAGTTCTGAATTTCTTTTATTAAAAATAAGACAAACTTGAAATATTGGAATTTTCTTGAGAGATGCATAAAAGCCAGTATAACAGGTCAAAATATGAGAAAGAAATAAACTGAATTTGTAACTCATTTTGTCATTTAGGAAACCACCAAACACCTGTTTTCGTTGAATTACGTCACCCCTGATGACGTGCTACAAATGATGTGTCAGCTACACAGAGCATCTACCTTACCACTGGCTGATGAAGCAGGCATGGTAGGTTGACAGTTAAATCATTTTGTGGGTTCAAATCCCACCCGAGCAAGCTTGTTCAAAAGTTTGTGAGAGCCAAAACCCAGCTGTAAAACTTTAAGACTCCCCGATTCAAAATTCAACCAAAAAGGCATTGATCTGTTATATGTTTGAAGCGGACAGCTGAGCCCAGAAAGCAGTCTGGTCAAGTGAGAAAGACTTCTGCACTAGTAAGCAAAAGGAAATGGGTTCGAGCCCCACCTTAGCAAGTTTGTAACAAAAAATTTTCTTAGTAATCAGTGCACAATATTGAGAGTCTCAAATGTTCAAACCAAGGCTCAATTTTGTGGAGCTACTAGGCAGAAAAAAAGTACTATTAGCAAATCAAAATAGACAGAAAACCAGCCACTAATAAAAAATGCACCACATGAAAATATTAATTGGTCACCAGTTTTTGCTAAGTAAGTATTTTCGACAGTTAGCAAATTGTTTTGTGTGCTAATCACCTTCACAGAATTTGCCCCAGGTATTCCAGAGTCATGCCAGACCAATTTTTTCGAGAGATTAAAATTAAATACACTACATGAAAAGTTTGTCATTCGAAACAGTTAAAGGCAATTTATTGAAAGATCGACCACTGCAGTCATTCAGGACAACTCGAGAGACTAGTCAATGAAAAATTGATACATAACATTTCCCTGTCAGAAACCAAAATCTATTTGTGTTGACTCGACTTGTTCCTAATTCTATTCTGGTTTAGCATGACTCTAGAATGCCAGTGTGGAAAGGGTTTAAATCACAACTCTTATTTTCAATCATCCAATGAGATGACATGCTGTCTCCGTTTGTGCAGATTGCAGCCATCGTTTACTCCTGCTACAACCGGACCAAGTTCAACACCAGCTGGCTGGAGACGCTGTACGAGCAGATCGTCATGGAGACAGTGGGGGACCACATCACGCCACTGGTGGTCAACCCGGGTCGCATCATGCTGACCTCGTCCCGACTGTACTTCCAACCCTTCAACAACGTGGAATCGGTCAGTGCAAATCACACTCTGTGGCATGCTTCGGGCAGTAAGCCCCGCCCACCTTTGGTTTCTGCACATATCTTGCAGCGATTGTGACCAAATTTGACTGAGTCCATTGTGATTGTTGTCTTTTGTAACTTGTAACCATACTTGTGATTGACATGTGATTTGATTTGTGGCTGACTTGTGATTTGACTTGTGATTTGACTCGTGATTGACTTGTGATTTAACTTGTGATTGACTTGTGATTTGACTTGTGATTTGACTCGTGATTGACTTGTGATTAACTTGTGATTGAGTTTTGATTGACTTGTGATTGACTTGTGATTGACTTGTGACTGACTTGTGATTGACTTGTGGCTGACTTGTGATGGACTTGTGATTTGACTTGTGATTCGACTTGTGATTCGACTTGTGTTGGACTTGAGTACCATACAAAGTGTGCTGTTACTGTTGACAGTAAACTTGCACTATATTTGTAAATTGTAAACGTTTGTATTCTTACCAGGTCCCTGTTATCAAAATCAAGTTGTCGGACATCAAGAGACTAACCAAGAGAAGATTCCTCCTCAGAGAAGTGGTAGCTAAATAATTCTTTGTCTTTCTTTAAGTTATTAAAAAAATATGTCTGTGCCTGGTACATTTTGATGGATTCTTTATAATTTCCCATGGCGACAGAGCAGAATCAAAAGAAATGACGATACTGTTTTGTGGGTTGTTTTTTCAGGGCCTTGAAATCTTTTGCACAGAGGGATCTTTCAAGTCGGACATGTTCCTGGCATTCTCAAAGCCGGAAGACAGGAATAAGCTTTACAAGAACATACTTGCCCAGGAAGGTATGAAGATAACTCAGTTGCCATTAAGAAGTGACATTCACCCCATCATTCAACATAAAGTCGACTACCAATTTTTTTTTAGTTGCAATTGGGTCATAGGTAGATAACTAGTCAATCAAAATTTCACTCAAAAGTCAGGTAAAAAAAATGATAAAATATACAATGACTTAGAAATTTCTTTTGTCGCTTGTGATATCTCACTTGTCATGTGTCACTTGTCTCCTGACATGAGATTAGATGATTTGTGATTGTCCTCTTCTGAACTTGTGATCGACTTGAGGATGTTTTGTTATTTATTACAACTCGTGAATTAAGCCGTTTACTGCTCCTGAAGTCTAGTCCTGAGGGGCCAATTTCATAGAGCTGCTTAAGCACAAAATTTGCTTGAGCACACAAAAATCTTGCTTAGTAAAATCAGGTTACCGGAAAAAAACTTCATGTGATTGTTATGCTAAAGTGAACAACAGCTAAATACCAGTCAAAAGCAGTGTACATCGCATGGAGTTTTGGCTGGTAACCTGATTATATTAAGCAAGGTTTTTTTGTGCTTAAGCAAAATTTGTACTTAATCAGTTCTATGAAATTGGCCCCAGAATCTAGGGGTAAATTTAGCATATGGTTCCAGTGATCATACTTTTTCATTTTATATAAAACCAGCCTGACTCATTTGCATCCATGTTTTAGGTGTTTCTTTGAAGGAGTCAGCTCAGGAAAACATGACACTGCTGTGGCAGAACGGCGTCATCTCAAACTTTGACTACCTGCTGTACCTGAACAGGTAACGCTCCCACATTGATCTGTCCAATATTTCCTCTCTTCCTGCCCCATTAAACACATTTTACATCACAATTTGTGTGCACACTCGGCCATACCAAGTGCCGGATCTGAGGGCGTATGACATTTTAATGATATCAGGATGGGGAAATCAGAGGTTTAAGAGCTGATAAAACTAAAGGGGTTTATGAAATCCTGGCTTCAACTGTAGCATTGGCTTCATCTTCAGCCAAAGATTCATTAAAAATCCTGCCATGTTCAAGTGAATGGTCTGGGTGTGACACCAACGAACTAAAAGCAGCAGCACTGGAAAGACGGGCTGTGGTGGGAGCGGAGCCAGTGATCCCAACTGTGTATAATTTGAGGAGGAGACCACGGGCAAATGCTTATGTCTAACGAATGAATGAATGAATGTTCAAGTCCAAGAAACTACACAACAACCATTGGCCTTTTGGGACAGGATTTGGTGTCTCGACCGTAGAGAATGGACCAATTATTGTCCTGTAGTCTGTTAAGTCTGGGACTAAACCGTGCCGCTGAAGCCGAAGCTTGAGTCAAAGCCCAGATTTCATAAACCCCTATATTCTTGACCTTTGACCCACAGCCAAGCAGACAGGAGCTTCAATGACCTGACCCAGTATCCAGTCTTCCCATGGGTCATTGCAGACTATATCAGTGAGGAGTTGGACCTGACGAACCCGGAGACGTTCCGAGACCTGAGCAAGCCCATCGGGGCACTCAACCCACAGAGATTAGAACGCTTCAAAGTGAGCATGTCACTTTTATTTATTGACTTATGATTTTTTTTTCTCAGTCTTTCTGATAATGAAGCCAAGAGTTTTTTAATTGTGCACATGCACTGTAGCTCACAAGACTGAAGAAACTGTTGAATTGTAAGATGGGGAAAGAAATTCCTTGTTTGATATTTGGGGAAAATCCCAGAATCAGGTAGGGGCTGAAAACCCAATTTACACGGGAAAGGTTGTAAGGCGAGGAAAATGCCACAGTGTCAACCTGTCTCCTCAAAGTTATGCATTGTTCATATTCAATCACTTTAAAATGCCAGAGCGTAGAAATGCATTTGGTAAAACCAAAATTCAAAAATTGAAATTTACTCTTTTTATTAATGCTAGGAACGGAAGGTTGACATGCCAGAGCCCAAGTTTCTCTACGGTTCCCACTACTCTACCCCTGGCTACGTGTTGTACTACTTACTGCGAGTAGCTCCGGAATATGCGCTGTGTCTGCAGAACGGCCGGTTTGACCAACCGGACAGACTTTTTAAAAGGTACCCCAATCAATATGTAGAATGCCATGGTCCAGTGGTTACGGTGTCTGACTCACGTATGATGGTGCGTGGGTTCGAACCCTGCCAGGAACATGGTGTTTGTGCCCTTGGGCAAGACACTTAACTACAATTGCCTCTCTCCACCTAGGAGTATAAATGGGTACCTGGGAGGGTAGAGGACTGAATGTGCACTGACATCAGCTGCCGCGTGGTCCTGATGAACGGGAGAATAATTGTATAACATTTTGAGACGTTTCGTTTGAAATTTCCGTTAGTATTTTGTTTTTTTTATTCGGTGAAACGCACGCAAAAATGGCCCAAATGTTGGCACGATGCACATGCACGTGCAGTTGCTATAATTCGTCGGTTCAGTGCGCGACATCGCGTAGCTGCAATCGGCACAGTGAGAACGTGTCTCGGGCGCTGAATTCAGGCCCAATTCAAAACATGACTCAGCAACTTTTGACTTGAAATTGAGATCCTAGAATATTGTTTTCTCGGAATATACAGCATTCACTGAGCTGAAACGTCATCAGGTTAGTTGTTCAGCACCCCTCTTTAGATTTTGAGCACTTTTGTTGCTTCAAACAAACACAAATTACAAATGATGGACGCTACCTTTAATAATACACACATAAAATCACGGAAACCAGGGGCCAATTTTATGGACTTTCTAAGCTCAGAAATTTGCGAAAGTTTCAGCAAATGTGTTTTCTTTTTGGCTAAGAAAAAAACGATTTCCTGGCAAATTGTATTCGTGCAGATTATTGACTTTCATCTCTTTATCTCCCCAGTGTTGCAGAGACATGGAGCAACGTCTTATCCCTGCCTTCTGATGTCAAGGAGCTCATCCCCGAGTTCTACCAGCCGGAAATGGCCGATTTCCTCATCAATCGCAGCGGGTTGAACCTAGGGGTGCAGCAGGATGGGTCAAAGGTTAACCGAGTGGAGTTGCCGCCTTGGGCAGATGGTAATGGCCAATTTTGTTCATTTGAGCTTATAATTTGTCTAATAAACCTTTTCATGCTATTCAAAGTCTATGTGTTTGGCCTGGGTTGAACCCCAAGATTTCTGGAACGTCTTTCACGTAAGCAAGAATCCAACATGGCTTCTCTACACGGGTAAAATCCAACCCTGGTCAGGACCAGGGTGCGTAATTTTTATTCCTAGGAGGGTTAGGGGCAATGTCATGAATAATTCATGTTTATCCATGAGAACGGACAATGACATCAACAGCATTGTTGTTAGTTACTCAACTAGTTACAATACATTAAAGCATTTTAAAGATCGGTTGTCGTCGAGCTACCACACAGTAGCCTAGTGGATAGCGAGATGAGCTTATGGATACAAAGATCCCTGGTTCGAATCCACGTCGTCGCTGCTCATTTTCATCAGCTATTTTTCTTCTCCAAATTTATCACTGAGATAATTTTAAATTAAGGGGAAAATAGAACGAGAACCTAAGTCTTGCAATGATTCAAAGGAAAAACTGAATTATTCATGACATTGCCCCTAACCCTCCTAGGAAAAAAAATTACGCGACCAGCGTTGAGAGGCTTTTCCTGGATAGAGAATCCAAAAGCTATTTAAAATTGAAAGTTCCTTCAATAAAAGTTTGACTTTGCTAATATTTTAACTCTCAATGGAGAGGGTAAGCACGATTTGAATTAACTACATGAGTGCCAAGGGCTCTCATGTAGAGCTTATGTATGCATGTTAGCAGTGGGCTTGGGTTTTGCAAAGGCATCTAAACAATAATCTAAACACATTATGTATAGAGAGTTAATAATTTTCTTGATTCTTCAGACGAGGTGGACTTTTGTCGGAAGTGTCGCAAGGCTCTGGAGAGTGATCATGTTTCAAACCATCTTCATCATTGGATCGATCTCATCTTTGGGTACAAGCAGCGGGGACCTGAGGCTGACGAAGCTGATAATGGTGGGTCATTTTCTCTTGGTAAACACTTCAGCTGTGGTTTAAGACAGAGAATTGTGGAATAGGGGCTAAAAACTAAGGCGAACAATTTGTAGGACTTGAGGCTAATTTGATTAAGAACAAAAATTGAATTTGGGAATTGGGGGTATATGATGAAATGGTTTAGTAATTTCTTGAGAAAAGAATGTATTTTTCCAGAATTTGCAAGAGGAAAAAACTAAAAATAAAAAAGAAATTGTGAAATTTTAGATATAAGCGAGTAAAATTCTTTCTTAATTATAACAAAGTCTTTTGAGGCTTTCTTAAAGAGAGAGTTTTTTTCCAAATCACAAAAGGGAAACTGAGAAGGTTTACCTTCAATAAATATGAGGTTGGACAAAGAAATTGTCTGGAGGGGGATTTGAACCTCAGACCTCCATATCAGCACTGTACCAATATCAAGTTTTATTTTGGCGTTCTCCTAATTAACACTGTGATTTTTTTTAAACAATCCATTCACGTTTCATTACGCTTTGTTTTGTTACCCTGCGCAGTGTTTTACTACCTGACCTATGAGGGCGCTGTTGATCTAGACAGCATCAAGGACCCCAACGAGCAAGCGTCGGTCAAGGTGCAGATCATGGAGTTTGGACAGACGCCAAAACAACTCTTCACCAAGCCACACCCAAGCAGGTTGGTCGAGAAATAGTGTCCGACCAGAACAAGTAAAATGACATTTGGCCATCCTTTCTTCCAACAGACCTGAGACCTAATGGATGTCACGCTTTGTTTGCATGTACGCTTTCTTATGGGAGCTTGGTGGATCTCGTCCCTACCTGGCTCCCATAGAAAAGCACACACGTAAACAAAGCGTGACGTCATTCTGTCTTTCGAAAGAGAATTTAAGTACAGTTGGCAGAAAAATTTCTAACCTGTGTGCCAAGTTGAGAAAAATGGTTAACAAACCACTGCTGTAAATGCTTTCTCACCAATAGATTTTCCCCTGCCGTGCCAGTGTCAAGACATTCCAACAACAGCAGTCCAGTTCCAGTCCCACAACCCGTCGAAGAGGAAAGTGCAAACGAAAGGTTAAGATCTGACTCTGATGCCTTCACAGACACTCACACAGACACACAAGATCTCGAGGAGGACACAGGTAAAAAAAAAAAAACACACACATTTTCCAATTTTCTCCCTTTCTGGCGCTAATTTCATGGTTCTTGGTGGTTCTTGGTTGGTTCTTCTCCTAAATACTCCACGTGGGAGTTTATACAGGAGGCCAGAAACACCGGGGCAAACCCCTTCTCTTAGCGATAAGTGTTTACTGGGTTCTTTTACGTGCATTTATACAACACACGGGACCTACGGCTTAACGTCCCATCCGAAGGACGAAGCAATAATGGTTAAGTGCCTTGCTTAAGAGCACAAGTGTCCGCTGGCAGGCTCGAACCCACGTCACTGTTGCCTCTGAAACACCAGAACATGAGTCCGGTGTCCTTAACCGCTAGGCCATCACACTCCAACGGATACTGGGAGGGGCTAAGTACAACACTGTGCTTAACTTAAAACATATTGCTTAGTAAGAAAGTATGCTTTTCAGATAAAGGTTACCAGCTAAAATATCATGCAGTGTTTACTGTGTGTGACTGGTTCTCAGCTCATTTCTGCTAAGCATATAACTGGCTTTCAAGAATTACTACTTTTCCTACTTTTGCCTAGTGTTTTTTTAACTTGCTCCTACTTTTCCTACTTTTTTCTTGAAATTTCTACTTTTTCCTACTTTTTTTTCCCACAACTCCTTAAAAATGAAATCTCATTGTTTTTGGGGGGGAAAGAATTCCATACATGGACATCACTATTTTTTCCCTGCAGTGATCTATCAGCTATCAGAAAACGATAACATATCTTTAAAAAGTCAAATTTAGCAGGAAAAATATTGAAGCATTTACTGAGAAAACACTTAACAAATTTCAGACCAGTCTCATAGGGTTTGTGCACAGGGCTTCAAGTGATGTCCAGGTATGGCACTCTTTCCGTTTATTTTTTAAATAACAGTGTTACACACTGTCATATGTAAATCACACAATGAAGGGCTTGGGCGCAGGAGTACTGCAACTGTACTTCCAAGAGCTTAGTTGAGGATGGAGCACAAGTGTTGTGAATACAGAACATGCCAAATGAGGCTAATGGTGCTGTTGACATGGGTGATTATCAAAGAAAACTGCTCCCGAAAGCCCGTAAAAAAGCCTACTTTTATCCTGATTTTGTCCTCCAAAGTCCTACTTTTGTCCTGGTGTTTATTATTTGTATTTTTTTGATGCTACTGTTCTAGTTTTTCACCTGGGTCTGCCATGCAATTAGCTAAGCAGGATTTGCACTCAGGTTGAGTGAAATTTAGACATTGGTTTTTTTGTCGGTCTGCAGCAAGTGCCATACAAAGGAAAGGTTCACTGTTGTCGCATCAGTGGGATCGTATGGATCAGTTGCAACCAGCCTGTCAACACAAACTACACAAAGAGTGAGATATTTGTTTATTTTTTTCACAATTTTTTTTTTTTGGTCAGGGAGATTTAAATTGTGATGATGGGTTTTACGATCAAGCTAAATGAGTGGTTTGTCGGGAAATTTCATTTGGAGATACAGGCCAAAATAGGACCACTTCATCACATCACTTCATCACATCTCTTGGTATTCCGACTTCCATAATTTTTGAACTAAAGATGGTATCAGCATGCGGTTTTCACAGCAGGAATGCTGAGATGGTGCTCTTTCCAAATCTGTAAAAAAAAATTGACCAGGGTCGAAAAACAACTTATCTAGCTTGATTGCATCACATTTACAAACATTTCTTCATTAGCACTTTCTACTCTGAGGCAGAGCTCGAACCCACGACCTCCTGCTTACAAGTGCTAATATCTTTAGTACTTAATCACATCAATAGCAATAAGATAATGCTTCCAGGTGTACTGTGCTGCCAAACTCAGTTATCTAAACAAAATACCTATGTTTTAATTCATGGATCTTCAATGTCCGCCAAGATTGCGCTGGCGTCCACTCCAAGAAATGCAATCCTCGAATAAGAAAATGAGTGCAGCTTTCTGTCATCTGATCACATTTCAAAACAGGTTATCTCTTTTTCATATCGAGGTCCCCCCCCCCCCCACCTGAAGATGTATTTTTATAAACACTGCACACTCGGCATCGCCCAAGAACCCACACAACAAAAATTTACAAGCCCACTCGGGCAAAACCAAATACAAAAAAATTACATCTACCTCAGGCAGACTTCTTCTCAGAGAAAAGGTCTATCCCTCATTTCTACACCTGCTTAATACATAACTATTTGACTTCACCTTTTTCTGTCCAGTACCGTCAAAGATGTCCAGGTCTCAGACGATGGGAAAACGGTATTCTCCGTGTCTCAAGGTAACGGAAATTCTGTTGTCTCTTTGTCAAGAAATATGTCTCTTTGTCATGGTTGAAGCATTATTCGGGCACAGAACTTATAGTTACGTAAAGGCAGTAAAAGGATTGATCACTACATGTACTTTTTTTTGTATAGACACTAGTTTGAAGTTGTACTCACTTGAGGACCAGCGACAGCGACGTAGCATCAGTATATCCAGCATGCCGCTGTCATCGCTGAGTGCAATGCCTGATGGGAAGACAGTACTCGTAGGATCATGGGACGACTCATTGTAAGCGTTAGAAAAATACTTCCTGGATATTCATGTTCTAATTTCTGAAGAAATCGCAGTGATGGAAATTTTGAAACAGGGACATTTTACTTTTCAATATTAGGTTTTGTCCTCACACCGTTGTATGTTATGAGCACTGAACACCATGTGCTGTCTGCGAGCGTGCAAGGAAAACAATCACAAGCTGACTCAGGTGGGACTCGAACCCATGACCTCCTGCTTACTAGTGCAGACATCTTAAAGGGCCCATGACTTGAATTTTACTTGGGAACATTATTTTGTTCAACTTTCTACTCTTAAATGTTTGAAAACTATTTGACATCCCTATTTGGTTAATTTTATTGAAAAATGCTTTTCTTTAAAATTTGCAATGCTTTTCCTGACAAATGAGGGCGCTGTTGCCGTATTTCATTTCAGGAAGACACTGGTCAGTTTAAGGTTTTCTGTTGTTGATCCCAAAATTGTGAACCCAAAATTTACTCCTTGAAAATATTTTTTAGGAAACTTTGCTCATTGGCCTACTGTCGTGTACTGACACAACAACAAAAATCACCAAAGAACATAGCGTTTACGGCAGCAAATTATCATAACTTCTTGCAAATTATTGTGCTGAAATAGCTGTAACATTAAAGTTTCTGCCTGAAATGACATCACACTTTTGATCATGAATATGTAAATTCTCATTAGCTTATAAACCAAAAAGCACCGAAATGTCCGTAAAAACTGCAAAATGACAATTGAAAATCAGGTTAAATGGAACACAAAGGTACATTTACAAGGATGGCATTTAAAAAATAAATTTACATGGGCCCTTTTACCATTTGACCATTGAGCTTGCTTGGGTTTGGCTGGCCGCAATTTTTTTTTCCCAAACGACATCCGCATATGGGTGTACGCTATGGCGTTTTGGACTTCTCTAAAAAAAAAAGGACTTCTCTAAAAACATGAGAAGAAAATATAAAATTGGAAAAAAGAAACAAATTCGAAGGTAAATGAAATTCTGACTTATTTCCCTTTAAAAAAAAATCGTCCGAAACCCACAACCTCGCGGTGCAAAATCACGACCCTCTCGACTGAGCTATCGCACTGCACGACAAGTCCTGGGGAAAAAAGTAATTACATACCTGCGTACGTATCATAAAAAGTATCATAGAGTGCGCTAAACAACCATGTATGTGGATGTAGTTTGGGAAAAGAAAATTCGCTGGCTGGCCGGGTGGAATCTGATGTACCAATATCTTGCATGATCACATCAATTCCCAGATACTTGTACTCCATCGAGTATGGCCGCATCGTTGACAAGCTGATGGCTCACGACGATGCGGTGTCGGCGCTGCATCTACAAGGCGAGGTCTTGGTCACTGCATCCTGGGACTCCACGGTCAAGGTCTGGACAGTGGAGGACCTGTGCGGCCAGAGCAACGGGACGGTCAGGTTGAACAGCGTACAGATGACCGCTGAGTTCGATCATGAAACGGGGGTAGGCTTATTAGTCTGTGAAACTCTCTGTAAAAGGGTCATAGTTGAGAGACCTCAGTGTTTTCTTTTCTGCACAATAATGCTGTTTGAAGCAAGTGTTGTTAACAAAAGTTTATCTCACAACATCAAGCATCGTTTGCACCTTCCAAGTTAAATTTGTAAATTTTTGAAAATCTACCAAACAATTGTTCAAACAACTTCCTATCTCTCCTATCTATCTTTCTGTTTGTATTCACATTTTGAACAGGCCTATTGTTTATAAGGCAACTGATGAAATTTACAATGTTTACGTTTAAGATTTTGAAGTTTAAGATTTTTGCACACAAGTGAGTCATGGAGATCATGGTAGCACCGTGCTCATATGAAGACAGTCCTGAAGACAGACAGAGCATTCTCGGCTAACTCTTTCAGGCCCGCACAAATTCATGTATATAGTGTGACCGCAAACTTCATGACTTGTTGGCTCTCAACCATGCAAAGCTCCAAGTCTTACCTCATATTCAAATTGTTGTCAAAAAAGCGTTAATTCAATCACAGATTGTCATGAAGGTAAATTTAGTAGCCAATGGGCTCCGTGCGCCAGCGAAAGAGGGTGCCCTTTTACCTAGCAACGACGTCCCATGGGTGGGACATTTAGCTGGTTGACGCGCACCGTTCCTTGTGTGTGACGCACCTACACCAGCAGCTGCAGGGGATTTGTATTATGTACACGCAGTGGTACGGCCGCGCGTCGCGGCAAAATTGCAGTCAGGCAAGATGGCGTCGGTCGGTCACCCCCAACTGTACTTTCTTTGCCGTTGAGGGGGTGCTTGTGAACGGAGCGGGTAGGCAATGTGCAGATATGTATGTATTTCTTGGCTTTGTGTTACAGGTGAGCTGTCTGGACGTGAACGGTGATAATTCGTTAGTCTTATCTGGGACAAAAGACGGTGCAGTGTACATATGGGATGTCGGCTCTCAGTCCGTGCTTAGATCTAGCATGAGCCACACTGGTATGGTGCATGATGTCAAGTTTAGCCCAGGTAAAAATATTGTTAACATATAGATTCATGTTTAAATTTATTCGAGCGATAACTTGGTGTGCGAAGCAAAGCCTGGTGCAACCTAACCTAAAGACTGCCTCAATCTGTAAGGGAGGGTATCTTTATCCAATTTACAGGTTCTTTCCGATTCCTGGTAGTTTGCCAGGTTGCCAGAATCTGAGCATTTTGATAAAGCTGAGCTCCACCGGAAAGCTTAGCCTGTTCATGTCCACCATTGTTAGGAATCTCTAGCTGTACGTTTTTTTGAAAATGTGTGATCACCACACATTGTCATTTTAAGATAATATGAATCATTTTTTAGTAAGACAAAAACACTTTTACACTCTTTTAAGTTGGCATTATTGAAATATATTCAGACCATCTAAGACTCTGTGGTGAGATGGGTTTTGCAGTTCATTTTCTGATTGAGCTTTGTCCTCATGCTTGACTATTAACTAGAATGGAACAACATAAATTTGCGTCTGAGAGATGTATATATTGTTCGGTTTGTTTCCACAGATGGGAAGATGATTTTGTCCGCTGGGGAGGATCGCTTCATGAGAGTGGTCGATGTTGGGACTGGAACGGAAGTATTTGCCAAGGAGACTGAACACGAAATAAGGTAATGGAATCACTTCAACTGCTACAAAAATGGTTTAGTTTCTACTACAAAATAGGCCATATCATTGAGCAAATGTGGGCACTGTAATAATGCCAATTACTGGGTACAAACTGTAGAAGTATGACGTTGAAACAATTTATAAACATTACTTCAATCCTCTTTCAATCTACAATTTAAGAATGTAATTTCTGATTTATAGCAACATGTGAATTTACGGCAATAACCCATGGCTTCATTAACCCTAACCGCCCTGAATCCTTCAAAATCCTCTTTGCCAAAGTGGAGGAATTTGGAGGATTGAGGTTACATGGCAAAAGTGCGTTACTGATTTCGTAGGATGCACTTTGTCAAGGTCTTGGGCCGGACCTTGTGTTGTTTTTGCTCAGCCATGCATAAATATAGGCCTGGATTATGCTTGAAATCCTTCGTACTGCTCCAGGATGTCACGTGCCAAGCCTCCACATATTGACAGTCACTGCTGCAGGATTTTGCAGGATTCAGGCAGTGGTCACCCCTCCACGGACCATATTCAAGAAATAATGGAGGAATTTGCAGGATTGAGGCTATATGCTATTTTTTCATGAGGCCAATTGGAGGATTTTGCAAGATTGAGGCTACATCCTAGCAAAAAGGCCTTGGGAGTTAGGCTTAAAGTGTCCTCAGTTGCATAAAGAAAATGGCCTGTTGAGAAAATTAACAGTTACACCCAACACAGAAATGACGGTTAAAAAAAAGCATGGAGTTTTTACCGTTTTTATCATTCCATTACGAATTCACTATAATATGGGGGGTGGAAGTGGTTATTTGGGTTTTTTTCCCCAGAGCAACAGCTTTTCAGTGTTTAATTTGCCTGTTTGCATCTTTTTTTTCATTGGTCTGATGTGTTCAGATGTGTTTGTTGGAGAGAGAATACGGTGTTAGCAGGGAGCTCCAGTGGGGAACTGTTGGTCTGGGATATGGTCAAGGCTCAGCTCACAGCTACCATTCCTGGGCATGACGGTAAGTCAGTGTAGCAGACATGAAACTGGCCTATGGGGAATTTTTTTTAAAAAAATATGCCGAACAAAAATCTGTGTACAAAATCTTGGCCGTGCTGCAGTTACACATGTACATGTACATATACCTATTTACAATACACTTCATGCCCAATTTCCAGACACTGTCTCCTATTGTATTTTAGATCAAAACGAAATTTATAGCATTGCATTTTGTACAACTCAATCTGAAACATGTGGCTTTTATTGCAGTTGAACTCCACGTGCAACAGCCTTGTAGCTCTGTACGTAGCTAGCTAGCTACTATAGTTTCAATCATTATGTTAATGCTTAGACTTATTTTCCAGCTGTAAACTTCTCCAATCTGGACTTACTTATGTGCGTCTACCATATAATTAGTACACTGACGACTGGTAGAACAGGTTTCTTCAAATTCGTTGAAATTTAATTACAAAAATCAGACTTATGCGTGGAAAAGATTGTCAAAAAATCGGAATTTTAGAAATAAATTTGAAAAAGTCGGATTTCTGATTAAAATCGGGAAAAAATTCATCTCTGGTGTATATATTTAGTGTTGTGGTATCTGCGGGGTAGCAATGCCAGTAAAAATGCAAACAATCAGTTTATTGTCTGAGTGTTAGTAAGACCACAAAAACCAAAGTCTTCTAAAATATTTTGGCATCAGAAATTGTTATTATTTTTTTCCATTTTTATTTATACATGTTTTACCTACAGATGCCATCAGTTGTATACAAGCAACGAGCGATGGACACACAGTGGTTACCGGGGGAACCGACAAAAAGGTCATCGTGTGGAAGGTCAGGTGACCCGACCGATGAGGTCAGAGGGCAATAAGGTCAACCGATAGCAAATCACAAAGGTCAAAGTTCATGAGAACTCAGACTAAATAAAATTTACTTGAAGAAAAAAAGCAATGCAATAAAGTTGTCTTGCCAATTAAAAGTTTTGCAAATCGAGAATTTTTTTGCGAAGGAAAAGATTTCCTTGTGATGCACAAGTAAAGTGAAAATTGTAGTTTGTATTTAATTTGTGTCCGTCTTAACACAAAAAAAAGGAATGCTGAATAACATGAATGGGCATTGTTACAGATATTTGAAGGCTTTGGAGTCATTTTTATTGGAATTTTTTTTCTTATTAGATTTCACGTTTTTCTTTTTAATTTTCCCATTTTTGGGTTAAAATTGTTTTAATTTGGTACTTAACTCTTTGAACTCTTTTTAGTTGGTTTTTATTAAAATATATTTTTTGGAAAACAGTTTTTGTTACTGTTTGGGATCACAGCTCAATTTTGCACATATAAAAAAATATATAATTTAATGAGTATATTACTGTACTGGATGATAAATATTTAAGTAGAATAGAATTTGTACAAAAAAAATACAAAAAACAGTTTACTTTCAATTTTTTTGAATTATCAAGTTTTTTTTTAATTTATTGGCACAATACTCTGTACAGATTGTTGATTTTTGGAAAATTGAAATTAACTGCTATGAATTAAATGGATGTTTTGTATCAAATTGAATGCAATGTAACTATAAAGGTGATCGTGTTAATTGAAAATTTCTATTGGCAGGGAGGGGCCAAGTATCTTCAGAAACCGAGTTTGGAGCTACTTTGAAAGTCTCTAATCCTAATTTGTGTTTTTGGTGCTTTTCATTTTTGTGTCTAGTTTGGTGTCAGACTTGAGACAAACTTTGCGACAACTGAAATATTAAAACAACAGCTCATTGAAATGTGGGCCATTTTGGATGTTAATATGGTATTCCTGGATAGAGCATTTAACAAATATTTGGTATAAATGGTATAAAAAAAATACACAGATTTTGGCGTGGTTTTTTTTGGGAGGGGGGGGGGTTGGGATTTCAATTCCAACCCCCCCAAAAATCTGTGTCTGACCAATACGAATATTTTTGATGAAATGATTAAATATCCCTACACTAATAACATGAAAATTAATGGCTATGAAAGTTATTACTTTTGTTAAGATTTTAGGCTTACAAATTAATCTTTACATCTTTCAGTACGTTATGCATGTTTGTTATATCGTGTGCTTGGATACTGTAATACTCATTGATCTGCAATGGCCACGTGTCCAGTCTGTAAAAATGCATATACACTGTACACTGGGCTTCATATGCTCGGCATATAAATTACCCGTGCGCTCGCCACTGAGAACTGCAACCGCCGCTAAGTTTCGCATCCGGCAGGAAAGCCCGCAGTTATCAAAGGTTGCATTGTAGTGATTTCATTAATTTCTCGCATAGCAACTTACAATGGACAATCATTTATCTCTTTGACTTATTGGTACGATACAACAAAACAATTGTTGACTGCTGTGATGTGGGATATGTCGTTTTCGCCTGGGGTGCTATGCGCCACTTCGGTGTTAAACAACAGCATATCCCACAGCACAGCAGTCAACAATTGTTAAATATTTCTGATCGTTTGTTTAATTAAACATTTGTCAGTAAAATTGTCATGTACATTGTATTCCCTTTGAGAACACTTCACTACAATTGTACACAACATTTGACAATAACAAATACACATCTCAAGTACCTCAATTTAATTTTTTTTTTAATTCACGTGAATGTTTATTTCTACATTCGTTTTCCTTCTGTACACAACAGAATAAAAATAAAATTAATATCCAAAAAAAGTCCCTGAATTTGTATCTTTTACTTTAACTAGTTTGTACCTAAATGGATATTTTGGTACCCACATCATCTTCCGAAACTTATCGGTAACTTGCTTTTTGCAACTTGAGTTTGATCATCGATCATAAATTGTCATTTGTCAAACACCCTGTTCAAGCTTGAACAGCTTGAAAGGTACATTTAAAGGTAATAAACAGCATTTGCAAACATCCAAAAACTAACCTACCAAATTATTATGAAATACCTTACTTGACTGTAAGTGAATAATAGTCTCAAGCATCCTGTGAAATCATGGCAACTGGTGTGCTGTCATCTTCAAGAAAATGAAATTTTTGTATTAAGTTCCAACGATGGTTGGTACACATCGTTTACAAATACTGCCCCCAATTTACCAAATGTAGTTAGTACACATCCTGGAACAGGTGCAAGCCAGCTAGTCTGGTTCCCTATAAACTGCCCTATAAATTGCTCCATTCCATCTGAAGTAGGCTCAGGGAGCCAGACTACAAGAACATCATTTTTTTCTTGGTTTTTCATGAACACAAAACTTTAAACAGGGCAGCATAACAATGTTTGCTATAAAATGCTAACCCCCAAATCCATCCATTTCTGAAAATCACAGCAAAAGCAATTGTATATTACCTTTAAATCAACTTTTAAAAAGGGTTAACAATCAAAGAACAATCCACATGGCACAATTCCAATCTACATTTCAATGATTTGAGTGCAGCTTTTTTAATGAACAAATAATGAATTGTCAATTGTAAAATGCAACGAGTATTTACAAATAGGAGTACTGACTCTTACAGTACGGAATGGTTCTTGCAGAAAAATACCTGTTCAGACATATTGAACTGTCGGCCCCACCTGGCATTTTTGCCAGGACGAAAAATAATGACTGAACAACTAGTGGGACGTTCACACAAAACACAAAGTTTTCTTATTTAGAATTCTTTAAACGACAAAGATCGGGAGTGAAATAGTATGATTGTAAAAAAATATGGTTTTACTGAAGGTTTACAAATGGATCCATATTACAGCACACACTTTCCTTGAGGGCAAGTTTCCAATAACAAGTCTTCAGACTGAATTGACCAATCACTCTAGAATCGCGTCAGCGCAGCTTGTGAAATATTGTCCAATTACATGATATACAAATGGTTGCGGAACGCGCAACATCTGAGACAAACACAATTTGGTGTACAAAAATTCCATAGGGTTATCTAAGGGGCGTGGCTAACTCGCAAACGGCGACAGGTCAATTAGTTTGCAGTTGTTAAGGACTGACTGGTCTGCACACTCCCTGACACCTGATCCGACACCTGTTCGGTCAAGTGCACGTGTTATTTTAACCCACTGATCCCTGTACCGCCCCAGCACTATGGTTTAGTAGATTCGAGGAATAAATACAATGTAATACAATTGCTAATGGCTGTTTCCCTACTGAATACATGTAATGCATGCTTTGCAGAGTGTGCAAAATGCCAATGTCTTTTAGTTGAGATTCCCTGATACAAGAGCTGGATCAGTCAAAGGCAGATGGCTTCAGGGTAGTATCGAAAACGAAGACCCCTAAAACAAAGACTGAAGACCCACTCGAAAATGTAGGTCTTCATTTTCGAGTGGGTCTTCGTTTTTGAGTGGGTCTTTGTTTTCAAGAGGGTCTTTGTTTTCGAGTGGTTCTTTGTTTTCGAGTGGGTCTTTGGTCTTTGGTCTTCGTTTTAGGGGTCTTCGTTTTCAATACTACCATAGCTTCAGTGGGTCTATCAAGTTTGATATCTCTGCTGACCCAGACTTGCATAACTACGTACGGCCCTTTGCTTAACAATGTAAAGTAGTTTACTAAGCCCACAGACCCAGTGGTAACTAGGAAAATTATTTTGACCTTCAGTGGGAAATCTATCCACTGACACAACAGGACAGTTTTAAATGTGCAACAAGTGTAGATCCCGTCGACGTGTCCCTAATTAATCAGGCATGCAACTTTCCTCAGATCTGCTGATTTTCCTTGTTTGTTTACTTCTCATGAATGCCATTACAAATTGAAAAATACTGTACAAAGTCTTGTGTGGTTTGGAGTTTCCTCGTTTTTTTCTCAATTCTCAGTTGCATGCCTGATTGATGCATGAGTTGGTACTTCCTATTCTGATTGGTCAATCATCAAATGCTGGCCTGCTGGGCCAGGAATGCTTTTATTCTCTGCAGGAGCTCCTTCTTCACGTCATCGGGGACTAGCTCTGGGAAAAGAGAAAAAAAAGGCATCAAAACGTAAAATTACAAAATTTTCCAAGAAGCCCTCTTCTTGTCAAGCTATAATGTATGTGTATGTAAGCAGCCATGTAAACTGCTGGGGGAATTCTAGTTCTAGTGACAGGCACTACAGTGCACTGTAACTTTAGCTTCGATGTAGAGAAAGACACAACTTACAAGCCATTCTGCAAAACTTACAAAGTGTTGTATGCATGGTAATTTTTGGCTGGGGTAAAAAAACTGTGTTCTGATTTGCAGTTTATACCTCTTCCTTTTGGTGTTAACTCCGCCACTAGGTCATCAACTGTCACGTGTTCTATACCTTTCCTTCTGACAACATCTGCAGGGGTAGAAAAAAATCAAAGAGAACTGAATAGGCATAAGTTGCAAAACGTCCTGAACCTTAATTCTGCACAAGCATAGGATGACACAATACCATACCTTTACAATGTGCCTTCAACTGGTCCCGCCAACCGCACTCTATAAGCTTGTTCCGTAGAAGTTCTTTCAACCTGCGGAACAAAAGAAGATTTTTTATCTTTTGAATGTCAAAATAAATCTCTTTTTATGCTTACCTTATTTAATGTGCAAAAATTTAAAAATATTTGCACATTCAACACATTCTTCGGACAATATTGTGACGTGAGCAAAAATCCTTCCAGCAAATTTTTTATTTGGTTATCATTAAATCCATCAAAAGATCTCTCAAGACGTTGTACCAATTTCATGCAACTGTTATTAAGCATGAAACTGCAATTAAGCACAGCAAAAAAAAACGCTTAGAGGAAACCAGCTAGCATTTCACTGTGATGATTTACCTGTGACTGGTTTTCATCTGGTTTTAATTTTTCTCCATCAGGTCTGTAATACTTGTCCCTGCATTTCAAGTTCTGAATTTTTTGGAATCACCCTAACTCCCTAGGCCTTTTTGCTAGGATGTAGCCTCGATCCTGCAACTTCCTCCATTATTTCTTGAATATGGTCCGTGGAGGGGTAACCACTGCCTGAATCCTGCAAAATCCTGCAGCAGTGACTGTCAACATGTTGAGGCTTGGCCAGTGACATCCTGGAGCAGTGCGGAGGATTTCAAGCATAATCCAGGCCTATATGTATGCATGGCTGAGCAAAAACAAAACACAAGGTCCGGCCTAAGACCTTGACAAAGTGCATCCTACGAAATCAGTAACGCACTTTTGCCCTGTTACTCAATCCTCCAAATTTCTCCACTCTGGCAAAGAGGATTTTGAAGGATTCAGGGTGGTTAGGGTTCTAGTTGAAAAATATTCCTTAAAATGTCTTACAACTCTACCTTTCTTTCTCCCCGGTTTCAATCAACTTTTGATTGATGACTGCTCGCATCTGAACATCTTTGACTTTCCAGCTGAGATCCATTTTGATATTCTGGTGTACTTTTTCCCTCCGTCTGTCAGCTGTATGACGACAGAAAATGATCATTGCACTATTTCACCATAACGTAAATACTGCTAAGTAATTGTATGTTCAAATTTAAAAAAAAAAATTGGAAATAAAAGTTTTAAATAACATGTTAGTTTTGTTACAAAGGTTTTAACAATTTTCCCATAGACTTTGTACAGAAGTGGTGTCCAGGGTGCTGCATTTCCCAAACCCTAGATTATAAATAATAATAATTAAGCTTCATCATTCATTCACACATTTCAACCACATGAATCTCTTCCTTAACTGATCACAAAGACCAGGGTAACTTTCAGTTAGAGTTTAAAAATAAACCATCAAATGAAACGAGAAAAAAAAAAGAAAACCCACCAACACAACACACTGGTTCAATCATCAGCAAGAAATATTTTGATAAATGCCGCCCCCAACGTCTAAAAAAAGACAGTTATAACAAGTCTTTCACCCAACCTCGTATGTACCTCTTCGAATGCCGAAATTGTGGTACCAGACTATTTGTGTTTTTGCTGTGTTGAAAAACGAAAAACGTGAATCAACGTTACAAATACAATGGATGTTGTTGAATTACTCTCCTTCCAGGTACGTACATTAACCAAAACAATAAGCTTTTATTAATTGAACAATTCTTCTTCGTCGAAGATACAAACTGAGTTTCATAAACGAATCAAAAAGTGAATTTAAAAATGCAACATGTTGTCCTATTTGTAATGCACTGCACGAATTTCGTGAAAAAAATTATCAAGTACAATCAATCACTCAATGTATTTGAAAATTTGTTTGCATTTTTAACCAAGCTTGTTTGACCTCATAGGCCTACTAGAAGAGCATTATGGCTATTTACATTCAAACATGATTCATACAATTACAAATACAAGAGGGCATATTTAAGATTAGCTATTGCACATCTCTTTCAGAACCATGTCCTTTGCAATATATTCCCCAAAACGGCGAGAATTGTTTTAAAACCTGGATAATAATAGTTGCTGAACTTTTTCCAGTACTTGACTGATAAATAAAACCACAAATGTTCACTACTTACGGATATTTTGGCTAAAACTGAGGAGACCTTTGTTACCAACATGTCAACAAATACGACTGCCTTTTCATTGCCTCATGCATACACATTTTCTTCCTGACTTAAACGTCGCCACCATGCGGTCACTTCAAGATATTTGGATCGTGTCCCCAACCCCACATATTGTATACGACTGTTTTATGTCACATTTTGATATATTTATTGTGGTCCCCTGCCATGTGTTGCGATACTCATCTCAACTAATAGTAACATGTAACAGTCGTCTGGTATACATATTCAGCATTGAAACAATCTCGTCCCCAGTGCTTACTTTATTTCCAACGCGGTTCCCAATAGTAGAGAGCAGGTAGTGATGGGCGCGTTCTGCTCGACATCCTAAGGACGAGGTTGGCATTGAAAATATTGGCGGTGGAAGCGCACCCGACCATGGCTTAGCACTGGTAAACAATGCGTGCTACTTAATGCAAAGTACCTGCATTGACCTGTGACATGTGTTTACACTCGACAGTCATTTCGAGTGTGCTTCAGTGTGGGTTGATAAAAACAGAACTCCAAAAATTATCTGGAAAAACGTGAGTTGTCAGTATTTTACTATTCATCTTTTCAACATTTGGTGCATTATAGGTCTATACTTCATACTGTATTAGTATAATACTTCAATATTGAATATATTACAAACTTTTTCGTGTCTGAAAAAAAAATTGCCAGTTTTGCTATTGTGAGTTTCCTAGCGTTATGCATAAACATAACGCTAGGATCATCCTAGCTAATTTAAGATATAAACAACAAAAAAGAATAGCCTATTTTTTATATTTCATTTGGTTTAATTGACAGCCTGACAAGCCAAACCTGAAACGCAAGAGGGGAGCTGAAAACAACATAAACAATGATGACGAAGATGGCAACAGAGCGTCACTACCCACAAAGATGAAGGGATGGGAGGGGAAGGCGGAGTCAGCAACACCAGAGGGAGGAATGACAGATGAGGAGCGGGAGAGAATCCTCCAAATGGTGGAGCAAGAACCGGAGGTATATAAGAAATGTTATCTTATGTCAGCAACCCAGACAGGTTCTATGAGGCATAATGCTCTCAAATCCTTCATACTCCGTGAAAATTTAGAGGATTTTTCAGGAACACTTTACATGGGATTTGATGCTCTTTGAAAGTTGAAGTTATCTGCTAGTGAAAAAATTCAGAGGTTTCAGTAATCAAGGAAAAATTAATAGAAAATGAGGTATAGGTCCAGTATTTGTTTAGTGAGAAAACATACTCATGACCATAGAATGACTTTTTTTCCAAATCCTTCAATCAACATCAACTTTTAAAGTAAGTTTTGATTTCAAGATCAGTAACCGCCAAAACGCCATTTTAATTTTGAAAATATTATTTGTAGCACAGATTCATTGCTTTCTAATGTGACATTGAAAACAGTTTTGTGAAAAAAAAATATTTTAAGAGTTGACAAAAAATGAGATGAGCTACATGCAGTAGTCTCTCAGTTTAAAAAAAGAAGAAGATAAATTTTGATTTATTTTTATTTGATTGAGCCTGTTTTTCTTTTAATTTCTCTTTTGTTAGATGCCAAGCTTAGATGATGCCGGCCTTCGCAAGTTGATCCTTTCCTTTGAGAAGAAAGTGCACAGAAACCAAGAAATGAGAATCAAATACCCTGACAGTCCTGAAAAGTAAGACATCCAAAACATTCAAAAAATTAAGGAGAAAAAAAGGGGAGAATGTAGTATCACGACACTATTTGCTCCCCATTTTTTACCTTAGTGGTCTGTCCTTGCAAATATGTTGTAAAAAAAACATGAATTTAGAAATGAAAAGCGTTTCCAGGTATGTTAGAAAATACTTTTCACGACTCCTTTTGCACATTGTTCACAACAATGAAAGCAACATCATATCCTTCCCCCCAAAGATTATTAATTTAATCCTAACAATCCCCATCCAGTCAAATTCCAACACCAGAGTTTGTTGGAATCTGTTGGAGTGAGTACTGCACTAGTAAACTGATTATACTTTACATAGGGTCAGGCATACCACCAATAATCAGAGTCCAACAGTTTGGATGTTGAGTTACCATATGGTGTTGGAATCTGCAGGAGTGAGGAAGGTTCCTAGTAAACCAATCAAGGGGGTTAGGGTTAAGGTAACTTCATGATTAAAGATTGAATTAATAGGTAACAGCATAAATGTAACCATTTAAAATAAACAACAAAATGCATATTTCAGATTATGTGTGCGGGATAAATCACCCACAAACCTATCTTCAGTGTTGGACACATTTTGTCAACATCGCACAATTTTAAAATCGCTCGATTAATGTGCTTCCACTCAACACACCAACAGGGTGAGCACATTTGTGTGCATTTCCAAAACTGTCCAGTACATTTTTTTTTAGTAGAACACAGGTATACAGCTTTAAGTCAAATCATATTCTTTTACTCACAGATTCATGGAATCAGAAGTAGAACTGAACGACACCATTCAAGAACTTCACGTCATCGCCACTAATCCAGACATGTACCACCACCTGGTTGAGCTGAACACTATCAAATCCCTGATGCAGCTGGTGTCGCACGAGAACACAGACATCTCCATCGCGGTCATCGACCTGCTCCATGAGCTGACGGATGTGGACACACTGAATGAGAGTGAGGATAGTGCTGGCGCCCTCGTTGATGCACTGGTAGGGACACAACGGGGATTTTCAAAACCTGGGTTCTGCCTGTAGCTTTGGTTTCAGGTGCTTTTTAGACCCCTGACTTGGGGAACTCTTGCATGGATTCAGGAATATCAAAGACAATAATGTCTGGATTCCCAGCCACTCAGGGGAAACCTTGAAAAAGAGTTTCCATTTTTTTCAGTCGGGGAAAACTCGGGGAACTCAAGAAAAAAACACAAAACATCAGGAAAAACTCAGGGAAGTAGACTAAGTTAAGCCAGTGACTTGGAAGGGAAAGGTTTTTTTGCCAGTTTGGCGTATGTGCATCTCTGTTGCATATGGTGAGGAAAGGATGGCTATCAGGGGAAAAGGAGGCCATCGCTTGTCAACAAGCTGCCTGTGTATTATCGGTATCTGAGTTGCTTTGCTGCAACTACCTCTTGACTTTCCAGCAACCTTGTTAACGGGTTTGCGCCGGAGGCCATGTATACACGCAAATGTTTTGCAGTTTTCGGAAACAGATAAGAAATATGAGTGTGCTGCCCGAGGCTTGAGGTCGAGTGAAAAGTAATCTTGCGCCTTGTTCCATTCTTGACAAAATAATCCCGGCATGAAATGGTTACAGTGAAAATATTTCTCATGGAATTTTGGAAATTTCTCGGGGAAATATACTGTTTCTGTCAAACAAAGCTTGATTTTTTCTTCTTTTTACGAATACAGCTTGATGAGCAGATTGTTGCAACTTTGGTACAGAACATGGACAGATTGGACGACAGCGTGAAAGAGGAATCAGAGGGGATCCACAACACACTAGGTAGGTCACTGGGTCAGAGGTCAGGGTCAAAGGTGATAGATCACATTGATCCAAGCCCCATCTTACCTCTCTGCACTCTTTAACATTTGATCAGCGTGACAGCAGACTTAGGTCCCTACATGATCCACTCACCCAGGCTACCCCTGTAGAACTGTCGGGCGTGGTGCCTTCAGATATATAATGCCTACAGTATTATTCCCTGTAACATCTGCTCTTCAAATTCAAGAAATTGCTCAAAACTGAACTGTACCCATTCTCACTATGTTCCATCCTCTCTTTAGCTCCTCAATTTTGTCTCTAAAATGACATTAAGATGACGTCATCAACTGCATTTTAATAATAAAATGCATTTTCTTCGCGAAATTATCGTTTACAAGACTCAACATGGCCAACAAAACATCAACTCGTAAAACAATCATAATGCGGAAAAGCCCTATGTTCTGTTCTCAAACGGACATAGACCTCTAGTTATTATTTACTGTGTTCATAATTTCTTATTTATCTTTCTGGAACCAATTAAAATATTTCTGAACCCAAATTTTTTTTAACGCATTGAAAAAGTATTCCTTCCTAGAAAAAAATTCTTCTTTCCTTTTTTTTTCTAAACAGTTTTACAAACTCTCATTTACATATTTAAAACCCAGTTTGAACTTTTTGTCCTTGCTAGGTATCATTGAGAATATGACCGAGTTCCGGCCAGAGATGTGTGGGGAGGCCGCCCAGCAGAACCTGATGCAATGGCTGCTCAAGAGACTCAAACCTAAGGTTCCCTTTGAAGCCAATAAGCTGTACTGTAGCGAGATACTAGCAATACTACTACAAGACACAGAAGGCAAGTCTCACTGGATTGATTTTCTATGAAACATCCTAGATCAATTTCATATCCTGAATTGGTTAACACTAACTCCCTGGGCATTTTTGCTAGGATGCAGCATCAATCCTGCAAAATCCTCCATCTGCCTCCTTGCAAAAATTGCATACAGCCTCAAACTTGCAAAAGCCTCCATTATTCCTTGAATGTGGTCCTTGGAGGGGTGACCACTGCCTCAATCCTGCAAAATCCTCCAGCAATCACTGTCAATATGTTGAGGCAGAGCCAGTGACATGGAGCAGTGCGGAGGAGTTTAATCTGGGCCTACATTTATGCACGGCTGGGCATAAACAATACAAGGCCCGGCCCAAGACCTTGAAACAATGCATCCTCCAAAATCAGCCGCACTCTTTTGCCATATAGCCTCAATCCTGCAAAATCCTCCATTTTGCAAAGAGCAGAGGATTTGGGAAGGTTAGGGTTAAGCAATATAATGTGCCATTGGGTTACTATACAGTGCTGAATTTGGTAGATTCAGGAAAAATGCTTCCTAAAAATTGCCCAGTGGTCGGAATAGGGAATTCATGTTTAACATTCTCTACCATTTCACTGCGTCATTCCTTAAGATAAATCAGAGACTTAAAAGAGGATCTGACAAGATCCCTGTTACTCATAGGCAAAAGTTTTCAAACATTCCTACCTCCTCATCTAGTTTTGCATGTGATTTTTAAGATTATTTGTATAATGTGTGTCCAATCACTATAGAAAACAGAGAGTTACTGGGTGAGTTGGACGGCATCGATACACTCCTGCAACAGCTTGCTGTAAGTACCAACAAGAATAATCATCAGTCCTTTTCTCTTGGCCCAAAAAACTGCTTCTAAGCTGTTAAGCAAATTCTTGCTACCAACTCAGATTTCATGTAAGGTTTATTGGTTGTGACTGGTTGCCTGTCGATTAGAGCTAAGCCAGACAGCTGTGCGGCTGACTGCCAAAATATTTCTTGCTGATGAGCAGCTTTTGTATCTTATTATACCCTCTGGTAAGGGTTACTTGAAAATTTCATATCTGATTTCTTAAGAAGTCATATAAATTGTATCTTTCTGTAGGTGTACAAGAGACATGATCCATCCAGCACAGAAGAGAACGAGATGATGGAGAACATGTTCAACTGTCTGTGCTCGGCGCTCATGTTGCCTAGCAACAAGGGGCGGTTCCTGCGGGGCGAGGGGGTGCAGCTTATGAACCTCATGCTCAGGTAGGCAGGATTGGTTAAAGGTAGAATAGATCATTTGTCATTTGTGCATTTGTCTCGTTTGAGGCAACAAAAAAGCTCAAAATCTAAAGACGGGTGCTTAACAACTGACCTCAAATTTCACAGAAATTGAAATTTCATCAAGCTCTAAACATTCCTATTCATTAAACTTAATTAAACCTACCCATTACAGAGTTAAGAGAAACTTTATTTTGCCGTGATTTTCCCATTAAATTTTGGAGTGCACAATGAACTCTTTTAAAATGCGCCCCCAAAAAATCACATAATTTTTTGACAAACTTGTTGTTGGGTTTATCCTTGGTTTCATTACCAGAAATGATTAATTATATGGTTCAAAGTGTGGTACCAATCTGGTTCGTATGTGCGACATCATTTCAACTTAAACCACGCCCACTGCACATGAGTAGCATTGGAACCATTGGAACCGGAAGAACATGTAGTACAAAATGCGTGTTTAGCGAAAGGGCGCTAGTAATCAGTGATATGGCGTGTGTGTGACGCAGTCAATTACAAACTGGAAAGGATGCATCTCATGGCTTTTACTTTCATGGGCATTATTTCTTTGTTCCGCAGAGAAAAGAAGTTGTCACGCCACAGCGCCTTAAAGGTTTTGGATCATGCCATGACAGGGCCAGAGGGAACCGAGAACTGCACCAAGTTCATTGACATCCTGGGACTACGCAGTCTGTTCCCGCTCTTCATGAAGACCCCCAAGATTAGGAAGAAAAGCTCCAGTCCGCAGGAACATGAAGGTATGATGATAGAATGCACGGCACGAGTCAACAGACAGCGTGCATGAACAGTAAATGGTCCTCTGTGACATTTGCATGCACACTGGTTCACATGATTATAACTGAACATCCAGTACTTCTAATGTTCGTAAAACGTGTAAACATGAACGTCTTGGTACTTACTTACACGCTCTCGTGGTGAGGGCAAAACCCAATATTTAAATTTATTTGAAGGTGTGCATTTGTTTTGGCTTTAGAACACATCTGCTCCATCATGGCCGCTTTGCTGAAGAACTGTACCAGTACCCACAGACAGAGACTCATCAACAAGTTCACGGAAAATGACCACATCAAAGTGGACAGGTTGATGGAGCTTCACTTCAGCTATCTGAACAGGGTACAAGTCTGTGACGACAGGATAGAGAGAGAAAAGCAGGTAAGTAAAGAGTCTTTATAAAAACCTAACATGACAGAACCCTGCACAAAGTCACAAAACCCCAATCAAATAAGCGATACAGCAATGTTTTATTACTGATAGGTGCCATACCCTTTCTTTTGTTGTTTTTACAGTTTCTGAATGTTTTCTTTATTTGCTTAAAAAAATTAACTGAATAACTTATCAAATGTGTTTCAGCTAAAATTGCAGGACCTGTTGATGGCACTATAGAGTCTAATCATTTTGTTTTTAGTGTGGAGTGCTGTGGCCTCATGGTTTAGGGCATTGGATTCGTGGTCTGCGTGTAAAGCTGCAGGTTGTGGGTTCGAGTCCAGCTCGGGGTCATGGTGCATGTGCCCTTGCGCAAGGCACTTTGTCACTCATTGCTTCTCTCCACCCAGGAGTAAATTGGGTACATGTGAGGGCAGAGGTGGTTATGGTGGTTGATTTAGCTGCTTTGCGCCAAAATGGCAGCATCAAGATGTATACTTCCCAGGGAGCTGAGATGGTATTTGGAATATTTCATTGGCCCAGTGAGCAGGGGTAATAATGATGTAGCGCCTTGAGCACCAGTCCTGGTGGATACGTGCACTTTACAAATACCCACCATTATTATTAATAGTACATAATGCCAAGAAGAGGCAGGGAGCACCTATGGTCCAAACAGACTCTTGACAAAGGAAGGAGACTAGGAGAGTGATATGAGATCAAGCTCGTTGACGAAGCTCTTGAAAAACTGTGGGATGTAGGATGGTGGGGAGCAAAGGCCATGTGGCTCTGGCTCTGACTTCATCTTTAGCTGAAGAATCATTAAGTCTAATGTCCACAACAAATGACGTAGTACACCAAGTCTAATGTCCACAACAAATGACGTAGTACACCAAGCTTTGGCCTGTTAACATTGACAACTCTTTCCCATATCCTGTTTAATACGAGTGAGTCATTTCATTCCTTTTTTTTGCCCTTCAGAGAAGGGTCCGCGAGGGCGACATCATCGACGATGACCAAGAGGACGAGTACTACCTCCGGCGTCTGGAGGCGGGTCTCTTCACCTTACAGCTGGTGGACTACATCATCCTGGACCTGAGCTGTAGCTCGGGGATGCCCACTGTCAAACAGAGGGTCTTGCAGCTACTCAACATGCACGGGGGAACCATCGCGGCCATACGGAACACGGTCAGAGGTAGGTTACCATGGCAGCATGATACCATGGCAACAGCATCTCTTGAATTGTGGCCAAGGATTTGTTTGGGTTGGGGGGGGGGGCTGGTTTTCATTGTGTTTTTTATTTTTATTTTTCGGTGTTTCCTTTTATCCAGTAGGTTTCTTGGCAATATTTCTTTGGATATTTCTTTCCGCCTCTAAACCTAGACATTACTTCAATTTTCCTCTTCAAGTTTTATCCCAAGAACAGTCCTTTGGCCAATGTGCATTTACAAGAAGTCTTTTGGAATTTTTCAATCAAAAAGAATTGAATGTATTGATTTATTTGCTGTTTTTTTAGTATGTGCATCCTACTTTGGAATAGGTAATCCCCTCCCCCCCCCCAAAAAAAAATCTTGCTTTGTCACTGGTTGCTATCTATGACATTGGATATTAGACAGTCATAATAAAAGCGGTTTAATGATTGCTATTTGAAGACATATATTTTTTTTTTTTTTTTTTCAGAATATGCCGGCAACATCGGAGATGAGAACAACCAAGACACAGCCTCAGCAGAGAGAGAAAAACTCATGACATTGGTGGATAAATTCTGAGATCCACCCATCAAACTTTCTTCATTTTTCCTGACTTTATCAGTCTTGGACTGACTTGAACCGTTTTTCAGCTTCATCCAAAACCTGAGGCGCAACTCTCAATGCAAAACTATTGGGAACCCGCTAAAGACTTATTAGCTTCATGTGTATGATATGATGTTACCATGTCGGAAAGCGTGCCCATTATGAGACAGTGTCTGGTTTTCGAAGTCAAACGGACACACATTGAGCCAGAGTCCTCATAGTCACCCGTCTAAATCAGCTGGATCCAAAGCTGTCGATGAAGCCATTGTTTCTGGAAAGGCCTGAACTTGGGGATTTCTGTCGCTTGTTTCTGGCACCAAATTTAATGTTTTGAGACTTTTAACATTGAAAGACTCACAGCACATGACCAGACTATAATGATAACTATCCCAAACAATAATGAGAACTATCCCAAACAATGTTCCTGAATGGTTTCCAGACTATTGTCTTCTTACAGAGGTGTACTAGTACTTTGAACCAAGTGCAACATTCAGATTTTTGTTGTGGGATTCACATTGGTAGAACTTTGTCGTAAAGTTTTATTTTTTTTGCGATAACAATAGCATTTCGACCCCCCCCCCACTCGAATCCGTGCCTGTAACTGCCTGCATTTTGTTCTTTTTATGCACCAGACATCTCATGTCCTATATACATGTATAAGCATGTCTGTAATATTTGAAAATTCCCTCCCAGTTTTTGAAATAAAAAATGGCTTGTCAGCAATTTTTACAAATAATTTTCCTGAAGTCTGTGTTGCTTGGTGTTGCTTTGAGTGTTATCTTGAACAAAATCTAGGGAATTATCAAGTAAATTCCCTTCACCCCTGCACCAAACACACTTGTCCCAGGTATTCATTATTATTTTGTCAAGTATTTGTGTGCATTTTTTTTGTTGAAAAAATATCAATAACTACATTACTTTGCTATTAAACTTAACTGAAATTGTTAGCCATAAAGTGCATACCAAATAAATCATATTGAAGCAAAGATGACCAAAAGAATCAATAGAATTTTGATAACGTTTATATATATAACTGAACAAAGATGGAACTGAGTGCTCAAAACTGTGACCGATGATATAAGTGACTATTTTTAGCAGATTATCTCATTGTGATAATAAAGTTGCATGTTCATTCTGTTTCAGTGTTCTCAAAGGTCAAAATATAGTTTGACACAAAAAAATGCGAGAAGCGCCCTCTACTGTTGGTTAATTTTCTTTCACTGATAGTCAGGTACCCCAGTTATTGCAACCTTGTTAGTAAACGAGTTGGAGTCCAGGTTTGATCCACTGCCAAAACATAACATTCGAGAGAGCAGACAACCTCGTCCCCAGTGCTTACTTTATTTCCAACCGCGTTTCCAATAGTAAACCCTGGATAGGAAACTTTCTTCCTGTATCCTGATTGGATACCGCAATTGGCTAGTAATGGATTTTTATCGTGTACTTGGTGCTATATATTCACAACGTGCAGTACGTGTTTTCGCGATCATTCGTCCACGCCTTCTCGAAAATACTAATTTCCTTTCCAATTTGCTCATATTAATATGAAATATGATACTGCATGTTGTCTCGATAAGATCGTAACAGTTTGATTTCAAAAATCGTGTTTTCGTAACTCACGCCGTGTTCGCGCTGCTACGAATTGACTCTGTTTTTACCCCAGACACCGCATACAAAAACAAATGCTAATGTGTAACGCATATTCAGGCACCAGACTGTTCCTCATTTGCATACGTGTGCAAAAATCTTGCACATGCAAAATATGATCCAATACCAGGGTGAGAGAGCAGGTAGTGGTGGGCGCGTACTGCTCGACACCCTGGGGACGAGGTTGGAGAGCAGACGACTCTCTGAAGAGTGGTCAATATTCTCCTTTTTCGAGGCGTTTATATTAATGAATGGCTTAAATATATTATTACTTGAATAATTTATTCATTATTTGTGATATTGTTGGGTACAGCATTCTATTACTACCGTTTTCATGTTTTTCGTACAATAAGACAAGTGAACTTTTTAATTTTATTGCAAAGTTAAAGTTGAAAGTTGGACTGAGTGACAAAGAGTGACATGACCGAGTGCCCCCATCTAAACTTGCTCCTTGTGTCCTACATGTCTGAAAATGCGCATGGTTGTATGTATTATTTGCATTGCATACTTGAGATTTATATACGTTTGACGGATTGAATGCATGTCTTTTTAAGAGAAGTAAAGTCCTAGAACATGTACTGTCATGACTAGTATTAGTGTTAACAAAGGTCAGTCATTGAAAAAATGTTGAAAAGACATGAATCTGGGACTGAGAAACATTTCCAATTTGTTTGGAAATACTTTGTTGACTCTCCATAGACTTTGTACACAACCGCTGAAGTGGCGTCTGGATACTACATTCTTTCCAAGGTGACAGCTCCTTTTGACACAAAACTGCCTCAGCAAAAGGGTTGAGAAAATGGAAGAGTCCATCCGCCATCTCAAAAAATCTGGGAGGAAAAAATAAGGCTGCCTCCTTTTTTTCAAACAGTCCCGTCGAGAAAATGGTTTTGTGTTTGTTCTTACTTGCACACGTTTATATTTGTCAGACACACCAGAATCATCATGGCTGAAGCTGTGCCTGCTGGGATACATCTCCGCTTTGTCGATGACATCGCTGTGATGTGGCTCAACAACGGGGAGAACAGATTGAACATTAACTCGCTGCGTGCTATGAATGCTGTGTTGGACCAAGTTGAAAGGTAAAGAGTTGGATGTGCTGTGTGTGCCAGACTTGTGAGCAATTCAGATTGAAGACATTTAACCTAGAACTAGATTAACCCTAACCGCCCTGAATCCTTCAAGATCCTCTCTGCCAAAGTGGAGGAATTTGGAGGATTGAGGTTACATGGCAAAAGTGCGTTACTGATTTCATTGGATGCACTTTGTCACGGTTTTGGGCCGGACCTTGTGTTGTTTATACCACCATATTCAAGAAAAAATGGAGGAATTTGCAGGATTGAGGCTACATTTTAACAAAAAGGCCTAGGGAGTTAGGGTTAATTAAAGATGATGTTAGAAGTTGACAGATGCCAGCACTTGCTTATAATGTAAGCAAGTGCTTATTTTTTATCTATTAGGCCAAGTAAAAAAAAAACCAGTTAATCGTCTGGTTTTTTTTAAAAAGAGGAGGATGAGGGCATTTTTTATTTTATATTTTTAATTTTTTCTCCAAGATGGCCGCCAAGTATTTAAATTCAAAATGTTAATGTTAACATTTTCTATGTATTTTATTAAAGCGAAAGACAAGAAAAAAGTAGCTTTTGAGGTGAGAACATTTTTTTTTTAAAAGGATGCCACTTCAAAAAAGGATGCGGGCGAGGACGATCAACTAGTTTTTTTTTTTACTTGGCCTTATTTGAGAAATATGTAATGAGGTAAAACAACGCACCAATAGAACCATGTGGAGTCTATTTGACCTATCGCAGTTTGCAAGTTAGCCACGCCCCTAAGACAACCCTATGGAAGTTTGTAGTTACCTGAAGTAGCAATAATAGCAAGTGGATTCTTATGTCTTTCTTTTCTTTGCAAACAAGCAATGAATCTACAAAAGCCTTGATCATCACTGGAGTTGGCAAATACTTCAGCTGTGGTCTGGACCTGGCTTGGCTGAGCAAGCAAGATGATGACACTCTAACAACATTCTTTTCAGCGTTTGATCAGTTCTTGGCTAGATTGCTTGTCTACCCTATGCCGACAGTGGCAGCCATTAATGGTAAGTTTTCCCAATGGAGAACATTGTCTGTAGGAAAAGTGGAAATCGAAAGTTGGTAATTGCTCAGACTGCAAGACTCTTTATTTTAGAATATTAGCCTATAGAAGTTACCTGCAGAGAGCTGTAGCAGAGTCCTGTCCCAGTCAATCACAAGTCCTGTCCCAGTCAATCACAAGTCCTGTCCCTGTCCATCACAAGTCACAAGTACTGTCCATGTCAATCACAAGTCCTGTCCCAGTCAATCACAAGTCCTGTCCCAGTCGATCACAAGTCCTGTCCCAGTCAATCACAAGTCCTGTCCCAGTCGATCACAATTCCTGTCCCAGTCGATCACAAGTCCTGTCCCAGTCAATCACAAATCCTGTCCCAGTCAATCACAAGTCCTGTCCCAGTCGATCACAAGTCCTGTCCCAGTCAATCACAAGCCCTGTCCCAGTCAATCACAAGTCCTGTCCCACTCAACCACAAGTCAAATCAACAGGCCACAAGCAACATGGGATGAACGGTTCCAAAGAAAGGGCACACAATTTTAAAACTTGTTTACCTTGTGATCTGCAGGTCATGCCTACGCTGCTGGTGGCTTTATGGCTGTGGCTTGTGACTATCGCATCATGAGGACCCAGCGTGGATGGTTCTGCTTCCCAGAGATCAACATCAAATTACCCTTGCAGCCCCCAACAGTGGAGATGATCAGGTATTTAAATAAGATTAAAATACTTCCCACTTTGACCTTTATGTTAATAATTGACGTATGCTGTTCCCTTCTACAGGGTGTCCTCAAATAAATGTCCCTCTCATCAGAGTTGTAGCAGAATTCGGCAAAAAATGAAATGTTATTTCTACTTTTCCTTACATAATTGCAATTGTGAAGCATATTTATTGTACAATTTTCTGTAAAAATTTCCGTCGGATTCAGTTCACCACTTTTCCATATAAACACAGTACTACTTTGCACCATTCCAAGTTTTACGTTAAGCCTAAAATGGCTTTTTGATTAAATTAATCAACTAAAGAGGAGGAATACTATTGTTGACACTTCTTATTGTTGACTGTTATGAACCTTAATTTATGTAGTCAATGATAATATTATTTCGTCGGGTGCCCGGCAGAAGGGCATATGAGCGTTCTGATGCAAAAATCATTTTCAAGAAAATTGCATTGAAAGGTTCCATTGTTCCCCCGCGCGCAACGCCGCATTATGTATCCAATGTTCTCCCACACGAATCATACGAATTTGAAATTTGTCACACGTATGAATCATAAGTTTTGGATCAACTTGTATTAATTTCTGATGAAAATGTTTAAATTTCATTCAAATGGAGGCAGTTTTCTGCATATGCCCTTTTGCTGGGAACATTTTGGTCATTACGCGCTATTGCATAAGGGCATATGCACATATGCCCTTCTGCCGGGCACACGACGATTTATGATTAATAAGTTGCAATAAAAATACTGACACCAACAAAAGTAAACCTGTAATGTTAAAATAAATTACTTGCAGAGAAACACATTGTGTACGCTCTCAATGTATGTATTGTCAAACTTGGAATGAAGCAAAATAGACTGGTGTTACATAATGGCCTTTGTTTCAAAACGACTGGGCCCAATCCAACAAAAACTTCACATAAGAAAGAAAATAATGTTTGGGCTCATCAAGTCTATAATTGAATTTGCCAATTTTCATAAATTACGAGAATTCTGATACACCCTCCTTTTTTGGGACACTCGGTATAGAGTACAATGCAGTATTGTGTGTGCATGTAGGATGAAGATTCGGGATAATTTAGTCTTCCGGGATTTGGTGATGTACGGTCAGCGAGTGACCGGTGAGGAGGCCAAAGAGAAAGGTGTGGTGGACAAATGCGTGGACATGAAGGACCTGATGGACACTGCAATAGCCTTCACAAGGGAGCGCATTGGTAACGGTCAATTTACAATTTCCTTTTGTAAATGTGATATCAATCAAACATCCTCGGCACATTGTCCTAGTGATTAGTTCCCTAAGTAAAAGATAAAATCCCACAGATCCCTTGTATTGCAGTCATCTTAGAGGCATGTGCTTTTGTTTTATTTATTATCGCTGAATTAAAATCAAAACACCTCAAAGATAACTGTTGAATACAGAGGGTGTAGTTAAAACAACATTTGGATCACGCAACCCAACTTCATAATTAACATCTTAAAGGGAATGTACATCATTGGCTTTTGCTCTAATTTTCAGAAATGAACAATTTGAGAGGTTAGTATAATAGATCAAATATTGTTACACTGACATTTTTGAAGTTTTGTGTTCGAAAAGGTTGGAAAAACCAAGAAAAACAAAAATGTTACAGCAGTCTGGTTCCCTGACTCCACAAAAGATAAAATGTGTCAATTTATAGATGATGGAAAATTGTAGGGCAAGGGAACCAGTCTAGCTGGCTTGCACCCGTTCATGAACATGTAACCAATAGCAAACAAAATTTGGACTGAAAAAATGGTAAATTTGGAGCAGTAGTTGAAAAATAGTTAGGTTTTTCCAACGCTGGTCGGCCGACCACCGTTGGAAATGTTTACAAAAATACAATTTTCTTGAAAACGACTTCACACCAGGTGCTATAATTTTACAAGATGCTTGAGACTGTCATTTACCAACATCCTAGTAAGGTATTTCGTAAAAACTTGGTAGTTTTATTTTTCGATGTTTGCAAATGTTGTATATTCCCTTTAAAGTTTCTGTTTTTTAATATTCTATTCCATGATCCATTTCCTTTCCTCAGGTGCGGATGGTTTTGACAGGACCACAGTGCATCTGATGAAGCATAACCTGTACGGGATCATCGTCGAGAAGTCAAAGAGGGATATCAGTGGTGCCGCCGCCGGAAAGCTGGACACACAGGAGCAATTGAAACGGGCCCATGATGCAAGGCAAGGCAAGGCAAGGCTCTAACCACCAGAGATTTCCACTGGAGGCGAGCGTACTTGTGGTCTGTGGAATTTATGAGCTCAAGTGGCTTGATTTTAAATAATGCAGAATCGTAATCAAGTCATCAGAAGTAGTGACAAAGGCACTCCTTTGTCATTGTTATTTGGTGACATGATTTGTGACGGGACTTGTGATTAACTTCCGAGTGACTCAATCAAAAAAACAAATCCAAACTAGAAAGCACTCAGAGAGCGCAAAACCTCCGCCAAGGCTAAACAATTCCCTGCCCCCTGCATATCGTCAGTATACACCATAGAGCTATATTACATTACTAGAGCGCTAACTCGATGTACAACGTAATGCCTGAGCGCATCCATGTTTATGCACAAACCTATGGAAAACTCGAAATTTTGTACGGCTTTTGTACGGCTATTTGCATATCTGCGTTTGTATTCCATACCGGTGCGTCACCGAAGGCGATACGCCCAAAACCGAAACGCACAATCAGCAAATGAGCGTTTCATTTTGCTCTACGCAAACAGCGCAACGCGTGCGGGTCCCTCCGCTGCAGATGCTTTTCGCCGTGACGTTTTTGATTTGTCATGACGCGCTTAAGTTGTTTGCGTATCTTCTACTTGCGCGTTGCATTTAGAGTACACTTTTAAAATTCAATCCATCTATTTTGATTGTGTTCTACAAACATGCACATAAATTCAAAATGTCTACGCCTAGAGCAGCTACAAAGCGTCCCGCACGCAAGGAGGAGGAGTTAGCGCTCTAGTAATTTAATATAGCTCTATGGTATACACCCAAAAGAAATACTCGCATATCCACTGGACTTCCATATTGTAAACCATAACAACAAAAAAGTCAAATGCCAAAACCTGATGAAATCAGTCTAAGTATGAAATACAGTAGATCAATATACCTGCACATCTTAAAAGTTTTTTTAAAAAAACGCTGTGCTTTTTAAAAATTGTCAAGTATAAACACACACAATTAAATGATGCAATGACATTAGCAGGTTCACTAATAAAAGGAAAGTAGGTTTTGCACTTTTAGTAGCTATTGCAGAAAGGCCGTCATAGGTAACAATCCCATAAGATGAAGTGATGGTCATGAATAATTAACCTAATCTGTTAATTATAAAAAAAAAATTCAGCATCATGTTTTAAGCTGCAAAGGGAAATTTTAATGTGCTTTGCGCATAGTTTCCATAGTTTCATACAGGTGATTGATTTCATCGTGGTAGTTTTTACATCTCGAAAAAAATTTTTTTTAAATAAACTGAGCAACCATAAGTTAATGAAACATTAAAAACACCTTAAAATTTCATAGTCTATTTTATTTTCAAAAGGGCCAAATGCTTACAGTAGTAAAGTTGTAAACCTGTCATTAAAACAATTTTATTGTTTCAAAATAATTCTTGACAAAAGGGATTGCAGCTTGTAAACTCGATGTATTTTCATGTGCATAATTTTCAAAGAAAATGTAAATTTTATACAATTGTAAAAAAAAATTGTACAAATATATTTTATATAATTATGTCTTGCACTGCATATTCAAACTGAATAAAACAAATCATAAAAAAAAAAAATTGGGATGTGTTATTCACCATTCATAATTTTGTATTTGAAGTTTTTAACTGTTTTTTTTTACCAACAACTCTTTAAAGGGAATATACAACATTTGCAAACATCGAAAAATAAAACTACCAAGTTTTTGCGAAATACCTTAATAGGATGTTGGTAAATGACAGTCTAAAGCATCCTGAAAAATTATGGCACCTGGTATACTGTCATTTTCAAGAAAAGTGGTATTTTTGTATCAATTTCCAACGCTGATCGGCCGATCAGCGTTGGAAACAACTGGCTTTTTTTCAAATACTGGCCCCAATTGACCATTGCACTTGTTTGCAATCGATTACAAACCTATGAACGGGTACGAGCCAGCTAGACTGGTTCCCTGACCTTACAATTCCCCAATGTATGTAAACTGCTCTGTTTCTTCTTATATGGAGTCAGGGAGCCAGACTACAGGAAAATGATCGTTTTTCTTGGTTTTTATAGCATTTTCGAACCCAAAACCTCCAAAAAGTCAGTGTAACTATATTTGCTTTATATTTCCAACCCCCCAATTCCATCCATTTCTGAAAATTACAGCAAAAGCAAATGATGTATATTCCCTTTAATTTGTTGTAATAATTGCGACCAGATTATAATGAGAGCATGAGTCTAGTACAAAACTGTCAAATTAACCTCAGCTAAAACCCTGTGAAAAAAAGGTCAGTCATTGCAAAAATGTTGAAAAGACATGAATCTGGGACTGAAAAACACTTCCAATTTTGTTAGGTATACTTACAAAATTTACTTCACTCTCCATTGACTTTGTACACAACCGCTAAAGTGGCGTCTGGAAACTACATGTACATTCTTTCCCCAGATTCAGTAACTGATGCCCTTAACAACATGTGATACAGTAAACAAACTTTCAAAACAAGCAGTTGTAGTCAAGACTTTTCCAAGACCATTCGAAACCTTGTTTTTGATCAAGTATTTAATTTTGCGAGACAAAATAAGTTTACAAAAGCTAGCTTTTACATTTTCATTACTTGTGGAAGGAAAGCCTGATATTTGAGTAAACTTTCTTTATATCAGGTGATAATAAGTTTTTTTCAAATCTAAACTGTCTGGAGACCTTTCAGAATCTTACAGGGACCCATTACCACAATAAAATAATAATTTTAGAGTCTTAACTAAAGCAAGCTGAATGATTTGTAAACTGACTGGAAGCATTTAAAGCCTTCACTCACGGACCAAATGAAGTCCGATGTTATACGAGCATCTGCATGAGGTCTCAACAATAGGTCTCAACTACATCACTGAACTGCAGAATTTTGGTTTAAGAATAATCCCCGCTCATTTCATCCTCATCTCTAATCCCAGTCTCTCCTGGGCTGTCCTCCCAATACTAATGTGCATGTCTCCTGCCTCCTCCTTCGTCAATGTCTTCTCCATGCTACGGTAGACGATGCGGTAACACCTAAGGATGGAAATGCATATTTTAAATATTTAGCAAAAACCTTCACACATAATTACTTAAATATTCAGGCAAAACATTACAAAGGCTTGTGTCTGCCCCAGCGAAAGTTTAGTCACATGAAGGAGGAGCACTCAACATTAAACATTAAACATTTTTTCGTTTAAACACTCGAACATGAAAACATCAGATCTAAAGTACCTGCTGGTCCGCTCCGTCTTTGGATGCTGGAACTCATCCACCAGGCTGACTTGCTCGACGAGGTCGCCGGCCACGGTCCGGACTAGGTCGTAGAAGTCATTTGATGTGTACTCGTCCGGACACCAGAAGGACAGGTCTTGAATGAGGGGCGGGTACTTGCTGAAGGGCTGAGTATAATTAAAGTACAGGGAAAGTCATTGGATTATTTGCCTGTCAATCAACCAACAGACCTGAGACCAAATGGCGTCGAGATCTGTTTCCTATGGGAGCCAGGTGGGGACAAGTGCCACCAAGCTCCCATAAGAAAGCGCATATGTAAATAAAGTCTGTCGTCATTATGTCTCATGACTTTTGGTGAGGTGATCACAGTAACTTGGTCAAACTTGGCCACTTGCACTGAGATTAATGTACACAAACCAAAGATTCCTTTCTCTGCTCATCTCAAGTGAGACAATTCCAATCAAATCATTGACAAAGGCACAGACTTCAACAAGTTCCATCCCTTTCTCTGCTAACCTCAAATGAGACATGTCCAATCAAATCATCGACAGTAACTATACAAAAAAAACATCACTTGAAAGTGGAGTGTCATGGCCGAGTGGTTCAGAGCACTGGACTCGAACTCTGGTTTTTCTGATCAGCAGAGTGTGGGTTCGAGTCCTGGTCTTGACACTTGTGTCCTTAAGCAAGACACTTAACCATTATTGCTTTGTTCTTTGGATGGGACATAAAGCCGTAGGTCCCGTGCGTTGTATAGCACGTGAAAGAACCCCGTAAACCTAAGAGAAGGGGTTCACCCTGGTGTTTCTGGCAGTGCGTTTATCCTCGTACATATGAGGCTGCACTTTCAAGGAAGGAAGGCAGGAAGGAAGGGTTGGTCTATGCCCACAATTTAGAACAGTCTGTCCCCGATAAATCAAGTCTAGCTTTTGTTTAAATGAAAACTCACAGGAATCAAACAATTCGTTCACTTTCTCTTCTAATCTCAACCAAGACAGATCCAATCAAATCGTTGATAGTTACTATACCAAAAAAAACCCACATGTAATTTGGTTTTTACTAAACAGAATCAAGTGAAAAGTGCACAAACCTTAAATTTGACTTTAGTAGGGTCCTGGACTTTAAATTGTGACAGAAATCTTTCATCTTCACTCCAGAAGAGCCTGATGTCAGGGATGTCATAGAGTATCATGGCTAGACGCTCCAGGCCTACACCAAAGGCATAGCCAATTTTGTCACCAGCTCCGGCTGCATTCAGGAAATCAAGACAACAGAAGCAAAGTTTTAACAATCAGCTTCTGAGGATCTGTGAAGGAACTATAGAGGAGCCTTCTGTTAGCAATCCACAGAAAGGCAGTTAACCAGATTTCAAAAAAACTTCCTCAAATACAGGCTAGTTGACGATAGTTGGACTACTTTATTTGATTGTTTGGGACTGGCCTCCAGGTCAAGCCAAGACCCAATAAATTAAAATGTCCAGCACAGTACTGTGCTAGGACCAGATAAAGAATAAGAATAAGAATCCTAAGCCCTATTTCATAGATGTACTATTAACCAAACAATATTGCACACAGCAAATTAATCCTCCTATGCAAACATGCATTCAAGTCTTTGCAAATTTGTTCTTTCATTCAAAATCAATTGATTGACTGTACAGAGCTCCCAGCCAAAGCCAACATAAAGCAGGATTGACTGGCTGTGACTGTTTATGTAACTTGATACAGCTGTGCTTTGACTGTGGGTGATTGATAAGCCAGCTGTGCCTACCACTTGCCTGCTTTTGTCTGTTGACCGAATTTGACTAGTCACAGTGCTTGCTTGAAATATGATCACACTGTTGCTGACTAGCCTGTGTAAAAGGCATGGCAGGGGGAGATGAATTTTTTTTTGTCTGTGACCATTCAGACAGCAGGAGCGTTGGTGTATAAAGTCTATGGAAAGTTGCATGCATTTTTAAATTATTTTCTAACAAAATTGGAAATGTTTCTCTCGGACCCAGATCCATGTCTTTTCCACATTTTTGTGATGACTGACCTTCATGGATATAATATATGGTGGAAAAAAAGTGGCGTGGGGATGCAACGTTCTTTCTGGAGGGTGTGCTAGGCCAAAAATCAACACAGAATAGCAATAAACATCACCCAACACTTTAGCCGCAGACCCTTTTTTCTGTCCAACAAATTTCCCTGTGCTTAGCCACTAAATACAATAAAGACAGGTAGACCCACCTGAATCCAGCAGCTGGTGTGACATAATCCCGCTGCCAAGAACCTCCAACCACTCTCCTTGGAATTTGATCTCCAGCTCCCAGGAGGGGTGAGTAAACGGAAACTCTGCCTCTATCCAGCGACTCTCCAGATCTGGAGGAACAAAACCAAAGTTCTTACATTTTAAATCAAAGTAAATTTACCTTAATTAGCTTTAAAAACCATTCAATTTCCTTTATTTGGATTTTTCAGAAGTGTCCTCCATCTCAAGCCAATTTTACCAGCTTTATGTAATATAATTGTGTCAATTTCGCTTCCTGGTTCATTGGTCTGTTTGTCTTCTTTTCTTTATTGTCTGTGGATTCCCACCTTCTCTGAAGAGATGCTTCATACAGCTGACCAGCGTGTTCTTGAGTTCATACTCAACCAGCTTGACAGCTTCCAGTGTGTGTTGACCCTGCTTCTCCACGGTCCGACAGCCCGGTGAACTCTCAAACAGTCTCAGGTTCTTGTCGTCGCACTTGTCAAATAACTGAAATGAGTATCAGGCAATCACCTGAATATATCAACACCTTAGCCTGAAAACCGCATGTCCGAATATTTTGTCTCAAAGTGAGTGTTTACTAGGCTGGTTCTGGGCCCCTTGATTAAAACCAAAAGAATTAAGATAAGAGGGGGCGAGATACAGTCCAGAGGAGAGAGCTCGGGGTTCACTATTTTCACAAGATGAACATCACTGCACACCAAGTATCATTCAGTGACAGTTCACTTTTGCACTGCTGTAGGAATACTTTTGCACATGAATTTTATAATAGAAGATTATAAATCCAATTCCTAGAATCTCTTTAATTCCTGGAGGTGTTCCAAACCTTCAAGTTTTATCAAGCTTTGGCTTCTGTCTTCAGTTCGACAATATTTTTCAAGCCTTAAGTTTAATTTGTTTGAAACCAACAGAACTTACACAAACCTTTGGGTTAATATCATGATTGGGTGTTCATTACCAGAAAATGGATCCAATAATGAGTCGTTTTTATTGCAACAGGGAAAAAATCACGAAACTGGAGCCTGAAGACTAAGCTACAGGTGAAAACGGGGTTTGGAACACCAAATATTAATTATCCAACCTCGTGCGGCGTATACAGTCGGACCGCTTCTAGCTGATGGAAGACAGGGTAGTGACTAGCGTCGATCTCATCCCTGCGGTACACATCGCCAGTGACCAAGAAGGCATCGAGACCAGCCTTGACCAACTCATGCTCGTGGGCCGAGGTGTGTGCTCGAAGCATGTAATCCCTTAAAGCAAACATAATCACACAAAAGAGAACAAAATACTTGAGATCACAACTTAAATCGTACTGGAAAAGGCAGGTAAAATTTGAAAAAGGCAGTGTTTGGGGCTGAGGACATTTTACCGTCCAATGGAAAATAAATCTGCGTTTTAAATCCTCCTGTCCTTTCAGTTCTTTCAGTCACTATCAATCAAGTGACTGTTTTCAACAGTTAAGAGCCTACACAGAGCAAGATTGACTGGCTGTGAGTGTATATGTAACTTGATACACCTGTGCTCGACTGTAGGTGATTGATAAGATATCTGTGCCACCAGTTTCCTGCTTTTGTCTGTTGACTGAATTTGACTAGTCAGAGTGCGTTCATGAAATATGATCTGACTATTTGTGACTAGCCTGTGTAAAAGAAAAGGCATGGCAGTGGAAGTGGATGGAATTTTTGACTGTCTGTGACTGTTAAAACTGTAGGAGGGTTAACACTCTTTCAAGATTTTGAAAAAAATCTTTCAAATTGTATTAAAGGATTTTGTAAGAATGAGGACAGCACACTCACTATTACTTTGTTCCAATTTTGTTCAACTGGAACAGTGTTCTGGCTGTCCAAGGTTCAAATCCTGTTCTCGACAATTTTTTTTTCAAACCAAATATTGGCTTTTTTAATTAATGGATACCTGTTTATGTAATAGTTATCTCCCTTTTGTCTGCTGATGTGATCCTTGGGAGTAGTGAGGCTGTCAAAGTTTTGCTGCATAGTTACCACTGGCGAGATGTTGTCATAGACGGAGAACAACGGGTTGCCACGGCGATTCAAATAGGCTCCATAGAAGAAGTCGGTGATGCGTTCTTTGATGAGGCACAAAGGGTGGTGTTTTTGGTTGTGGAGGTTTTGGCCCACGCGGGATATAATCTTAGGAGTGACTGTCGTCATGTCGTCTCTTTGAAACGACCGGCCGTCAACGAAGATGGTATCGGGGTTAGAGTTTGCCACTGATGATGCATATCTGGCATGTTTGCATGGCAATCGTATGGCCTGGTTATTGGCAAAATTCACATTTGTAAATAAACTCTTTCTGAGGGTGCTGCATCTGCTGCTGTTATGCCGTAGGCATCTGCACATCTCTCTTGTTAGCGCCATTGTTGAGTGAAGTTTTTAAAGTTTGGTGGTGCAGTCTGTAAAAGAAACAAAATTGGGAATTAGCTGGCTCTAGGCAATATGAATTTAGAATAAGGGTCTTAGTGTAAACTTTAACTAACTATAACTAGGCCCCTCTAATGGCTGTTAGGTGCCGTACTCAGCATAAATGATCAAGGCACTTTGTGATTGGCTGTTCTGATCCCAGAATGTGATTTTTTTTCCCCGCATGTGATATGGCCATAACCCAGGCACGACGTGCTTCATGTGTGTGTACGTTAACAACAGTAGATACATTTTGGTCGGGGAGCAGTTGTACACACCTGGAGTTGCACCGAAAATACCTCTTTTTATCTGGTTCGAATTGATCTTATTCTCATTTTGAGTTGATTCTTTGCTGCAAGGATAAATAAAAGTGACATTCTGATATTTCTCGACACATTTGAACAGTTGGCAATGACTTCTTCTTGAATATCAGCAGGTTTAATTTGTGGACAGAGGGCAGGGCTTAGTTTTTTTAGGGAAATTAAGGGGTAAAAGACGACGATGACAAACAGAAAATAAACTAAAAAAGAAAGATGGCGAACTGCTAAAAAAGGTAGGAAAGTCACATTTTCTTTGAAAGTGCTTTCAAAATTACAACTAACATGAGTTTATCTGAAGCAAAAAGACTGCTTTAGCCTGCAAAAGGCACTTTGGTACTGGACAGTCATCTGCAAAAGTCAGTTGAACAGAACTCGTAAAAAATAGAGGTGTCCTAAACTAAAGATAAGGATTACCCGTGAGAGTAAGTGAACCCCCCGACAGTTGCCCAACGCCCGCCCCAACATGGGCCAAGGCTCCCAACATGCCCAATAAAAAGTCTCACTCTCAGGAAAACAAACTACTAGTACTAGTACATCATACATGTAGGCCACCTGATATTATCTCGTCATATTTAGGCTACAAAGCATTTATGAATCTTCAATAATCAGACACAATAATTAACAATTATGATGGTAAAAAGGGAAAAATTCTGCTTACTTAAACCCATCCCCCGCGAAAATGTGCATGTGCAGACGATCGTCGTGGACTGCGGCCGTAAGTTTTAAGGGCGCCCTCAAGTGACGGAAAAATGTCGTGCATGCTGGTCTAAATTGGAGGGGCGGGGCTAAAACGCCAATGGGTACGACAAAATACATTTTACACTTTCAGTTATGCTGACCTAAAAAGAGTGCCTGGACAATGGGTGCTCGGAAAACAGAACCTCAGTTTTCTCTCTAGAAATTTATAAAATATAGTTTATGGACTGTTTACATACTGTTCCCAGAAAAGTGTAGCCAAATAATAATCCTAAAACATGTCAGTTTTAGAAACACCGAAAGTGCCACCTCTAATTATCTGTACTGAGTTCTCTTTGTGATACTTTGTGGGTCTTGCTCAATTTCCTTGTCCTTCCTCATACAAAATTTATTATTCTGAAATTAACCAATGTATTAATAAGCACAATGTATAACCAATAACACACGAGGATATTCCAGGATAACTTCCAAGTTTGGATAACTTCCAACATTTTATTGTTCTTAAATCAGAATCACCTATTCACAATTTTGAAAGAGTTTTCTAATTAGGAAGAGCCTGCAAATCAGGTTTTCACATTATCTCCAAACTTGAACAATCAAGTTGCTATTGGAGTGCTCCAAAGGAAGAGGGAGTCACAGAGGGCAAGCCTCCTGCTCAGAGGTCTGTGCCCTCCCCACCCCGTGTTTCTTTGCCATCATTGCTATATATGAAAGGAGACTGTCTTTACAGATCTTCAAGTAGGAAATTTCATGTCAGTCCATTCAAAAGAATTAGATCATCCACAACTTGACAGTGAAAGGGGGATCCAAAATGTTTTGAAAAAGCGGAATAAAATTACCAAAACGGAGTGGAGTACAAATGTAGGGGTTTGCATACTAAAATGTGTGGGCCAAAATTCGCCAAAATTTTAATAACAGGCAATTTAGCACTTCAGATAAACTAATTTCAACAAATGGGTGGGGTTTATCTCTCTGCCCCACCCTGCCCCTCCCTTCCATGATCTAGCCACTCCCAGTTCCTCAATGCTAAAATATTATCAGGACACGCCCATGCCAGAGTCATAAAGCACACACATCTTTCTACTTTATACTGATGAATATCACAATGGTCAAGCTTCCAAATTAATCAAGACGGTTGCTGCTCCTCAGACAGAATGTAGGTTATGTGACCCTCAGGCTCCAGCGTGACCCCGTCCGCGACCTCCTGCTCAAAGACAGCAACTGGAATGTCCTCAGATGACCTGCAGGGAAGTCAGACAAAACACATACGTGAAAAACAAAGACAGTTAAATGAATGGGCTACAATGGATAATAGAAGGAATTTGAATATATCAACAAAGAGGCTTGGCAATGCTGCATGAGGAAAGTCAGTGGAAAACTTGAAATGCCCCATATTCGAAAACGTAGGCAGCGCATAAACCAGTGACATTGAAATAAAGTCCAACAAGTCCTGCTTGTCTGACGGGCTGGGCAAGCTGTGCGACAATTAACAAAAAAAACTATTTAAAAAGATTATTTCCATTCGGCCAGCAAAACTGATGCCTGCACAGATGATAAAGTAATTATAAAGTTTACGGGCCTTAGGATTATGCAACAATGAGTGCATGGCTGAAACCTGTTTACAGTGACCAGGTGACTGCATGGTTGGCTCCATGACATCATAACCACCAACACACTGATTGGCCACAATGCAGATTAATGGCAGGGCACTTTGAAAAAAAAATACCTCAGGTTTCTAAGCTCAGTGTTTTATCACCCTATGTTACATACCGTAAATAACCAGTCTCAATTTAAATTTCGCGATGTGCAATTTTGTTAGCGTGCTCTTTCGTAAAAGATCCCAATGAAAAAAAATAAGAAAAGCAAACAGAAAGCAATCGATATAACTCACCCATCATGCTGGATGGGCTGGCCAATCACTTGACAACTCTCTATAACTTGTAGGTTGGGTTGACTCTGATGGGTGTAACCGTCACCATGTGTGTCAGTCAGGTTCTCTGATGCAGTCAAGTAGTTAACTGCAGTAATGGATTCTGGGATCCTGTCATGTTCACTCCCCTGACAAAAAATAAGGGAGAACAAAACTACTGATTGGAAATTCGGTGTAAAATGGTGTACGTAATGCAGATGCCCAAAGCCTGTTTACAATATATCCAAAATCTCGAATGTAAATCCTTCATTAACTTCCTTCCACTGTCAACCAGAATAAAGTACACCTGATCACTTCCCCAAAAATATAAGGTCCTTATATTTTTGGGGAAGTAATCATGTGTACTTTATTCTGATTGACTCTGGATGGAAGTTAATGAAGGTTTAGGGGCAAAACATCATTTGATGCTGGACAAAATCATGTAATTTGGAGATTCAAAGCTCGATCACAACCCCAAATCTCAAACATTTCAAATCTCAATCCAGATTTATAGGATAACGTATTCATACTTTCTGCCTATGTTGAAGGAGGTGACTATCTACCACAGATGACGTTTTTATAAAGTAAAGGAATTTTTAACAGTCCAGAAATCTTGCACTTACATACCTGATTGTTATCTTCTGCAGTGTATGGCTGTGCCTGGTTGGTGTCACCTATGGCTCTGTCTGCTTCAGCTATTTTCTGTTTTGTAAAAAAAATATAAAAATTGAAAAATCAGTGTTATTAAACCTCTTATTAACTGGGCATGAGCGGGTGTGGCCTGGCCTAATTCTATATAACTTCGCAGAAAATATGGCTTAGCAAATTTACGTGCCAAGTATAAATTAGCCGAAAACCACTCACAAGCAACATCATGGTTTGGCTGATAAACTATATTTGCTCAGCGAATATTTAATGTGATTATAAAAGTAGAGTATATCATATGTCATTTGTACATTTTTTTTCGTTTGAAGCATCCTAGGCACGTTTTCATTCAGCCGATTGCAGCTATGCGATGTCACGCACTGAACGAACAAATCATAGCAACCGCGCACGTGTGCGTCGTGTCAACGCTTGCGTGCACCCATTTACAGCTTCACCGAATTAAAAACGAACTACTAATAAAAAATTTCCAAAGATGCATCTTCAGACGCATCTTTGGAAATGACAGCATGCCAGAAAGAATAATTTCACAGGGATTTGAGTGTTATTACTATCTTTAAACAAAGCATTCTTTTCAACAATAATTTTATCAGTTACTGTTTGGATAGCGGCAAATGATATACTCTACCTTTAACAAATTTCTGTGCTCAGAAGTTTCATAAATGAAGCCCAACGGGATTAGGGTCTAATGACTCATGAGGAAAGGGTCAGGGCTTGGAACCGAGCTGATGGCCATAAGTTGTGTCCATTGGCAAGGCACTTTATCTCTACTTTCCTGAGTTTTCCTGATTTTGAAATCTTCCGTCAGGGTGAATACTAATATTTTCAATGGACAAACGTTTTTTTAAGCCCCTTTCTTTAGCGCCCACTATTCCAAGAGAGCAGTGTACATACCTGTATATCGATGATATGTTGAAGTAACTGCATAGCACTGGTGCTCTCATCCTCTGCATGATCGGCTAGTTGTACAGTGTGTGATTCCTGAGTGAGACCATTCAAGTCTGCCTGGCCTGTGAGATTCCCAGTGGCAAGCTGCTCTGGGTCCATCTCCCCTCCCTCCCCCTCAGCGATGCTGGTGATCGCAAGGCCGTGGACGTCACGTAGGTGCTGTCCCAACTCACCATTGTTGACGAGGAGAACGTCACACTGGCTGCACTTGTACTGCAAGACTCCGTCCTTGTGGTTGATGCTGATGTTGAGGGTTGTGATTTTCTCTTCCGGGACTTCATAAGAAAGACTCTCTTCAAAAGGAGTGTCTGGATGGTCTTGTTGGTAATGTTCTCGCAGGGTGTCTTTGCTGTCTGTATACTGTGTACACTGGAAGCAGCGGAATGTTTGGGAGGGCAGGTTAACGTGGACACCCATGTGGCGCTGCAAGAGGCTCTCGTTGTTGGTCGTGAACTGGCAGTGAGGACAGCTGACTAGTTTGTCTGCTGGGTGCTGCGACATGCAGTGAGCCTTGAGGGCGCTCTTCATCTTGAACATCTTGCCGCAGTGGTGGCACAGATGCATCCGGGCATTTGAGTGCTTGAGCATGTGGATCTGCAGGTTTTGCGCGGTGCGAGCCACAAACCTGCACAACCGGCACTTGTAAGGGTTGGTGCCGCTGTGGAACCAGAGGTGGCGACGCAGATCGCAGACCCTTCTGAAGACTTCACCACAGAGCCTACACCGGTGGCTCGCTACACTGCCAGATCGGCTACGGATGTGGATGTGTTTTCCCATGATCTTCTCCAGCTCTGACTTGGGCAGCTCAGCATGATGAGCTGCTATGTGATCTTTCATCTCTCTCTCGCTAGCCGTAGACATATCACACTGAGTGCATTGAAAAACCTCAGAGTCCATGTGCTGCTTCTTCCGATGTGCCAACAGGTAGGTGCTGCTTGTGGTCTCAAAGTCACATGTCGGACACTTCAACCTTGTCCCGACATGGACCGTATCCACATGCCTCTTCAATCCTTGCTTGGTGTGTGACGAGTATTGGCAAAGATTACACTTGAAGTTTTTCTCATCTTCGTGCGTCTTCTCATGAACTTTAAGCTGAGCACGGTAGCGGAATAGCTTACCACAGACAGGACACTCGTTGTCGCCGTATAAAGCATGAATCTCCCTGAGCAAGTCCAAGCTTAATTTCTTGAAGTTAAGCTTGGCGAACGCTTCACTGATTTCCTGCAATTCTGACGAGTCAACGGCTGATGTACTCAGAACTTTGAAGTATTCCGTCTTGAGGAATTCAGTTTGCTTCCCCATGTCATTCGCCTGGTCTCCTTGAAAGTTTTCTGTGTGAGGACTCTTTTCGTTCCTCCCTTCCAATGCAAGTCCATTCCTTCTGTTGTGCTCATTCACCAATTCTTTCTCTATGGGATCGGTCTGGTACATACTTGTCCTGATGCTCTGCTCCAGTAAGCCGTCTTGGCTCGAACCATCTGGAATTTCATGCGTATGCAAATGAGTTTTTAGGAGCTCAACGCTCAAGACTTTAGCGCGACATAAATGGCAGGTGTAAATAAACCAGTGCCTCTTGGCATGCACTTCAATGGCATCGTACCTGACAGACGCGTAAGGGCACAATGCACACTTGAAAGGCTTTGTGGGTCGATGCAACAGCACATGTGCATCATGGGATCGTCTGTCTTTGAATTTACGATTGCAGACGTGGCACTGGTAGAGTAGATTCCGTTGGCCAACTCGACATTTTAATTTCTGCTCCTCGTAGTAACGTTTAGCCATCGAATCAGACTGGATGTCGTGCTCCGACTCCAAGTGGCGTAGCAGGTGAGTGTGCGTGTAGGCCCGACGACTGCACAGCCTGCAGTAAATAGGGGTCTGCTTGGGGCCGTGCGTGCTCTTGTGTTTTTTCAAGTTGCCTTTGCTGATGCAGCTGTAGTTGCAGACGTCGCAGTGCAGCCGTTCGTTAGTGTGCTTCCTCATGTGGATCTTCAAGTTACTCTTGACAGAAGAGCTGTAACTACACTCGCTGCACTTGAAGGGTTTCTCCTTAGTGTGAGTAGACAAGTGTACGAGTAGGCTGGGCTTGGTCTTGTAGACCTTCCTGCATACAGGACAGGTGTAAACTTTCAGGGCTTGGGATTTGTTGATCCGCAAGTCCGGTAAGGCCTTGTCGTTGAGGGTCTGTGGGATCGTGCGTTCAGTTAAGTCCAGCCTCTCGGGTATTTTCCCAAGGTCAAAGTTAGGGAGATCCATTCCAGGCCCTCCATTGCAGAGACTCTCTATGTTTTGTGTGGCCAAACCATCATCTTCACCGTCAGCGTCGCTTTTGCTTTCGGGATCCCCACCCTGGCAGCGATGGCTCTTGAGTTGACGTGCCCTCGCAAATTCCCTTCCGCAGGTCAGACATATTTTCTCCTCTGACGTCTGACTCCTCTCACATTCCAACTCCTTTTGTATCCTCTCAATCATCATCTGCTTCTCTTGTTCTCTCTGTTCCTCTGTCTTTCTCGGTCGCCCCCTCTTTGTACGGTGTGCCCCTTCGCCACTTCCAATGTTTGATTTTTCTTCCGTCGTGGCTGTCATCATAACAGCAAGTTCTTCTGAATCTTCCAGCATCACTTGCCCAGTCTTGGTGAAAGGAATATCAACGTTTTTCCCGGGATATTTTTTTGGCCGCCCCCTTTTCCTCTTCTCTCTCGGCACTGAGTTTTTGTCCACATCTTTTCTTCTGACCAGCGAATTAAGGGGCAGCACGCGTAAAATATCACCTTCCGAGTCCAGGGGTATATTGTGCAATTCCAGCAGGTGTTTCTTGAGATCTGCGAGGATGGCTGTGTATCTGTTACACTCCTTGCAGATGAAAATGGTCCCCAGTTCTGTCTCTGGCTCAGGTAAAACTGCTGGAAAAGCAAATTAAAAAAATCAACACAAATCTTCAATACAGGGTGAGTCCAAAAAAATGAAACCCAAATGTCGAGACTATTGTTTTAGTGAAGTTCTTCATGTAGCACTTTGAAAATCTAGACTATAAAAACCCAATTCATAAGCGTTCTTTTAGAATAAGAATCATTCAAATCACTCATGTACTTTTCAAGTTACGGAATTTTAAACACAACCACCGTTTTAAAGTTCAGTTCACTCCACAGATCTCAAAAAAGGTGTGCGTTCTTTCAGCAAAACGAAAACAATTCAAACACATCCATATGTGATTTGTTTTCGTTTTGCTGAAAGAACCCTGAACTTTTTGTGATCCGTGGACAGAACCTTAAAACAGTGGTTGTGTTTAAAATTCCGTTTCTTGAAAAGTACATGAGTGATTTGAATGATTCTTGTACTACAACAAAGTTTATGAATTGGGCTTTCATATCCTAGATTTTGAAAGTGCTACATGCAGAACTTCACTAAAACAATAGTCCCGACATTTGGGTTTCGTTTTTTTACTCATCCTGTAAAATCTTGTAAGATGGATTTTCGCATCAAGAATTATATTGCATTTTGCCATTACATAACATAATTATGTAGGTGCTGTACACAAAAAAAAAGGTTTCTGTACAGAAAGAATTTCACAATCTTGCTAGGTCTGGGACTTCATATCAGGACAGCCTTGCAACAATTGTTTCAGTTTGTAAATTATATAAACAAACAAAAAATTGTGCTTCCTTAGGGAGGAGAGGCGGTAGATTTACTTTGTCTGCATGAAAGTGATATTTTCTGTATATATGCGATTTTTCTAAAAAATAATTGTAAGATGTTAACGCTGAAGGGGAATTATTTTTAACACAGTAATCGTGTAATTTAGGACCCTGTTCCATATCTAACGAAAAGACAATTTTATGTTTTAGAACTTACCAAAATTGTTACCAGCAGGAAAAGTAACTTTATATTTTTTAGTTCGCTAAAACACCATATTGAATATCGGCAGCCTTAATTTTGTAGAGAGAGGGCAGGGTTTTCAATTATGAGGAAACTTAAGGGGTAAAATAATGACCGGCAGCACCTGAAGCCAAGTCGTATTTTCTTCCAAAAGTAGGCCTACTAACATGACTAATTTAAAATTACAAGAACCTAGAGTAAATCTCAATAAAAAAAGACTGTTTGAGGCAAAAGTCATTTTGGAAAATTGACAGTCATTTGCAAAAGTCACTTTTGAACAGAACAACATACCATTGTGTCCGCTTTGTTCCTGTTTCTGCAACCCATCTTCCGTCTCGTCCAAAGCTTCCTGGAGTGTGACTGTGTCAGTCTCGGTGCTCACAATGACAGCGTTCTCGTCTGAAGCTATGGTCTGGTCACCCTCACCCAGCACCAAACTAGACGACTTTTCCAATTCTGTGGAATTGAATTCCTGGCCGTCCTTCAACCAAAAAAATTATACCAACGTGGAATTTCATCTGAGGCTGGACAGCTACTGGTTAATTCACTGGAATATTGTAAATTTTGTATGCAAAATATAAAAATAAGATTATGTCAAATTAGCAAAGGTTTTAACTTTTGTTATGGGCGAAACAAAATCTCATTCTAACTTCCTCAATTAAGAAATCTGCAGGATGCAGAAAAACATGGCTGAACTTACATTGCATGGAGGTTTTTGGTGGCACAGATAGTCCTCTAGCTTTGCAAACCTTGCTCCGCATGAACCGGACGTAGAAGTATCCATGTTCATCAACTGTTGTAAAAACAAACATAAAAGGGAGAGAGATATATTTTAATTTAATGTTTCGGCTAAACAAAGAAATTTCAAGTTGTCTGAAAGATGGTTCATCTTTCAACCATGAGTGAAGGAGTTTTGAAATGCTGTAAGTGGTTGCTCTGTACCTTTTATTCATTAAAATAAAGTGTGAACAAATTTTAAAGCCAGAGTCCATCATTTGCAGCTATCCAAAAAGTTATTGGCGTAATTATTGTTGAAAAACATACTTGGTTGAAAAAATGAAACATGGAGGAATCATAGATGAATAAAAACATGTTTTTATTCCTCAACGGTTGAAAAATAGTAAGGGAACTAAACTCCCTGTGAAATTATTCTTTCTGGCAAGCTGTCATTTTGAAGAAATCAACAAAAGAAGGCCTTTCCAAAGGTGCTTCTTAAGAAGCACCGTGGGAAATTCAAATTAGTAGTTCGTGTTGTTATTCGGTTAAGCACGCGCAAGCATTGGCACGACGGTCGCTATAATTCGTCGGATCAGTGCACGACATCGCGTAGCTGCAATCGGCTTAGTGAGAACATGTCTCGGATGCTGAATTCAGGCCAAATTCAAAACATGATTCAGCAACTTTCGATTTGAATCGAGATCCTAGAATATTGTTTTTCTCAAAATATACAGCTAAAGCTGACCATCGGGTTAGTTGTTCAGCACCCTTCTTTAGATCTTGAGCACTTTTGTTGCTCCAATTCAACGAAAAAAAATGCAAAAATTACAAATGATGGACTTTACCTTTAAGCCTAAATAATTAATGCACGCATTAGATTTTGCACACTGCGAGCACACGTAGGCCCTACTTGATGGCATTGAACACGCATATATAATTTACCTATGAAAATGGCTGTCTAAAACAAGAAGGGTCTAAATTAGGCCGTGTCCGAAACGGGCTTCCAGAGCTACGGCTACGTCTATTGTCAGCGCGTCCCCGCATATTTTCAATGGGCGCAGACCTAGACCTAGCTCTAGCCAACTGATTCGGATGCAGCCTTAGCAAAATGCCAATCAAATCTTTTTAAAATAAATTGCACAGCGCCCTCAATAGTCTCACACTTTTGAATCAAATTTTTAACATGATACTTGATGATAGATACTAGATAGGCCTACCAAAGTACATAAAATTCAGAGGGCCTGGCGAGCTGGCTGGCCACATTCCCACAAACTTGAAAAGCCAGCATGGTCATGTAAAGCTTGGATAGTTAAAGGGTAATTTTACATAATATCAAACCTACGTGAATCATGGATAAAACGTTAACTTACAATTAAGAAATTGCATTAATTGTCGTGAACGTCAGTTTCGAAGAAGTTTCTTCATCATGAATTGCGCCCTCTAGTGTCAACAAGTTTCAACAAGTTTCACGAAAACATGTATTTTAATACTGAGAGGGATTTCAGTCAAAAAGATCCACCCAAAATCCGGTCGCAAGTATAATTGTTTTATTCAATTAACGATTTTCTGAATGAGACCTCCTGTCTGTTTGCTGGTAGACAAAGCGACAGCCACAGAGGCCGGTGAGCAAATGCCAGAACTCAGAAGCAAAACAAAGGAGAAATCACCGGCCGTGCGTGGAAAATTCGACGCCCATGTTGCCTTTATACATTAAAGGGAAGATACAACATTTGCAAACATCACAAAACGAAATGATCAAAATTTATCACTACAAACCTTACTGTATTGTTAGGGAATGACAGTCTAAAGCATCCTGTAAAATCGTGGCTCCTGGTGTGCTGACATTTGCAAGAAAAATATTGACCATTGGGTGGGGTGGGGGGGGGGTGTGATGAACGCATGTTCACCATGGTTCAAATAAATTATACCTGAAGAGAAAGCTAACTAGACTACATCAAGGCGGAAGTGACCAACGACTTCCGGAAGACCGTAGCCTTTTTTCTTGGTTCCGTTCACATTTCACGAATAACAGGTGAACTTAATTGCCGAGTGTACCAGACAAAGAGCACTGTCAGGTTTCATTCAATAATTGCTTTGATAAAAAAAAAATGATAATACTTACGACTTGAAAAGCCTCCAAATGATAAAGGCTATCCAACGCAATACTTTCTAAAATGTCTCTATAAAATGTGTTTGAAAGGGGTCTTTATTATAAAGGAAGTGAAAAAATCATCAGTTTTGAAGACTTGATAAAAAAAATGTTACAAATTATTTCGAACATACTTTGGTTAAATAAAAAAAAATTATACAAACCCTCTCCGATATTAATTTCCGCCCCCCCCCCTCCGCCTTTTCGCTTATAAAGTACTTTGTCCTCGATATTATTAATTAGGAAATCATAAAAAAAATCTTCCTGATGTCAACTTCAAGTTCAGTTTGCTTTATAATATGTCCCTCGTGTTGACCAGGACCAAATAGTTTAATTAATGATTTAAAGGGAAAATACAACATTTGCAAACATCAAAAATAAAACTACCAAATCATTTTGAAATACCTTGCTGGACTGTTAGTGAATGACAGTGTAAAGCATCCTGTAAAATCATGGCACTTGGTATACTGTCATTTTCAAGAAAAGTGGTATTTTTGTATCAATTTCCAACGCTGATCGGCCGATCAGCGTTGGAAACAACTGGCTTTTTTTCAAGTACTGGCCCCAATTGACCATCGCACTTGTTTGCAATCGATTACAAACCTATGAACGGGTACGAGCCAGCTAGACTGGTTCCCTGACCTTACAATTCCCCAATGTATGTAAACTGATCTGTTTCTTCTTATATGGAGTCAGGGAACCAGACTACAGGAAAATGATAGTTTTTCTTGGTTTTTATAGCATTCTCGAACCCAAAACCTCAAAAAAGTCAGTGTAACTATATTTGCTATATATTTCCAACCCCCCAATTCCATCCATTTCTGAAAATTACAGCAAAAGCAAATGATGTATATTCCCTTTAAAAAACCTTCTCTGCAAGACTGTTCTTATTGAGAAATTATATAGTGCTTGCACGTTTTTCAATGTAATTGAAACACGAAGTTTGTTTAAAAGTCAAAGTTTTAGACTGACGATCCAAAGGTCTTGTCCAAATAACATGGGAGCGCTTTTGCATTAATATTTGACAATGTAGGTTGATAGCTGAACTGTGTACAGTAAGCCAAGACTAAATTTAATTAACTCTGCGAGTCTTTGATGTCTTGAAATACAACGTCTTATTTGAGTAAATGAGCCTTCTACAATCAGTCGGATCGAAATGACGCGAGATCGGCTGAGCAAACGAAGCGGGCGTCTGTAGAAGGACTGGCGGCTTCCACATTAGCCTTTCGCCAAGGCCATCGTGGCTTAGAAAGGCGAAGTTGCGAAGACCCGAAGCGACTGGAGCAAAGATTAAGTCAGCACGCACGAGTGGCAAAGCCACCGAGGCCTTTCCCAACTTGATTTTGTTGAATTATTCATAGTTTTTATGCAAATAAGAAGAGTGCTGAAGGTTAACTAATCACAACGCGGATTTTGCCTAGTCGCTTCCATTTTTAAAAGAAAGGTGAGTAAGGAAAACGTAAGAGCAAATAACTATAAGTTCAGATGAAAAATAAGTTCATACACTCAAATAATTTCTTGTAATACTTTTATATGTAAACTTAAAATAAGAAAATGTAAGAACAAGTACGCGCGGTCACGATCTCGAAGTCACGAAGTGGCCTTGGTGAAAGGCTACTTCCTCATTAGCCTCACGGTCATCTCATCACCAGTACATGTACTTGGCATCAACATATCAAATCTTATTGTATCATTCATGCTGAACTCAACCACTGGTGTCTGTTACTAAACTGAACCCCTGATCAAACTCATATGACACCATAATCTTGAAATTTGAGCCAACATCTCCCCCGATAAAAGGAATATGATAAAGGAAGTTGAGATCGGACCGATAAGTGAATGACAACGCGCGCAGGAAATCGACCAAACCATCCAAGCAATGTGGGTCAAATCAAACAACACGACACACGAGGAAGTACATTTTTGAGTATTGTGATATTCTTTTTTCTTTTTTTATCTTAAACCCATGATACGATCTTGTATTTCTCAAGTAGGATGTTTTCCTAAGTATTATCCCTTAAAACATTATTAGCTGCCATTTGTATTGCCATACTACTCAATGTGCAAATTTTCACAATCATCATGTGAGACGCCAATGATCCAACCCTATATGTAAATGTCGGTTTTACTTTTTATGACAGGGTGGTAAAAAAAATTGTCCCCCCCCCCCAAAAAAAATATATGTTAAAACTAAAAACTATGTGACTATGTTAATCCTTCTTTAAAGTTTTGGGTTTAACAAAACAGGAAAAGACGGAGGCAAGGTCAAAGTATTAAAGTGAATGTGTGAGATGCGCAAAATGAAAAAAAGAAGCTCGAAGGGCCCAAAGTTTTGACACGACGGCACTTTTAGCGCTTTTCGAGGGGCGTTATCCCTCAACTTTTTGTCATTCGCTGGATTCACACACAAAATCATATTTGCTTTGTATAAAACCCGTTGAAGTCTAAAGGCACGACAGTTTTCTTGAATTTAGTTTTGAAAGGCAATAATTGTACATACAATGTAAATTTTCTAATTTTTTTTGGTCTGATGTGCACCCCAACCAGGCCTATATAATATATAATCGCTGCCCTTTAATATTTAGAACACTTTCCTTCTTAATTCTGGAAATAATTTTAATGTGCTATATTTTATCGGGATTATGTTGTGGTCTTGGCTTTAAAACAAACTTTGCTGTAAACCAATGACCATGCAGAAAATTCTATCCGAAAAACAAAATGCGGAAATAATGTCCTTTACAATTATGTTAAACCACAGAGCATGTTCCTTGCTTTGACATGCCAATTATTCAGAGTGAACCAGTCAGGGAACCATTGAAATGAATGTAACACTAGAAAAACCACAACGTACAGACATAATTTGAACAAAGAACATCCTCATGGTTTATTGTTGCTTAAACAGACCAAAATAATTTTAATCACACAACTATTATTGTCCACGTTTTAATACGCTAAAACCGCAGTCGTTACAGATTACCCTAGCGATAGTACTGTCTCTCGTTTAAAGGTGTATCCCAATAGCTTCCGACTTTTACGTACAGTAAATCTACTTTCATTTCTTACATGTACATTGTATTAATAAGTTTCAGAGTCTTATTTCTTACGGCTTTGGCTTGTCTAGAACTCATGGTTTTCTATTAAAGAGGTAGCCTACATGGGTTATAAACAAAACAAGTTGCTTTAAGTTTAGTTTTTATACTACTGTATACAATTACGGATAGGGCGCATGCGCCCCAGCGCATCATAAGCAATACATTCAGTACTCTTCTAGATTGTCTAGATTTGAAAAAGATTGACTTATCTGTCTGTCAACTTATGCCAATCAAGAATGTTCATGTTCCTCTCACGATACTTGGACCTGATTTCCTTCCCTCCTTACACCTAAGACTTCTGATGTTCAAGTTAATAATGATAACAGCTCGAGCATATAGCACATTACATGTATAGGCAAAATCGTAACAGTAGCATATCACATTTTCAAAAAGACAAGGTGTAAAAACGAGAGCTTTGTATGTACAGGGTTTGACTTCTAAAATTATTTTATCGATCATAATAATACAATTTCAAAACCTTTATTCTTGGTCCAATTATAATGGGTTCGGGCGATGATCTGGCGATCAATCATCCATTGACAGAGGCACATAACAATGACACAAATTCATATTCAACCGAAATGTAGAAAAAATCTACAAAGCATTAAGAAAATCGAAAAACTTACTTTTAACACGAAAACATTTTGTACAATTTGGCATAATTATGGATGGTCCCTTTGGTATTTCAAGGTTTAAATCATCATTGGTATTGCAATAAGGCAAAGCTACAGTTAAGGCACTTTGTACAAGCGCAGTATTTTTGGCGTTCCGTTAGGGCTCAGAAGTTTGGAAGTAAAGCGGCATGTTACAACTGATGTAGTCGCCGATGGATAACGTATCACCAACCAATAAGGTCACACAAAATTAACTGATAGTGTAGTTACTTTTACTACACTCTTTATCGGTAAATTTGTGTTGCATTATCGGTTGGGACTATAATAATGTTACAACGATTGACTGATATCATGTAGCGTTCATTTTACTACTGTACACTATATCAGTCAACTGTTTGTTACATTATCGGTAAGTGATACAGTATCGGTAAATTTTTGTGACATTAGGCCTATCGGTTGGTGATACGTTATCCGTTGGTTACTACATTATTGTAACACGGCCTCTTCTTCAATATTGGCGTGACGGAATCAAATTTAAGACGGTGGTTCAAACTTCAACGCCTACATGTGTTTCACAGCTAATAACAGCTTTCGTCTTGTCTACAGTACAATTCCTTTCATTTCGAAAAGTCATCACGAGAAAGTGCGTATCGAAGAAAACTCGAAGGCTCGGGTATTTTGGAGAACTTGAGGGTGACGATGCAGACAAATACGGTCCTGAAGTACGGGTGTTTGGCTGCGTAGATGACCGGGTTGACGCAGCTGTTTAGGAGGAGAATCACACCGGCGTACGGAGTGAAGTGATCGGCTGCTGGTATCATAAGACCCACGCTGTATGGTGTCAAGCAGAGGACGAAGGCACAGACTACGTAGAAGAGGTTCTTAGTGATCTCGACCTGTCGTCTGCTGAGACGTCTACGGGTTGAATTGACAGGAGAGAGTGTCCCTGGGTGCGGGGTGCCGTTGTTGTTGGCGGTGGGGCTCTTGGGGTAGGAGGAAGAGGAGTGGTCACTCGGTGCAATGTTTGGTGTCAAGATAGTTTTCGTGTGATGCTTGATGTATAGGAAGATCTTAACGTAGCTTACTACGATGACGAGCATGGGGATTGGGTACAGGACCGCAGAGACTATCATGTCGTAAGGGTTGGATAGGGGGCCGCCCGATGTCTGCACAGGGCCGCATCGCAGGTACTTCTCATCATAGCCGAGTTTACCGACTCCGAGTAGAGGGGGGAGAGTAACCGTCACGAACGGTAGCAGCCAGGCCACGAGCGTGGTCACCAAGAGCATCTTACGGGTGTAGAGGGTTCGGTATCTGGTGCTCGGCTGAGTGATTAGGAAGAGTCTGTTCACAGCGATGAAGGCAAGGGTGATGATGCTGGACCCGACGAAAATGATGGTCAAGCCTCCAAAAGCCGAGCAGATCCACATACCGATGGGCCAGCCGTCTATGCTTACTGCTCCCAAGACATGCCACGGTAAGCACAGGCAGGTGAGCAAGTCCGTAGTGCTAAGGCTGACCACGTACACGTTGGTGGCAGTCCGGAGTTTGCGACTCAGCGCGACGGAGAGGATGACTAGGCCGTTGCCCACGCTGCCTACCACGGCGATGATGCTCATAGCGACCGCCAGGACGATCCGTTCTCCGTAAGTGAATCGGCCTGCGTACTCTGATTCAACCAGTAGGCCCATGCCTCCAGATGCATTCCCAGACGTATTAGATGATGTGAGTACACCCCCGAACGGAGATGCGTTGGAAACAAGTTCCATTTTGTCAGTGCGGAACACAATTTTGAACGATGGCAAGATGTCTCAAGTTAGGCTTCCTGAGTAACACAGCGTTACTCTTCTCCGACACAGCTTTTATGGTGAGCTCACTGTGCAGGGGATATTTTATATAGTCCGCTCGATACTTGCACGGTGTGATGAAACGTGATCAGTCATCGACAGACTGTTCAAATGTTATTGGCTGACTGCGTCAACACCGTGAGAGATCATGACCTTGCGGTCATAGCGCCAGTTAGGTGATATCAACAGGAAATGTACTCTCTCCTTGTCACCACGCAAGCTTTCCTGAAGAGGAACAAGTAAAAGAAAAAAAATTGAAACAAAAAAATATATGTATTGCAGCGGGATCTTTCCTGTTTGTGAGTTTGTACTTTGGCCCCTGGGGATCCATAGATGGAATCAGGCATGACAATCGTTTATGTTTAATTTGATTTTAATTTGGCCGAAAGACGGAAGGTGTTTATGGGGTCAGCACGGATGGTAAGTGACGGTGTGGAAGGATTTAAGAACGCGCGTGACGCGGCAAAGTGAAGGTTCTTCTGTGTATCGAGTCTTCGGAATGCCAAGATCAGGGAAAATTAATAACTTAATTAATTACCATAGTAAGTGTGAAATGACCTTGTTTACCAAGTTCGACTGCAAATTTCAAAGGTTGATGAAAGAAAGTTGAGGATTGACCAATATCGCTGACAACTGAGGGTGTTATTGGATAGAATTGTTTGGTACAAAACAAGGTTATGTAGTCAAGCAAAACAACACGCAGGGCTGAAACGCGATTGCTAAAGTACTTTTAATGTCATGTTTATTCATTCTCGGTGACTAAACACCCCATATAGTGCATTTCATCGGCCTTGCATTGCGAAACATGTTCGGGCAGGATAAACAGCCAGTCGGGTTACACAAATGTACTTAAAACCGCGCATGCGCAAAAGTTCAGAATTCAGAGGACAATTGAATGACTGTGCGGAATAAAAGGTAACTAGAGACCACTGACCAATCAGGATTTGTTGGTAGCAATTGGCCTATCAATGATGACAGTGTAACTACAGACTTTAGCAGTTTCTTGAACTTACTTACCCAAGACAGATTTCTTTTTCTTAAAAAAGCCCGTCTTTTATCATCTACAAAAAAGCTACACTGTATATCTAAACCTCCAACATTTATCAAAGGCAAAATTTATTTCAAGAGCGGCTATTTTTAAAACATTTTCGTAAACAAATCAACTTGGTGACTGTGTATATACGGAGCTGACAGAGTGAACGACCGCGTGTATCTCCATCGATATAGTCGCCGGTCTCAATCGGGTCCCATCCATTTCAATTTATATACAATGTCAAAATGGAAAACCAGCTGTCGGCCAAACTATACTATCAGGACTGTACGTCGGAAAGCTCGTGATATGCGTTATCTGAAAAAACAACAGCCCAATTGACCAATTCACAGGAAACGCGCTAATAAGGCATGTGATGTGTTTTTTTTGGGGGGGGGGGGGTTGTTCTTCGGAAAATGGGATGGGAAAGCGGAACAGCGGATAATTGACAAGACAGGGAGGTTTACATTTTTTGAAGAATAAAAGTTTGATGAACCTGACGGGTATACAACACAAGTATAGGAGGACATTTAGAAGACATCAAGAAATTCTTGGAGAGGCAATCGGCTCAGCATTCAGAGATAACGGAAGGAACTTTTTCTCTTTGAGAATTTTCAGCTGTTGTACACGGGGGGGGGGGGGGGAGGGGGCATGTGGCCCCAAATAAAGACAATTTGTACCCTTATACTGCTGGAAGAGGTGTGCGTGGGAAATGATGATCAGAGGCGTGCAACAGGAACATTTTAATGGCCGACTTGAAGTATTTCAGACTCAACATCAAAATCATATCTATATTCACCCACCAGTTCAGATGCACGCAAGTGTGTATTTGCCTGCAATCGGGGATCCCCTATTGTCCCTCTGTGGTTTGTACTTCAAATTCTTGGGAAGATCTCTCATACTTATGATGCACGATCTCCAAATTGGGGACCTTCAGGAATTGGGGACCCTATTGTCCTCTATTGTTCAACGTCCCATATTGAATGCAGAAACAAACTCATTTCAGACAGCCTGAGCCAAAATTATACCGCCCATCGTCCACCCCGGCAATACAATTATTAAGTCATCTTTCAAAATTGTTTTACTTTAATTCGATCTCACCGTCCCACGTCTGCATCATACACTAAATCACAACAGGAACTCAATGAGAACGAGAGGCATCAAAATGGGTCATATAATATGTAGCCAAAATGAACATCACCTTGGAAACGCATCTACGAAGGAAGCAAGGAAGACGCCTGGGCGACCCAATTTAATGAGCAACGGAAGACAGACGATCTGAAGATGGATGCGACACCGATATAGGTCAATCATCAGGCGCCCATCTTAGAACGGCATTGAAGACGCGCCAATTGCAGCGGAAAATGTGGGCAAGAATTTCACCTTGGTTACCAATTAAAATACTTCCGGGAAGGGGTACACTTCCGTGAAAAGGTTGCAGCATGATCTACAACAATTACTTATTTAAAAAAATAAGACGGATTTCTTCCTGCTAACGAATTTTTTTAACGTACCGAAAAAGGTGCACATACTTTGTGTATTGTTTATTCCAAGCTTTTGGTTTGACGTATCATCAGAAAGTTTATAACAATGACAATGCTGTTAGAATTTCGATTTCCGGCTGTCATTCTGAAATGCAGCCGTCCTCAAAGAGTGATTATGAACGTAGCAAACTGCCTACCCAACATTTAAGTCATTCTATTAATGATACTTGCAAGAATGGCAAATTACAAAGTACCAAGGTAACAGGGACAGGAACGAAATCACACTTTGGACGCTAATTTGACCCATATAGGACAGCAGTAGTGCTACTTTGACGGCTCTTCTATTGGACGTTTGAAATGCACAATTGGGAAGCAGTTTATACCTTTTCAGATGAGTCTTACCCCCCCCCCCCCAAAAAAAAAGGAGGGGACATGTAATAGGTGATTCCTCGAAGGGATTTCAATTTTGACGACTCATATTTTCCCCACCACCGTCACCCGAACAACGGTATACCATGGGTTCAGGGAAGGCATTTCAAAGACAATTTTCCTGACGATCCTGATTTAATGAGACTTCATGGAACCTAAAATTGGGACAGCTGTTTCGAGTAAAGCTTAACTCGAGGTATCAGATCAAGTTACTCTGATGGATTAAGTATTACACATGGACTTGATATTGGTCATTCAGGATGAGCTGCCGAAAACACGGGCCATGTTATGGTATCAGTCGGTCCTCTTAACATTTAATTTGCTGCCCACGACATTTTGTTTTTTCGAGAATATCATGAACTGCATCAGTCTTGTGCAATAGTAAGGAAACGTGAAAAGAAGTAAAGACTCATATTGAAAACGTAAGAGATGTTCTCTACATTACTATGACAGGATGCAATGATGAGAAAAAGGGTGACATGCAGACGTTTTTTCTTAAGTCTTCGCCGAAATGTCGCTATGCGCGATCAACTAATTTGTTTTCTCCGGAAATCTCAGTTAGATATTCTCATGGCTTGATGCCTTGATGCTCAGGTTGTGGTGTGTGTTTTTTTTTAGAAATCTCTCAACTCTTCGTTTGACGGCAAATAACTTTGAAACCAATATCATTCAATGAAAAAAAAACCCAGATGTTGACATTTCAACTATCCTCAATCAACCTCATTATATTGGATTCGCGGAACCAAAAACGAAGTTCACGGAGAGAAAACAGCTGTGAAAGAAGAACTCTGTTAGCAACTGCTGACAACTCTCAATTTAAAAACACATCTTTCGATTAGTCGGATTTAGGGGAATCAGAAAAAAAGAGTCGTGAAATTGAATTGCGTGAACGGACAAGGACGCGCGGTGAACGCCTCTCAGGTCGAGAGTCAAAAACACAAGTTCTCTTAATTTGCCAGATGTTTGGACTTGTCAACTTGATGCAAGATGAAGCATGGAAGACTCCTTGAGACTTTAAGAGGAGGGATCTGCTGACGGATTGGGTGCTATTCTAAGAATATCTCGCCGCATTCTTTGGATTCGGTTAAGAAAACAAACTCTGCTTCCGGTGGGGAAGAACGGAGCGAAGGAGAGGATTCTTTTGAAGACAACGACCGGAGGAGGCGCAGAAAATAATGAGCTTTTAAGAAACGCAAATAACCATAACTCCATCGACACTAACTTAAAAAATAGTGCTAAAATATTGTAATGATAATACATTTGAAATAATCTTAAACAAAAGTGAAATCGATAATATGATTTTAAAACGTTACCTTTTTATATAGAACCTACACATTGTCCTTTGTTCTATGAAAACACACATATCGTAAAAAAAAAAAAATACCCGGGCTTCAAGTTGCGATGGGTTAACGAGGTGAGTGACCAAATTGTGATGTCACGTTAATTTCTACTTTCATTCATTCTGCTGAATTTACGCTGTGAAATGTACAAGAAAATGCGGACGCTTATATGCATCCAATATTTTTCTTCATTTGTCAAAAGTGTTCGCTTTCATAAGCTTTTGACGATAAAAACGTAACTGAGGTGCGGGGCAAAAAATAAACCGAAAAGAAAATCTGAAAGGACACGGTTCAAACATGCCACCTGTCATTGAACCTCCGACAAGTCGTACCAATGCATCAGCTTATTGCTTGAATAATAACGCAATTCCATTCAAAGTGCGTCTTAACTGAACCGTCAGTATATTCACTGCGTCCCAAAACCTCAAAATTGTCAACACTCAATTTTGAAACGTATCTGTTAATTGTATAATGGTTCATCACTTATTAAAAACAATTGCATCTGGATATTATCCTCACGTGACGTGGGTCAATCAACCTACTCTCCATCATATAAAATCAAAGTACAAATATATTTTAATATGGCTCATCAAATTATTAAATATCCGGTTGTATATAAAAACTTGTCATACTTCGGAGAGACGGAGACATACTATAGACATTGACCAAACCAAAATAAACCAAATGAGAAATGTCACGCAGGATCGAAGACACTACCAAAATTGAACCATTTACATTGGCTGTTGTCAGTAACTTTACCAAAATATTTTGCCGAGGGTGTTTATTATACGTTTTTTTTTTTCCAGTGGAGTGATTACACGGTTTCCTTGAAAGTCACATGACTCACAGCCTCCGCTCTATTGGTCAAGAGTTTGCGTTTGACAATGATGGCAGTATTTCCGAACTCATTTCCTGAAGATTCATCTTCAGCAGATGAATGCATGCAGTGTGTTCCACTAAAATGATGCAACTTCATTCCAATCTAAATGGTTTGACGCGAATTGTCATAACTGCAGTGACCACACACGAGAATTATTTTCCTATTCTCCGCATTTTCTCTCTTACACATAACAGTAACGTTTTAACAGCATTGAAACCACACATTATCTGGCCTAGTTAGAAGGAAAGCTACTTTTAAAGCACTTGAGATATTGTGAACTACCACGCATATCTTGTCATCTACCCGACTTAAAAGCCTGTGAGCCTGCCAACTAAAATCATAACCGACCAAAAATAACTGCGATGAGTGATGTGTCCGCACACTTCCAACACAGGAACCGAAGTGTTGAATAAATATTTTGCCTGGAGAACCCTTTTAATCTCTTGCAGGGTGCATCAGAAATGGCCACGCACCAGGGACGAACTTAATTCACCCTAGCGCATAGATCACGCCCCGGCGACGCCGATGAACATTTCTGACATTCTGACAAGCAAACGACTTGGACATACTTCTGTCTTTACTGACAAAATGGCGTTTGGGCTTGACATTCTGCGACCACGTCCCTGGTCATGATCGAAAGAGGTGAACGGCGCGAAAATGAAATACATTCATCCGAGATGAAATAGATGACACCCTCATCATGTTGGATATAGGAGCAACTAACTGGCTCTTTTGTTTAACATTCCTCCATGTTGTAATCGTGGTGGGAGGTGGAATGACTGCTGAATTCGAAAAACATGAGGCCAAGTCAAAACAAGAAATTCCCTGGTTCGGGGTTTGAATCTGAATCCTCCGGCACGTCAATTTCTTGGTTCAAACAAAGTGAGTCAAACGATTTCCATGACAATAAGTGTGCAATAATCAACATTAGTTTTCGCACTGGCGTAGGGGCCTAAACCTGCTCATTTTCACAACATCAATCATCGTGACTGAGTTTCTCTCGCAAAGTGTTTGCATTTCACTCGATTAACATACCATTTCTTAGGGAAGACACAAAGCATTAGGTTATTTATGTTGTTTGGTAACAAAATAATTTCATTCTGACGTAACACGCGAATGGAGCAGGCGGCGAATTCAGACAGAGTGCAGACACAGAGTGAATGACCCAAAAATTATTTGTACTTTTATGGTTGTACTTTCCCATGTGATCTGCCTGACTATTACACGGCTACTCACCACTATTATGAACTAAGAATGTATACTACATTTCTGGTACAATTTAATCGCCATTACATTTTGGTTTCCATGGTCCCAATGACGTCACAGACAAGCTAGTACCCCGACCGACTCTGATAATTGGGGGCTATCAAAACTGATTAGAAACGTTCCAATCTTTCAACTTTGCATTCTCACAAAACTACTGTTTCACCACAGCTGGTCAAGCAAAGGGTAAAAATGTCCACTTATAATTGATTTTCATAAAATTCCGTAGGCCAAAAAAAACCCAGTTGATCGTCCCCGCCCGCATCCTTTTTTGAAGCCGCATCCTTTTTGGGTTTTTTCCCCTCACCTCAAAAAGCAACTTTTTCTTGTACTTGGCTTTAATAAAATACATAGAGCTTGTTTGACATGAATATTTTGACTATTACTATTAGGATAGCTAATTAAAAGCTAGCTGTCATTTTGAACCGAGGTTGGCGGCCATTTTGAATTTAAATACTTGGCGGCCATCTTGGAAACAAATAAAAATACAAAATAGAAAGGCCCTCATCCTCCTCTTATGAGAAAAAAACTCGAATGATCAACTTTTCTTTTTACTTGGGCTTATCGTCCAATTCAGAAGGAAGTCAGGTAGTCACAAATCTGCCAATATCAAAATACTGACAGATGTGACATTGATTAAAAGACACACATCTGGCGTCTGTATGTGAGCTGATTCCTGAATTGACAATTTTCATTTTTAATAAAACGAGAATATCTGATTACTTCATTAGGAAATCTAATATTACTGTGTCGAAAGAATGGCAATCACGTGGCCAGTTAGCGTGAGGGTTATCGAAGGTCAACCTTGAATAACTGTCACTCTCACACGTACCATCTGTCATTGTCCGAAATAATAAGAATCAGAATAACAACCTCGGGTACGTTGAGCAACGTGTGAAGAAAATGGTGAAATCATTTCTAAATAAAAAGTGTAACTATTCGAGCGTACGTAGCGTTTGGGGCCTTTTTGCGGTTCAACAAGGCCATTTGAGTAATACTCTTCTGTGGGCGTAAAGAAACGTCATGGATGCATATAACATTTCAAAATGACGTTTGACTAGCCGTAGATATTACAATTTTGTTTTCTTTTCACGTCTCCGAACCTAGAATATGTGTTGCCAATGTTCAGCGGACTCTTAATCTGTTTCAATTCTTCAAGCTAAATACTATTACTAGCGACTTATATCTCATGCTTGAAATTATCCAAAGCAGTATCGTAACTGCATAGGTGGTCAAGTTTACATTTGTTTTTAGGAGGGGGTACTCAATGGGGTTTTTTAACATTATTAAATAACAAGTTTTTCCCTTTCCCAAATTCTGAGCAGGAAAAGATGGACGAGGACCTCTATGGGGGGGGGGCACTGCCTTTACTAAAATCACAAATTTAAGTTGAATATAAAATATGCGATTTATTTTTCATGATTTCTTAACGTATAAGCTCGATATTTCACAACATTACAGAGAGACATGGCCGCTGAAGGCGGCAGGCCAGGCCTTGACCGGTCCGCTGACAAATTTCCTGTAAAAAATAACAAACCAAAATTTGGTATCCACGCAGTGATACACAATGCGCAAGATCTATTTTAGTTCCGTTATAATGACAAAAACAGATGTTAGTGTAAGTTTGTTTATGATGACACGGAACATTATATATGTATGATTGTTCTTGTGGTTTTGGCGTCGTTATACATTTGTACTTTGTTTTAGTTCATTGGCCGGCAATTCTGTTCCCAGGTCAACTGTGAAATACATAGAGGAAAATGCTCTAACAAGAAACTAGGGACGAAATTCAAATTGTGCCATAGTAGCTAGGGGTCGCGCTACGTTAGGGTACATGAACAATATTTCCTTACTAGGGACCGAGTTGACTTGACCGAGTTGAATTTAACTTAACTAGGAACGAGTTGACTTGGGACCGAGTTGACTCGGGACCTAGTTGAACATAACTATGGGACCGAGATGACTTGCAACTGAGTTGACTTGGGACCGAGTTGACTCGGGTCGAGACCGGCGAATTGGTTTGGGACCGAGTTGACCTGCACCGATCTGTCTGACGGTGGATAATTAACAGTAATATACGCTTCACTGACGTCTTCGATCGTGCATGCTACCAGAATCCTTTAAAAAATTAGACATTTTAAACCAGAACTGGCATGTGAGGCTGTTGTCAAGAAGTTGCCGAATCGTAAAATTGTGATTTAAATCCGGGTGGATATAGATCGAACATTTAGAGTCAAGATGAAAAAAATCATTCAATAGTTGCAACCCGCCATCTCCTCTATTCGGATATACAGATAAAACAGTTGTTTAGAACACACTTACAAAAAGCACCCCTTTATATTGACCATGGAGGTAGGAATAGACTAGGCCCAAGACTACACTGTTCACATACCTGACTTCCTAGGAAATACATCCCATCGTTGAAAAACTTCACCCCATCTTTAAAAAAAAAAGGTCTTTGAAGAATCGCCGCCAATTCTTTAGTATATAATGCGCTATTGAAAATCCGTCACAATGCGGACTGCATGGGCTTGGGTTCGTGGTTGTTAATGGGGATATCCGCGGGAAGATCAAAGACGGGTAATCTTGGGTGATGGAGAATTCAAGGCAAGACAACAATTAATGTGAGACTTTATAAGTCTTGGGTGGCGGTGACACCGAGTTATTGCCACGGTCGGGTTGAATAGGGAACCGGTCAGGGAGTAACCAAAGATGAACTCAAGACTAGGAACAGGTATAAGATTGTCAATTTATAAACACAAAAATCTGAAACATTGAATGAAAGGTCTGACAGATGCATTTCTTTCTATACTGATAATGTCCTTCTCGAAAAAAAATCGGATTTAAGACAAAAGTCTGAAAAATCTCATCCCGGTAAGAAGATGTTTATCATGCACAACGATTCTTCCTGAGAACTTTCCCCAGATAATCCTCTAAAAAGTTGACACATCCGCCACAAAGCTTCAAATCTTCTGAAGATGCACTACATGGATAGGCCTACTTTCATTTCTGACAATACTTGTACTCATCGACGATCCCGAATTATCTACTCTTATAGTTGGCTGCATTGGCGGTTAGAGGGGGGGGGGGGGCTTAATATTGTCTAGCATTGTCTAGCCCACCCACCCCCCAAAAAAGTGCACTAGCAAAATATAAGAATGTGACGTACATGCGAATTGTCTCCCCCTAAATAAATAGTCGCGAGAAGGGTGCATTTGTACACTTTTACTTAATATAGTGTGCCTGTTTGCAGGATTTTATCATCGCTTCCCATTGAAAATATGGCAACCCCCCCCCCGGCCCCACCTATTGATTTTCGGAGGCTTAAGTGTCCGTATAAAATACATTTCAGTACGCCTCCCTGAAAAAAATTATGGATTTACCCTGCTGCCCCGCCCTACTGCCCCCTCCCCCCACCCACCCTAAAACAAATATTGGCTCTAGAACTGCGCCTGGTTTGCTGTAGTTATAGCTCCGTATTGCTTTGGGGTAATATGAGGAATAAGAGCCAAGTCGGATATCAGTTATTCCATTGAGGATTCCTCCATGGTTATTCTTAGCAAAAAAAAAGGGGGGGAATGTAACGCAAGCTTCAACAACTGGTTTTATGAAAACTTGCTAAATTGACTTTCCAATTTATCCAACGAGCCAAAACCCCGGGAAATTGAAAAATCACTTTTAATCAAAACTAAAGTTGAACTTACCACTTTTTCGAAATTCCTCAGCTTGCAGATACAGTCGACGTTGCGTGGTCCGTATTGTGGCAGCGAGTACCTAATCGAACGTCGTATAAACGCAATGTGTATTGTGTACAAAGAAAACGACGCATCCGCATTGCGCACACACAGCGCAAGGGGTGAGATGGCTCATTCATTCAAGAAAGTCTTGTCCGTGACGCTACACACATCCACAGCACACACACTCCAAAATGGACGAGTCCATTTTCGTGTAGCGAACGTTACGGTAACTTCGCCAGCAGCGTTGCTTCACAAATAAGCTGAGATCTCTCTCTCTCTCTCTCAATAGTTAATTAATGAAACTTACGATAGCCAGATGGCGTGGTTTATTTACATCCTGCATGGCGACACTGCGGTCAACATCAAAGAAGAACCTTGCACTATAGATAGAGGCACGTCATTGTTAAGACTTCAACAACAGACACTGACCCATCAAAGTAAAACTGAACCGGAAGTTTTGTCTATTGATTTGGACAAACGGAACATTTTGGGTTGGAACAAAAAGAGCCGTACTAGCCAATTACGGTACGGTAACCTGAATGGTTCATATCACTGAATCACCGCGAGGACAAGATCAAAAAAGAGTCTTTGTAATGCAAGTGCGGCCCTTTTTTTGGGTCCAGTCATGGCAAGTCCGCGAAATGAGCGAAGCCATCTTTTCTTCATCTTTTACGGTTACATTATCAAAAGGCTTAAAGAAATCCTAGCTTGTGTAAATGGTCCGTGCGCGAACCATAGAGCGAGGAATAAGCCGAGGGCCAGTGGCTAGGGGGCCGGGGTGGAGTGGGAAGCCACACCCGAAAGTCTCACGACGACGGGCAGAGTATACTGCCCGAAAAGTTATGGCAAGGTCGGATCCAATTTTTGTTGTACCCAAAAAGTTTGTAAAAAATCATGGCGTGGGGTTCGGGGCTCGCTTAAGGGCCCCGAAAAAAAATGTGGATTGCTCTGTGGTGCGATCTGATATGAGGCAAATTCTCACCACTTCATCCAATGTTTTTTTTAAGGAAAAGATGGATTGCCTGCCTTTATTACGACGTCACTTAAACAACAATTGGGGTGGGGTTTTTTTTTGGGGGGGGGGGGGGCACGGCCCCTTTTCCTCCCCTCCCCCTCCCTGTGGGCCCCCTCCCACACTCACCTTCCTTTCGAGACGTGTTCCCCCTCCCTGTGTCCCCCTCCCACACTCAGAGTTTTGGACAGGTACAATGACCTTTTATCGTAACTCAAACAAATTGATAAACACTATATTTTGTGATCAGCTCCACCAAATGTATAGGCCCTGGCCCAAACTTCGGAAGGAGGCGCAGGCCTATCAAATCAACTTGAGCCGATAAAATCATCAAGCTGCAACGTATGGGTTGGACTTCGTCCGTGAATCCATCACAGGCATCGGACCCCTCCGCCGGGCGATACAGCTTGTTTACCGGGCGAAGGTTTGGACAGGCTCCCGCTGAACGCAAGACGTATTACCGTTAAAAAAAATAATCAACCAATCGAATTGAGTTCCCAATTTGCGCTGAAGCATTTACTCATTAACCAGCTGGACCCGAGGAATTTGTGATTAAATGCTGTCGTGCGTGAAAGTCTCAGAATTATAGCAATTTGCAAAATCATGCTGTTTTGTAAAATGTGGGTCTTTTTCAGGTGTCTGTTGTTCGCTAACCTTCCTCCAAATTGGAATCCAGTTAGGGAACTGTCAAGTATGCAGCTTCTTTCCAAAAAAGTTAAGACCCTACATAAAATACGGAGTAGTCTCGAACCGACATGGGTAATGAAAATTGACTCTCGCAAATTATGCCACTTTAAACGCCAGCCGTGATCACATTCTTGTGATGTATTGCCCAAATTTTAAAAAAATCCGTGTCTAAAAATAAAACCAATCATACTGTACCAATAGTGTAAAATAAAAATCCAAGCCCATAAATTTTCTTGAAGGCGCTCCAAATCATGACATTTATTTGCCTCAATGGTGCTCAGAGGACGACCGTATACAGTTTGAGATGGTGGAAATAGTTTCACAATACAGTTTTGGATTGTGGGGGATAGTGCTCGCGGGGATAATGGAGATGAATTGTGCCTCTTGAGATCCTCTGTATGCGGGGGGGGGGGGGGTAATTATATAAGATGGTCAACAACTAGACTGCGTCAGCGGGAAAAAAAACTGAATGTTTAAATTTTTGGGCAACTGTCTTAGGCAGAAACGGGCGACGCTATACGAGAAGAAATGCATGAATTGGGACGAATGGGCGTTTGTCCCGAACTTAAAATATTCTGATGCCGTTTAAATATCGACTAAAATATATATATATCTTAGGGAAAGTAATTTCTCCGCATTTGTTTGAAAATACATTTCAGTCATCAAAATACAAGGACATGGCCTTGCATCTCCTGCCAAAATGTTGTGCACAGGAAATTACGGGGGATATTAATGTCACCTTGAAAACCGTAGTAAATGATTTGTAAAAACAACTATTCACTTCACTGAAGCAGCGGAAATGAGTGGGTCTACACGCAACATTTGACTTTTGGACTTTCAGTGTGATGCAAGTGAAAAGCGATTAAAAAACGTGATCGGTTAACCGGTGACGCAGACGATAGCAAAAGTACTTTAATCTGACTGATGCTTATTGATTATTTTCAGTAGCCAATTGCCTAGCAACCAAATGCCGACCCATTACCCACACACCGACAAACCGACGAATCGGGAACAGGGAACACTGAGACAGATTAAAATGACTTGAACCGACCAACTCGCCAACCAATCGAGAGAAACGACCATAAACATTGACTTTGACCTCACTCTCTCACTCACTCGGTCGCCCACAGGCGGGCTCGAGTATGGATTTTCCAAGTAATTCGGTCCAGCATGAGGGTGGCCAGTTCGTCTGTCGATTCTACTCCGGTGTCCTTTTCAACTGTTTTATCGATTATATATTAAAAATGGATCGATTGATCGATTTCCAACCGATTGGTTTGTTTGAAGAATTTGATCTCCCAACTAAATACTTTGACAGAAGAGAAAGTGCACATTTTGACCACATTCCGGAACGACACGCGCGGGCCTGACGTCCAGGCGCACTCTGAGGGTATCAGATTGCAAGAAATGTTTCCTGGACGCCGATATACACGACCTTGCGGAAACAACAGACTGAAAACAACAGAAGAATACAATCAGGTAACAATCATGTATCCAGGGATCAAATTCATGGCCAAAATGAAAACAAACCACCAACAGGTATTGCATTTTCATCAGCGGACATTTCTCACAAATCTTCTAAGATGGAATTAATTTTGTGTTGCGGATGTAAGCCTGCAGGGTTTCTCATTTCACTTTGAGTTATAGACTTCTCTTCATTTATTTTCTTTTTTTTTACCAGATGAACCAGCAAATTTAACTGTTTGATGCTATATTTCCTTCTCACACAACAAAAGGCAAACATGATGGATTCATGGTTTCGGCGATGGATGCTATACAAAATACGTTGACCCTTTAATACCCTTGCTACGTCTTTCGGTCGAAATACGAAGAGTTTATAACACACGAACTCCAGTCTCTACAAAGCAAAATGTTGACTTACATTAACAATAGTATACAATAATGAATGATTGTGAGTGCAATGGTAACAATGAGGTGACAGATGAAATGTGAGTGGAATGGAACATTTCATCGTCACCGAATGAAATGATTCTTTCCATTGTACGGACGTGAAACATTCATTATTTGTTTCATATTACACAGTCTGTGGAGTTTTGAGTTTTGTTTCTTTGAACACCGAGCGTGTAAAAGCGCGCCACGCCACGGAAGATCTCGGGAGGAACACAGTCTTGTTGGAGTAGGCTAAACCCTGCAGACTAAAGCGGGCACGCTGGGAAGGCCCCCCTCAATGGCGAAAGCATTGTGCTATCTTTGCACAATTATAGCTTGCACAATGTTTTCACCATTGAAGGGGGCCTTGTGCGTGCATACAGTGATATATTAAGTGCCTGGATTCGTCTTTAGCTATACAACACCCGAGAGATCAAGGACGGAACATTCCTTCATCAACTCTGGTCTCTCTCGACGCCAGGCCGGTTTCCCCTTCGGAAAACGTGGGCCTTTGTCATTTGCACTCCGCCAAGGTCGCGACAGTATTTTGTAATACTATGATAATACAAGGCAAGTTCAATTATAAATGGGACAATTTTCTGGACAAGCTTTCATAAGACAGTGGCGAGAAAAAGCCTGCAGTGGTGGATCTATAATACGGGGTGTTATGGGAGGGTGGGGGTGTTCTAAACCCTCCCTCTTTAGACGCAAAAACAAATTAGGAAAATCGTACAGATAAACACAGTAAACCTCCCTCTTGGCGATTATATCCCCTCCATGGTTAAAACCTCCATCCGCCCCTGGCATTGTATCATGGTGAAATCACACAAACTTTAATTGATCTATACATATTCATGTGAAAATCAACAAAAAAATTTCGTTACGGTGAAATTTCAATTCTTACCTTTCTATAGGGCCATGGAACTTTAATACTGAACTGATGTTGGGTGGAATTTACAGAAGGTCATTGTTAATGGGGGGGGGGGGTAAAAAGTTCGTGAAAAGGGCACTGGCACATCCGTGCTAAATGTAGACAAGTGGCCTCCAACAAATCAACAAGTTTGTTTGTAAGGGGGGGGGCTGTTTAAACCGGACGATCATGATGGACACTGTCGGACATGCAATGGGTGGCGCTTTTCAGGGCGGCACAACTACGACGGTCGCGCGAAATTGCAAAAAAAGGCACTCGTTTATAAGGCCGCTGGTAAAAAAAGGGCATTTTTTTTTAAAGGGCACTTGTTAAAAAGGGCACTCTCTACAATACAATTGGGTTTTTTTTTTGGGGGGGGAGGGGGTAAATACCCCCCCCCCCCTTTATCCCCGCTTCTACGCCACTGAGTTATACCGCGACATGCTCTCCTGACACCAATTAACACTCAACTTAAAAATGTGCTGTGACGATTCACGTCATCCACCACCAATCCAAAGCTGAATCCGTGTTCCCACGATCACGTCTACAATAAAACGACCTTCCCCGTTGCACGTTATGCGTGCATTACCGTCACAGGGAACAGGACGTTCATATTTCCATTACATCCATATCGGATTACGACACGCGACTATCGTCTCTATCAATCAGTTTCATATTTCTGGTGCGGGTCGATGGTCATAGCGCGGTAATCTGAAGGATTTTTGGAGCGCACAATAAAAAAAATATTCTTAAAACTTTTTATCTTCAATCTTACAACTTTGTATATTCATTTTATCATCTCAATATATTTTATGAGATGATCAGATGAGGATAAAAAGTTTTAAGAATGTTGACAAGTCTCAGAAAAAAAATCTAATTATCCCGTCTTGAATCAAGCTAGGTATAAGGAAAGACGGGTATTGAACAGAAAAAAATGGCCACGTGTAATTTTTATAACAAAAGATTTTCAAAACTATAACACACGTACATCAGCAAGACACTTTCAAATTCTTTCCGAATCTTCGGGTTTTTCTTAGGTTGAAACTGTACTAACATTAAAGTTTTAGAATCGGCAGTAAACTGTACGTGGAAAGGGCAGAGAAAATAAAATATGTGGGTTGAGTTCACGGCTCCCCATCGCTTTCACCCATTTGAATTCACACACATCCCTATGTGATTTGTTTTCGTTTTGCTGAAAGAACACTCAACTTTTTTTCTAATCCGTGGACAGAACCTTAAAGCGGTGGTTTTGTTTAAAATTCCTTAACTTGGAAAGTACATGGGTGATTTGAATGAATCTTGTACTAAAAGAAAGCTTATGAATTGGGCTTTCATATCCTGGATTTTGAAAGTGCTACATGCAGAACTTCACTAGAACTTTTTACTCACCAAGGGACAGGGAATCTTCGATTTCCAAATTCACGTGTCACTCTTTACATGTGTGTATTCGCTGTCTTTGTCGCCTGCTCGCAAACATGAACCTGCCACCAAGTCTCCATACAGACCCCACAACTCAAACAATGCGCACATATTTGGATCTTTTTGCATTTACTCAATGAGGTTTCCCGCGGGGACTGAAGACGGACCAGACAAATCAGCTGTTTTCGTTTTTCTTGTAAACATTTACAAGTCATCTGTGATAAAAAAAAAATCGAGTCCCGTAGCAGCTGTCTCTATATTGTATACTCTTGTTCAAAGTGTAAATGGATAATATATGAGTTCTTACTCGCACATACAGTAAAGCGTCCGTTGTTCTTCCTGGCAATGATGGTTTTGTGAAAAAAAGTACACGTGGTTAAAGGTTTAGTCAGGTACCAACGGGTACGGACTGACTTCAACTTGTTCTCATGTAATTACTTCCAGGAGCACGACCATTCAGCTGCGCATGCGTAATGGTAAATGTGTTTAAAGGGGGGGGGGCACCTATAATTGGAGAATCCAGTTATAACTTTACTCTGCAGACTGTCTGGTTTGCAAACAAAAATGAACCTAAAAACTGAAATTGAGAATCTGGGCAAAGAATATCTTATAGATTTCATTGTAGAGTCTATCACAAGTCAAGTCTTTAAGGTCCTTCACAAATCAATGGCAATGCCTGCATTTTCGAATGAAGCCACAGCTATATTCAAAACCACTCTGGCAACAGCTATATTCAAAACCACTCTATATATTCAACACCACTCTGTTGTTCATCCCCAGTTACTTTAGACTGGACAGACTTCTGATATACTTTCGAACGGACTTGTGATGGACTTGTGCATCGTGATGGACTTCGCCTAAACGCAAAATCGTTGCAGTCACTTGTGGAAAGTTAGTACACGTATCATGTTTTATAAAGGAACGATGACAGGGGACACTCAACATTGAGTCAATAAGTTTTGACAATCGCCGAACCTTTCCGCACCTGTTCACGGTGAATGAAACCACGGAATTCAGAAAACCGACTGGCCAATGTCACGGAACGCGTCATCAACTGCTTGCGACCTAAATAGGCACGCGGGCCCTGCTCGATGGTATAGGTCTATGTCCTGTCGGTAAAGACATCTACAGGTGAATGCTGGCGCCAATTTCATTGAACGGATCAGCACAATCATTTGCCAAGCACGCGATATAGTTGCTTGTCCAAAATAAGTAACCCAACACTATATCATGTGACTGCTTCTGACTGGACTTTTGTTCAACGAGTAAAATGTACTAAGGAGTCGAGCCAAGCATGTACATATGCGAGCTGGCACTGCGCACCCAAAGCAATAAGGGACGGAGTTCACTTTGCCCAACCCGTCCAGGTGTCATCCTTTTTTTGAGTGTCATTTGCATGAAATAATCTCCATTTAGTGTTCCAGTTGAAGCTCAGAATTTATAGTGCATGTCAATCACAAAGAATTCGTAAAGGACATTCCACATCACGACCTATAATTCTTCAAAAACATGGAGCAAAAAGAAACCCGCTACTTTTTAACAAACCAGATTTGATTTATTTAATATTAGGATTTCGCCAGATTTGATTGAATAGAACCAGTTTTAAATGTACACACCTTAAACAATAGCCTTACCAATAGATGCTTTTAGTACCTATAGACAACATCATTTCTACAACTGAATGTCTTCTCAAGTAAATCCCCGATTAACATTACTCCCCACATTTTCAACCCCAACACAAATACGCCCTATACCCGATCTATGATCGGGTAAATCAGCTCGTCTCATCAATAATTTGATGTCATTGAAAAAGAACTCCCCCCAGTATAAGTATATTTTGAACACGGTATAAAATTCAGACATACACATCATGAAGCTGTTCGCGTTTGTGCCACGTCATTGTGAGACTGGCGTGATGAACTCATAATTAGTAACTTATCTGGCAGCGAGTTATCTGGTATGCATCTGGTTCCGTTATCAAGTGAAATATGTACCTGGGGGAAAAACCCAAAAGAACATTTTGTACACCATATGTCAGCTTTCCAGGGTGAACGAGAATACGTATACAGACTTATCTGGCTCAATTGTTGATTAATTAAATTATTAGGCCTGGAAATATTTAATTTAGAATGAATTATACACATGTTTCCGTTAATGAAACTGGCGACATGTGCACAGTTTTTTCTCGTGACAATTATTAATGAACTCATCACGTCTGATTTTATTGCACAAAACTACGGACATGCTGTGCGCAAATGACAATGACATACAATGGGAATCAAAATAGACTTACACGAAGTGCATCCAAATTGCGATATTGATACTGAATATACTAAAGCTACACCATTTCAACATGTTCGCAGGCTTGTTCGACCCTGTTGCATCATGTGATGACATTTTTACTTGCTAGGCCTAATACGCCAACGACAGGTAAAGTTTTTTGGACATTTCAGTTGAGATTGACCCCTGTTTGGTCACACTCATTATTAGTTTTGTTAACTTGAATCGAATTGCGTGTTGGATGCCAACTTTAAGCAAACTGTTTCCATAATCAGCACCGCGTGGGTGTTTTAAAAGGGTTGACATTTAATGTCTAATGCAGGAAAAATACACGAGAAGAGCTTTACAATGGTCTCTTCACAGATGCTACTTCCAGATACGCGTTATGTAGGCCTACTCCAACCCATTTTCGGGGGTATCTGAATAAAAATGAGGGCGGTATCATGGCATTAAGTTGCTGACCGCATTTGGGAACAACATGTTGACTTGTTTGTTGTCAATAATCGTTTGTGTTTGAAATCATCGGTCCATCAGCTGTGCGTCCTTATCAGAATGTCAAAGTCCAACATTGATTCTCTCACACAGCCAGTAGCAAAAACATGCCTTGCACAAGTACAGTGAACTAGCATTCATTACATTATACGGTCATTTATAGTCATTCTCTACAATGATGAATTCTTGCGCTTGTTTCTTTCCAACTGACCCGAGTTTTTGAAAGTCCATTTTGTGCGACTCAATAGTTACGATGCCAGCATGTGTGATTTACCGTGGTACCGTACTTCTTTTCAGCTGACCGTGGCGGTGCTGATAGTGACCCAGGGGTGCGAGGCCATCGGTAGGTATGACACGCCTCGCTACGCCCGGTGATTAGTCGGACTAGTGCGGTGTTGGGAAAAGTTTAGAATGAACCCAACTTTGGATCACAAAACAACATGACTTGGTAACCCCTTATTGTATTAAAATTGCTCAGTCTAACTTTTTGCCTATTAATGTAGGCCTATAACTCGCGTAAAATATAGGAAATAAGACGAACCTGGTAAATTTACATTACCGTCATGCAATTACCAAGGTGTAACATTATGAATACATGTACTTTGTTACATGGGGATTTCCCCTTTCTCGCTCCCACTATAACCGTGCACTCCTGTATCTCATTCTCAATAAAAGATTCCGGGCACGTGATCAAGGGAGGCGCACACACATTACGGCCCCCATCAATGGCTGTTGTGCAAACTGTCTGCCAGCACACTGCTTTCGCCACAGTAGGGGAACGGCGGGGGTTTCGCGATAGAATTGGCAGCGTGCTCGGAATTGGTCTAGGCTACAGCAGGAGCACGTTTTGGCGGCCCTTGAACTGGAACATGTTTCTGACGTCACAGCCGTGACCTGAAACATGTTTACAGTCACAGCGCCAAAACGTGCCCCTGGATACATGTAGGAACGCCCTCTTGCGGCTTAGAAAATCAATTACTCCGCAACTTATATTCTTACATTTTAAAAGTTGCTAGACCAGAGGTCTACAACATGCACATTGCCTCCAGCCAGAGTTAAAGCTTCTTGCAAAACTACGCAGAGTCATGACTTTATGTTGTGGATAGTCGCTATAAATACGGAGTTATCGTCTATCAGTCACAATCACATTTATCGTCTGTAACGCATCCATAACCTTCGTGATAATCCCACACCAGAAAACTGGCTACTCGCAAAGCTTGACAGAGCTGCCTCATCTCAAGAACGTACGAGCTCGGCGAAACATTCAGACATGTACTCCATCACACACTTTAAGAACGCGCACTGTATGTACTGCATAAGAAGAAAAGGAGTAATTGATGATATTCCAGGCGGGAACTCATTAGGGTGCGATACATCGATGCTGTCAAAAGTACCAACGACCTTTGGTAATCTATTGACAAGACAAACACACACAAAACGCTCATCAATAATTGCCATTAGGATGAAATGACGCAGGGCCTAAATGAAGAGCTTAAAGCTACTTCAAAGATATCTTGGGATGATGTGAATCTAAAGTGACATGCATGGGTCGTGTTCGATGGGGAAAAATGTTGTTGTATCAAACTTAAAACGAGACTTTAAGCGCCAACAATAGGTTTAAAATGCGCAAATTGGACGATAATATACCTAAGTATTATGTCTATAACGGCGCTGTGGTTATGTGGCGTTTTCTTCGCTATACACTTTCCATTTTACCAAATTTTATTGCATTTGGAACAACTCGGAGCTGCATGGGAGTCCTTAAAACACCATTGCAGTGTTTGGCCAAATTTTAAGGGTATATTTTGTCCAACAGAGACCTTGTATTTTTTATATTTGGGACCACTGCCTTATCACATACATCCACATTGCCTAAGCCTTGTTTTTTAACCAACAACAATAATTTACATAATGACAAATGCATTATGTAGTATACATGTGTAATTTCTTTACAGCAACTTTAATATCACAGAACAAAGCTTAATTGTCGCTACCATTTTGTTTTTGCCTCGTCCAGTATACATGCAGTCTCAATGTGGCCATACTGTGACGTCACATGGTGACGTCATCATCTCGCAGACGTCGCTGTACTACCAATCTAGAACGGAATGCTCACTAAAATTAGTGGCACCGGACAGCCGCCAGAAAGTCAGGCTAAAGGTGAATATCACAATGTCAGGATTCTTGTTTTAAGACAGAGTTTGTGAAATAATGGGCGCCGTGGCTGAAACACCCAGCTAAAACTCCTAAAAAAAGTGTGCATTTATGGAAGAATTACAGAATATAATCCTGGTTACTTTAGCAACAATCAAGAGCCGTCGGAGGCATTTTGCATAATTTTCATAAAGAGATAATTTGAGCTTTTTTGAGTCCGGCATTGTTTTAAGCACTGTTACGATGTTCCAATCATTGAACATACAATTTTAAAAGAAAAAGTCTCTTTTTAGATTTACAATCTTGTCTTTGTGGAACACAGTTAAACTTTTTTCTTTAAAAAACGGTGTGTTTTTAAAACTACTGTTGGTCGGTTTTTCTCAACAGTTCAAGGATCTCGACATAACATCAGACGATTCATGCAAACAGAATTTCCTGGAGGTTCGTGGCGCAGCTAAAACCCATGCAACACATGGAGGCCGAGGGCGTGTATTATGTGGGCGGGTAGCTCCACGTGATGATGTGACGTCATCGGGGGCGTGGCTTGAGCTCGAGTTCAAGTCCGACGGTGCACAGCACGGCAGAGGTTTTCGCGTGGTTTTCACTGCGATCTATCAAGGTTTGTTTTGTCGAAACCTCAACCATTTCGACATCGTGTAGCTTCTGCTAAAATAGTATAGGTTCACCTAAAAAGTTGAGGCAATTTCTAGAACGGCCCTTGTTGACATATTTGGTTCAATAAGAACCCCTCCCCCTCAAAAAAGACGGTCTGTGCGATAACTCTGAGGAAAATGACTACAATTTTTAAAACTGTTTTGTTTTGGGGGTCTTTTTTGTTGGTGGTGATGGTGGTGGGGGTTATTTGTTCGTTTGTTTGTATTTTTCAAGGAACTCTTCCAAAGTACATGTACCACCTTGAATTCTCACGGCCTTACTTCTCGAGTACACAGTGTGCAAAAAGATCTGTAGTTGTATGTCTAACCTTTAAAAAACATAAACATGACAGTTTGCACTGTCCCGCTAGGTACTTCGTGCACCGAGCCTGGGATGTTCAAATGCGCCAACGGGGACTGCATTTCATCACGTCTGAGGTGCGATTCGGTGGATCACTGCGGAGACGGATCGGATGAGGCGCAGACTGCGTACGCCACGTGCACAGGTAGTGTCTTCGTTGTTCATCGATGGGGCGTGTTCATTCAACACCAGAACGGGGTTCCGAATGACGGGGCCAACACGCGAAAGGTGTTCGCGAACAGGATTTTAACTCCCGATTATTGGGGAGTAGATGAAGAACGTCAAGAACAAAGATGGCGGACTTACCGCAATTTGCATAATTTGTGCACAAAATTGAAAACACTCATTAAGAGCAAGTAATGAATACTAGAGTGGGCTTGTCTTTGCCATTTTTAATGGGTGTTCCAGGTTTTAAATTATTTTCATAAGATCATTAGTTTTCTCTTCTTTAATTCGGCGTCTTGAATTCGCGGGCAGCAGCACTCGGTGCACGCACTTGGCGTTCTGATCGTAATCGATCGGCGGTCGAAAACACCGTTCGGGAGTTCCTCGAAAGCGGGGTTTTGAATACGTACGTGCGAAGGTGAAAATGATCGAATAATGGTAAAGGGGGCACCATTCAGTATACCGGATTAACGTTCTAATAGTTTGCGTCAGATATTGACCGCCAACCTCACTGTTTTATACGATGTTACTTGTAATTAGACAAAGCGGATAAAATATTATGTGCTCATTTCCGCTCCGTCATTGAAACCTGAATCTGAGTCCTTAAGAGATCTGGATTTTCGGCCCAAAATCCCAGATTTCTAGGAATTTACACGATTCTTACCAGGAATTTATTCACAGGATGTTTGTTCCATTACTAGGCCTATATTTACTTGCCTTAAGGGTCTGTCACTGATTGGTCAATGCCCCTTTAAAAAACACCCCAAATCCATTGAAAACACTATGGCTGAATGTCTACCAAAACTTGCCCAACAAAATTGCAACAGATGCTATTTGGAGGGTAACAGGCACAGACAACTGAGAATTAATAGAGCTACCACATCTAAAACAAGTGCAAGCACACAATTGCGAGAAGTCTTGCATGAAAGTCTTGCATGAAATCGATCAAAATTATCCCTGCCAGAGCTGAAAAATGCGACGCCGAAACATACGACGCCGATGGCACATATGGAACATCATACTTTGAGTAAATTTTCGGGACAGACAGACAGACAGGCCATTCGACTGACCGACCAACCACCAAGTGACACGTAGAAGCTCCTGCCAGAGCTTTAAAAAGTTTTTCAATCCAGACCCAATCCTTGCGCTTCCTCCAAGCTTTAATAAACTACAATTAAAGACACTAACCATAGAAATAACTCAAAATGCAGATTGACAAAGAATTTAATGGAAAATCAAGTTTTGTAGATGGGCCAGCCCAAGTAAATATCTTTGTAAAAAATGAAACTGATTATACAATTTGATTTATATTTGATTTTTTTTTATAGATATTTACGGAGGTGCTGCAATATCCACATACGAATTGAACCTTGCAAAGACTGTTTTCAGCACCGTGGGTGTTCTGTTTACTGGTCTACTCCTTGGAGTGATACTCTGGCAAAGCTGTGCTTACATATGGCAAAAGTGCCGGCAATCCAAACCACCCCAGAGGGAGGAAGTTTCATTAATGGAAAACAGACATGATGATTCGACGCTGGAAGTTGATACACAGATTGTTGATCGAGATATAAGCAATAACGACTTTTTCTATTCAAATGACAAAGGACAGATTTCAGAGGCATGTAGCAGGGAGGAAGAGCAGACGACAGAAGAGCACAAAATTGAGAATAATACAACAAATATGACTTTGGGAAGATTTAGCGTGCAAAAAGTTCACAGTAGCAAGGCTAATGAGAACACTATAGAACATGATGTAAAACAAAAGGATAGAGACAATAGTCAAAAAAGTGTGTCCATTGAGGGGGGAGAAGCAACAAGTGGAAAAGCTGAGAATGAGCCTCGGAGGGTTAGCATTGGACGATTCAATGTACAGAAAATTCAAGACCACACTACCAGCAAAAACAGCAACTTGCAATTTCCTGTCACATCTTTTGCCATCACCGACCCTACAAAGAGTATCAAACGACCTAAAGTCGGCTTTGTCTTGAACACAGGGGGCAAGGACCTGGACAGACGCATGTCAAAAGTCAAATTTGTGCTCCACAATGAAGATGACACTTCCTCCCCCAACTCCTCTGTGGCCCAGACACCCTCAATGCGACAGGGCTCAATCCTGAAGAAGGACCCAAAGTACCCCGATCTCCAAAGCTACAAGTCCAAACTCACTCTGAGTTTTAGGAGTGAGCCAAGTTCCTCTGATGACGAATTATCGTCTCAGTGGAGTGATACAACAAATGACACTGATGCGAGTAATGATTAAGTTCTTTGGAATGAGGATGCCGAGATAAGACTGTGACTAGCATCATAGACAAGTTGGAGTACACATTACAGAACAATGAGTGCCTGAAAAGTTTCCTTTTAAGTGTCACTATGCCAGCCACAGTTATTAACATTTTCAGTTTAAATAAATCAACCAAAAATAAGGATTAACATAAAGTTGGACTTGGTATTGTTTTTTCCAACTGTTATTGTTGATTATGAGACATATAATGAGAGGCTCTCTCATCCGTGTGTAACTTTTCATGATATCAATCAGTTTTTGAAAGGATATGTTCAAAATTAACAGCTCCCTTGACACGGTGGATCAACATTTTTGTTGTCGTCAAGTTACTGCTAATTGGGTCACTTCAAAAATTTACCACTACTTTTTAATTAAAAAAAAAACATTTGCAATGGATTTCCACCACTGTTGAAAAAAATGCTGGTGAGAGCACTGCAGAGATGTACAATATTGACATCATCTGCATTATTTGATGTGTGTGATCAATTTATCTTGTCTCAGGTAACAATAATATATAAAAAATACAATTCAAGGACGTTTTAAGAAACAACATTCTAACAAGTTTATTTATTTTGAATTTCAGTAGAATAACTGATAATTATAAATAAAAATCTCTCAAAGTTAGCTTTTTTTTCAGGACAGCATTAGAGAATACTCCAGTGTGATGTGCTTTGGGGTGAAATGTTTTGATGGGAAATAATTTCTCCTAGTTTTCTCGGCAGCCTTTGCAGTAACTTCATTTGAAGGTTAAATGACAATAAACACTTAAAACACGTAACTCTTGCTTTCTTGATGATATTCAAAGTACTCACGAGAGTATAACATGAAAGTATTGAAAGTAACAGAACCATGGGAAAGAGTGCCATACCTGGACATCACTTGACACCCTGTGCACAAACCCTATGAGACTGGTCTGAAAAATTCAAAGTGTTTTCTCAGTAAACGCTTCAATATATTCCCTGCTAAATTTGAATTTAAAGGACATTTATTGCTTTCTGATAGCTGATAGGTCACTGCAGGGAGAAATTAGTGATGTCCATGTATGGAATTCTTACCAAACCATGATTTACTTATTTCTTTTTATGTACACAATTGATTTGTTAACAGCAACAAAAGGATTTTCCATTTTGTCAAATGTTATGTGGGAATGTTTGTCAGCCATCGAAAGGTTCTGGCGCCAATGTGTAAATGGATCCCAGATTCTGCTTTATAGCGAATTCCCAAACACTGAGAAAACATTCAGAAATGGAGTGTTATCTTTTTCACTTTGGTGGGAGGGGCATATCTCCCTATACAAGAAGGTGCAAAAAAATGGGCGAGAATATTTGAGTGGGTTTGGCCTCCAAGAGGGGGGGGGGGGGAGGTTCCCCCTAGAAGCTTAACCCTAGTTACACCACTGCTCCCACTACCTTCCCCATTGTTCCACCTACCCATTGGGGCCTTCCAGAGGCTAAATCCTGTGATATCTTTCAAGTTTGGTCCATGCCGGGCAATCAAAAGTAGAACTTGTCCGGGGCAGCCTTGAGTTCGTTGGTGATTCTTGCCTCCACTAATGGTAGTAACATCCGGTCCTGTGGCAGGTCACAGCTCACAAACACTTGTTTCCCGGTGAGTTTGGCTGCAAAAACACCACATTATGAATAATAATGTGCATTTCCATTGAGGAGCCCCCCCCCCCCCCCCCAGCTGCCTCTAGTGTGACCTGTAGTTTGTACAATGTAAATTGATTTCCCATCAATAGAGCATTCTAATGAAGTGATCTCTAATAAGGCCAAACAAAAATTACTTCGCCTTCCGATTACATGGCATTTGAAAATAGGGTAGGTAGGTAGGGATTTTTTTTTGGGGGGGCCAAATTTTTTTTGTGTACGATCATATGGAGGTGAAGTAAAGGGCAAAAGGTAGTAATTGATGGTTTTCGGGTTTTTCCCCTTGTTTCCCCCCTCCCCCCCCCAAAAAAAAAATTATGGTAGGGGCTGTCGAAATAGGGTAGGTAGGGTAATTGGAAACAGAACTGTTATTTTTTTGGGCCCAAGTATAGTTTGGTTGGACACTATCGACTTGTTCTAAAGAAAAAATATCCCATATTTAAAAGTGAAGTGTCTGGTTTCTTTTGAGTCTATACCACAACAATATTCTGCACATTAGTATTCACACAAAATCACGAGTTAATTACAAACTCTACTATAATTATTAATTAACTTACCTAGTTTCTGGGCTAGTGTTGTTGAAACCGGATCTGCTATTTCTCCCATTAACAGCGATGCACTTGGAATAGGGTCCTGTTATTATTTAAAAATCAACAAGTAAAGTGACAACATTAAGCACATAATTATAAATTCTCAACGTAGTTTTTGAAATTTGGAATGTCAAAAGATGCACCCTCACAAGCTTCAGTTCTTGTGACAACAATTTTCCTGTTAAATTTTAGAGGAAATTTGAAATAATACTTACAACATTTGTGTGAAGCGCAACAGCTAGATTGGACATGTTTGCTGGCTGCTGTCCGATCCACAGCAAAAAGCTGTCTTTCAGGCGGAGAACATGGAAGTGAATCTGCTGCTCGCAAATCGTCTCAGTGAAGTTATGGACACACAGTCTAGATTGTGACGGTTCCTTAGGGGCGGTACCGGTGGCTGTCTCTGGCTCTGAGGACATCCTTATTGATGATCTAAGCACAGATGATACACCTCTCACAATAACTCACTGTTCAAGACTACAAAAACTAGGGTCGTTGGAGATAAAGATAAAACTTAAAAGAAGATTACTAATAATACTTGAGGTTGCATTAGTCATTTGGGAATGATAAGACCATTAATTGCATGAGAATTTTTTTCTTTTCTAGATTTTCATCCTAGGCTCTGCCCAGCCCACATTGCCTAGACGTGCTAGAAGCTACCGCCTATAAGTTGCCTAACATTTCATTAAAACTAAAAAATAATAATTATTTCACAAACATTTATCTTTATATTTTTCACCACTGTCACCAGGTTTATTTAACTTAGCCTCATACACATAGGGTCACAGTTCTACTACTAGGCAGTGTTTAAAATAACTAAAAAAGAAAAAAATCGGAGACCGGGTCACGGTCAAATTTCCACTGCGTAAAAATCAATTTTGTGCCTTTTGTTTCGGCGATCGTGTAGTGTAGGCCCCGGTTCCTATAATAAGGGAACAAAATCCACTTTATAATTATTGGACCTACCAAACTAGTTGGCGACATTCACAATAAACAGGTATGTCATAGATAGAGGGCAGGGTTTTGATTTTTTGAGAGAAATTTGGGGGTAAAATGACGATGACAGCGCGGTGACAACACGAGACCCGAAAATAAAGATGGCGATCACCGCGCGATGTACCGTGAGCACGCACAGCGCTCTGAATCGCAAGGCACAAACCACGCAGGAAAATCGTGATTTCTACCCCAAGAATCTGTTCAAAATTGCAAAACGGGTGTCATTAGAATTGAGAAAAGTCTGCTTTTGATTGTAAAGGTGATTTTTGAGCAATAATAAACATTTTTGACTCTAATTTGATCAAACCCAAACAAACAGGGGCCCTACACCTACACTTCACTATCGCCTTTGTTTCTGCAACCACTCTGCCTCAAGCTCATGGTCATCTCTATACATGGAAATGCCAAAATTAGGACGATATTAATCAGTTTCGCCAACATTAAATTGTCTTCCTAAGTTCCTTTAAATAATTCAAAGTTGAGTACTAGGCCTACAAACCTGAACCTTATCCTTGGTGAAATTCACATGACAGTCATGGGCGCAGCCATCTTGCATATTTTTATTTTTAAGCAGACAGTAAAAAAGGTAGAATTTGTGCATAGTTCCAATGCAATGATTGGTTGTACGAACTACAAGTTAAAATTCTTCAGACTTCAATCGTAGAGGGCGCTCTACTTAAAGACCGGTGAAAAAAATTGAGAGAAGAGGGCGCTATTCATAAAACAGCCAAAAATCGAAGGAAAAAAGAGGGCGCTATTGTAGTCGCCCAAAATTGTCACGAGAGGACGCTATTTCTCTAAATGGATTTTTTTTTAAATGTCACAAGAGGGCGCAATTCCAAATGTCGCAAGAGGGCGCTATTCTCAAAGACTGTAAAATTTCATCACTTTCAAAATTGTATATGAGGGCGCTATACTGAGAGACCGTAAACATTTGAAAAGTTTGGGCCATCGATGGTACGAAAATGTGAATTTTTATCGTAAAGTTCATTTTGAATAACATTCAAAAACTCAGTCTTGACTTGATTAATTGTTGTCTTGTGAAAAATAACATGGGAGCTTGTTTTTGTATCACTATCAGTGTGATCATAGAGTATCTTTACAGTTCACTCGACCATGCACTCTTCAAACATAAACATTCAGTGGACCCTTGGGTCTAGGCCCAGGTGCTCCAAATTGAAGTTCATTGACGTTGGCCCAACTATAGTTGGGAGTCATCAATGGGGCCCATCTATAGTTGGGCCGCTCCAATCTTTTTATTTTGCGGTGTCCCAACTATAGTTTAGATTGATGTACAACTTTACATTCTCTACAGCTCTGATACACGTCAGACTTTACTATTGAAATTAGCTATTGATGGGGCCAATCTATAGTTGGGCCACTCTAATATATTTATTTTGTGGTCCCAACTATAGTTTACATTGATGTACGACTATAAAACATTCCCTACAGCTCTGTTACATGTCCGACTTTACTTGGGACCTTTGACATTAGCTATGGGTGGCACCCATCTATAGCTGGGCCAAGCCAATCTTTGAATTTTGCATGAAAAATGTTGCTGCAGGGACTATAAAACCCAGCTGGCTGGACAACTCATCCAACTAGGCAGTACCACGTGGCCGGCCAGCCCTGCGGCATGCGCTATGCATGCACGACGAATACATGGTGCCAGCACCTCGGAACATTAACACCCTCTATCGAGCGTCCGGCGCAACTCCAGTTGGAATTGGGGGACCCAACTGCCGCACTATAGTTGGGACAGTCCCAAATATAGTTGGGACCGATGCGATAGTTGGGGCGTAACTACGTCAAAAGGTTGTGGCCATCCCCCATGGCATGGGCAATTGTATTTTTTTTACCAGACCTGTTGTTGTACTGGTAAAAAAAAACCGAGATGGTCATGCCCCAGGTTTCTTCGCTGGAGCAAGTTTTTTACTTTTTTACTTTACTTTATTCCACCTCATGGTACAATGCACTTTTTACCCAGATCTATTTGCCTTTGTCCAGTTTGGCATTAGAATTTTTCATCATGTTTCCTAGTCCGAGTAACTAGGACTCTACGGATCGCTTTTTTAACATTTGGACATGGTCGGGCGATACTATCGCGATACTATTGCCCGACCATGTCCAAATGTTAAAAAAGCGATCCGTAGAGTCCTAGTTACTTGGACTTCATGTTTCCATGAATTGTTGGAGTAAATATTTCAATGACTCACATACAACTCACTCGTAATAGACGGAGAAATTGGAGTAATTACAAGTAACATTTCATTAATACTAGAAACTAACTATTCCTTGCTATGAAATGTTGCCAAATGCCATGTTTAATTTTATGTTTTGCAGGAAATGCTCAGTGGACAAGGATGAATCATGGATATATGACGTACTTTAATAGTACGGTACCGTAAACTGAAGATCTTCGATCTCAGAAAGCAAAGTTGGCACCCACCATTGTGAGAAATATTCAGCAAAATTGGAACCAACATCTTGCCGCAACAAAAGGGTCAAAAATGGGATATCATCACCAAAAATGTGACTTCCACCCCACTCACCTGGTCTATAAAAGGGTCTTCAAAATGACACAGGTATACTTGAAAGACATTGACACAATTCCCAGTAGGCCCCCCCCCCCCCCCAGTAATACTAATAGTGATTTGGGATTTAAAACTCAAAGTTATCTGTCATTTGAGTTTGTCTTCACATGTGTATGACCTTGTTATCCAATCACAGTTTATGCAGAGGAAATTGATTTGAAAGAGTGTCACTGTCAGTTTGCCATGCTTGTTGGCCTGAAAAATTCTATATTTCTTTTTTGACGATGACAATCTGCTAAAGTCAGGCATTCTCTATTGTAATCGTATTAGCTCGTTTCCTTTCCTTAATAATCAAAAGGAAACAGTATTTTAGCTTTCAAACTTGACTAGGTTTCAGATAAAGCAATTTCACTCTGAGAGAATTTTAGTTGTCTCCATGCAAACAGAGCATTTTGATTGCAGGGGCAATGACTGCTAAATCCAGATCATCTAAACAATCCTATCCAAAGCCTTCATCATGTCTAGCACTCATCACATCAGGGATCTAATGAAAACACAACCAACCCTGCCGTCCTGCCTATTTCCCATATTGATTTTCATTTATTTTCCCTCAGACTCGGTGCTCGTATTGATCAGTAAGTGATGTTGAGTCTGCTTGGCCCATTAGCTTTTAATAGGACTAAGTGATATTGAACAATATATCATGGTACAGTCTGCCCTGCAGGAGGTTAATAACATAATCAAACTTAATTGAATTGAACAAACATACTTCCGGTGATAGGATATTGACAAATTTTGTACAAATGCAACTTGTAATTTTTATGTTTGATAGATCGAGATTCAACTTTATGTATAATGGTGGTTTTTTTTTCAAATTGTTTTTTCTTCATTACTCATTTAATAATAAGAAGGTATGAAGTGCACATGACCGCCCAAAGACAACAACCCATCATGCAGATGTGTAGAACAAGCAATTAGTGACAAAGTGTCTGTTCAATACAAGCACACATATGCAGCAATCCTAGTGGTCTGGAATCGATGCAAATTTCACAAAACTAAAGTTCCCACAAAAACACTAAAGTTGGGTGCTCGGCATGTTTTTGAAATTGGATCCAGCTGGCAAGAAAACTAGTTTGATATTTTTTACAGATGTTTTATGCCAAGTTTCATTCTCACATTTAATGTTTAAGTGTCATTCCCACATTTCTAGCACTTTCAAATTACCATAAAATTACTTTTGTGTTAACTTTAAAATTGAACATGATCAAACATAAAAGATGAAAAACCAAAGCTCAAAAAATGAAAGTGAGCCAGCGTGCCCTCCTGCCCTAGAAAACGGACGACTCATCGACTGTTAGCTCCTCAACCAATCAGACGATAACACGCTCATCCTGTTGACACCAAGAGAATATTAAACCACTTCCTGGCAGACATGCAACCCCCTACCCTGGATCACGTCACAGAACTCGCTCTTTCTTACATTCTCCCTCAGTTGGTTCGGGTCGGTTGCTTAGTTCGTCTTCAAGATTTTCATTGTTTTTTGGGCTTGTTATTCCACTGCTTTGTCTGTTTTTGTAGTCGATAGTCGGTGGCTGCTCCTCATCATGCGTGAGATTGTGCACCTTCAGGCTGGGCAGTGCGGGAACCAGATCGGAGCCAAGGTGAGAAGAAAAACCTTCCTTGAACCTTTTTTAGAATTTTTATTTTCTGATCCAAACTCAACTAAAGTCTTTCTCAGGCATGCAACCTTTCCTCAGATCCGCTTATTTCATTGTCTTTTTTTTTTACTTAAAAAATACTGTACAAAGTCTTGTGTGATTTGGAGTTTCCTCGTTTTTTTCTTATTCCCAGTTGCATGCCTGCATTCTCAAAATTGTATCAAGACTTAAATGTCTGAAAATGTGATGTGTGTGTTACAAACATGACCGTGACTGGTGAGAATTCAGTGATATTTCGACGACCCATTCTGTTGTCCTGACTTTGACACCGTTCAGTACAGTTCCTCAGCTTGGAGCTGAGGAACTGAGGATTGCTTCAAATGAGGATTGCTGTTTGTTTGTAACTTTATAAATGCACCACTAAAACTGCAGCTGAAGAACAGCATATTCACCCCCAACAGAAAACACTTTGTAATCCACTTTTTATTTTGGAAATATTTCTCTCCTCCTCCTTCCCCCTGGGTGGCTGATTTTCAGGGCGGGGTGGGCCTCAACCTTCCTCTACGTCTAGGGCCGTAAAAAATAGGAAAAATCGTGCAGAAAAACTCAGCAAATATGTGAACATGCCAAAATCCCCTCTTGGGAGCTGACCGCCCCTATTCATCCAAACCTGGATCGGCACATGTTATAAATCCATAAAGTTAAACAAAAGAACTTGGGTCAAACTGTTTTTTGTTGAAAGTAAATCCACTCTTTATCTCCTCTTGAGCCTAAAACATTCTCGGCACCCCCATTTATAATAGATTTTCGATTGCTTTGTTTTTACTAGTCATTCTTAAATCCATTATCATTTATTGTTGTCATATTAACAGTTCTGGGAGGTGATTTCTGATGAGCACGGCATCGACCCAACCGGCACCTACGTGGGTGACTCAAAATTACAACTAGAACGAATCTCTGTCTATTACAACCAAGCTACAGGTAGGTCTGTCTAAGGCTTACATCCAAATGACTTGGCTGTGGCTTGCAATTACACATGTGCCTATGGAAGCGGATGAAGCCACTTCCCATAGACCCATGTGTTACCGCGAGCCATAGCCAAGTCATTAGGACGTGTCCCAACTTACCTGCATGTTCACATATGTACCTATCAATTGGGCTATCAAACTATGTAGCACTTTATCAAATAATACTGATTGGCAAATTGATAAAAAAAAACAGTCTCAAACACACTTTTAATCTTGTTTTCCTAAAAAAAAAAAATTTTGTGGCCAAAATGTATGTGCTTGCAGTTACATAATTCCAAGAATTTGACCTCAAATAAGTACAGCCTACACTGTATCATATACATTTGTAGTTAAAACGAAATCAGAGAATTGAAAAAAAAAAACGTTTTTTTTTTCTACAGCAGGCCTTTCGCATGAATATTTTATTTTCAGCTTTTTTCCCTGAAAATAAGGTTGAAGAATGTGGAATGAAATATTCAGAAAGTTGATTTCTAGTTCAAGTACATCAAAGTTTGTCTTCAATTGCACGACGTATAGTTCCCAGCTAAAACACTTTTCACTCATAAAAAAGTTGATAACTGTTGTAGAAGTGTAAACTGTTTTTAAGGCAATAACTGGAAGCCACTTACCCAAAATAGTGGGTTATACAGATGATGTAGTAAAAAGTGAAGTGCGCCCTCTGTTGGTCAGCTGGTTGCAATAATATCAGTCTATCATGCCATGTTATTGTGCAATTTATAGTGACATGCATAATGTAGTATCTTCCTATGCAAAGACTAAATTATTCCTGTAGATGTGTGTGGATACATTGATATACTGAACTAGACTCATTTAGGCAAACAAAATTAATCATTTTCTTAATTTGATGAATTTAAAACAAAACACTGTGACAATTGCGAATAAATTAAAAAAATATATATGTTTAGCATCCCCACCCACTTCCTTTCTGGAGGCCGCCTCATTTAAAAAAAAAAAAATTGAAAAAAAAAGCAAATATGTCAACTGATCCATCGTAAAATCAAATACTTGCAAGTCGGAACTTCTAATTCTAGACTCTATTGGTCACTTCCCACACCGACCCTGCGATCTCCAAACCACCCTCGACGTCGACAAGAATGTCCACGCGACAGTGTTTTTTAATTCTTTTAAAACCGTGCTGGAAAAGTATTAAAAACACTGTAAATATGTTTAATTCTCTTGTCCAGCATGTCTGTTTCATTTTTTGTATCTTTGAACAGTGTAAAAACCAACGGATGTGTCCGCTATCTTGAGAAAAAAAAAGGAAAAATAAAACCCACCTATAAATTTTTCTTCAAAAAAACGGATGCTAAACATGCTTTTTTTTTTACTATGCCTTACATACAGAAATGATGATTTAAAACTCCAAATATTTTCCCACCAGCGTTTGAATCAGTACAGTCACACACAAAGTTTATCTGGAAATGTCGACAAAGGCTCAGCATGTCTATTGTATGGCATTCTAGGGACCCAAGGGCACACTTAATTCTGTGGCCACAGTGTCACAGTTATAACACCTGGTTGTTTTGTCTTCCTCCCCCCCCCCCCCAAACCCACTTCATTCATTTATAAAAAAAGATTTCTATGAAGAATATTCAGCAACTGTTTTCACACAATGACACTTTAAGCCCTCTTATGGTGAAAATACGAGTGAAATGTACTTGCCAAGAAAAACAATTCTCCAATAATGGGCCACACATCATTTATGCACCCTGCCGTTTACACGTATAACTGTGCCAAAAGTGGAATTATGCCCTTGATTTTTAGCAATTTGGTACATTTAATTGCCATTTTCAAGAGAATTTTCAGAATTCTGAAAAGAGACCCATTGATAGAGAAAGGGTGGTATACCGTAAAGTCAAATGAATGATCATATTTATAATGTGTATTACTCACTATTAATGTGTTTACATTGTGTGAGAACTTAATGGTTAAACTGCCATTTTTAGGGAAGAAAGAAATCTTTCAAATGGCCCTGCCCTGTATCCTTTGAAATAATGTAACACACCCTTGAAATAATGTGCACTCAATAAATTTCAAAACCTTCTCAAAATGTTGTCTGTCATATTTCATGAGCTGATATGTACGGGTACCAGAGACTCACAGACCATAGAAATCTAATGCCTTACACATGTGTTATTGTCATCAAGTTTTACAGTACATCTATCCAAACTAGGAAAGATTTTACAAGCTGTGACATGTCATGCTAGGCTTGGCTGTATAGTCAGAGCAGAGGCTTGCAAATGATCTATTCAGATATCCAGGTCAACTGTGCAACATCTCATGGGACATGCTTACTGCACGTAGACATATGACTCATCATAATGCGCAGTTCATAACTAAGTATCCTAACTTGATGTGTTCAGAGTTGGCGAGGGTGCTTTTTATTATCATGACTATGTTCAAACATGAGTGGCAGGCATTTGCGCACGATGACCTGACATTGTGCATCACAGACCATGGATGAAAAACAGTGCACTTTGCAAATTCGATCCTCATACATGTCATAAGTTGATAAAATAAAGTATCAGACAATGAAATTGTTATGCTGTGTTTTTTAACCGATATAAACTTAATGAAAACCATAATACAAATTTGGTTCCCATGTTGTCACATGTACATGTATGGTAAATAGATGTCCAAAACTGAAAATACGGTGTCAAAATGTCTGGCCAAAAACAGATTATGAGAATATTCAAACTAATCCTCCTGCTTTATTTGTATCATAAGTATTTGTTACTTGACAGTAATCATCAACTGTGGTGTTGTATTCAATTAAAATTCAAATTTCTCTTGAGAAGACTGTATTGCACAATCTAATGAGGCGTGTAATCAATATCCAGACAGGGTTTACTAGACTACAAAGCCTGTTTGAATTAACATAATGATGTTTGTTTAGTGAGTCATTCAAGTTTTCCTGGCAGTGGATTTAGTAAAAAAAAAAAAATTAAAAAAAAAAAGGTGTTCTTTGCTATAATGCTCAAAGAACTGAGAACTCTTGCAGCCCAACTGCATATATTTGCCTAACCCTTAACACATGTTCCTCGCACCTTTTTCCATGAAAATAAAATACCGGGACAGGCATTGTGTAAAATTACAATGGACTGGATTAGGTATCAACACCGTGGCAAGGTTCAAGTATGTGTGCAGACAGCTAGTTAAATGTAGAGTCAGTGTTTACTTTTGATATTGTGGGTTATACATGTATGACTATGACCCCTTACTGATATTTTGTGAACTCATAATATACACTTGAGCTGTTTTGAAATGCCATCGTTCATTTTCGCAATCATATTTTGCAGTTATTTTGCACTGTGATGAAGAAAAATTGTCATTGCCATAAAACTTGATGATTGTAGAACTTAAGAAGGTCATGTACATGCACCTGTAAATCCTCACAGTCATTATTACAATGAAGATATCATTATTACCATGGAAGTACACTACAGTTTGTTTGTGTTATGCTTGATTTGCTATTCAAAATAACAGAAATTGGAGTGAACCATGCCATATCCACAGTGGCTATATTTTGTACACAAATGATGACTCTACACAATATCGCTTCCAATAACCTTCTATTTTGTAAGGGCAAGGTACTTCAGAAGCGCATGGGGGCACACTATACCCACAAGCCTGCAACTTATGCAAGTGGCTTTTTTATACACACAAATGACAGCACATTTGCGTGCATCACAAGTGAAATATGATAATGTATATGTATAATGTATGTGTTTGCCCAGCTATTATAGCCCAGCTATTTTTTACATTAGTACAGTATGGTGTTTGTATCTAGTGTGTGTTTTTCAAAATTTGTTTAAACTACTGTATTTTTTTCAGATGATGTCAATTCCCTGACAATGATTAGTCCTTAATAATATGTAGCCCCTGAATTCCCAATTATGCAGATGAATTTCTTTTCGTGCAATATATAAGCCTCCTGCTCACGTGATAAATAATAATGACTTTTTAATGGCAACTTCACCGTCAGCCGCACTTATTTGTGAATACACACACAAATATAGTGCTGTGAACTTGATTGTATATTCAGCCTGCCCATGACCATGAACAGGCAATTAAAATTGTAGTAATCACCCTACTACAAGTCTTGCGGAATAATGGCAAATGCCATTTTTTATTTTGGGCAAAATAGCTTTTGAAGTGTCTAATTGATTTGTTAAATAATTCAAACATATCGTATCAAGAAATTTTATTAAAAGAAGAGTCATTGCTCTACACAGTGTTTCGTGAACATGTCCACGAAAATTTTAAATCGCATATTTACGGTCATGCTGTTTGTGTGCAAATGTTTGTTCTAAGTACATGTAATTACCACATTGTCAAAGCATGAAATGGTTTCTATTCAGTTTTTGTGTGTGTGTATTTTGAACTCTGATGAACACCTTTAGTATAAATTATCTACTTTAAAGGTAAATTGAATTAAAAAGCCAGATTAAAACAGCTGAAGCATAACTGGGTAATTATTCACCCTAAACATGTGAATAATTTGTAGCATAGAGCAGATGTATTACAGTGCCTGGAGTGCAAGAGTAGTGTGAGGAGACATGAGGCCATGAAGATTAAGAAACATGATAGCTCAAGTCAGTGTCCTGATGACTCATCGTCCTGTCATCGAATGATGCTCTGACACGGACCACATCACTGTGATGAGAAGGGATTGGGAATGCTGCGCCGCATCATTGATGAGGCATCATTGAGATGCAATCCTAGTTGCTATGTTAGGCTTTCCCTGTAGCCATGTGGCTGTGTGGCTGCAGTGAAAAAAAATAATGTAATAAGGCCAAAAAAAAAAAAATTCCGGTTTCTGGTATGCGCGCGTGTCGCCATAGCCATACGCGTCGGCAAAATGAAACAGTTTTTTTTTCAATGAAAGATGATGTCTCAAAACCGCCAAACTCACTGGTTTGACTGGAATCCTGCTGCTGCACAATTTTAACGTATTTTTAGATTGGGTTATGGTCGAGAAAAAGCTTTATGTGGCCTCTCTGGACTCCCATATATTTGCACTAAGTTTAGTCGGGCACCATTTGCAGTCATCAGCCGACATTTGAAGCAAAAAAAATCAGGTAAAAAAAAAAAAGCCGCGTCGCCGCACCACTTTTTGGGCAAGCTCCATACCAGAAACCGGAGACTTTTTTTTTTTGGCCTAAGGTATGGTTGATGTATCTGAAGTGACTTGGGGGAATTTATGGAAGACATTGCGGAAGGAATGAGGGGCATCTTTGAAGCATAATGATATGTCTGTGGGATGGGATGGGGTCCATCTGTTATTATACTTACAGTAGCCTGTGGTACAAAACCTTCAATGTGGCCAAACTAATGAGGATTATGATCTCTTAGTGCAGTTATTGTGGGCTGAAAAATTATGAATACTGAGATAATACTGTAAGTCTAAGACAGTAAAATGTAAGATATAAGAATATTTTTAAGAAGGGTCATGGGAAATATTTATGCATTCCTTATTGTTTTATAAGATTTTGTGAAAGATTTGTTAATGTACAAAAAAAAAATGGTGTAGCCTTTTGAGCTTTGTCAAGTGGAGTAAATTGAAATGTTCGGTTAAATACAGATCCTGCATGTGAATATAGCCAGTCAAGATTTCTCTAAATTTGCTTTAGATTTTCCTAGGAAAAAGGAAACTTTTCTAGAGCAAAGTTATCTTTTTCTAGAGTCTTTGCAGGAGCAGATCCCAGAATTTTTGCAGGGGGGGGGGGGGCTCCTTAAAAAAATTGTGTCCGATTGTTGCAGACATAATACTAGTTGATTATAATTACTATAATTGTTTATAATTTTTAAAAATGTGTTGAGTGTCAGAGCAGGGAGGGGGGTTCCGACCCCCAAACCACCCCCCCCCCCTAATTCTGCGCCTGCTTTGTAGGATTGAAGTTGATAATTTTATCATCACAGAATGTTATAATTTCAAGTTTCACATTTCAGAGTTTCCTAAGTATTATTTAAAAACCTAACAATTGTCTTTTTCGCTTTCACATGTAGGTGGCAAATATGTACCCCGAGCTGTACTGGTCGACCTGGAGCCAGGCACCATGGACTCTGTCCGCTCTGGTCCATTTGGACAGATCTTCAGACCAGACAACTTTGTCTTCGGACAGAGTGGAGCTGGAAACAACTGGGCCAAGGGTCACTACACCGAGGGGGCTGAGCTGGTCGACTCGGTTCTGGATGTTGTCCGCAAAGAGGCCGAAGGCTGTGACTGCCTACAGGTAGCAAAAGTCATTAAGAATTTTTTTCATCAAACTCATTTCTTTTGATTTTTGGAGAAGGAATAATGATTATATAGAAACGTGTTGATGTAAATTTCAAATAATTTTCATGTTTCAACTATGTTTGGTTTCTTTCGACACTTGTTTTTTTTTACTGCCTTGAATAAATCTTCGAAATTGTTCTCATTGTTAAGTCTTTTGAACAGAATAAATTTGCATTTTAAAAGCAAACTGAATGGAACTACATGTATTGGCATTTTGCCAGTTTGTGGTAGAGGTTAGCCCTGCTTTTTTTTGTCCCAAGCTGTTGGTCATTGTTGTTATACTGTCAGAACATTATTGTTGTATGAAATGTCTATTGATGCAAGGTCCTGGATTTCATTGATTTATGACTCATTGTTACCTTAAAATTGCAATGTTGTTGGTTTTGCTTGTATCCCAATATTGATTGTTTCAATTTATCCCTACATATGCGGTACGGCAGGCTGGGGTATTGTTTTGTAATATGATCGAATTTTGAGTAGAATCATCTTTAATAAAACAAAGCTCCTGGGAATTTGTACATATGAAATTGTGAATCTCATACATTTGTAGCTTCAAAAAGATAAAGATGCTTTCAATAAGCTTGAATTTTAGAGCTTCTGTAAAACAGGGTTTGCGATTTGTTTTTATTTTTTTTTAAAATTGGAAAAAAACGGATCCATACGATTTAAATCAGATGTGTTTATATTTAAATCAGGTTTTTTTTGTATGTTTTTAACTTCCAAAATATTGATGTCTAAAAATGTGTCTAAATTGCCCCGTGCACCCTTGCACCCATCACTAAGGAGTTTACAGACCTGTTCCTATAATGCCCATCATCCACAAAAATCAATAAATTGATAAATGCTTTTGAATTTTTTTTTTTTGAATCGGTGATTATAAAAAAAATCACTTGATTCCTTCCACATGTAGTCTGCATCATTGGTTCAAGGGTACATTAATACTGAAGACACTTTAAAGTTGCATTGCATGATTGATACAGCTGAGATACGTTGTGTGTGGATATGAATGAAAAACTTGATTTATGGTACAAAAAAATAAGAGTACAGTTCTCCATGGGCAGGTTGATTTCATAAGAATGCTTCTAATTTCAAAACTGGCAGCACTGATCCTTGTGTAACTTATAGTGTTTGATTGATGGTCCTTCATACAAGGTGCAGAACAGAAATCAGGCCTTGCACCTTTAAAAGTTATTTTATATATTTTTTATTATAGTTGATTCACAATATTACTGTAAACAGACCAAGGATTGATTAAAGCAAACATGAGTGTGCTGTCTTTGAAGTTCAAACTTCGAAGAAAACTTTGAAACTCAGATCTTGACTTTAATCAAAACAATGATTTTGTGTAATTATGCAAAACCTAAGTTGAGTTGATACTGATGAAGTAGGGGTGTTTGAATGTGTTAACAACATGTTACATTTGGCAATGAAGTGGAATCAGTTGATTTAAATTATTAAAATGGCCCTCAATCAATAAATTTGCCAAAAATAAGATTTTTACAAAAAAGTGACATAAAGCAGAGATTTAAAAAAAAAGTCATTGGATTTCCTGCTGTAAAAACAACATGTGTATTTCCTCTATTGTCAGTTTGCTAAAATCCACGTAAAATATGGTAGATTGTGCCACTTGCTGAAAATGTATGTTTTTAAGAACATATTCAGGGTTGCTTCGAACTTTTCTATTCCTCCACACAGAAATGATCAATGGTCTTAGTATGCAGGAATGTCAGTCCAAAAAGTAACTGTTTCATGATGTGATCCCAAACAATGTTATCTGTCACATGCCTGCATAGTCATAAGATGCCATCCTTGCCCCAGGATAGAACACTGTCAAAATTCCTCTCCAAGAATGTTTCAAAGTACTGTATCATCTCTCAAATAGCTTCCATATCACAAGAGAATAAGCACTTTGGACATTGCCTTTTCAATGAAGTCATGTTCAGTGAAGTCGTGTGCAATGATATTTTCCAACATTATGATTTGCCCACATGACCTTTTGATATTAAAGGAAAGAGACTATAAGGCCCAAAAAAAGTCTCCGGTTTCTGGTATGGAGCTTGCCCCAAAAGTGGTGCGGCGACGCAGCTTCTTTTTTTTTTTGCTTTTTTTTTATTCAAATGTCGGCTGATGACTGCAAATGGTGCCAGACTAAATTTAGTACAAAATATATGGGAGACCAGAGAGGCCACATAAAAATATACTCGATCGTAACCCCATCTAAAAACATCTGTTTATCAGCATACATTTAGGGCAGTACCAACAGCCCAGTTTACAGTGATGTTCATCTTCAGTGGGGACAAAAGTAGTGCAGAGTTTACACAAACCTGTACCTCACTTGGCTAAGAAAGATGAACAGTGGATGTCTTATAATGCATGTATACTTATTAATTTGAAGAGATGAGACCTGGTCAGATGGAGGACCAGGTACAAGTACAGTGTAAACACATTTTTGATCAACTTTTGTTTCGTTTAAGGAAGTGCCCTAAAAATGCACTTTTCTTATTTTTTTCATGCAGGGATTCCAACTGACACACTCCCTTGGTGGTGGCACTGGCTCAGGAATGGGAACACTTCTCATCAGCAAGATCCGTGAGGAGTATCCAGACCGCATCATGAATACCTTCAGTGTCGTACCTTCTCCTAAGGTATCCGACACTGTGGTTGAGCCCTACAATGCCACTTTGTCTGTCCACCAGCTGGTAGAGAACACAGATGAGACCTACTGCATCGACAACGAAGCTCTGTATGACATCTGTTTCCGCACCTTGAAGTTGACCACCCCAACATATGGCGATCTCAACCATCTTGTGTCTGCTACCATGAGTGGTGTTACCACCTGCCTGAGGTTTCCTGGTCAACTCAATGCTGATCTTCGCAAGCTGGCAGTCAACATGGTACCTTTCCCACGTCTCCACTTCTTCATGCCTGGCTTTGCTCCCCTAACCAGCAGAGGCAGCCAGCAGTATCGTGCCCTGACCGTTTCAGAACTGACCCAGCAGATGTTTGATGCCAAGAACATGATGGCTGCTTGCGACCCTCGTCATGGCCGCTACCTGACAGTTGCTGCCGTCTTTCGTGGTATTATGTCCATGAAGGAAGTCGATGAGCAGATGCTGAACGTGCAGAACAAGAACAGCAGCTACTTCGTGGAATGGATCCCCAACAACGTCAAGACCGCTGTCTGCGACATCCCGCCACGAGGCCTCAAGATGTCTGCCACCTTCATCGGCAACAGCACCGCCATCCAGGAGCTGTTTAAGCGCATCTCTGAGCAGTTCACCGCTATGTTCAGGCGCAAGGCTTTCTTGCATTGGTACACAGGTGAGGGTATGGATGAGATGGAGTTCACTGAGGCTGAGAGCAACATGAACGACTTGGTGTCTGAATACCAGCAGTATCAAGAAGCAACAGCTGATGATGATGACGGGGATTACGAAGATGAAGAAGAAGAAGAGGAAGATGAGAATGAAGATTTGGCTTAAGCGCTTCTTGATGCCATCATCCAGTTATGGATCAGTAATCCACATATCAAGAAATGCCATCATCCAGTTATGGATCAGTAATCCACATATCAAGAAATATGGACTCTATTGGTTCTATAAACATAAATTCTGCAAACTTATTAGACCTCTTAAATGTATTTGTTTGCTCTTCATTCCGCTGTTACATTAAGAAGTGTGTAATACCGCTATTACTTATCACTAAAAATGAAGCTACAAATCTATTAGATGCCAGAGCAGTACCCTTGCCATTTAACCCCAAAATGTATGATGCATGTGCAATGCAAATTTTCTCTTTGAAAGCAATTTGTGAGAGCAGTTGGTTTTGAGTAAGGTGTGCCCAAAGCAGTGGTGTATCCAGCTTTTGATGTCAAGGGGGGGGGGGGGGGGGCAACTGCACTCGCACAGCTTCCCCGAAATGTAGACATGTTTTTTTTCTCCAGACACTTGGCCTCCGTAAACTCAAACAGCCAGGGGGGGGGGGCTCTTTTCAAAACTGACCCGTATTATGTATGCTGAAAAATATACGCCAATTTTTACGGCGCATTGCAATCGTTTTGGACCCCCCCCCCCCCCCCTGGATACGCCACTGTATCTATTTTTTTGTTTTCAGAAATGAAATGACTATTCAATTTTTACTACATCTGACACGCACAACTAAAATCATGAGTTCGTTGACCAAGGGTCAACTCCAGGAATTCATTTTTCCTTTATGCAGTTCAATTGTATTTTGCCAGCTTGATAATTTTACCCCCAGATAGACATCCATTGGTTGAAGATATGGATGAGGTGAATTAATGCTTGCCACAATTATTTGGTGCAATAATAGTGTTCAATTCAGCTTTTTGATATTGAATTATGCTTCTTCAATTCAACCCAGAAATGTTTTCAACAGTTTTAATTAAATTTGACCGGATTAAGTTTTAGCAAAATAAATTCCTTTTGATAGGAAACGTTCAAGTTTTGTTTTGATGCCGCCTTTCAAAACCAAGTTCCTTGTAAAACTGAGAGCTGTGCCCATTTGAAGAGGTTTCTTTTGTTTCAATGATAATCTTCTGTGCAATAACAAATATTTTTCAAATTAATATAAAGTCTTTAATAATCAAGAGAGTCTTGGTGCCAAGAAATGAGTAAACAAAAGTCCGAGTATAATTGATGTTTCGGTGTTCCTATTTTCTTTGACTTCATGATGTGCAAAAAAAAAAAAAAAACCTGCAAACATTAGCTTTTCAGAATCTATCCCCATGAGAAACAAATATGTACTGGTCTTCTAGAAAAATAAACATGTATTCTACGAAAATCAAGTATATTTGCTAGCACGGACTCTATGCCCCCGAATTACAGGAACGTTCTGGCGATACTTTACCACAGTGTTGCTGATCGTTGTGAAAATGAAAGAGACACACGACGTCATATCCAAATCGGAGCGACGAACTTTGGCCCAATGACCGTTTGTAAGATCTGAGGCAGCATTGTTCGCGCATACAATAAAGACACGTTGGTGTTTCCAGCGTGGCCAACGCTGCGTGTTTCAGTGACTCATCGCAGCCGGCCTGGTGCCCGAAATAACTTCGATAGTCCTTCAACAGTGGACTTGGGAAACACAATTTTGTTGATCTACATAAGTTTATTACCCCCCTCCCGTGCCCCCCCCCCCTTGAAATCTTGAATTTCACACAAACAATATACATTGTCTCAGTGCCCCCTTGAAAAATTGGTGCACACCAAGTGCGCCCTATATGAGTTTAACTCTATATAGTTCCACTGCTGGTCCTGGCACGAGGCGGTGCGACGTGAAAGGCAAATAGTTCTACCTGCATTCATTACTTCACAAGAATTGTCTGCCCAATCGTAGAGTTTTTAGGGTGGGGGTTTGGTTTCTATTAATTAAAAAGTACAAAATATTGGGGGGGGGGGGGGTAAATACTCCCCCCCCCCCCTCGCTGGCTACGCCCATGTGTAAAGTTGCACTTTACTTCCACATTAGCTGCATGATCAGTCAACGTACTAGAGGGTATCACATAATAGTGACATTATGATGTCCCTTTTGATCTGTGTTTTCCTAATTTGAAGATTTTCGTTCTGCGGGAAAACACAACTACCTGTGCTACACCGCATCCTAACCCGGCCTCAAGACGGCATATGCATGAAACACATCGCACAATAACACACGGGATCATAGGGAGACAGTGCGAGAGTACACCCGTTTGTCTTCGTGAAGGAAAAGTAGTTTTCAGACGGAGGCAAGAATGATGTGGGGCAAAAAATGCGTGAAATTCTTCGCATTCAAGCTGGACACAGATGCGGTAGCCAAATTGAGGCCAAGATGGGATTTCCCCTTTTCCTCCTTCAAAATGGAGTAATTGCAAAATACCCCGCACTTTGTCAGTTTTATAATTGTGTTTTTTCTTTCCAAATAGTGAAACTGAAAATCACTCTGTTAACAAATTTCTTTAATATCGAATAGACATTCTTTTTGCAAACACTGTCTTCATCTTGTCTCTACTTTCAGTGGGTCATAAAGGGAAATTTCAGTCAGTGAACGAGCGTTGTGCGCATAAATTCCACGATCGTCGATTACTTTTCACTTTCAATTATGGGGATTTGTAATCTTAAAAGAGAAACCATACAGATAGACAATCAAATTCTTGAGTGCTATAATATTGTCTTAGGTCAATGAAAAATATGCATCAATTGTGAGCATCGGATGACGCTATTTTGAACCATGTTTGATCAAAAAGACAAAATTTGGACCATTTACTCAAACCTCACTCTTGCTCGTTGGCGACTAGTGATGTTTTTGTACCAATCTGAGCATGGAAAGTCTCGAAATACGCACTTATTAGGAATGTGCACAATGTGAATCTTCATTACTACTCGTCTGTGCGTGTATCTTTAAAGCGCGGATGCCTTGGCGTCTAGCAGAGCGGATGAATACATCTATCGCATTATTACTCAGTGTTATTAGTAAAAACTCCTCTCTGTTTTTAACACACGATAGACCTACAACGAGTCTCTTTATTCATTCGTCTGTGTTTCATTATCTCTATTTAAAAGTAATGATGTTTTAAGCAATCGCTATGCACTACTTTACTTCATGCGGATTTGCACTTAAGAAATTATATCGTTGTGCATATTCTAATAAGCAATCGCCCCGCACGTCATGCATTCGCGTTTCAACATTCCCAACCTGGCAGACTGACGTCGTCGAAAGATATTTTTTCGAGCTTATATATTTCAGACAGAAATTTTAAAATCAGCAAAATGCGTGAAATTGTGCATCTCCAAGCTGGGCAGTGTGGCAATCAGATCGGTGCTAAGGTAGGTGCACTTTTTATATCGGCATCACAGTCTGAGGAAAGTCGTATATTGTTTCATGTTATGATTAACCATGACATTGAGTGTACACGTACATGTACTATGTATACCGCCATCAGTGCTGTGTTGCTGTATCGCTGCAGAACATAATTTATTCAACTTTGGAGTTTGGAGCATGCGATTTGCCAATGGTATGATTGCATTGACTTTTTTTTTTTCCAAAGTGCAAAAAGAGCTAAACACCTTCACGTTATTTTGTACGTTTTGCCCCAATGGTTGGTGTGACGGTTTTCCCCATCACAAGCAATAATTGTTAATTCTGTCGGGCGGTCGGACCCGTATTTCTATTTCTATAATGTTGAGATTTCGGTTTAACACCCCCACACGCGATCGTCACAGTTGTTTAACCTAGCAAACACAGTTGATTCTCCAGGAAATGAATTAGAATAAATAGAAACAAACCCTGAAAAAAGAGTACGTTGGTTCTAACTAACCTTAAAGGCATATCACATGTATTTGCAATTGACCCAAAAGTAACCTACCGAATTATTATCAAAATCTTACTTGGATTGGAGATCGTTCTGTTACTACACACCCCGTGAGATAATTATTATTCCCTCTGGCTAGCAGTCATTTAGAAGAAATCAAGAAATGTACCCAATTTCCAGCGATCAGTCACTTGACTGAATTTAGTTGGAAATAAATATACCTATGTCTATAGACATGGGCGTTGCGAGGGGGGAAGGGGGTGCCCCCTGGAAAAGCAAAACAAAACAAAAACAAAAATAAAAAGAGATGCGAAGTCATATTGCTGTTAATTTAATGGGTGGGGGGGGGGGGGGCAAATGTCCCTGTCCACCCTCGAAAAATTATCAATCGAGAACATGCTGGAAAAGTACAGGGATTTGGGGGGGGGGGGGAGATGTGCATGCTTTGCCACCCCTCTACAAAAATCATGGCGACGCCCATATCTATAGAAGAAATTGTGTTTCGTGATCAACGTTGCGCATGATTATTCACTGTTTCCTCAATAAGTGTAGTATCCACTGAACGCAGGTTAGGTTTTGATAATTCTTCTTTGGATTTTGAGCGGTGTTGTCATTGGAAACGAACAAAATGCATACAACGTAAATCATCATGCCTTTAATGAAACCCAACCATAATTCTTGGGCAAAGACACGGAAAGTCCATGTTTGGAATTCATTCCATCGTGTACAGTTCAGCCGTATCACTGCACTGCAGGTGCAAGCAGAATGGACTGATTTTCCTTTAGTTACCTACGACCTATGCGACCTATATTGTGCACCCGGAAATCTAAACCATAGGGTAGGTTGAGAGCTGCCTGTGCGGCTCTTTTTTATGTAGCCGGCTAATCGCCGAAGCGCCGCCGTCGTCTGACACACCCTTTCCCGGTATTTTATCGGCAAAGGTATAAACCTCTGTGGTAAGGTCTTCAAACTTATAACTTTCTGGATAAGCATAGCCTTTTACGAATCGAACTTTTCTTCTTTTTTTCTCCGACAGTTCTGGGAGGTGATCTCTGATGAGCATGGCATTGATCCAACCGGCACATACCATGGCGACTCCGACTTGCAGTTGGAGAGAATCAACGTTTACTACAATGAAGCTACCGGAGGCAAATATGTACCCCGAGCTGTACTTATCGACCTGGAGCCAGGCACCATGGACTCTGTCCGCTCTGGTCCATTCGGACAGATCTTCAGACCAGACAACTTTATCTTCGGGCAGAGTGGAGCTGGAAACAACTGGGCCAAGGGTCACTACACCGAGGGGGCTGAGCTGGTAGATTCGGTTTTGGACGTTGTGCGCAAGGAGGCAGAGAGCTGTGATTGCCTACAGGTAATATTACGATCCTTTAAAGTTTCCAAAATTTGGCAAAATTCAATTCAAGTCAAAACCTCTATAGGTACAGTCATTTTACTCAACGCATTTTGTATTCATTTTTTAGGGGTTTCAATTGACACACTCCCTTGGTGGTGGCACTGGCTCCGGCATGGGAACACTTCTCATCAGCAAGATCCGTGAGGAGTACCCAGACCGCATCATGGCAACTTTCAGCGTTGTACCATCTCCAAAAGTATCGGACACTGTCGTTGAGCCCTACAATGCCACTCTGTCTGTCCACCAGCTCGTAGAAAACACAGATGAGACATTCTGCATCGACAACGAGGCCCTGTATGACATCTGTTTCCGCACCTTGAAGTTGACCACCCCAACGTACGGTGATCTCAACCATCTTGTGTCCGCTACCATGAGTGGTGTCACCACTTGTCTGAGGTTCCCTGGCCAACTCAACGCTGATCTTCGCAAGCTGGCAGTCAACATGGTACCTTTCCCACGTCTCCACTTCTTCATACCTGGCTTTGCTCCCCTGACCAGTAGAGGCAGCCAGCAGTACCGTGCCCTGACCGTTCCCGAGCTGACCCAGCAGATGTTCGATGCCAAGAATATGATGGCTGCCTGCGATCCTCGTCACGGCCGCTACCTGACTGTAGCAGCTATGTTTCGTGGTCGCATGTCCATGAAGGAAGTCGATGAGCAGATGCTGAACGTGCAGAACAAGAACAGCAGCTACTTCGTGGAATGGATCCCCAACAACGTCAAGACCGCTGTCTGCGACATCCCACCACGAGGTCTTAAAATGGCTGTCACCTTCATCGGCAACAGCACTGCCATCCAGGAGCTGTTCAAGCGCATCTCTGAGCAGTTCACCGCTATGTTCAGGCGCAAGGCTTTCTTGCATTGGTACACCGGTGAGGGTATGGATGAGATGGAGTTCACTGAGGCTGAGAGCAACATGAACGACTTGGTGTCTGAGTACCAGCAGTACCAGGACGCAACAGCTGAGGAGGAGGGCGAGTTTGATGAGGAGGAAGAGGGGGAGGGTGAGCCGGAATAGCTGAAACCAAAGCCAACAAAAAACATCAACCAGAACGTGGACAATATGCGAGACTTTAAAATGACGATTAATGATAATAGTAGTGGGGACACAAGCAATAATAACATAATAACCATTTCTAACTGCACAACCTCCAAATAACAAAGCATTATTGTTGCCTGTCTTGAGTTGTGTTGCGAGTGTGTACAGCATTTTCTGTTGTTTTCAAAACCAAAGACCCTATAAACCTTTATCATGATGCCACCATTTCAGTCATGTTCCCTGTATCCAATAACATCACTGAATGATAATGGTTTTTGTGCAAAAAGGAACCAGACCCAGTTTTCCTTCCAGTCTCGCTTTGGTTATACGTTGATTTGAATGGGAAAAATCAAGATTGCTGAAAGACGATAATGGTCTATATAGGGCCTGATGTACGCTATTTTTGTGCTTTCAATTGGTGATGTAAGCAAAATAATGTTAAACAAAATAATGATCCGTTATCAATATCTTAAATGCTGTTATTGATTGTTTCAAAATGTTAAAAATTGCTGTGCAAGAACATTTCACTCTTCTTGACGTAGTCGCCCGTGAAATATTTTATGATTTAATCAATGTTTAGATTAACTGCAGTTCACCTGTTATGATTTCCAGACTACACGTATAATCAGCCGTCTTTTTTGGTATTTCCTCGAGTAAGCTGTAAAAACTGTGTTTAGAGCTTAAACTCTCTAAACATTTAATTGAACTCACTTTTGTCTATGTTTGAATCTACATGCTTATGTTTAGGGATGTCTGTGACATGTTTAGGCATCGCACGAAATCCGTTTATTCAGTACCATCAAGTAGCCTATAAATTGTAAAAGTAAATGACAGGCTAATTACACACTTCTATCACACTTTCATTATTTGTCTAAGAAAAACGAACATTAAACCATATAGTTAACTTTTTTTCATAAGATATTGTTACTGGCACTATCAAGCTTTCGTATTGTGCAAAATCCTAACATGTCTCAGACTAAACATGTGATAAAAGTGGGTACAAAAGTGTTTAAACTATAGCACCATTTGACAGTGTAGTTTAAAAACACAAAAGCGTCGGAATATTATACTGATCAACGCTATTAATAATGGAAAGATGTGGTGGAGGGTTATAAATAAATAAAAACAACTCAAAGATGGCATGTTGACGTTGCACAATTTCTCATACACTTTAAGGAGCAGTATATCCAGCCCGGATCGCAAACCCCTTATGAACGACTGGTGGAGATTGTCGGTCCTATTTTGAATGAAACTTTTTTGACTCGCCTTTTCCCATAAAACAAATTTGAGCACATTCTCTGTATGCCTTTGATTGATTCCAACGTGTTTGATATACATGTAAAAGAAGTTGGATGCCTAGCCTATATATTGATTCAGTCAGATTTTGGATGGTGCAGTAAGCGTTTTTATCGCCACTCCCCGGAATAGTAGGACACATGCTCCCTGCATCAATGGCGCACCCAGGATTTAGCTTTCGGGGGATCACAATTTTTTTTCCAATTTTTTTCAAAGTTTTTTTCAAAAAATGTTGCCCAAAATGTTTTGCCATAGAATTTTTTTTTTTAAATATTGAATTGAGCAAAAAGGTATATCATTTTCCTCCAGTTCCCCCTTGAAAAATGTATGCACCTTTAGTGTCCCTGAGTATGCATGGGAGGCTGCTGGTGAAGCTCAAACTGGTACAATTTTTTTCCCAATTTTTTTCAAAGTTTTTTTCAAAAAATGTTGCCCAAAATGTTTTGCCATAGAATTTATTTTTATTTTATTTATTTATTTTTTTTTTTTGGGGGGGGACTATTTTGACGTTGGTGGCGCCACTTATACCCCTATTATATTACTCAAAATAGGCCACATACATATCATCAAGGTCAAATCGTGGGACTAAATTTAAAAAAACCGTATACATATGAAATCATTTTTTCCTCGAGTGTAAATTGTACTATTTGGTAATCCGGCTAAATTTTGTTGGTAAATTTTGCAAAATATGAAAACCACGTGCCCCCCCCCCCCCCCCCCCCCCCAGCTGCTGCCCCCACCTCACCCCATTTTAAATATTGAATTGAACAAAAAGGTATATCATTTTCCTCCAGTTCCCCCTTGAAAAATGTATGCACCTTTAGTGTCCCTGAGTATGCATGGGAGGCTGCTGGTGAAGCTCAAACTGGTACTTCTGCAACAGGCTGTTGACTTCACTCTGGAACCTCAGCCACATGGGGGGAGGGAATGTGTAGGTGACCTCCTTCATGAAGTCAGCAAAGGTGTCCTTCTGGCGTTGCAGGGGTGACTTCTCAGCCTTGGAGAGCTTGTTATCAGTAGCCCTGGACCTGGACCCCAAGGAAGTGTCTGCATCAGACTGAACGGCTGCAGGGGGGTGATGATCAGCGGCATCAGACTCAGACTCAGACTGGGGAGCTCCTGCTGCTGCAGCCGGAGCTGCCCTGGCTTGGACCTTGACCTTCATCTGGAGAAGAAACAATCATAAGTAATGTGAAAACATGTGGACAATGGTTGCAATTTCATCAGGAACATCAAAATGAAAACACGAAAATAATGAAATAAAATACTTACACTGACAGTGACCCTCTTTTTGCCCTGGACGATGAGGTGGGGCCTGAGAAATTCGAAGTGGCGCAGGATCCAGCGGTCCCTTGCAGTCAGTTCAGTGTTGCCAGAACCTGAGGGAGTCTGCTTCAGCTTGCCAAACCTTGATCTCATGTTGGCGTACCACTTCTTCAGCTGGTCACTGGTCTTGCCCATCTCCCTGGCCTTCTGCTCCCACAGTGCGTCCTTCAGGCCCTTCTTGATGTAGTTGGAGTGCTTCTTGTTGAGGAGGCAATCTTGCTCGGGGGCCTGGAGCCAGTCAACCATCTCCTGCTCCTGCTCCTCGGTGAAGTCAGCCGTCACCATCTCCCTCTTGAGCTTCTTCTGGGACTTGGCAGCCTCACTGGGAGGAAGCTCATCATCACTGTCAGAGGAGGACTGTGCTGCTGGCTGATGGACCTCGGCCACTATGTCCATCTGGGAAGCAGCTAGGGCAGGGGCTGTGTACTCAGCTTCAGACTCTGAAGGTGCTGGAGCATCTTCAACAACAGGAGCTGGCTCTTCATGTGCTTCTTGGGCTGCAGCACCCCTGCCCCGTCCATGGCCGCGGCCAGTGGTGGATTTCTTGACCTTGGCTCCCTTCTTCCTTGGTGGCATGACGTGATGTTGACCAGGCGACTTCTCAATGCAGACTGACGTTCCAGCGGCAGCTGGCCGCGTTTTTATGCGATTCGGCGTTGAATTACGTCCGGACTCATTCGAGGGCCAATCGGGACGTTCCGACTGCATTCGAGCCGCATTCGAGCGGCAATCGAGAGATTAATTCTGACGGCATTCGAAGTGCATTCCAGCTGAATTCTTTTAATATCGAAATAGATTCCGGCAGCAATCGAGATGCATTCGAGGTGCATTCCGGCTCATTCGAGGCGCATTCGGGACATTCTGGCAGGATTTGAAGTGGCTTGGCCTTTCGATTCTCCCTCGAATGCGATCAGAATGTTTCGAATGCTGTTGGAATGCCGTAAGAATATTTAGAATGCAGTCAGAGTGCAGTTAGAATACACTTCGAATGCCGTTCGATATTTCTCCACTTCGAATGCACCTCGAAAGTTTTGAGCATGAGCAAAACATTCGGGCTGGCCACAAAAATGGGCCCGAATATTTGGAATGCACTCAGAATGCAGTCAGAAGTTTAAGAATGCACTTCGAACATTCAGGAATATACAAAGAATTTTCATTCCGACGGCATTCCGGCTCATTCCGCCTCTAGTGTGACTAGGGTCAGAGAAGTTTAACTCTAGTTTACGCCACTCATCAGAGTCTTACAAAAACTGAGATTGGTCTAATGCATATAGGCCCAGACGCAGGCATTGTTTCCATATTAATAATTTGTTTTCTAATTAAATGACCAAGTCAAAATTGCATGGCGATTATTTCTGCAGGTGACATCTACAAACATCGTGAAGGAACTTGAAAGATTGTCCATCCTTCGAGTTCACTAACCTGCAGCTGTTGACTGTAAAAAAAAAAAAAAAAAAAGCTGTTTTTTTAGGTTTGTCGCTTCTGTCAGCTTGCTTCATAGTCAATATTCCTAGCGCTCTGAAAACTATTGCAAATATAGACACCAGTATAGGCCATAATGTATGCAATCCGCACTAAATGATTTCGCATCTTGGTCACGGCACGTGTCTCATTCATTCAATCATAGCACGCCTTGCACATTGCCGGCCACGCAGACATGCATCCCGGCCCAATGAAATCATTCATGAATATAACCGGGGCGATGACTCATAGAATTCAATCCATACGGGTCTATAGGCCTACAGTGTTCATGTTATGCATAATGCTTTGACAGTGCAAAGTCTGCCTTTTATAGGATAATATATACCGACATGCTCCTTCAAAAATTATGTCCTTTGTCTACAAAAAAAGAAGAAAATACTGCCAGTTGTTACATCCAATCAATCGTTTCGATATAGTCGGATGAAAGAAAGCTACAAAAGACACTCAAATTTCAAGAACATCGCCTGTCCGTCGGCTCACGGTTTATTAGTTGCTAGTGCGGTCTTTTGTATAGAGCAAATCAAAGCTTGTAAATGGGACGTCAGCTCTACGCATACGCCGACTTTGGTTTCACCATGGAGGTAGACTACCTCCATGGTCTCGCTGACAAATATTAGAACTGAATTTTGAACAAGCTTAAGAATTTTTAAAAATTGCATATATATTTAACATTTGGTACCATTCCTTACTATCCTGAGAAAATCATGTGTTTGCCCCACCCCAGCCCTTTTACATTGTTATTAGGCCCTACATTTTGCTGAAGAAGGCACATAGCACGGTCCAATCTGTCCAGCGACCGCATCGCGCAGGCACGCCTGTCCCATCTGGGATAAATTAGAATCCTCCTCGGAGGCAACGTTTCCATGGCTCTCTGTCGACAACTGTGCACATTTCGTATCCACTGTATCATGGGGAACCATCTAAGATGACCGTGGAATCCTCGCGGATGAACTCTTACATCAGCAAAACTGTTGTTGATAATTACAGAGCTAAGCCAAAGCTATAGGCATCTCAAAAAGTCGTTATATACTGTCATTTTTTTTTGGTATTATTTTTTCCAAAATGTCTTTAAGGATGTAGGATGATTGAGAAAAATCTAAATAAAGAAAAATAATAAATTGCCTTTTATGGTACTTCGGCGCACTGCTTTATTCCGCGCGGAGGGTCAACGTCATCACTGCGCAAGTCGGTTCGCATGGGCCGTTCCTTTCATTAACGATTCAGAAGCCGGCGGAGAAGGACCAAGGCAATCACTACATTCCCCTCCGAAAAGAAATCACCAAAATGCGTGAAATTGTACATCTCCAAGCCGGCCAGTGTGGCAACCAGATCGGTGCTAAGGTGAGTCTAAAATCTGTAAAATTATCCCTCTTTTGATTTTTTTTGGGGGAAATCTGATAGTAAAAGATATTTCAACTGGTTGTAAATTAGTACCTTGAAACCCATGAACAAAATCCAGAAAGGTTAATATTTGAAAGAAGTTGAATTTATTTCTCGATGAAAGAAGTTAAATTTATTATCTGATCTGATGTACGAGCAAGATGCCCAGACTGTGGATTTAAGAAAAGCTTAATCTTTCCATCTTGACATGTTTCTTACTGTGGTTGTGCCCATCCCGCATAATTTAACATTCATTACTTGACAAGTATATCGAGTGAGTCATCAGCATTTGTCATGCATTCTCCGTCATCGATTGAGTAAAGGGGAAAGTATTTTCTTGTCCCTCTTGATGTCTTTAAGAATATCAGTTGCTTAATATATGTAAACTATTTTTGTCGATTCACCCACATTCAAAATATAGTGTTATATTTAGTAAAATGATCAAATTGAGTCAAACGACATGTACATCAATTTAAAAAAAGTGTAAAAATTTGGGTATTTCCACGTTCTCTATTTTTTGAAAGTTAAAATTACCATTTCGAATAACGAATGAATTAGGTTACGGTTTAATAGGTTATAAATAAGAAAATGTGTGTAATAATGAAGCGTGTTCAATTATAATGAAATTGAACAAGCATGCAATGAAAATTAAGCAAAATTTCGCAATTATGTTGATTTTGGAGAATACTTTAATGGAAACAAATTTTCTAAATAGCAAATAGAGTAATCAAGAACAGACGCACTGTTAGTTTTTTCCTGTACAGTTACCTTTTTTGGTTGTTCGTCCCCTCGTTGAGACGTGTTTAATGGATGACAAAGCCATGCATGTGCAATAAAATGTAACATATGGAGCACCACGCTGGCTCCTCCTTGTTTTCGTTTGGGAACTGATCAGAAGACGACAGCCTGCATTCATTTATTTCTCCATTGTTGAGGCAGCAGCAAGTCGAGACTAGATGATGAAACACATCATACTGATGCGTTTAACATATTCGAAGAGCAATTAAAAAGATATGGGCCTAAAAAAAGCATCTGTCAGATTTGACAATAGAACGGTTACATTTGACTAGCCATTCAGGGTCAGCTGGGTGCAACTGAAATTCAATCAATCTGACTAGATTTTTCGAGTCAATATAATTGACTTTGGAAAAATAGTTATGCAAATAACTGAAATTGGAGTCGAACCCAACTACTTTTTCTATTCATAGTATGAAACTTTAAAGTTAAACTCATTTCTAGTCAATTTTCAGTAACTAGGAAAACCAGTCAATTTTTGAGAAAGTTGTTTGTAGAGTGTAGACTGTTTATACGGCGTGTACATTATGAGAAATTGGGGAACGATATTCGATCACATTGTCACGGAAACTGAGTATCCAAGAATGTTTTTGCAAAACTTCTCGCAATGAATCGTAGCCCAAAAAGGACACAATTCTGGGATGCTATTCAATATAAGTTTCTGTTTGAGTACGTCGGCATTCATGCTGCTGCGAAATTCCAATGACGTTGACTGCATCGTGCACAATGCAGCTTCTACACTCTAAAACACTCTAGTTAAATTTGACTAAATCACTCAAATTTTCTCCCAGCTGACCCTTGCTGTAGTCAGCTTGGTGCGCGTTTGACTGTTTTCTAGTCAAATCTAACTAGGTGTTTTTACAGTGTATGCATGACTTGCAATGTTACCACAACTCTTTTTGGGTGGGCTTGTGAAAATATAACCTTGGTGTTTTATTTTTTTTCGTGAGAAAACATTTGAAGAGAGTTCTTCGACAATGAAAAGAAATACTTGTGCGGTTTTTGAAAAAAAAACACGTCTGGGTACTATATACAGAGTATGCTGGTTTTATCCCATAGTGGAAAATGTACGGACAGGACATTTATCTAATTAAGGCTTGCGCTTATATACGTTTACGCATCCTTTACTTGTTAAATGATTTGGCAGGCCTAAAAACCACTATATTCAGAGACTGAGCCTCACTGAGGCATAATATTTTTATTCTATTTTCTTTTCTTTCTTTATTTATTTCTGGTAATTAAACCAAGAGGCTCAAAAGTGCCGCTACAAGCACTATAGCTCGAAAGCCTGACGAAACATGTAGGGAGAACACAATGGGAAGAAATTAAAGTCTTAGAGGTGGGAGTAAAACCCCAGAAGATATTCGGGAAAAAACACGGAATCAGGTAGGGACTGAAAACCAAATCAACATGTAGACCAGGACAATCGAACCCAGGCTACAGAAATCGAGGACAGTAACCACTGCGCCAACCTGACTCCCCAATAAAACACTGAAATAAAAACAAGGCTTAAAAGGAAATCCATCTTAATTTCCATTAAAAGAGACCGAAGACAAATTTTCATCCGCTCACCTGCTTCCGATTGACATTAATTTAATATTGATACAGGCATAAGCCCCAGTTTGTGGGACCAGTGTCGATTATGAAGTGACCGACCTGCGCTCGCTAATCATTCTAATTCTTCGTTAAAGGAAATATACAACATTTGCAAACATCGAAAAACAAAACTACCAAATTGTAAAGAAATACCTTACTAGGATGTTGGTAAATGGCAATCTAAGGGATCATGTAAAATTATGGCACCTGGTGTGAACTCATTTTCAAGAAAGTAGTATTTTTGTATAAATTTCCCGAACAGTGGTCGGCCGACCACCGTTGGAAAAACCTAACTATTTTTCAACCACTGCTCCAAATATACTTTTTTTTTCTGTCCAAATTTTGTTTGCTATTGGTTACATGTTCATGAACGGGTGCAGGCCAGCTAGACTGGTTCCCTTACCTTACAATTTTCCGGCATTTATAAATTGATCCATTTCATCTTTAGTGGAGTCAGAGAACCAGACCATCTGAGCGTTTGTTTTCTCGGTTTTTCCAGCATTTTCGAACACAAAACTTCAAACATGTCAGTGTAACAATATTTAATCTATTATACTAACCCCTCAAATAGTTCATTTCTGAAAATTACTGCAAAAGCCAATGATGTACTTTCCCTTTAAGCCGAATAAGTACTTCTGCACTGTACCATTATAAATATGCAGGCGTATGTTTATAATTCTTTGTGGCTCAATGAAATCTCTTAAATTCCATCCAATCAAATTCAACGGTTAAAAAAAGGACGGCGATATTGCAGGTTAATCGCCATAGTGTCCGTGTTCGCACTGCTCAGGTCCACTCTACGGAGCTGGACGCTATATACGGGACTTTTCAATTGCTGCTTGGCAGTATTATGATCGACACCGCAAAATGCGCAACAGTGTCCTTCACTTGTGCCGCAATGAATCCACGTAACATTAACGCCATCTACTCTTAACTTCATGAGTCTATACTATGTGCAAAATGACTTAAAATAAATACAGAAGAAATAGAACTGAAGATGTGCCTTCTGTGCCGAGGTCATTCACCTTTCGCTCTTCTGTTTCTTTATCTTGACAGTTCTGGGAGGTGATCTCTGATGAGCATGGCATCGACCCAACCGGCACATACCATGGTGACTCCGACTTGCAGTTGGAGAGAATCAACGTTTACTATAATGAAGCTACTGGAGGCAAATATGTACCCCGAGCTGTACTGGTCGACTTGGAGCCAGGCACCATGGACTCTGTCCGCTCTGGTCCATTTGGACAGATCTTCAGACCAGACAACTTTGTCTTCGGACAGAGTGGAGCAGGAAACAACTGGGCCAAGGGTCACTATACCGAGGGGGCTGAGCTGGTTGACTCTGTGCTTGATGTTGTGCGCAAAGAGGCTGAAGGGTGCGATTGCCTACAGGTAAGTTAAAGGATGGGCTGAGTCTCTTTTAAGACTAGGCCTGTAGCAAGTATTACGAGGAACCTAAAAGAACCCCCCCCCCCCCAATATCGTTGCCAGAACCAATTAATGAAAACATCCCTCAATTGAAGTATTCGACTTCTTTTTTCCCAGGGATTCCAACTGACACAGTCCCTTGGTGGTGGCACTGGCTCAGGAATGGGAACACTTCTAATCAGCAAGATCCGTGAGGAGTACCCAGACCGCATCATGAGCACTTTCAGTGTCGTACCTTCTCCCAAGGTATCCGACACCGTGGTGGAGCCATACAACGCCACCCTATCAGTCCACCAGCTCGTAGAGAATACAGATGAGACATTCTGTATCGACAACGAGGCCCTGTATGACATCTGCTTCCGCACCCTAAAATTGACCACCCCAACATACGGTGATCTCAATCATCTCGTGTCGATTACCATGAGTGGTGTCACCACTTGTCTGAGGTTCCCTGGTCAACTCAATGCTGATCTTCGCAAGCTAGCAGTCAACATGGTACCTTTCCCACGTCTCCACTTCTTCATGCCTGGCTTTGCTCCCCTGACCAGCAGAGGCAGCCAGCAGTACCGTGCATTGAGTGTCCCAGAGCTGACCCAGCAGATGTTCGATTCTAAGAACATGATGGCTGCTTGCGACCCCCGTCATGGCCGCTACCTGACCGTTGCTGCCGTCTTCCGTGGACGTATGTCCATGAAGGAGGTTGATGAGCAGATGCTGAACGTGCAGAACAAGAACAGCAGCTACTTCGTGGAGTGGATCCCCAACAACGTCAAGACCGCTGTCTGCGACATCCCACCACGAGGCCTAAAGATGTCTGTCACCTTCATCGGTAACAGCACCGCCATCCAGGAGCTGTTCAAGCGCATCTCTGAGCAGTTCACTGCTATGTTCAGGCGCAAGGCTTTCTTGCATTGGTACACCGGTGAGGGTATGGATGAGATGGAGTTCACTGAGGCTGAGAGCAACATGAATGACTTGGTATCTGAATACCAGCAGTATCAGGATGCAACAGCTGAGGAGGAGGGAGATTTCGAAGAGGAGGAAGAAGGCGAAGATGCAGACGCTTAAAACTTGATCAAGCATTACCCACATGCAACTCAATTTCGATGGCATACATTAAATTAAGCATAAACTAGCTTCGA